GAGCTATAGTACGTTCTTCGTTAGGGTTGCCAAAGATCTCCTTGAGAGCTTTCTCAAAGCTTTCAAAAGAATCGAACATATTCTTAGTATTCTGAGTACGTGCGTTGGGATTGTTCTGATGTTCCAAGTGGTTGCGTAGAGAAGGTTTGTATTAGATGAAAGCATCTTTCTCGAAATGAGTTCCTGCAAGGATAACTTTCTCAGATTCCCTAGTGAACTGAGCCTTATAGTGCAGAAAATACGCCCTGCAGTGGATAAGGAATCCATGCAGCATCTTTTGATTGCTATTATATATGGCAGGCTTGTTCATTTTATACACCTTTTCAGCACTACTGGTAGTTGCAGAGATAGACTGCGCCTGCTGAGCTTGCTGGGCTAGCTGAGCCTGTTGGTTGGCGATGGTAGCGCTCTGGGCCTGCTGTTGTTCGCGCAGGTCCTGGATACGCTGGATGAGCTAGTACATCTGGTTGATCAGTTCTTCCTGAGTGGGAGCGCGCGAGGACGAAGGGGTTCCTGGAGGAGCCATCGTGTTCCGTATTGCTCAAGGGGTAACACTGAACCGTTCTTGAACAAGAGTTGTTAAAATGTAATGAGCACTGCAGCAATCCGAAGATTCCTAAGTATACGAAGGGGTTTATGCTAACAAGAGCGGTATCAAAGTGTTAAGTTCTTGAATACGGAACTGTACAAGTCCTAATAAGCAATGTAAGTATTCACTGCTTTTGAGGCTATTTAGTATAGAAGACTGAATACTTAGATTAACAACTGAAGAGCTATGTACTAAATCTATCTAATGGTAATGAATGTATTCTTATATATTCAGCTCTTCAGTATGAATATGTTGGATAGCAACATATTCAAGTTATTCTGCTAGCTCTGGATAGCACATATCCGAAGCTATCCTTCCTGATTAGCTGTGCTCATAACCCTAACCCTGGGTTATGTAATCAATGCTTTGTCAGGACGTTGAGTCCTTGACACCTGGTCCCTGTTACTCGTAACCTGTTCTATGACCTGCATGTTGGATGGATCATAACATATACACTCTTTTTCTTCCTCATCAATACTGCTCCAAATCTGTATACCAACATCAGAGCAAATTGTTAACTGCTCTGCTTATATAACATTATCTTTCTTAACAGATCCTCAGACTGAAGCTGCATTCTTCTCTACTTTTCTTTCTCAGTTAATACTCTCTTAATCCCTTAACTTTACATCTTTGCAAATCTCTCTTGCAATTGCTTATCTTCCAACAAAGCTATTCTTCTCTTTTCACTTTCCTTTCAACTCAGCAGCAATAGCCGAATTCAAGTACTCTCTGTTTCTATCTATTCAGTATAGCTAAGAAAACTGAATAACCAAGGCTTACTGCTTTCAAACTATCTTTCTCAGAGCGCTATACTCAATTAAAGTAATCAAGAATTATCCGCTTTACTTCAGTTTAAGGAATGAAGAAAATTATCTAGCAGTAGGATTTATTAAGAAGTATTTTTCAGAATTATTCTCTTGCAAATCATACTTGCTTACAATCTTCAGCACTAATTCTTTTAAATATCTTCTTGATATTTATAATCTGATTAGATTCTTAGATGCAGAAGTTTCTCAAGATATTAATCTATAGCATACTATAGCTGCTTTTCGTTATTATGCTTAATATAATCAATAAGATGTATTCTTGATAAGATGCTTTTGTATTCTATTAATAGCTTATTTATTTAGCTCTTCTAATATTCTTAATAAGCAGAATCTGCTCAGATATAAAGCTAGATAGAAGCGCTTATAGATTCTTCTCTTAGTTAATATAGCAACTTCAGCTTATACTCTGTTTTAGCTTAATATGAAAACTGAAAAAGGATTTTATATTGCTATATACAAATCCAGCAATATTCTACTAGCTTATATAAGCAAGCACTATCTGAATAGTTAGCTCAGAAGTACTAAAGCTAATTAGGATTAGGATTTTGAGAATATTCTAACTATACTGCTGGATAATAATTCGAATGCAGCTCTGCTCTATGCAATCAAACTATTTCGTCTTCGAATTCTGAAATTTACTGATTTCTACTGTTGTGGTGGCCAGGGTGGTAGTCCGTGGGACATGGAGTACAGTGGGTCAAGGGTCCTCATACATATAAAGGATACCACCCACTTTTCAAATTCTTTAGCTATAAGCAACGATGAAGCATCCTTTCTCTTCTTTTCAATTTTTGAACCCTTTGGACAGGTCTAAGACAGGTTTTTCACCCTGTTCTTGTGCCCGTGTGGCCTTAGTTTGCTGTCCTCATCTGCACAGGCACGCTTGGGTTGCACGAGCCCTTGCCCATTGCTTCGGCAGCTGTTTGTCCCTTTTTTTTCTTTCGAGGGCGACAGCGCCCTAGTTCTGATTCACTACTAATTATTTAGTAGCTATTCAGACTGGAGATAAGCTCTCTATCTTAATTATAAAGAGACTGTATAAAATGTGAAAGAATGAAATGCAAAGATAGCTATAATAAGCTTACACTGCTAAGCCTTCTCCTATAAGCTGAAATATAGCAACTATATGCAATATTCTAATCAGCTATTAAGAAGGAATACTTTACTTCAAGAATACAAAGCTATACAAATAGAAGCTGATAGAATACTGAATATAATCTATAAGCTGAATATTATCTTCTTTATAGAAGGAATTGCAGACTTGCTTAAACTATCTATTAAAAGCGATCTCAATAGGATGAGAAGAAATATATTAGCTTTTGCTCTGAAGAATTTCAGAGCGAGTAGAGCATCCAGTCTAGTTCTATCAAGATAACAGTCCTAAGAGAGCACAGCTCTAGCTAATCCAATCTTGTATTCATTAAGAGAACGTAATATCAGCTCAGAGTTAAGTTAACTTCTATTCGGAACTCCTACTAATCCTTACTCCTCTTCACCTCGAGAAACGCTTATTAATCCAGAACCAATAATCAACCTATTAATACAGCAAACAGCTAAGCCTAAATATGCTACTGAAGCTTCATTGTATCAGAAACTAAGAAGCAGCAACATTATGTCTTTCAGTTTTCCTAATAAACCTCAGAAGCCTTATATACCTCTATGAAATAAGCTTTATAACCTTAACCCTATCAAGCTCTCAGTAAGTTCTCCGAACTGAATAGAGTTTAATTATGTTATCAAGATAGATATATATAAAGCGAACTGCAAAAAGATTCGTTGAATGAGAATGCAGAATCAGGAAAGAACTGCTGCTGCTGCTGCTGCTCAAGCAGAATTTGAAAGCAAACAGAAACAGAGAAGAGATTAGCAGTAGAATCTATCCAGATTATGCTTATATTACAAATAAACTAAAGATAAATACTAATACTCCTGCATTAATTTGAATAATAGCTTAAGCAATAGAGAGAAGCATAAGGATTGAATTGGAAGAATAGTTTGGTTTGCAGTATTTCCTTTAGCAGTTTGCAATGAATTCTTTATTTCTTTACTTTATCTCCTTCTGATCAGATCTAGCATACCATTGAACTTATTGCAACTTTGGAAGAAAGTTGCTGGAGAAGGATTGTTGTAGTGGCCAGGGTGGTAGTCTGTGGAACATGGAGTACAGTGGATCAAGGGTTCTTATATATATAAAGGATATCACCTACTTTTCAAATTCTTTAGCTATAAGCAACAAAAAAAGCATCCTTTCTCTTCTTTTCAATTTTGAACTCTTTGGACAGGTCTAAGACAGGTTTTTCACTCTGTTCTTGTGCCCGTGTGGCCTTAGTTTGCTGTTCTCATCTGCACAGGCACGCTTGGGTTGCACGAGCCCTTGCTCATTGCTTCAGCAGCTGTTTGTCCCTTTTTCTTTCGAGGGCGACGGCGCCCTAGTTCTGGTTCAATAAAAGATAAATAAAATCAGCTATAGCTGAGTTCTAATCAAAATAGTAAATTAGAGATGCAGATTGAAATAAGCTCTAAAAATAATACTAAATAATTAGTTGTTTTTAATATAAATAGAAATGCAAATCTAATCTCCTCAATCTTTATTCTAGAAATGCAAATTCTGCAATTAAAATAGAAAGAGAGATAATGAGAACATCAAATTCAGAAATAATGGAGTTGTAAGAAAGGCGATCAGACTTCAAATTGAAAAGAGTTGGAAAGCTTAAAATTTGAGTTGAGAACAGTTTGCAGAAAAGAAAACGATCCGCTACTCCCTGCATTTGCTAGCGCCGAAAATTCTCCCACCCAAAAAAACTGTTCTCTACCTTGAGAACACTTTGACTTTAGGATAGGACAGTTTACAGAAGAAAAAAACGATCCTCTTACCCCTGTTTTTGCTAGCGCCAAAAAATTTCCCACTCAAAAAAACTGTTCTCTACCTTGAGGACACTTTGACTTTAGGATAGGGATAGGTGGTGTTGTGTATCTATCGGCATTACCTTGTTCAAAAAACTATATGCGGTTGCAAACTTGTTCAAAAGTATGACCAGCACCATTCCATACTTAGTTCGATGGGTATAGTCTGGTTATTCATCGGTATTTTCCCACAGCGCCGGAAGGTGTGTTATCGGGAAGCATAGGTAACGGTTGTGGTTGAAGACATAGGAAAAATAGAAGACGGATTTGTGAGTAGAGATAGATTGAAAAGCATGCTGAAGACTTTTGGTGGTAAGAGCAGGCTCAATTAGCGGATCAGGGAGGCGTTGTTATACCGTATTCTCGCTTATTAATCAAGGTGCTGTCAAGACCCAAGGTCGTGCCCCACGCCTTGATCAGGCGCACTCACCGCAGGAACCAGGCCCTGTCTCTTCACTTTTTCATCTTTCTATATGCCTACTTGCTTGATCATACTCCCTTCTCCGAAGGCTACTCTTCATGCTATCATGGACTCTCCAGCACAACTCACTTTTGATCAGCACACAAAGACGGAATGTGATATCTGTTAGGAGCTGTATTCACATGGCCCCGTCTCGCTGGCTATTTGAGGGAGTGTGGCCCGTGCCCTACTAGTGCCGGTGGCTGGATGCGAACTACATGTGTGAAGAAGATGCATTTTCATTAGTACACACCTACCAGTCTTTTAGTTTCTCCTCTCTTCATCTTTCAATTCAACGGATATACTATCATCAACTTCAACAATATGTACAATCTGGAGACTGCTATCCAGGTTTCCCGCGAGCTGGCAACTTATTCGGGCGGCGGTGAGGGTAGAGATTGACTGCTAGACCTCTTCATCCTCTTCACCCTCCCGCCCGGCCGAGCGCTGCCAGAACCTACCACGGCCACCTCGCTGCTCCCAGACGGAGATGGCGCGTCCGACCTCCGCGTCCTCTTGGTCAACCTACTGCCCGAGCCTGAGGAAGAAGGAGGTGGGCCGTCCGACCGCCGCAGCCTGGTAGCACCAGGACTCTGATCACCACCAGCACCACCGCCGCCGCCGTCGCTGCTCGTCCTTGTCAGCCCGCTGGGGGCCTCGTCGGCCTGCTCCTTGACCTCGTCAGCCTGCTCCCATACCTCGTCGGCCAGGGCTTCCTGGGCTGTCGGGCGGGCCGCCGGGTCCCATGCTAGCATGGAGAGGATGAGGGCGGCGAGACGCTCGGGCATGCGGCGCTGGGCGGTTTTTAGGCGCTCGAGGACTGCTGCGTGGTTCTCCCTCGACATGGAGCCCCATCTCCATTGGTCCTCGGGCTCCTCAAAGGTCATCAGGAAGCAGAGCCCCAGGCTGAATATATCGATGGCGCTGGTATATTCGGCCTGGATCCCCACCTCGGGGGCGGTAAAGGCCGGGGGCCCGAGGGAGGTGCTTGAGCCTGTGGCACCCCTCTTGGCCTTGCCAAAGTCACAGATCACAGCCGAAGGAGGGGAGACGCGGGGCCAGAAGACAAGCAGGTTCGCTGGGCTGATATCCCGGTGCATAATACCCATCGCATGCAGATTCCGAGCCCCCTGGAGGACCTGGCGGAAGAGGGCCAGCCTGGTAGCTATGACCATATCGCGCCAGGGCGCAGAGCGAAAGGTAAAGGGCGCATATGGCATAAGAAGATGCATGCGCTCTGCATTGGTCTGGAAGCACGGCTGGGATGGGTTGTGGTCGCACCACGAGCGGAGCAGGGGCAAAATGCCTGCGGCCCCAGCAGGTATGCTCCGGGCGATGTTGACCTCGTTCTCCATGACTGCAAGCTCCTTGGGCTTATTGCCCTGAACTGTCTTGCAGGCCAGCACGCGCCCAGACTGCCTGTCCACCGTAATATCGACCAGACCAAAGGCGCCATGACCAATAGTCCTATGGTAGACCAGATTGTTCTTGAGCACCTGCGAAGGCTTCGGCAGGAGATCGAGCAGGGGCGGCGGATTCCAGTCCTGATATCGTCTCAACATGTGCTGATAGCGGTAAGCTGCATATATGCTCTCGTCCTCGACGCAGAATTCGAGCACAAAATGCAGAGAGCCGATGCGGAGGTAGTTGATGGGCATATGAAGAATATGCTCTTCCTTAAACTGCAGCTTGACATTCGTATGCCCATCACCGCATAGATAAATGATCGGATTGTCCTGGGACCAGTTCTGCAGCATCAGGGCCCCAGATTGCGGATGGATTGTGATCTCGCAAAAGATATCCTCTTTGATGCAGCGTGACCTGGACTGGCAGACGGGCAGGTTGACACCTGGTACCAGCTTTCCCACTCTCCAGCCATTATTTTCCGTAATATCAAGCCTCTCAAATGAGAGGATAAGCTGGTATCTGGGCGCGGGAGCACGGCCGGCAGCATTGCGTGGTGCGGCAAGGGTGACGACCTGATCGGGATCCAAGAGCTGCCGGCTAACAAGGGCTGCCAGGTATTTCTGTGCCAGCGGGTTGTCTGGAGTTAGCGTTGCAAAACGAGAAGACGGCGAAGCCATCGCGAACGACTTGATAATTAGAAAGAAAGGAACTAACTCAGCTGAAGATGAACGCCAAACATGACTGCCGTGTGCATATGTACTACGGGTATTACTTTAGGGGCTTGGCTTGGAGGGGCGGCACTCATAAAATTGCAGTGGCTGGTTGCTTGCCCCGCACTTATTTATTAATAACAAAAATGCGGGATACAGCGGGTTATTGAACTCCACCAATGCTGACCCTCGCCAGAACCTCGCAGCCCATCTCCCATCTTCCATCACCATCGTCCTCATCATCTCGATCATTTTCCCTTCGAATTGCTTATTATTATTACTCACTTGTTTTCTTGCAACCATCTGCAATCCACCATGACATCTTATTGCTCTCCAAGACGCCCCAACGAGACGCAGGACGAGTACCGGGTGAGGATCAGAACAGCCCGAGACGCATGGCGCCAGCAGCTGCTTGACGACTACTATAGCAGGCGTGAGTCAAGACTGCTGTCTCCTAATAGCAACGATGCCAGCCAGGCGGATATGCCCCAGATGGTTATGCTCGTCGAGAGGGATATCCTGATCGAGTCGGGACAAGCAACACATGAAGACTTCACCAGGCACTCGCCGCTACGGGACCCAACAATGTGCGACTGGGTTCTGAGCGGCAAGACCCTCAGCGAGGTCAGTTCCCTAGGGAGTTGGGAGCAGCCCGAGTTCCCGGACGAGTGGCTCGACGACAGATGGCCCGATGGGAAGCCGCTGAGGCGAAGACGGTCCGAGTTCCCGGACGAGAGGCTGGATGAGAGGCTGGACGACAGCTGGCCCGAGAAGAAGAAGCCGACGGGCTCGCCGTCCCCGAGAAGCCCAACGCCGCCCGACATACCCGAGGCGGGATCGAGCTCGCTCGCGAACAAGAGGAAGAGGGGTAGGGACAATGAGGCCGATGAGCAGCAGGCAGAGCCGCGGCAGCCAGCTTCCAAGAGGACGAGAACGAGGAGGAGGACGATTACAGAAGAAGACACAACACACAATGGCAGGCCGTCCGCCATGAACAAGAGGAAGAGGGGCGGGGAAGATGATGCCTACGAGAAGCAGGCAGAGCCGCGGCAGCCAGCCTCCAAGAGGGCGAGAACGAGGAGGACTACAGAAGAAGACACACACAATGGCAGGCCGTCCGCCATGAAGAGGAAGAGAGGGTCCGACGACGAAGAGGCTGCCGGGCAGACTTCGCCTGACCCGGCGGCGGCGGCGGCGGCCAGGAGAAAGCGGGTCAAATCCGACCTGGAAGAGAAGCCTGCCCCTGTCCAGCCGGCTGGTCTCGCGTCATCATCATCGTCGGTGGCCCCAGTCACCCGCGCACGCCGCCGCCAGCTCTCAGGGCGTAACGCCCAGCTGTTTCAGCTCGGCCAGCGCGGTCAGCTCAGCCTACAGGAGGAGCAGGCCCCGGAGGCCGCGGCCGACAGGTCCAAGGGGCGACCTGCCAGCACCACCAAGACACTGCTCAGTGTCAAGGCCAGCAACACCACCACCGGTACCAACCATAGCAGTAAGGCCGCCGTCAAGACCAAGGCTAGAAAAACCATCAGCACTGTCACCAAGCCAGAGGGCCGGTCAGGCCGAAGGGCCCCTGCCAGGAGCAGAACCTGATTGATACATCTGCCAACAGGACGGAACCGATAGCACAGCACGATGACGGGGCCATCAACACCTAGTCATAGGGTCGGGTGCAGCCAGCGCGACGACTACTTCCAGGCTCAGCAGATGGCGAGTTCGGGTTGTGCTGGTTATCCTGACAGGGTCGGGTGCAGCCAGTCTCTCGATCTCATCGTCGCAAGCCTTGCAGAGAAGTGAGAAGCAATCCAGGGCTAGCTTTTGGGAGCATCATGTACCGGTTATCCTGACAGGGTCGGGTGCAGCCGGCGATGATTACTTCCAGGCTTAGCAGATGGCGAGTTCGGGTTGTGCTGGTTATCCTGACAGGGTCGGGTGCAGCCAGTCTCTCGATCTCATCGTCGCAAGCCCTTGCAGAGAAGGAGAAGCAGTCCAGGGACCGTCGTGTACCGGTTATCCTGACAGGGTCGGGTGCAGCCGGCGACGACTACTTCCAGGCTCAGCGGATGATGGCGAGTTCGGGTTGTGCTGGTCATCCTGATAGGGTCGGGTGCAGCCAGTCTCTCGATCTCGTCGCCGTTGTGTGTAACAGTGTCCGGGGCAAGGGTGTTTGGGTGAGGGTGTTTATGGGCTTGACTTCTGGGTTTTGTATATCGGGTTCGTCCTGTGCAGGTCTGAAATCAGTATCAAGAGTAGTCAACCATGTCGAATCCTTGTGCTTGCATGTGGATATTGTATAGAGACTTCAAGGATGCGAAGGCGAAACAGCTCGATGATGTAAAGGAGTTGGTGGTCCTTGCTGCTGCAGGTTTAATGAAATCTAAGGAGAAACGGATAGACTGAGCACGTGAAAGTAGCAAGAGTGAGTAAGTGTTGAGATTAAAATCTATCTAAACAAAAGGAAGATCTTCTAGGTGATCGTACCAAGCTCTGAGAGGGTTAGGATTAAATATGCCCCATTTTTCACATGTATGCATAGCGTACAGGGGCTTGAGTGCGGTGGCTGATTAAAGATGAGCGGATATTGAACTCCATCTCGTGCTTGTCTCCTTAGAACCCAACAGCAGCCCATCTTCCTATCAAATTAATTGCTAATTATCATTATCCACATCGTCCTTATTGTCTTGAGCATTGCCATCTTGATTGTTCTTATCGTCTTTCTGCAACTATCTCTGCATCATGGCGTTCTGTCACCCCCCAAAGCTCCCCAGCGAGACGCAGCACGAGTACTCGAAGAGGTGCATGATCGCCCGGGCCGCATGGCGCCAGCAGAAGCTGGACCGCTATAGCAGGCGGAAATCCAGATTGCTGTCTCCTGATAGCGACGATGCTAATAAGGAAGACTTAACCCAGACGTTATTGCTCGTCGGGGAGGATATCCTGATCGAGTTAGGACAAGCAAGCCGCGAAGACTTCATCAGGCAGCCGCGGCAAGAGGAGCCACCAGCTCGCGTCTATGCCGGCAAGACCCTTAGCGAGATCAGTGGTTCCCTGGAGGAACGATCCGAGTTCTCGGACGAGTGGCTGGACGATAGGAAGCCCCAGAGGCAGAGGGAATCGCCGCTCCCGAGAAGCAAGACGCCCGAGATACCCGCGAACAAGAGGAAGAGGGGCTGGCACGAGGGACCCGACGAGCAGGCAGCGCAGCCAGACACGAGGAGGAGGATAATCACCAAAGATACACACACTAGCCGGACGGCCAGCCAGTCCGGGAGGAAGAGGAAGAGGGGGTCTGACCACGAGGCTGCCCGGGAGACCTCGTCCGACCCAGCGGCCAAGAGGAAGCGGGTCAAATCCGACCTGGAAGAGAAGCCTGCCCCTGTCCAGCCGGCCAGCCTCGCGTCGTCGTCGTCGTCGTTGATAACAGCCCGAGTCACCCGTGCTCGCCGCCGCCAGCTCTCGGGGCTGAATGCCCGACTGTTGCAGCTCGGCCAGCGCGGTCAGCTCAGCCTGCAGGAGGAGCAGGCCCCGGAGGCACAGGCACAGGAACAGGCACAGGAACAGGCACAGGCAGAGGCACATGCTCCGAAGGCCGCCACCGACAGGTCCAAGGGGCCGCCTGCCAGCACCAAGACACCGCCCAGGGTCAAGGCCAAGGCCACCACTGCCATCAATACTCGCAGCAAGGCCAGAAGCGTCAAGACCAGGGCGGGAGATAGCATCGGCGCTACGAGGATCGAGAGCCTCTACGATGATGTTTACCTGCAGTCCTGGACCCGCGGCGCAGCTCGTCGACACTGGGTTGTTGTTCAGAAGAACGGGAGCATGATCCGGCCGGTTGCTGGCCGCAGTGCAGACGCGCACCTCCGTTCTGTTCGCGAGCGCGAGCGTGTCTTTTCCAGGGCAAAAGCGTCCGCGGAGGACTCGGTCAAGGCGACGACGGCAGGCCTTGCGGCGACGAGCCTGTGGATGGAACGAACCCGTTGGGGTATCACATATAACGGCGCCGGGCGGGTTGTCTCCAGCTTCCGGAGGGGCTGCGTCCGCCGAGCCCTCTGCAGGCCGCGTATGTCCTAGTACACGGCCCCAGCCCCACGGAATCTGACCTCGTAAGCCCGCTGGAGAGCGAGGTGAGGATCGGGCGCTTGCTGGCGGTCATGGACATTTTACTGGACCGCTGCGAAGAGGCACTGAAGATATTCTGTAATTCTGGTGTCACCCTGTCCTGGTGGTCTGGTCGTCTGCTGAAAGCGTTTGCTCAGCCTGACGATCCTTTTCCTCGAGCTGAAGGTTCTGTTGTCATACATTGCAAACCGTCAGGCTATCCCGACCTCGCCGTCAGGCTATTGGCTCTCTATTGTTGAAGCTGTAGACATCCTTTCTAGCCTTCCATTGGGTGGCAACGACGATGCATCGCATGCGGCCAGATAGAACGCCAACACGATTGCCACACTCATCAGTGTTCCAAATGCCTGAGGACATCAGGCTAAATGTCACCTGGAGGAGGTAGCATCCGAAGTAAGCGGACCCATCGGAGTAGGAAGTTCAACACTTGCCTACAGACGGAAAACGACTCAGGATTACGTAGCTTAGGGTTAGGGTTACAAGGAATGGATATGTTGGATCGGCAACATATCCAACATATCAGGATCAGAAGGATCGACAACATATCCTAATGAGCCAACATCACCAACACTACTAATGAACCAGAACTAGGGCGCTGTCGCCCTCGAAAGAAAAAGGGACGAACAGCTGCCGAAGCAATGAGCAAGGGCTTGTACAACCCAAGCATGCCTATACAGATGAAAATAGCAAACTAAGGCTATACAGGCACAAGAACAGAGTGAAAAACCTATCTTAGATCTATCCAAAGGATTCAAAATTGAAAAGAAGAGAAAAGAATGCTTTTTTGTTATCTATAGCTAAAGAATTTGAAAAGTGGATAGTATTCTTTATATATATAAGAACTCTTGATCTACTATATTCTATATCTTATAAACTACTACTCTAGCTATTATAATAATTCTTTTTTAGCAACTTTCTTCTAAAGTTGCAATAAATTCAATAATATGCTAGATCTGATTAGAGAGAGAAGAAGTAAAAGAAATAAAGAATTTATTGCAAACTGCTAAAGGAAATACTATAAACTAAACTATTCCTTTAATTCAATTCTTATATTTCTTTCTATTATTTAAGCTATTTGTCAGGTGGAAAGGTTGCAAAAGCAATGTGGCGAGGTCTTTTCTCTCTTTCAGGGGCATACAACCAGAATAACATTGAGGCCTAAGGAGCTAAGTTCTGCTCAGCAGTGCTGACGTGGCTAGAAAGCTGCTTTATAGCCGCATATTGCTTAGTTATCCGTAATTCAGCTGGCTTAGCTGGCTCTGAGCCTTGCTGGCACAATCGGCCCTGACAGATTGTCCCCCCTTATCAGGCCTTGTCCTCAAGGCCTTTGAGGCTTCCAAGCTTTCGTTGCTTCCAAGCTTCCGTTGCTCCCAGGCTTCCGTTGCTTCCAGGCTTTCGCTGCTTCCTAGCTGCTCCTATGCCTTCTCAATGCTTCAGGCTCTTAAGATCTCTCAGTGCTTCAGGCTTCTTAAAGCTTCTCAAGATCCCTCAGTGCCTCAGGTTTCTCAAAGCCTCTCAAGATCTCTCAGTGCTTCAGGCTTCTCAAAGCCTCTCAAGATCTCTCAGTGCCTCAGGCTTCTAGGTTACTCAAGGTCTCTCAAGATCTCTCAGTGCCTCAGGCCTTTCAAGGCTTCTCAAGATCTCTCAGTGCCTCAGGCTTTTAAGCCACTCAAGATCTCTCAAGGTCTCTCAGTGCCTCAGGCTTCTCAAAGCCTCTCAGAGTCTCAGGCTTCTCAAAGCTTCTCAAGATCTCTCAGTGCCTCAAGCCTCTCAAGGCTTCTCAACCATCTCCCTTCTTCTCTTCTAGCTTCATCTCCGAAGCCTGTAAAAAAAAAAATCTCTTTTTAATCACATTTCAAATGTAAGTCTTCCGAATGCAATACCCGCACTATATACGCTGCTTAGTTGCTACTCCCTTAGCGCTTTATTCAAGCACTCTTCAGAACTTAAAGCTGTTTGATATAAATTGCAAGCTTTTTATCAGAAACTTGATTTGCAGCTAAGAAGCTTAGCATTCAGAACAGCATCTCTGCAGCTATAATAAATAATTATAGCTTTCTATCTTAAGAATTACTCTCTAGCAACTCTGAAGCTATTGCTATACTTTACTTTACTGCTAAGTATAGAAGAATAATTAGTTTGCAATCTAATATCTAAGCAACTTCAGTTGCTAAGCAAACACTCCGCTTTAGCTTTATACTCTCGCTTGAATAGCGAAGAGCATACTCTCAAAAACAGAAGATATTCAGATCTACTGCTTGCTTACTCTGCTCTCTCGCTCGAATAGCAAAGAATATACTCTCGAAAACAGAAGATACTCAGATCTACTGCTTGCTTACTCTGCTCCCTCGCTCGAATAGCAAAAGATGTACTCTTGAAAACAGAAAATACTCAAATCTGCTGCTTGCTTACTCTGCTTTCTCGCTCGAATAGCGAAGAGCATACTTTGTTCTAGCTTAGCAACTCGAATGCTCTAAATCTCTTCTGAATACTTCTTGCATGCTGCTTGCATACTGCTTGCTTGCTATTTGCTCTAGCTTAGCAACTTGAATGCTCTGAATCTCTTCTGAATGCTTCTTGCATGCTGCTTGCATACTGCTTGCTTGCTGTTTGCTCTAGCTTAGCAACTCGAATGCTTTGAATCTCTTCTGAATGCTTCTCGCATGCTGCTTGCATACTGCTTGCTTGCTATTTGCTTTAGCTTAGCAACTCGAATACTCTGAATCTCTTCTGAATACTTCTCGCATGCTGCTTGTATACTGCTTGCTTGCTGTTTGCTCTAGCTTAGTAACTCGAATGCTCTAAATCTCTTCTGAATGCTTCTTGCATGCTGCTTGCATACTGCTTACTCGATACTGCTTGCTTGCTATATGCTCTAGCTTAGCAACTCAAATACTCTGAATCTCTTCTGAATGCTTCTTGCACGCTGCTTGCATACTGCTTGCTCAATACTGCTTGCTCGCTATATTCAAAGCTCGAAAGCTCGAAAATCGAAGACTTAAAGATCAAAGGCTTGAAGGTTCGAAAAGGATAGTAGTCTGATCATTTGCTCTGCTCCTGCTCAGTATTAGCGCTGCTCCTAGGGAAAAAAAAAAGATAGAAAGCCTCGCCGGATTACCTTCTTTAAAAGGGCTAGGCTTCAAACTGTCAGATGGAAAGGTTGCAAAGGCAATGTGGCGAGGTCTTTTCTCTCTTTCAGGGGCATACAACCAGAATAACATTGAGGCCTAAGGAGCTAAGTTCTGCTCAGCAGTGCTGACGTGGCTAGAAAGCTGCTTTATAGCCGCATATTGCTTAGTCATCCGTAATCCAGCTGGCTTAGCTGGCTCTGAGCCTTGCTGGCACAATCGGCCCTGACACCTAGTCAGCGGAGAATCGTACTTAGCTTGAAAATAATAAGAAAATAAAAGGGGGATACACACCTGTAGAGCTATCTGCCTGCCTTCTCCAAAAATATATGGATGTTGCCCCGCTCTTCCGAATAAGTTTGAATGAGTTGCATTGCTCTTAAAAGAGCGGGTGAAGGGGATAAGTACAGACACCTGTCCCAAGCAGATTGATTGCTTAGTCAGCATCATATACCATCATTGGTGGTAGCCGTGCTGTCTGATGTAGGTGCTGCGGAGCTTTCGGTGGAAGCCTTGGGATTTCCATATATAGGACAACTTGCTTAGTAACTAAGAATGTGGCTGCACTGAAATTGCTTGGATTCCTTGTCATAGATGATTCATTTTTGAAAGGATGCCAGCCTGCAGCTGAGCCAGAGGTTTCGTGTGCGCCGGTGCTCCCTCATGAACGGGAGCTCGAAGATCTTCTCGTCTTCTTCGAACTTGTCCGAGTTGAACCACCCGTCTGGGTACAGGCCTTCTACCCACAGATGGCCTTGCATGGTTCAGTCCTCAGGAAGGGGCCTGTTGGTGGGACGGGGGAATTCCTCTAGCTCGGTGCGCTCGAGGTCCTTGAAGTCAACAATAAGCAGATTCAAAAGGCGGGTGATCTGTGCTCATGGAAAGTAATTCTCGAGATGCTTCATTGCAGCTTCGTTCTTGGCTATATGATATATGTAGGTGAGCTGGATGTGTAGGTAGCTCATGATCTTGTTGTTGCCATAGCGATTGAACATGATATGGTTGCAATCTTTGATAAAGTCTCGAATTATGCCGAATATCTCGGATGGGACGGGTTCGCTATTCGTTTCTGTGCTGTTGGCTTCCGAGCCATTCATAGGCACATCACCCCCAGCATCCGCAGCATTCGCAGCATTCGCAGCATCCTCAGCTTTCTCAGCATTCTCAGCATTCTCAGCATTCTCTGTCTTGAGGGTAGTTAATGTAGCGAGGATGATGTTCTTATTGCCCTGTGCATTGGCATCCGTCTTGCTGTACTCTAGAATTGCATTGTTATTGGAAATCGCAATCTGACCGCTTATCGTGTTCCAGCCTTTAGTATACTGCGAGATGATATGATCGAGGCGCGAGATAAACTCGGTCTTAGTTGTATTATAATCAGCCAGCATTCGGTCCACAGGCTCGGGAAGTGGCTTCTTCTCCTCGTTGGTATTAGAGATGATAAAGAGGATAGCATGTGACTTGACAAAAGTGAACTCCGAGATTGGCAGGTTGTGCTGGTTGTTATTTAAAATGGGATCGAAAAGAGTGAGGATACTATCGCGTGCAGACTTGAAGAGATAGGCGATACATAGGCTCTTCGAGTAGTAGAAGAGCTGCTGATAGGCGTTGGGCTTGGACAAGATCGCAAGGTGGTGGTAAAGGCGGCCAGTCTCAGGGGCCCTGTCGCTGGCCTTCGCGTACCAATATCTGCTGACGCCAGCTCAGATTTCCCTGTTGCGGATATCCTCGTCCTCGATGGCCATACGGTACCTGCTGAGGTCTCTCAGGCACTCGATCCAGGTATCCTCAAAGGATGGAACAGTCTCGCAGAGCAGGGCCATCATGGAGTAGGCCAGGTATATAAAGGTCAGCATGTGCTCCAGCGAGTCGGGCAGGCGGGCTCGAAGCAGCTCCAGGAACAAGTGGATGCTATGTCTCCACATCCTGGCCGGCATCGCGTACTTCTGAGACAGCCGCCGGAGGGCAGGCGATGCAGAAGGGTGCTGCGAGGCGAGGAAGAAGTCGTGGTGCTCATGAAGAAGCGTCCGGTGGAGAGCGATCAGGGCCTGCCACTGTTCATTGTTGAGCTTGGCGGTGCCGGCGGTATCGACCTCGGTACACTTGGACTCGACCATCACAAGGCCGGCGTAGATGCCCTTGACCTCTGTTACAAGCTGCTCTTGTGAGATGGGCCGCGTCTCCGGCTGAGGAATCATGACTGTTACGGAGGCTGGTTCTTGCTCGTCCGCAGCTTGGGCAGCACTAGCTCAGGCTGCAGCGTGTTGTTGCCTTGCTGTCGCGCCTCTTGTTTTGTAATAATCTTTCAGCTGAAAACTTGCATATTTGAAGGATAGCACTTTGGGTCTGAACTGTTTTCTTATCTTTGATCTTTGCACAGGGCCTTATTGAAATCATTTATATGCGTCATGGCTCAACACCTGGGAGCGGCACAGCCTTGCTGAAGAATTATTGTGTTGCGGTTCGAAGCAGTGGTGCGCGGGGAGAGAGAGAGAGAGAGAGAGAGAGAGAGAGAACGCTTCATAGAACAGATGTACAAATAGCTGGCCACAGGGAGCTAAGGGAGAAAAATCAGATAGACTTTACTCAGATACTAATTCAAGCTCTTCTGGTAATAATGATAGAGTGATAGAGGAAGATTGTTGTATTACAAAAGCGAGGCTACTATGGGCTTTATATAGTAAACCAATCTTCTTGATAGTGCACAGCAAGCATGCATGCAAGCAACCATTCGTTTGTAGAAAGATACAAATGTATCTATGTTTCTGCAATAGAGTAGCTTCAGAGTTTTCTATATTATTGGCTGGTTGCCTTGGCGAACTACTTATGTATAGCAGGCACAGCGTGTTATTCAAAAGAGCCTTATCCGTGGCTTGAGATCACAAATATACTGAAAGTTTATCTCTGTTGATATCAACATTGTACTTTTTAATTTAGCGCTTCTGCTGATTATGGATGCAGTGGATGAACAATGCCTACTGTAGTGCATGCTTGCTTGGGCAGAAGGTATGGCTTATGATTTATAATAACATCAAGGGTCTGTCTGCTATCCGTTGCAATCTCGGGCTGCGAACCTGTTAAAACCTGCTTGGTACGAACCTTTTGCAAACATGAATTTTCAGCATATAGTACCGAAAATAACCTCTACTGTATTTACGACTATCTGGGAAGAACTTAAAGCTCCTTCTTCTTTCACTTTTGATTAAATCTACGAGCTTGCATCCCAATGATTTAAAATCCAGATTGAATCTGTTCTCCTCTCGTTATCTTTCCTGGATCTGTTCCTTGGTGTCACGCTCCGCTGTTCCGGGTGGCCTGCTTTGTGACCTGCATGTTGGATGGGTTACTACATTTCTAGCAGTGCGATTCACTTACTGCCTTTTTCTGAACCTATCAGTTTTTGCGAAGCTCTATCGTTCCGTTCGTTCCACGCTCTGCCTATGTAGTTTTGTGAGTTATTGCTGATCATCTCCGAGCTGATCGAGTTCTAACCATCGTGAGGAGCTCGAAACGTTCCTGGGGGATGTCGCGCAAACTATCATGACTCATATCTGGATGCAATCTATAATACGATGGGGATATAGAAGGAGGGTAGCTAAAGATGCATGGTTCGAGGTAAAGTTATGCAAAATAGATCATTATGGACTCGAAATCTAGTTTCGCCAACGCAGGCTAATGTGACTTACTTGCAACGATAAGTTTATTGGTGAAATTCTAACGTGGCTCAGATGAAATGCGCATGGAACAGCCTTACAAAACCAGATCAAATGTTCAAGGGCGAGACTTTATCGCATAGCCTTGAAAGTGAGTAATAACATAACACCGGGATAGGCATGAGGTACTCAATGATGCTAAAGATTTGTGAGTACCAAGCTGGCGATCGCTCTCAGAATAGCTTGACATTATGACTCACTTACCTTCTCCATGTTCGGTGACTCATATGCCACCTCCCAGCATTGTGTCGTTCTATTTTGTTCTTTTTACAACTGTCGCATGTTCGTAGGATGTTTTCGATCTTTTTCCTGAGACCTGGCGGATTCCAGTATCTCTTGATTCGTTCGTAGGTGGCTCGGACTCCCTGGTGTCCGTGTGCCGGGGCGTTGTGTACATCCTTGATGTATTCGTCTTGTTCTTCTGGGGTCATTTGTTCGGGGTTCCTTTCTTGGGGTCCTATTCTGAGGGTTGCTGCGAGTTCCCTGTGTGCGTTGATGAGGTCTCCTTGTTCGTTGAACGTAAAGATATCCTGTATTTCTTCCTCAATTTTGTCCTGGTGATCTGCTCTTCTGCTGAGAGCGTCTGCTCTGGCATTTTCCTTGCCTTGGATGTGGGTGATTCTGAAGTCAAATTGGGATAGGTACTCTGCCCATCTTACTTGTCGTCGGTTGAGGTTCTTTGTTGTTGTGAATGTGGTGAGGTTCTTGTGGTCCGAAAACACCTTGATCGTGTGTTTGGCACCTATAAGGTAGTGTTCCCATTCCTTGAATGCTTCCACTATTGCCATGAGTTCTTTATCTGGTATGCCGTATCGTAGTTCCGGTCCATTGAGTTTCTTTGAGAAGTTAGCAACTATCTTTAGCTGTCCCTGTTCATCGCGCTGGTTGAGTTCTGCGCCAAGTGCATAGTCTGATGAGTCGGTGTAGAGCTCGAATTCCTTGTATGGGTCTGCTTCTTTTAGGACTGGGTCCTTGGTGACGAGTTCTCTGATTGTCTCGAAGGCCTGTTTTTCTTCCTGATTCCATTGGAAGGGTAGGTCCTTTTTGGTGAGGTTTGTAAGGGGTTTTGCGATCTGGCTGTACTTGCTGATGAATTGTCAGTAGAAGTTAACATATCCGAGGAATGCTCTGGCATCCTTGATATTTTTGGGTATAGGCCAATCTCTGATTGCCTGTATCTTGTCTTTCTGCATCCTGATGTGTCCTGGCTCGATTGTATATCCGAGGTAGTTAACCTTTTGAACATGGAAGTGACTCTTGGTTGGTTCCACTAGGAGGTGTGCATCCTGAAGTGTTTGCAATATTTGTCGCACGTGTTGCTTGTGTTCTGTAAGGGTCTTGGAGTAGATGAGGATGTCGTCGAGGTAAACGATGCATGTGACGTCCAAGAATTCGCGGAGGATGTGGTTGATCATTTCTTGGAAGGATGCGGGTGCGTTGGTCAATCCAAAGGGCATGATCAGGTACTCGTAGTGTCCGTAGCGAGTTCTGAATGCTGTTTTCCATTCTTCTCCTTCCTTGATGCGGATGTGCGCGTATGCTTCCTTGAGGTCTAATGCTGTGAACCATTGTGCTCCTTGTAGTCGGTCTCTGATTTCCTTGAAGAGTGGTAGAGGGTACCGATTTTTGATGGTTATGTCGTTGAGTTGTCTGTAGTCCACGCAGAGTCTGAGTTTGCCGTTTTTCTTTGGTACAAACAGGATTGGGTATCCTGCTGGTGATCGTGATGGTCTGATGTATCCCTTTTTTAGATTTTCGTCGAGGTACTCCCTGAGTGCCTCTAGTCGTGCTTCGTCGAGTCCGTAGATAGGGAAGAATTGCGGTTGTGTCCCTTCTTTGAGTGGTATCTCATGGTCGTATGGGCTGTGTTCTGGAAGTCCTGTGTCTAACTTTCCTTGGAACAGTTTCGTGAATTCGTGGTACTCTCGTGGTATTCCAGCGAATGTTGGTACTGGTCCGTCCTTCTCCGTTTCTGCTATCTGGAGGAATAGGAGGTATCGTTGAGCGTTCTTTCTTTCGTTTGCCGCTTGCCTTTTCCGTAGGTCGGGGGCGGTGTCGTACCCCGCTCGGCTTTCGTATTTCCTTGTGATGTCTGGTGCTTTTGGTCGTGAGATTTCTTTGTGGTTCCAGAGTCCACATTTCTGTTGTCGCTCCGAGTCGGACCGTGTTTCTGAGGGTCGCTGTCTCGTTGTTTTCGTAACCTGCTGATGCCCTGGCGTAGTTTGTTGGGTCCATCGCTTGCTTGGTTCTTCTCCATGAGCCATCAGCCCTGCTGATTTGGAGGTACTAGTGGGTTCGTTTGAGGCCTCGCTTTTGGAGTGCGCTTCAGTGACTGAATCCGATCCTTCGCCTTTGATTGTGACCTTCTCATGGGTAACAGTATTGTCCCATAAGATCTGGCCAGTGGTCCAATCGATTCGAGGATTGTGCTCCCTGAGCCATGGTATTCCTAGTATCAGTTCGTGTTGTGCTGTTTCTGTGATGTCCAACGTAGTAGAGGTCGTTTTGCCGCAGATCGTGACTGGTAGGTGATCAGTCTCCATGTCGATAACACCTTGGCTGTAGTCGACGTTCGTTCCGTCCACAGTTCTGAGTACGTAGGTCTCCATTTTCTTGTGCCATGGGACCTTGTCCCTGTTGATGATTCGTGGGGATATGAAGTTTCCCTGGGCGCCACTGTCCAATAGTGCGCTGTACCGTTTTCCGTTGATTTCTGCCTTGAGTATCAGATGTGCTGTGTCGGCTCCCTGAGTCGCACAGAGGGACCGTGTCTCTGGTCCTGATCGTCTGTTGTCCCTTACAGGCGATCTTGCTCTTTTGGGGCTCCTCGTGCCGCCTGCTGCGAGAGCTTCTTGGCTCCCTTTTGGCCGTGTTCGTGCCGTGTTTCCTGGAGGTATTGTTGATCCTCTCTTTTGAGCCTTTCAATGGTGGCCTGTTGCTGTTGCTGGATTCGATGCCAGTCTTTGATCTTCTTTGGGCCGTGGATGTCGCATTCTTCGTGCTTGCAATTCCGCCACTCGTCCCTTCTGACGATGCATTCCGCAGGAAATTGTTCTGGTAGTCCGATGATCGCGTAGCTCGATTGCTGGTTGATTTTGGTTTTGAATCTGAGGTTTTCTTCGGTGTAGAGTGTTGTGGGCCTGTTTCCTTTTGGTCTAGTTGGAAACCAATTGTTGTTGACCTTGTCGGATAGATGGGTCATGCAGTTGTGAAAAACGCATGAGGTCCATCCAACCTTGTGATGATCGAGATGTCTGGGGGAGATTCTGAGGTCTTCTCCGTTCTTGGTTGACCAGTCGCAGTACCGAATCTTGGTGATGGCTTGTCTAAGCGGGATTCCTGGGATCCAATGCTTGGCGTTGAGTTGTATGGCCTGGGCGTGTTGTCCTTCTTCTTCTGTTATGTCGAGGACTCGCTGTAGAGTTTCTCCTAGTCTTAACATTGTGGGGTCGTTATCGAGGGTCTCTGACGATTCTGTTTCCCAGCCGTCTAGAGGCTGCTTGGCCGCTTGTCTTTCTTGTAGGTGTTCCCTGAACACTTGTTCTATGGTATCTGAGCAGTCTGAGTCGTTGCTGCTGAGTACTTCGTTGTATAGGGGACCGAGTTTCTTCTTTTCCTGCTGGTTCCGGCATGGGTTCCTGGGGAACCATCCTGATGCTTCTTTCTCGCTGAGGTGCAGTACGCAGTTATCATTGTGGCAAGCCGTCCAGCTGAGGCTGTCATGATTGTCGTCCGCTGCTTGCTCCGGAAGTCGATTGGGATCGGGGGTGTTGGTTGCCGGGTGTAGTGGACAATCTACACAGCAGTTGCAAGAAATTTCTGGTTCGTAATAGATCCGGCACTTGGTGTCTGTACAAGTGCACCGGTCTGTATATCGTGTGAGAACGTTGAGTTGTCGTTCTACCGTGTTTGCCTGTTGTCCTTCTGGGACTGGTTGCCATCGTGGTTTCTTAGGTTGTCGGCATTCCCGTGCGAAGTGGCCATGCTTTCCGCAATTGAAGCATTTAATGTTGCCATTCATTCGTCGTTGTTCATGTCGGTGTGCCGCATCGATTTCCATGGGGCCTGCATGTGTGGTTCCGCTGTAGGCCGTGCTGGGTCGTCCCTGGTTACCAGATCCTTTGTTGTGCTGGTACTTTTTCCCGGTATTAGCTTGTGTGCGAGCGATCCAGGGGATGTGGGCCTTTCCTTGTTTCTCCAACCTTCGCTCGTACTGTCTGTCGTCGATTTTCGTAGCGAGCGCAATGAAGTCTACTAGCTTCGTGGGTCGTTCGGCGCGTGCGAGGTCGTCCTTGACTTCGTCCTTGAGCCCGTTGTAGTACTGAGCGATGAGAGCTGCATCGTCCCACTGTAGGTGTGACGAGGCCTTTCGGAATTCCGTGGTGTACTTGGCCGCAGACTTGGTCTGTTTGAGTTTGAGGAGTTCTCGTTCCGCCTTGCGTTGTTCGTCCGTATCGCCGAAGGTGTCCTTGAGGGCTTGCTCGAGATTATCGAAATCCTGGAAGATATGTTTCGTGTTTTTGTCCTGCTCGGGTTCGTTGTACTCGAAGTAGTTCCTTAGGGTAGGCTCGAACCAAGTGAGCGCGTCTCCCTTAAGTCTGGTTCCAGCGAAGATGACCTTATCGGCTTCCTTCGGGAACTTCTTTTCCTCGTGGTGGAAGTAGGCTTTGCATTGGGTCAAGAAGGCCTGGAGAGTGTGGCGTTCTCCACCGTAGGGCGCAGGAGCCTCCATCTTGTAGTGGAACTCCTTGCTGTTCGACTTCTGTTCCTCGAGTTCCTTGATACGCTTCGTAAGTGCTTCAATTTGGTCAGTAAGGTTAGTAGCGCTGCCGCTGACAGATCCAGTTGGGGTTTGGGGAGCCATCGTGTTTCCGTATTGTTCAAGGGGTATACACTGAACCGTTCTTGAACAAGAGTCGTCAAAATGTAATGAGCACTGCAGTAATCCTAAGATTCCTAAGTACCGATTGGTTTTATGCTAACAAGAGCGATGTCGAAGTGTAAGTCCTTGAATACGGAAACGTACAAGTCCTGATGAGTATGCAAGTGTTCACTGCCTTTGGGGCTATCCAATTGTATGACAAATGAATACTTAGGTTGACGACTGAAGAGCTATGTACTGAATCTATCTACTGGTAATGAACGTGTCCTTATATATCCAGCTCTTCGTCGTGGTTCCTGCTGGATCGATAGGATCGATGTCGATTCTATCTATTCCCTGATCGATGGGGTCGATGTCGATTCTATCTATCCGCTAGTAACCCTAACCCTTGGTTACGTAATAAGTGCCTTGTCAGGATGTTGGACCCCTGGCACGTGTTCCCTGTTACTCGTGTCCTGTTCTGTGACCTTCATGTTGGATGGGTCATAACAACAGGGAACGGGTTCAACACCCTAGGGACCAAAATAAGGCTTACATAATCAAGGGTTAGGGTTACGGATGGATATGTAGGATCAGGAACATATCCAACATATCGGATCAGTCGGATCGACAACATATCCAAGCGATCCAGCAACGACCAACAGGACCAACGCTACCAACAGGTCTGAAGAGCTGGATATAAAAAGGACACGTTCATTCCCCATTAGATAGATCTTGTACATAGCTCTTCAGTCGTCAATCTAAGTTCTAAGTACACACACACTTGGAAGCCCCAAAGGCAGTGAAGACTTGCACAGATTTACTCAGTTACATTTCCGTATTCAAGGCCTATACTTTGACATCGCTCTTGTTAGCATAAACCCAATCAGTACCTAAGGAATCTTCGGATTACGGCAGTGCTCATTACACTCTCACAGAATCACTTGAGCGAGCTGGCTGTCAGGTTGATTATTACTGCGTTCTAGGCCTAAACCCATTTGAGGGACCAATAGATAGAGAGCAAAAGGCTAAAATTCGAAGAAAAACCAAGAAAATGCTTGCAAACGCAAAGAAAGCCGACTATCACGAACCCGGCTGCTGGCCCTGCCCTGGTCATCCTAATCTCGAGGGTTAGGGTTTATCACGTGATCCTGGTTCCAGATAAAACTCTGTTCCTGTTAATCCTGTCTGTCTGTTCTGCATCGTAGCTCTTCGAGCTACGTCTTGACAACCAGCCTGTATCTACCTAAGATAGTGCCTGTCTGTAGCAATAAAGCCCTGCCCGCCCAACGCCTTCTTCCCGCCTGCTAGCTATCGTGACACCGACCCGAAACCTTCAAAGGAAGCAATTAGTAGTAAGCCTAGCATAAATACAGGTAATTGTACCAAACTGACTTTGTCTTAGTGGTCATTGATGCTGTCAATACACTTACAGATCCTGAAAAGAAGAAGGATTATGACGAAAAGTTTCGAGCTGCTTTCGGGAAGGATAGGACTATGAATGAAAAAGAATATTATCCCGGCCAAGACGAGGATAAGAATATTTAATCAGACTAACAACCTCATAAAAATCTTATTCCAGATACCAAGCCAAAGACTCCAATTGTTAGTGCTAATAACCAGATGAATCGGGATCCGAAAGCTAAGAGACTGAATAAATACCAGAAAAAGCCTAATTCAACTAATTAAGCAGATCTAGAATCGCCGGAGAAGATACAGTTAGCTAGAGAGCAAAGATAAGCATCGAAAGAAGTCAAGCAAAACCGAAGAAATATATTTAACAAGAACTCTTTATGCAGAACGAGCCCGAGGAGGTGGCTGATGCTGAGTCCTCTCTGAGCAACCCTCCCTCGTTTAATGACGACGATGAGGCCTGATGTTATAACCCATTCAACATGCAGGTTACGACAAGGCGTAGGAGGCCAGGTGGTCCCCTGGCCCTCTTGGCATCCCGGGCAACGAAGAGGTGGACAAACTGGCGAAGTGGGCATTGGACCCTCAAAGCACGGAAGACCAGGTCGACGAAGGACCGGCCATAGTCTTGTGGGCGAAAAGAGCTAATAGGCGCGAAAGGAAGGGTCGCCTCAACCACTGATGGTCAACAAGCCAGCCAGATACTTACTAAAAATGGGGGCTCAGGGTCAAGACGAAACCCTCAGAACTGGCGCTCTCGAGAGGCCTGTTGCACAGATATCTCGCAGAACGATCAGGACACAGCAACTTCGTCCAATACCCTGAACAGTTCAAGCATGCAGACACAGGCCAGCTCTGTAAGTGTGGAGAGTAGCGACAATAGGGCCACTTCGTGAGGTGCGCTGGCGCTAGAAGGTTCAGGCCGAAATGGCTTAGATGCGGACGGGAACTGGAGAACATGCTGGGACAACTAGGATGGCCTTCGTTCCGCGATTATGTGCGAGACCCAGGCGTCTACGATGCTCTCCCTGTCGGAAGCAAGGGGGAAGCAGAGTGAGAAACAACTTCCTTTGTTTTATATTTCTTTTGTACAGCAACATGTTGGTAACCAGGCCAACCGTCTATATGCGCCGCAGGAGGCGAAGGGATAGGAAACAAGAGCACGAAGTGTACTTAGCCTAAACTCGATACACAGACGTTAATACACACACCCACACAGATCACACAGAACAAGTTGGAAACAGCCAGATTGCTATGATTCAATATTTAAGGAGAAACTGGTAGACTAAGCACGTAGAAGTGGTATAAAAAGTATTGAGATTGAATCTATTTAAACAAAAGAAAGATCTTCTAAGTAACCATACCACGCTCTCAGACGGTTTATAAATGAATCAAAAGAGAGGGTTAGAATTAAATATGCCCCATTCTTCACAATATTAGACAAAGCATCATCTCCTCTCCTTGCTTATGTAGCCTAGGACCAGGGTTAACAGGGGCTGCTTATCGAAAGCCATTGGTCTTCCTTTAAGCGTAGATACCCGAGGTTGAGAGATTTTATAACGTAAAATCTTCGCGAAGGCATCATACATTACGACAAACTGATAGATCGACGCGCAGCAAGCTGGAAAGGGAAGGTGTTCTATGCTTAAAAGATTGCGCCGCTGGCAACTGGCAGCTATCCACCCACCTTCATGCTAAGTACGAATATAATGATGCACTGCAATATCCGAAGATCCTTAAGTACACAAGGGGTTTATGCTAACAAGAGCGGTATCGAAGTAATAACCAATTGAATACGGAAATATAAACAAGTAATCCGTACAAGTGCTTTCATTCGCCTTTGGGGCTATTCAAGTGTGTAACAAATGAATACTTAGATTGACAACTGAAGAGCTATGTTCTGGTGGTCTATCTAATGGTAATGAATGTGTTCTTATATATCCTGCTCTTCAGTGTGGACCGTAAGAGTTGACGAGCGACTGTTGCAGTCCCTAGCCTGGACCGTAAGGACCGACGAGTGACTGTTGCGGTCCCTCTCTGATTGGTCCCCATTCAGAACCCTAACCCTTGATTGCCTAATTCTGGTTGGGTTGTCCGCATGCTAGCTTGTAATCGCTGGTCCTTTGTTGGCGGGGCCTGTTTCGTGACCTGCATGTTGGATGAGTCATAACAACGAACTAGCGCTTAGCGGCCCCAGCCCCCTTCTTTTCGAAGCTTAAAAACCCGCTTAAGATTTGGCCTTCTTTTCTTCCTTTATCCTTTTTCTTCCAACAATGCAAACCCTACCGCCGCCACCACCAACGCCCTATCACCAACGCCCTATCACCAACGCCCTATCACCAACCACCACTAATACCCCCCCCACCCACCGACTGTCGTTGTCTCGACTGATGCTGCAGTATTGCATCGCACCACGCAATACGCAACAAGAAGCCCGCCGCGGAGCCCAACTGCCAAGCTACAGATGCCAAGGATCTGGGCATTCGGTCTATGACTAACCAAGCTGTTTAGACCCAAGCTGTCTAAATAGCTTTGGTTCTTCGGCGGCCGTTGCTATCCCAAACAGGTCCAACTCATCTGGGCATTGGGTCACCAAACACCGGCCCCTCTTGTCGCCGTGCGGGTACTGCATCGCACCGCGCAGTACGCAACAGGGAAAGAAAGCCCGCCGCGGAGCCCAACTGCCAAGCTACAGATGCCAAGGATCTGGGCATTCGGTCTATGACTAACCAAGCTGTTCAGACCCAAGCTGTCTAAACAGCCTGGTTCTTCGGCGGCCGTTGCTGTCCCAAACAGGTCCAACTCATCTGGGCATTGGGTCACCAAACACCGGCAGCTCCCTGTTGGCATCATCAGAGACCAGCCTCGATCACGCATCGCGCTGCGAGTCTAACTTCGGCCCATCACATCGCTGCTACGAAATCTAAAAGTCAAGGCTGCTTTGACCACGACAAAAAGCCTGGGAGGGTGGGCGCCTAATTTTCGGGCGGGATCTCCTTCTCGTTCAACTCCAATGTAAATGAACCATACTAATACAAAATATTAAATCCCAGTTGTTATGGCTGCTTCAGCTCTGCCCCCGTCTGTACCGGCCACGCCTGCACCGCCCATTGTACACAGGGCCGCGGCTGTAGTCGAGTGGATCGATCTCGAAGTCGAACCTCGATGCTCTCGCTACCTCACTGGTCTGAAGCCCGCCTCTGTCACATTCAGTCTACTCTACAGCGAACAGCAGCACGAGGCTGCTCTGTTCATCCGGGTCTTGCTCCAGCAGTGGACCGAGAGAAAAACGGAAGAACAGGTGTATATTCTAATTGATCTGTCAAATATTATACTGCTTATGCAGGATCTAGAGCACAGCATCCCGGAGAAGAGTACAGCTGCCGTTCTCGACGGTCCCACAATATGCCTCCGCCTGGTGCTGCGCAGGCCTGTCAGCATCGTCGGGTCCTCTGATCTGGCCCTGCAAAGCTCTGAGCTTCTGGGTTCCCTGGAGCTACTAGCGCGCCAGACCATCCTCGCTATCCACATCCCTCTGTCCCGCGTCTCAAACATGGAAGCACTGCAGCAAATCTGTCGGGCAATAACGGGTGGGTCTCTCAGGCAGGACCGGAGGTCGATTGAGGGTTTATGCAGGGGTAATGCTGTCACTATAATCGGGCGCCAGTGTAGAAGGCACTCTATGGTGTACTACAAATGGTATAAGGGAAGATGGTTCTTCAATTAATCTATCTCAAGGCACGCTTTTGCCAATTGCCTTTCTATAGAGCCAGCAATTGGCACTAGTCCCAACTAGGCTAGCGTACCTGGCGACTCACTGCCCTTCCATTGAATGGCCCAGGCCAGTGAGTCAGGGTGGCCAGCCAAGCCTCATTCACTTGAGGCCCCTATGGCCACTGCCACACGTGGTTCAGGCATAAACTATATGTACGGTTGGAAGGAATATTCGAACAGCGAGTTCGAATATCTGCTGATCTTTTGATCTATGTAGTACAGTGGCACCTTCCACCACCGATCATTACACTCAAACTATCCTGTAGTAGCATTATTCATTCCCCTTTGATTTAAAATAGTTGATATTCTAACCCTAACCTAGGCGCTTCTGTTATGCTCTTAGACCGCCTTCCTTTTATATTTCTAGCTTACGTGTTTCTAGCTTACCGCCTTCCTTTTCAAAATTTTAGCTTACATGCTTCTAGCTTACCGCCTTCCTTTTTAAAATTTTAGCTTACATGCTTCTAGCTTACCGCCTTCCTTTCTTTTCCTGGCCTACTTGCTTTTAGCTTACCGCCTTCTGTTTTCGTCTTTTTTCCCAATTGCTAGATAGCTTTTGTTGGAGCCGGAAGTAACTCTGCTCGAGACTGTTGCTGTGGTAATCCCATTTAACGTGCAGGTTATACCAAGCTCTTTCGTGTACTAAGATACTAATAACCACCTCGAGATGGTGCATTCTCTAATATTACTAGGGCTGTCTTCAATAGCTAGGAGGAATTCAATCTCTACGAAGCAGTGACCTTGGTATATCCAGTACCTCGCCTTTCGCTGCATTTCTACCGGCTGCGTTATTGGCTTGGTTATACCTAGGGCGATCATGGGAAGATAGCGGCTTCGCTATCTGTATCTTTGCTCATCAAGTTGTTCAGATTTTGATAAAGCTATCGGAGCCTATTATAGCTACGAGAGGCGGGCTCTGAGATCAAAGCTATCCTCTCAGTCAAGGAAGCAATAAGCAGCAGCCTGCAGGCTGTGCCGATCGGCATCTGCATCGTACTAGAGGCAAGTCTACCAGCTGGAAGGCAATGCATACTAGTTACAAACACAGGCATAATACAGGGATGCAGATAATCTACGTTCCAGACCTGGTTCAGTATCTTTGCAGAGGAATGGCTGCATATAGGAATGATTCTACTCACATGTGCTGCTTGCTTTTAATTAGTTTCGGGCAGCATAGTCTTCTGGATATAGCTTCACCCTCTAGATGTTCTGCTAAGTATGCAACCGCTTATTTTGTTGCAGCTGGAACTTCTTCATCTCCTAGTTATAGAGGGCAACATGAATCTCGATAATATTGAGGAGTTTATCTCGATGCTCGAATACTATAGCAATTTAGTTAATTTTGTTGCTTTCTCGCCCAACAGTAGCGTATAGCTTCAGAATCAGCAGACCAGACTATCAAGATCTGGGATGCAGAGAGTGGCGCTTGTGTTATGACCCATTCAACATGCAGGTCACGAAACAGGCCCCGCCGACAAGGAACCAGGTGTCACGACCCAACATCGGACAACCACCAGGAATTACATAAGCAAGGGTTAGGGTTGGATCACGATAACATAGGTGAGCTGCTCACTGGATCACCACGATACAGATCACGGATCACCACGACGCGGATCACGGATCACGGTGAGCCAGGTGAGCCACGATGAAGAGCTCAATATATAAGGATACATTCATTCCCATTAGATAGATCTCGTATATAGCTCTTCAGTTGTCAATCTAAGTATCAGATTACTCTCTACTCTGATAGCCCCAAAGGCAGTGAATACTTGCATCGCTTATTGAGACTTGTACAGTTCCGTATTCAAGAACTTAGCACTTCAACACCGCTCTTGTTAGCATAAACCCCCTTTGTATACTTTGGAATCTTCGGATTGCTGCAGTGCTCATTACATTTTAACAACTCTTGTTCAAGAACGGTTCAGTATTATCTCTTGAGCAATACGGAATACGATAGCTTCTCCAGGAACCCCTTCGTTCTCGCACGCCCCCACTCAGGAAGAACTGGTCAACTAGGTATACCAGCTCATCCAGCGTATCCAGGACCTGCGCAAACAACAGCAGGCCTAAAGCGCTACCATCGCCAACCAGCAGGCCCAGCTAGCTCAACAAGCTCAACAGGCGCAGTCCACCTCTACAGCCACCAATAGTGCTGGAAAGGCATACAAAATAGATAAGCCTGCTATGTATGATGGCAACCAAAAAACGCTGCATGGATTCCTTACCCACTGCAGAGCGTATTTTCTGTATTACGAGACTTAGTTTATCAAGGAATCTGAGAAAGTTATTCTTGCAGAAACTCATCTCGAAAAGGATGCTCTTATCTAATACGAGCCTTCTCTATACAATCACTTGGAGCATCAGAACAACCCCAATATACGTACTCAGGGTATTAAGAACATGTTCGATTCCTTTGAAAGCTTCGAAAAAGCTCTCAAAGAAACCTTTGATAATTCCAACGAAGAACGCACTACAGCTCAGCAACTTATGGATCTTAGGCAGATCAAGTTAGCTTCTGCTTATATAGTTAGATTCAAACAGCTCTTAGCAAGACTTTTATGAAAGAATAAGAATCTCATAAAATACTATTATAAGAAACTCAAGAACGATATTAAAGATGAAATCTCTAAGCAGAATTAGCTGGAGAACTTTGCAACATTCTCCAATCAAGCTATCTGCATCAACAATCATTTGTATAAACAACGAATGAAGAAATTCAAGAAGGAAGAAAGCTAGATTTGGAGATTTTCAGCTAATATAAGCAAGAAACTCTAATACAAGAATAGCGGATAATAGAGCAGCACAGCTCAGAGCAGCACTATACATACTGATTCCATAGAACTCAATGCTGCTAACAGGCAGTATAGCAAGAGAAACAGCATTATCTGCTACAACTGCAACAAACAAGAATATATTGCATGCAACTGCTATCAATTTCAGAAGAATAAATAGCAATCAGTTTAGAAGGAATGCTAGATAAATGTTGCTTAATGATAGAAATCTAATCAATTAAGCAAAAACACTCTCTTGGAGCAAGTATCGAACTCTATTGATTACGGAAGTCTCAGCTGAACATTCTGCTATAATAATAATTGCTTAATATATTTCTCGAGTAAGGAAGGTTCAGAATAGTTCTCTCAGAAACCTAGGCGCTGCAGACAAATAGCAACAGCAGAACGAGAATGTATGCTTAGCATGACTACGAGCAGCAACAACTCGAACTGCTCTGATATTACTGAATGAAGCATTTAAGCGCTGGAGAAAGAGCTTAATAACAGTGCTCTTCATCATTCCCCATCACCTGCATCAGACACTATAACTAGAGAAATGAACAAAGGATAATACTCTCTTGGTTATTAGTATAAATATCTAAATAATACTGAAAACGCTTTTCAAGCAACAGAAAGATTAAGCTAGAACAAGCAATCCAACAGTTCACCAGAGTCTCTCATAAATAATAAACCCAAGAAGCTTATAGGAAGATTTTCTTTTAGTATTGGATAGAACAAGAAAACAATATAGATTGAATATCTCGTTTATGGAATGGAGCTAGAGAAGCTCTTTACCTGCATTCTCTTGCAAAACATCGAAGCATGAGAAAATAAGGATTCTTGAATCAGCTTGCTTTACAATCTATACCATGAACTAGCATGGATCTTCTGCACTTATTATAGCTGCAGAATGCATTTCTTAGACAAGATGCAATACAAATAATTCTTCATTAGAGAATCAGAACAAATCCTTTAAGCTATTGAAGAACAGAAACTCTGCTTCAGAGAGATTTTCAACAAATAGCATCACAATGCATTGTTGTGGTGGCCAGGGTGGTAGTCCGTGGGACATGGAGTACAGTGGGTCAAGGGTCCTCATACATATAAAGGATACCACCCACTTTTCAAATTCTTTAGCTATAAGCAACAATGAAGCATCCTTTCTCTTCTTTTCAATTTTGAACCCTTTGGACAGGTCTAAGACAGGTTTTTCACCCTGTTCTTGCGCCCGTGTGGCCTTAGTTTGCTGTCCTCATCTGTACAGGCACGCTTGGGTTGCATGAGCCCTTGCCCATTGCTTCGGCAGCTGTTTGTCCCTCTTTCTTTCGAGGGCGACGGCGCCCTAGTTCTGGTTCAATGGTGCGGTGAGTGTGGACTTAGCTGTTCAGGCTGGTAGCTCAGGGCTGTTTGCGTCACAGTTCGTGAGGATCAGTAAGAGCAGCAAGTTTACCCTATGGACGGGCGCACTCTTTTTCCCTGCTGAGCTCTTTTATTTTCCTTTATCTATCACGCTTACACGACAGGCTGTGCATCATGTCTGGACTCTGGGTCATGCCTGAGACCTCTCGTAAAGGGGAGATGGGTGGACAGAGGAGGAGTGGTGTGAGTTCTGGTCGTGGGCTGGTGAACGATGCGTTGAGCCCGCGGGCCAATATTACGAAGAAACGAATTCCTTTTTCCAACATTTCCCACATCAATCAACGATCCTACACAGAAGCTGATACAGCTCAGACCTGTACAGGCTGCGGCGGAAAGTTTAACCATGTCGGATGTGGGTCCATGGTTAAATTACAGAGTGGGATGCTTTTGGTGGATGGTACTCTGTGGAGAAAAGTGGCATGGTTAACAAGGTCTGTGCTCCTTGCGATGGTCCGATCAGCACGCTCTACCTGGACACGTCTGGCCACATTGATCCTTTGGATCAAAAGCTTGCTGGTTGCATTATCCCAAAAGCGAAGGACACAGGGAGGTGAAGATGAGGAACCGTCAGTGCACACGAGGAATAGAGGTCGAGGATTACGACGACATCATCCGATGTCGAACTTTAATCGACGCCTTACACCTGGTCAGAAATGCCTCCATTGGTTGGCAGGACTATTGATAAAGGAAATCCCAGTGCAGCACAGAACAGCCAACTCAATCCCTTGTTGTTCATCACAAGACAGACCTCATGCACGCTCCACTCACAGACTGAACCTCCCTCAAGCACCTGAACCCCCTCGACCTCCACAGTATTGTCTTCCGCAGGATACGGAAGGCATTCCGGCTGTGGCGCCCTCAACTCAAGGATCTCGAACCAGAAAGCCAAAGAAACATCGAGGGAAGCGACAACCAGGAAAAAGGATAGCTTCTTCATCTGACAAGTCTCCTGACCCAACCCCGAGCTCGTTTGGTTCCTCTGCGAGTGGACAGTATGGATCTAACTTCCGGTTCCCTTCCCATAGCGAACTCGCTGGTGGCAGCTTGACACTGTTTTCTCGGATGGAAGTCTCATCATGGCTGAAGCGTTTCGACTGGTGGCGTCAAATCAAAGGCATTGACGACACTCAGGCGCTCAACTTCATGAAAGGCTTCTGTTCAGATGCAGTCGTTGCTGGGAAAGTAGAGAGATATACCACGAGTGCCAAGACATGGGGCGAACAGAAGGACCGACTGTTGGTTGCATATCAGCCCTGGGATCATCTCCAAGCATACACACCTGAGCAGGAGCGGCTGAACATCATCAACAACCGTTTCATTACTGATGCTGCGAGCTTGTGGTCATTCGTTGTTGACTATAACAACGCTCTTACCCGTCTCAAGATCAGGGATACTCAGCCTATTGCTGAGGCTTGGATGAAACTCCTCTCGACTTGGATCAAGCGTCTTCGAGCTGACCACGGTATTACCGCTGAGAAGGAGGAGACTCAAGACTAGCTTGCATCTGGCGCTGCAAATCCTCAACTCCATCAGCAGGCGCAATTCCAAGCTCCTTTGGTGCCACCACCTCAACCGATTCCTGACCAGGCGCGACCTGTGCTTGTTTCTCAGCCGACTCATGGTTTCCCCAATCACCCGCCAGCTCAGGTTGGGCAAACTGGGGGGACCATTGCACTACCAACCTCCTCAGCACTCAACCGGCGAATGGCAAGGCCAGCCTGAAGCAACTAAACAGATCCTGAAGCCCGAATCTGTCCAGAAGCCCGAGCAGGGGTTGAACCACTTGGCATCTCTGATGGAGCAACTTCGCATCGATCAGATTGCAATGGCTCACTCTTTGAGACTGCAATCTGAGACTCTCAGACAAACCCGGGATGTCTCATACGATCAGACCAAGGCTCTGCGGGAGATCTCACAGCTGATCAGGCGCCCCCAAACCATCTCTGCAAGGAATCCCCTTCAAGGGAGCACAAACTCTTTGCAGATGAGCACTGCTTATGCGAGCTCCTTGGCGGGGTGAACCAGACAACAACACCCTCGAGGTTCGGGAGATGGACATGAGCGACGACACTACATTCTGGGTCCCAGATATCATTGGCCATGATCCTATACCTGGTCAACCAAGTCCAAACCCAGGAGACATAGATCTGACAACCGAGACCGATGATAATGTCAGGGAAGAAAATAATGGTGGAGACGACGGACGTCTTACACGGGCAAGGGAGAAAGAGAAGCGAGAACAGGAGAAAGCGGATAGAAGCGGGATGTTTATAACAATTCCGACCAAGTCTGCCTTCTTGGCTCGTGGGGGAGGCTGATTTCTTTCTATCCATATTTCCTTTGGTTCGCAAAACACGTTTTCCTTTTGTCTTTCCTATGTTATCTCGTGTGTTTTGCTGGGGGAGGAGGGACGAAGTGTCGTCTGCTACCACCCACTACAGAATACTATAAAATCACCCAAATTTTAAAAGCACCCGGTACAGAGCATGTTGACCAGCTCTGAGACCATTTCACTATGAAGACCGCAGCTGCAGAAACGCAATGTATTGGAATGCAAGGCATGAAAATGCAAAGCGTTGAAGAACGCCGCAACCTAAAAGAACTCCTTCCGACCCCTATGCCAGCTCACCTCGAAGATCGCCAGCCGGTCCAGGAGCAACAATCCAGCTGTCAATGCAGCAAACGGCCAGGCCTGGTCAGACTACTGATGTTCCATTGCACCGAAGATTGAGAAGCAGCAATATCATGCGTTCTAATCTTCCTGACAGACCTCGGCAACCTCATGTGCCTTTGTGGAGTGAGCTCCATAGTCTTGCTCCTGTCAGACCCTCAGTAGGTCTTGAGAATTGGACAGGATTCGAGCATGCTATCAGGATGGATGTGTGGAGAGCAGACTGTGAAAGGATTGAACGGACGGTGGTTCAGAATAGAGAGAGGGCCACTGCTACTGCTGCTGCCCGGGCGGAGTTCGAGAACAGACAGGGACGAAGGGAAGGTCGACATTAGGATGTATCCAGATTGCGCCCGCGCTGCAAACAGATCATGGGCGGATATTGGTAATACTGCGTTGACTTGAGTGAGGACTCAGACAATCAAACTGGGTGCAGAGGTCGGATTGCGAAATGGTTTGGGTTGCAGTGCTTCCTTCGACAGCTTGCGATGGATTCTTTAGTTCTTTCTTTTCCTTTCTATCTGACCAGACCTGGCACACCATTGGACTTGTCGCAACTTTGGAAGAAAGTTGCTGGGGGAGGACTGTTGTGGTGGCCAGGGTGGTAGTCCGTGGGACATGGAGTACAGTGGGTCAAGGGTCCTCATACATATAAAGGATACCACCCACTTTTCAAATTCTTTAGCTATAAGCAACAATGAAGCATCCTTTCTCTTCTTTTCAATTTTGAACCCTTTGGACAGGTCTAAGACAGGTTTTTCACCCTGTTCTTGCGCCCGTGTGGCCTTAGTTTGCTGTCCTCATCTGTACAGGCACGCTTGGGTTGCATGAGCCCTTGCCCATTGCTTCGGCAGCTGTTTGTCCCTCTTTCTTTCGAGGGCGACGGCGCCCTAGTTCTGGTTCAGCATACATCGAACTACTAGATAACTGCTCCATACAATATATAAATAAGAAAATAAAATAATAGCAGTATAAGATAATACTCTGCATAATTCATATCAATAATAAAATATGCAACTAGCATTAACAGAAGAAAAACTAGGAATAATGATAATATAAGCAAAAGCAAGCTAAGAAGCTTGCTTAAGAAGTAGCGAAGCAAGCTCAGAAGAACAAGCAGTTCTTAACAAATCCAAAAGAATAGAATTGCTTGTAAAAGAACTGCAGATGATTAGACCAGAACAGTCTCTATATGGAGCTTTCAAGGCAGACTATGCTTACATTAAGTTCAATATATACATTCAAGAATGCAGATACAGCACACTATTGAATAGTAGCGCTCAGGGAAATTTCATATTTCCATACATTATCAATCAGGCACAACTACAATGGAAATGAAAGAGATGCTTATATACTCTCAGCATCATAGAAGAACAACCTGTTGCATACAATTAAGGAATAATCAATAAGAAGACTGATTATCTATCTATCTTAATCCAAGAATATGTAATCAGAGCTTTCTTTGATATCACGAATACAGCACAACATGAGCTAATTATGGAACTTTTATAGCTCAAGGAGCATAATCCTCGAATCGATTGAACTACTAGCTAGATCTCATGGGAACGGGCTGTACTCAGAGAGATAGTTACAATCAACAGCGCAGGATTGAAGCTAGTGGTTGAAGAATACTCAGGAAAAGAAGCTTTATATGACTTTATACATATCTCCAAGTTAGCAGGGCTGATAGTTCAAGGAGAAGGATCTAGTGATAAGCGAACCCAAACAGTGCCAGGGCGCCAACAGGTTAGCAAAACAATGAAAGCGAGACTCTCAGCAAGTCGGTCCGCTCCGGAGCGACAAGGAAAAGCTTCAGAAAGTGAATTGTGGACTCATACAAAAAAAACCTCGAAACCAAGCTCTCGAGCGCTCAGTCCAGCCCGGAGCGAACGCTCAAAGCTCTTAAAAACATTACCAAAAGCAACGAACGAAAAGAAGCACGCTCAACAGTACCTACTGTTCCTCCAGATAGCAGAAACAGCACAAGAACCAGAACCAACACTTGCGAACATACCACGAGAATATCACAAGTTCAAGAAACTATTCCAGGAAGAATTGAATACGGAATTGCCAGAACACAGCCCATACAACTACAAGATCCTGCTATAAAAAGGAAAACAGCTCAAATTCTTCCCTATCTACAAACTAAACAAGGCATAGCTAGAGGCACTTCGGGAGTATCTCGATGAGAATCTTAAGAAGGAATATATATAATCATTGTAATTACCAGCAGAATATCTCATTCTATTTATATTTAAGAAAAATAGCAAGCTCAAACTATATATTGATTATAAACAATTCAACAATATTATAATCAAGAACTGATATCTATTGCTACTCATCAAGGAACTACGAGATAGATTGCAAGGAGTATAGTAGTTCACAGTTCTGGATCTGAAAGAAGCTTATAATCTGATCAGAGTAAAGAAAGGAGAAGAATGGAAAACTGCTTTCAGAATACGCTATAAGCACTACGAATATTTGATTATGCTTTTTGATCTAACAAATGCCCCAGCTTCATTCCAGGAAATGATTAATCACGTTCTATGCAAGCATCTGAATCAGTTCATTATTGCTTATCTCGATAATATTCTTATCTACTCTCGAACACTTGAAGAATACAAGGAATATGTGGAAACAGTATTGCAAACGCTTCAAGATGCAAAACTCCTTATGAAACTCACAAAGAGTCACTTTTATATACAAAAGGTTGACTATCTCGGATTCACGATTAAGCTGGGATGCATTAAGCTACAGAAAGATAAAGTAGAAGCTATCAGGAATTAGTCAGTTTCCAGAAATATCAGGAATATTAGGTTTTTCCTTGGATATATCAACTTTTACAAGCAGTTCATTAAGAATTATAGCCGGATCGCACACCCTCTTATAAATCTCACCAAAAAAGAATAGCCTTTTGAATGAATCTTTAAGGCACAAGAAGCTTTCGACGAGATCATCAGGCATATTACTTCAGAACCAGTTCTATATAAAGCAGACTTCTACAAACCCTTTAAAATTGAGACTAATACATCAGAATATATATTTGGAAAACAACTTGATTAGCAAGATAACTAAGAACATCTAAGAATTATAAGCAACTTCTCAAAGAAGTTGAATAGCTTGGAAATCAACTACAGAATCCCTAATCAGAAATTCATAGCAATAGTAAAAGCCTTCGAGAAGTAGCAATACTACCTTATTAGCGCACAATATCTGATTATAGTTTATTCGGATTACAAGAATCTGACTATATTTATAACAATCAAGATTTTGAATAAGCAATAAGTTAGATGAGCAGAATTTCTCTTATAGTTCGACTTCAAGATTGTATACTGCAAAGGCTCGGAGAACGGACGAGCAGACGCTCTCAGTAGAAGATCAGACTATCGAGATGCAGATTCTTCGGATATACAGAACATCTTCGCTCAAGATAAATCAGGAAATCTCGTTAATGCATACAGGGAACTGAATGCTGCTCTCAGAATAGAACCTTCGGAAAAGAATCCAGAATCAATAACTTCAGACGAACAAGATAACTATATCAAGGATATACATAATGCATCAGCATACAGATATTAGAAAGTTAAAGCAATCTATAAATGCATTAAAAGACATTAGAACCTACTAAGCTTTAGAAAAAGAATTGGGAATATCCTATAACAATGCAATAGCTGTAAGAAGAACAAGGCAGAAAGATACAAGCCTTACAGACTACTGCATCTCTTATTAGTATCTACAACTGTTTAGCAATTCATCAGTTTAAACTTCATTATCAAGCTATCTCTCTTACAAGAACTCTTAACTAAAGTATAATACAATAGCATTCTAGTAATAGTTTGCAAACTGAGCAAGTATGCTTATTTTCTTCTCTACAAGAAAAGCAGTACAGCAGAGGAATTCGTATATATATTCCTCAGAATAATCATCGCTAACTACAGCATACCAGAAGAAATAATTTCCAATAGAAATAGAAAGTTTAACTTAAAGTTTTGAATCTCGCTTATGAAACAACTCGGAATACACTACAAAATATTCACAGCATTTCATTCGCAAACAGATAAACAAACAGAAAGAATGAATCAAGTTATTAAACAATATCTTTAATACTATATCAACCAGAAACAGAATAACTGAATTAATCTATTGCTTCTTGCACAGTTCGCTTATAATAGCGCAGATATAAGTATAACGAAGAAATCACTATTCTTCATATTCTATAGATATAATCTAACAGCTTACTACAAAGCACTGCTAGAAGCAGATGCAGAAGCTGCAAACAAAAAGATTAAGAAGATCAAGAAAGTTCAAGAAGAACTCCGATCAGAATTACAATTTGTTCAAAAACGAATGATGCAGTATGCAAACTCCAAAAGGATTAAGAAACCAATCCTACAAGAAGGAAATAAGATCTACCTACTTCGAAAAAACATTAAAACAACCAGACTTAGCAATAAACTCAACCACAAAAAGTTGGAATTATTCAAAATCTTACAACAAATCTCCTCAGTTAACTACAAGTTAGCATTACCTTATGGAATGAGAATACACTCGGTTTTCTACATCTTATTGCTGGAACCAGCAGCACAGGAAATACCAACAGATAACACAGCAGAAGTAGAAAACAACAAACCAGAATACGAGATAGAGAAGATTCTCAAGCATAGAGGCACAGACAGCACGAGAGAGTACCTCATCAAATGGAAAGGCTACCCAGCAAGTGAAAATTCATGAGAACTACGGGAAAACATTGAAAACGCTCAGGAAAAGGTAGCGGAATATTGGAAAAGGAAAGCTAGCACCTAAGATGATCGCTCCGCCCCGAACCGAGATCCAGAAGCCTCAGGACAGAAATCAGACGCCGCAACCCCACCTAAAACATTATCCCAATCCACCACGTCAAGAGCACCCCAAGACTGAGCCTCAACCACAGCCTCAGACTCGGCAGCACGCCGAGCATCCTCCTTCCAACGCTCCTCCTCCTCCAGCTCGTCCAGAGAACGCAGACTCTGACTAACCATCTTCGCGCCACGATCATGCAGGGAGCGTTTCTGTTTCCGCAAACGCACCAAACGAGCCGTTGCCTCGCCCAACTTAGACTGAAGCTCGAGAAGAACTTTCTCCGCATCCAACTCCTTCCGATCTAAACAACCAAGCTCGGTGATAATACGAGACACTATCAGAGGGATCAGAAGGCAAATAAGAAATAACTCAGAAAAGAGCAAATCCACAAGCATTCACCGGAACACTGGAACCATCGCAGGAACGACCCCAGCGAACACAACAGGAACACCTTTTGATACCTTCTATCATCTTACACTCCAACCCCTTCGAAATACAGAAAGAATAAGGCATAACTTCAAAATCTTGGAAGTTGATAGTCAGAGAAAGCTGAAGGCGTTATTCGGATTTTCGAGAAAGAGACTTTTCGATTCTGTTCAATATCTCGATTAGGAAGGCATGACTATATATGCGAATAACTTGCCAGAATACTTACGGAAGATCGTTAGGAACAACGATCGATAGGAGGGAGATGATGTTATAACCCATTCAACATGCAGATCACGAAACAGGCCCCGCTGACAAGGAACCAGGTGTCACGACCCAACATCGGACAACCACCAGGAATTACATAAGCAAGAGTTAGAGTTGGATCACGATAACATAGGTGAGCCGCTCACTGGATTACCACGATACAGATCACGGATCACCACGACGCGGATCACGGATCACGGTGAGCCAGGTGAGCCACGATGAAGAGCTCAATATATAAGGACACATTCATTCCCATTAGATAGATCTCGTACATAGCTCTTCAGTTGTCAATCTAAGTATCAGATTACTCTCTACTCTGATAGCCCCAAAGGCAGTGAACACTTGCATCGCTTATTGAGACTTGTACGGTTCCGTATTCAAGGACTTGGCACTTCGACACCGCTCTTGTTAGCATAAACCCCCTTTGTGTACTTTGGAATCTTCGGATTGCTGCAGTGCTCATTACAGCCTGCCTCTCAACCCTCAATATTAGCAAAATAGTTCAGCACTTGAGATTAGATTTTACTAGCTCAAATCTCTATACAAACATTGGAACGATTTCTTTGAATCGCTCTTTTTTTTTTCTTCTAGTTCATATATTCTAGAATCTTCGATACTATGCAAAAACGAAATGCAGAGCTGTTACGTTTGTTAGAAAATAATCAATTTCATCTGTAGCATTCTAGCTGGAACAAGAAGTAAATCTCATAATATAATATACTTAGGCTTGCAGACTAATACGGTGAACCGAATCTACATGGTTTTTGAAATGGCACAAGTTCTCGAATACCTTATTTCCGCACTTTGGATGAGTGCAAGTTAGTCTCTATGTACTGCTTAGCTGCTTAGCATGCTTCGCATCGAAATGATTCCACATTACTAAAATTCGACTGTAGGTGAATATCCTTTTATCATAGAACAGGTTTTCGTTTCCAATACAGCGCAGGCATTGCTTCTTATGCATTACCAGCAGGAAGGAGTCTGGCCCGGGAGACTCTTCTTTTACCATAATATCAGCCAGTGCCTTGTATAGAATACGTTTTGGCTTTGCAATCTCTCTTTTACCACATAGGCAGATCATACTCTCGACTGCCTGAATGCAGTATTCGAGCAGCTCTGAGGGGCTCAGGTCGTCCAGCTGGTTGCAGAGGATCTTGGCGAGCTGAGCATGCTCGGGTATGGGCAGATCAAAAGTCGGTTCGACGTACACTTCCTCCTCTCCCCCGTTTGCCTGTCTCTCAATATCCCAGGTCGGACGGTTGTGGAAATGATGCGCCCGGTATTCTCGCCGGATGGTCTTGTCGCGCTGCGCCTTCTTGGTTGCGATTAACCTGATAAGTTCTCGAATCCGTTCCTCGTTCTTTGTCCCTTTGATCCGGTATTGGCTGCCTTTGAGTTGTGCCCTCTCAGCTTCTAACTTAATAATCTCCGGATCGGGTGGCATATTCTCCCAGACCTCATCAGGGATCATATCCTTGCTTGCACGGGGGTCATGCATAAGGCCTATATGTGAGAGCATTCTGATCAGGCTATCTTCAGTCGGCTCGTTCAGGAATGCGTTCTGAAGGTGGAACTGAACCTTCTCGTTGATATATGCACTGTTGAACGTGGCCCACTTCGGATCGTGGCGCATCATCTGGTCGCGGACAGCATCAGAAGCGTGGCCTATATGCTGTTAGAATAAGAGTCTCCCTCACGGCATAGGAATAACATACCGTTGGCCGAGTTTGCTGCTCCCCTGCGCCAGGCTTTCGGTTCAATCACTTTCTCACAACCACTATCTAGCGATTGTTGCGCCATATCATCTCTTAGCTTGTAGTATTGAAGGGGTTGATATTTTGAGGCGACAGAATCATCCGGTTCATTCTTTAAAAAGGAGTTGTTGCATCGGCGGAAAACAGGCCGCTTGAGCCATTCATCCTTCCAGCGTAATGGAGTGCACTTGACTGGTTCTTGGTTCTTAACCTGAAAGACTTGTCTGGCACTGATTAAATTCGATGCAGCGAATGCATTATCGTGCACTGCTAGGCTGATGATGATGCTGATAAGACAAAAGATCAACTTTCTGGTAGGGGTAAAGAAGAAGATAGTTCTGAAGGGTAGATTATCAGATCCAAGATCGCCAAAAAGACTCGGTGACTACTTACGGCTTTGGCTTATTGTCTACCCCTTTGTGATATATGAACTTGATAGATATCGCTAAGACGTCCTTGCCGGTGTCCGGATGGCGTACGACTATCAGTAGGATATCTTCGTAACAGAGCGCTTTTGAACGTCCACGAATAATATGCTCTTGTGCGAGTAGCTCTTCAAGCAGCTCAGAATTCTCATCGGGAGCCTTTTCTTTATCTTCGCCAGAAGCCCCCATGGCTCTCCGCGGGAAGAGCTCCTCCAGACATCTATCCTTGCCGCTCTTTCTCTCGCCGTCCACAAACTCGGCCGGTCGCGCTCCCGTGAAGGCAAGACCGAGGTAGCACCCCGCTAGTTGTATGCGATGCTTCGCTCCAGAGAAGATGCCTGTATCGTACGCAATATTAAAGGTCAGGAGGGCCAGCAAATCGCCCGAGTCAGCGACGTCCTTTCCACCGCTGTTAGGTGCTATCAGGCCAAAATGTGCGACTAAGACGGCATCATGCCACTTGCAAGGACGGTCAGCAACCATGGTAGTATATAGACGCCTGGAGGAATACCTTGAGAATCTCTTTACTATCGTTCCTGTCCATATAATGACCGGTAACACTGGCATACAGCTGCTTGTACTGGCGAAAATATTCCCATGATGTGCCCCACGACTTGATCCTGTATGTTTCACACAGATAGTAGAGGAAATCCATCGCCATCGCTCGGTCTGCTTCCTTCATCACATCTCGCCAGTGGCCCGTAAGCTTGACGGATTCGCAGTATCTCCACGCTAGTTAGCGACACTGCTGATGGAATAGGAGGGAAGCGGCTTATTTACTTACGTTTTCCATTTTCGCAGCATGCCAGCAATGTTGATCTTCGTATTGTCGGCATATTCAGGGATGAGAAAATGAACGTCCTTAAGCTGCTCGCGGAGGGCTGCATGCTGTGCAGCCGTAAGGGTTTCTGGTTGTTTCGCAATCCGCGTTGCGGTTTGTCGCTGCGTAAAGCGTTCGATGAAATCCGCATGATGATGCTGGCCGTCTTTTGCGAGCGGTTGTGAGGGACGACATGGTGCCATGAGAATAATGCTTAAGTGCTAAGGGCTTTCAACTCTAGCGGGAAAATCGTACGAGCCGAGGGCGACAAAGGTGCGAGAGCCGCCATTTTGTATCGCGCGGAGAGGGGGGAGGGGGACAGAAATAGATACCAGGTCGAAGTGGATTATGGATTTGAATATTTTTGGAAAATAAAATGACAGAAGTAAAACGCTGTTGGAGCCGGGGGGCATGGTGGGGGCGGTAATTCTCAAGCAGGCGGTGGGAGGTACTAAGTACCTGGCAGTGACAGCGCCGCTCGCTGTCGAGGCCCCCGAAAATGGCGACACACGCCAGCCAAATACGGCAGCCATAACAGCGATTTCTCGACTTAACCTGTATTCGTGTTTTAAACACTCTACCTTGAACCAGTTTGAGAGTTGCGATCTCTTTGCTCACCCCCCCTCTCCCAAGCAACAATGCATTACATCCCTAACGAGGTGCTAGCATCCATCGCGTTGGGGTTGAGCTCCATCCGAGACCTACGGTTATTCAGGCTCGTCTGCCGTCACTGGGCTGGCCTTGCATTTCCCCTCATCGCTCAACACTTCGCCACATTGAATACTTCTGAAGAATTGGCAGCATTCATTGCATTCCTTCGACAGTCACCACATACTGGAGCGTACACAAGACGACTAACAATTTACCACGGTGAATGGCCTATCTGCTCGAGAGAAGAGTTTGAGGTGCACCCACTGCTATTTAACGGAAAGGAGAAGTGAGCAAACCTATCAAGCGTCGATACTGATAAAGCTTACGATACCTACCATGAGTTCATCTCTCAGGAGAGCAAGAGATCGGCATCATCGGATCACTATCAATTTTCCCTCCTGCTACAGTTACTGCCAAATCTTACAACACTGTTCATCACATCAATGAAAAAGTTGGCATAGCGCTCGAAGGAACAGTAGCAACTATCCACTTTGGTTAAGAAGATATGGCTCAGCCCAACGCATAGCGCAAATGTAGACAGTTTGCTCTCCCGAATTCTTCCCACCCTTCAGCATTTTCCACGACTCGTCAAGCTCGATATCGCCGGCAGAGTCCAGCCTTTCCCTCTGGATCAAACACTGGAACACATCACTCATCTCTACATGGAAACACTCGAGGTCCCCTACCAGGAACCCGGTTCTGTCACAACATTTCTGTCGGCCTTTACGGGCATCCAGCATCTTAGCCTGAGCTTTAACCACTTGAAACATACCAGCATCATTCCCTTGCAATTGCTATACCTCCCGAGGCTCAAGACTTTCGACTTCGATAGCATAATTACATCGCAAGAGCAAATTGATTAATTCATCAAGCAATATAATTTTGTTCATGTAAATATCAAAGGGATGCTCTTGTACAACCATGGATAAAGAGGGGAAATCTAGAGCACTCTATCCAGCTTTGAGATGCAAGAATGTGATAGCATGGGAATATTGTTGAGCTGATGAGCGCCTGGATTAATAACAAGAGATGCTGCACTATTATTCTTATAAGGTGATTGATTTGTTGATTTGGCATTTCTGTACATACTAGCTGCTAAATTAGTTCAATTTGATTATTGTTATCCCTGCACGATGCTTCAATTTGATCATACTTAATCTAACATTAGAATATGCTTATTTGAAAACTAATACCAAGTACTATCAATATATACCGAGACTATCTATCCTTCCAGATATTTAAGGAAGACTCTGGAATAATACTGTATTTTCTTTTGGTTTTCTTTTGGTTGCTTTTTCCCCCATATCTCATTTCTATCCACCCAAACTTCATCAAACGTAACTAGTACAACACTCACGCAACATATCCTCTAACCGCCACCCTACCAACGCGAAGATTCCTCTCACATTAACTTGGGATTACGGGATGAGGCTGAATTGCAACGATCCTTCCGATCTCCGAGAACGCTGGGTCAAGGAGAGTGCTGAAGACTCTGATCAACAAATTTTTATGCCCATCGAAATCGATATCATCAACGATGCGCTCAACATGTCACTAGCTGATACGAAAGCTGCTATTGAGAAGCTTCTAGAGAAGGATCTCTGCGTTTTCCTGAAGATCAGAACGCAGCTTCACTCGCTTATGATCTTCTGGGAGCGTATCATTCACGAGAAGAACCGATTCGATGCTGAGGATAAGTTTCGTGGTCCAGCAACTATGGATTGCCAGACATGCTTGCTAGAGCTTAGGATCATTCCTCGTCGTTGTAGTATTGGTTTGCCAATACTCCAAGAAGTTCCAGACTCAGCTTCAGGCCAGGTCGCGAAGCGTAAGGCTTCTCGTGCGAAGCCTCACGAAAGCGACTTGGAGGCAGTGGATCAGGAGCCGCCGAAGAAAACCAAGCGAATGAAGATGCAGCAAGGAGGGAATGACGACCAGGATAATGATGATAGCGAAGAGGATGATGATAGTGATGGTGACTTTGAAAATGAGTTGGAGACGACGGACGAGGAGCCTCCGAGGGGAAGGACCAGGAATAGAGGCGCCAGGCAGAACAAATCCCCCGCTGTCCAAAAAGGCAAGCAACTGAAGAAGAAAAGTGCTGCAGGGCGCGGGGGCGGTCAGAATGCCAATACGAAGGGCAAAGTTGAGGATCTTGGCTCGGAGGATGAGCAGTATAAGACTAGGCTGGCCAAACTCCTGCGAAAATAACGCAACATCCTTCTCTTCTAGGCGGAGTTAACTGACTGATGGAAATCTGTTGTGCTGCTGATCGGTACTTTCATTGTATTGTTCTTTTTGGTAAAGACATTCATTTCATAGGGATTTATCTAAATTGCAATGATATTCATGTTTTGTATTTACTCAAAAATCAGTAAGACATTTTTCGCTTGTTCAATGAGCAGAAATCTGCCCCCAGATCCCTCAGGTAGTAAAGAAGATTTCACTTGCTTGCATTAGAGGATGCGTATAGCGGCTGCTACATCTATCCTGTTGGAGCAATGATGTTTTCGTGAAGCTCTCAGGGGTGAAGAAATACTCTCATTTGCTATGCCTCTTGCAATCTATTTCTGCAGTAGAGCTGCTCAGGAACTGCAGGTTTGATTAGCAAGTGGCTTGTAGAATATGGGATAAAACCTGTGAAATATGTCTGTTGCACGTTTAAGCTTTTACAGTATCAGAATAAGAAGGCGTTATTAGGCAAGTACTGTCATCACAAGCGCAAAGCCTCCGACACCTATATTTATTTATGCTCATAAATAGCGAACTACCCAACCTCGACCTGATCAATCTCAAGCATATGACTCACTCTTTGTACACAAGTCTCCTCAATTGATATACAAAACTCAATTATATCTCGTTCTTTGATACACATCTTATGTAATAGCTCCACTTCAGTTCCGTATCCTCAACAGTCACAGTCACCCCATTAACGGGGCGCCAGTGGTTATTGAAGGATTCGAGGTCGAGAGCGAACCATCAGTTGACCGATACAGCTCCCAAACTTCAGCGTTCAATCACACCCTACTATGTGTGCCCGAGGAACCTGATATCTTTCACGGATTTCAGCCTCGACCTGTTGAAGCATACAATTATGAGTTGTGGCGCTTCATATTTTGCGCAGACAAATATTTCGCTTCACAATCTATTCCTTGGACCAACATCTCCGTGGATGTGCGTCTCCCAAGTCGCGTGCAGCACCTCATTACTCTTGCATTTGGACCGGACAATTTCACTTACGAGGTATAATACATCTCTGCACCACTTCCTATGGATTTCATGTTTTTCGATGACTTGGAAGATGAAAGAGACTGGACTGGACTTCCGATTAGAGCGCTACAGCCTAACAAAGATAATGATACGCCAGACTCTAGATCGCTATATCACAACAGTGACATCGAGTCTCCATCGCCCCTATCTCTGGACAACGGTGATATGAATGAAGACTCAGACAATATGTATGAAGAGTCAGATGAATGGTCTTCAGTACTGGGGCTAATGGGTCAAAAAAGGAAGGCAGTTTTCAGTGACGACGGATTACCTCCAACAAAAAAGGCTTGGTGAGATAAGGCCTGGCAATTGAATTCCATTCTACATTGTATGAATTTTGAAACAGTCTCACCTCTCCCGCAGCTAGCTGCGCACAAGGTTTTCCATATAGTTTATTAAACTCAACCTTAGCTTTATCCACTGTTATTTTTGTTACTAGAGGCTTTTAGTAAATCTTGATCAGGCTTTTTTCAATAATCACCAGCTCAAAAAGACATTGGAGCAACAGCAGTAGTATCGAACTCCATCATTCCTTTCAGCTTCAATCAGCCTAAAATTTTGCAGATAAGTTTTCAAGTCTGAACATCGCAGTCCTGTAATCAAGACTTGAATGAAAGCAAAACTCCAAAGGCGAGCACTGCAAATGCAGAAACAAACTATTGCAACATAATCAAGACTGTTATGCACTATCGTATAGCAGCAGGAGTTGATCTTCATATATGATGAAATAGAGCTGGATGCATTATCGAAGTAATATTCACTAAAGTTTTATCTCATGAATATTATAGAGATATCTAATGTTATCAATGATTGCAACAAGCTTATCTTTCTTGCATCAACAAGGACAAAGCTAGAGCTTTTACTTCTTATCTGCTTCGCACCTTGTTGCCCTTCTTAATCCTCTTTCCTCAGATTGAGCTGCGCAATGAAACCAACTTTTCAATCTCCTCATCATCCTCTTTGCCAACTTCCAATTCCATTTTTTCATATAGGTTCCCTTATAGCCTGAACTCGATTGATGTAGTTGAGATTGCAATATTTTTCGAACTTGTTGTTGAAGTGAGGAGTTTTCAGATTTGTTTTGGAAAGACATTTGGGAATGGTTTTTCTGAAGATAATAGAATTAGTTAGACAACAACATTGTTCAAGAGAATAGTGAATTTTACAAACAGGCTTAACCAAAATATAAGCAATATACTAATATAGGGTGTTGAAACTAGAATGTATAAGATGCTGCGCTGGAATGCAAAGTCGAGATTGCATGCTTATAAGTAATGCAGCTGCAGCTTATTGAAGTTGATTTATGAGTCGGTAAGGAAACTCGGGTTTCAAAATTGTCTGCGAGATTGCGAAGTATGGTAGGAAACATACAGTACGCGCGGGTAGCGAAAAGCTTTGGGGGAAGGGGTAGGGGTGTATGCCTATGGGCTTCTAGCTTACAAAGTGAGAGTATATATGGGCAGACCGCAGCAACTGCATGTAATTGAGAAATGCCTCTAGTACAACTATAGATCTAGATACGCCCAGACACACTGAAGAATGGGAAGATGTGTAAAAATATCTTCAGAACGAACCCACGTCCTGAATTCCACTATAATCATGCACTCCTTGCCCCAGTATACTTTCTCAAGAAATCTGTGGGTCCGTTTCCCTGGAATTCGACGGATATTGTAGAGAGGAGGGCGCAATATGTCAGGCACTTTCCGCACATATTCCTCCTTGCAGCTGAAGCAGAAGTTCAGAAGCCCATCAAAATCCATGTCTATTGCTTCTCTGAAGGGGCATGCTACAGGCCGCAGCTCAAGCTCCCATGACAACTTGCCATCAGGCATCTTGGCCATCCTTTCGACTGTCCAGATAGGCGGATAATTGACTAGAATTATCAGCATAGGATTGATATTTTTGAAAGTTATTGAGAACTTACGCCACTCAAGAAATGAAACTGAGGAGGGTGCTGGAAGCTCAACATCAAATGCTTCTTTGTCGTCTTCAATGATGGTTTCAAACGATGTCTCGCTGGACGATGTCTCGCTGGACGATGTCTCGATGGACGATGTCTCGCTGGACGGTGGACGCGACTCCGTGAGCTGTTGGATCCATGCAGGTGGCTGCCTGTTGAAATAAGGAATAGGAGAGCTTAAGGCACAAGGTTGCCCTGTCATCAAGATGGAAGAAGACATTCTGTCTTAAATTTTGAGAGAAGCTTAGAAGTATAGAGTCACAATTAACATAAGGACAGGAAGATTGGCAGCTTTTTATACTTGAATATGTATTGCTCACTGATTATACATCAATGCCAGTCACCATCCAATGTAACCAACCTTTCTATTCTATCCTCACTTCATCCCCTGTAAACCTTGCAGCCCTGTTGGATATATTGAGACCAGGAGATCATCCGTTTGCATACTTCACTGAAGAAGTTGGAAGACAACTTCATCACATCGATCACATCACACACTAGCAAGTCAAAATAGAAATTGCACTTTTGAAGCCTGCTAGTATGATTCAGGAGGCTAACATAATTTCGAGGTGTGAGTGGAGTGAACTTTAACGATGTATAGATTGTAAGGGGGTTGGCTGCTGATACATGTTAATCCAGAGATCGAGATCACTGATTGAGCTGTATAAGTGCTACCTCATTATCAAATGGCTTGCAGAGGAGGCGATTGATTAACTAGCTGCCTCGTATTTATCAAAGCTCCATGCATGATCTAGGGATAGGGACCATGCATGGTACGGTGGGGATAGGGACCATGCATGGTACGGTGGGGACGATGCACTACAGGATGTCATTGTGAGACAATCCAAACGAAAAAATTGACCATGGGGTAGATGAAAGTTGCCACTATTTCTGTGTAACCGATCTTTCTATTTGTGCAGCGGATATGGTCATAATGCATGAGACTATGGAGGGCTTGTTTGGATGCACTATGAAAGGTCAGTTCGGCGAATGATTTTCATTTAAGAATAAAAGAGGTGCAGTCCATGCACATGCAAACAGACATCAATCAATCCCTACTTCCAAAAAATGTGACAGTATGGCTACCTCTCACCTGACCATGATGTCTTCTCGTACCCCAAGCCCTTCTGACATGGATATTGGAAGCCCTTTGCCACTACTGGCACATACGCCGACTCTGCCCCCATCAACTACAATGACTGAGATGAGAACCATGTCTTTTCATGAGGAGGGATCTCTAGATGAGAATCTGCTGGCAGCACTGCCGTCCCCTGCCTCTGATCTCAGAGCTACACCACCACTGGCAGCTTATCCTACTCATCCTACACCTGACACTGTTGAGGCAGACATGTCATCTCTGGGCCGGAACCCGCAGTGGCCGAGTAAGTTGCAATTATTCGAACAATCCTAGGCTTTATGCTAACTGTTCTAGTCTACCCCTGTGAGCATGCTAAATGGGTAGTCCATAACCAGTTTCAAGGGGAAAGAAGCACTACTCTATTCGATGTTGAGCTGGGACCGGTAGCATGCAACTCTACCACCTTGGTAAACAAAGATTACCATGGATTGATGTCGTTCTTCGGTAAATGCCGTCATAGGGGTGGCGTGGAAACATTGCCGATTCATTCTTTCCTTTCTTTGGATTCATTGGACTCTATCTCCACATATTCTTCTCGCAATGTAGAGTATCTAGACATGACGATGTGGCAGGGTCAATTGGTGGTACTAGTCAAAGTCAGATATCTGGTTCAGTTTGATGATTTCTTAGAGCATAAACCTCTTCTTCGGTCGATATGGGGGTGGCTAGGTCTATGATCTGCTGCGTGCTTGGCTGGGATTTTGAAGTCAGCTCCAATATGATGATATTTCCAATCTCATGGCATATTCGCCACTCTTTGATATTATCAAGCTCTTCCAGATGTTCTTTTGCAGCTGCATTAAATAGTATAACACAAAGATAATCTGTGCAAGTGATAAAACAATAGCTACAACTGTGCAGTAAACAGCCCTGTCACGCCTTAATTTATAACAAAACAATAAAATATGCATGATCATTCCTTTATTTCGAAAAATCACTATGTTACTACCCCAAAGTTCTGGACAAATAAACGTATGGTTCAACACATTGCATGATCATATTCTGCAACCTCCTTGTACTCGATTGCGAGCTCGCGCTTCTCAGGCATCGTGTTTGTCAAACTCAGCAAGATGGACATCTTTGCTCGAACATCGACCGTATTTCTACTCCTCGAGTTCTCGAATAGTTTGTAGACTTTGCGATATAATTCCCGCAATTTCTCTCTCATGATGAAGTCACTTAACACCGGTATTTGATAGAGAGCACTAAGCAACATGAGATTCCTCCACGCTCTAGATGCATTCATTGTCAATAATAAAGGACAGATAAAGTGGCAACATGGATTCATACATACTTATCTAATATTCGTGCATCTTGAACATTGTTAAGGGGAATGATATTGTCTGGTATTATCTCCAGATACGTTTTGATTCGACTCATGTCGATATCATCAAGACCTTGGGGGCATTTCATCGTATCCGCACTGGCCCATAGGATCGTGGTATCGATTGTGACTGGCTGTTCTGGATCTTTCCAGAAATCGTTGGTATGTGACAAGGCTAATGCCTTGATGCATGTGTGCCGAAATGCTTCAATGGACACAAATTTGATGAGAGACAAGATAGCGCTGTCCGAGAACCCCAGATTTCGTAGCGTTGCCTCATGCGGATGTGGCAAAGTTGCTTCAAGATTACAGAGCGCAGCAGAGGTGAAGTTGTAGGTCCAATTGTAATCACTGTTATGTTCAGCAACAATACTATACCCATTTAGTATGATTCATACTTACCTTCGAAGTATACGGGAACACCAGAAAGCAGTAAGGACCATGCTGGTTCCAGGTGTTGTAGCAAGCGAGTCGATTCGAAATTCAGCTCTAAGTTTGTACGAATGCCTGCTTATATTGTCAGATAGAATTGGAGAACCATGGAGCAAGTCATTTACAATATATCCCCGGCTGTATCCTGTGCAAGCCTGATATGCCTGAAGCCAGTTTCGGGTTTTCCGAGTCGTTTGTAGTAGAGGCTAGCGAGGATGTGTGCGCAGATGTAGCTATATTCAGAAGTGCTAGGCTTACAGATCTTGAATCCAAAGCAAGAATAAGCTATTGCGTGAGAGAAATAACGAATGCCAGGAAAGTTATCCTTGTTTGCCGCGAAAGAATGATGAATCTCAACAGAATTCCCTAGAGCCAAGACTAGGAGAGCTTGCACGTTGGTGAGACAATCTGTGAGCTTGAGAGTCTTGTGCTGTGACTGTGCAGTTTCTGGACCATAATGCCCGGCTTCGACTTCTCCCTGCAGATGCGCAATTATCCGATCCAAATATTTTGGTGGGAACAAGGGATACACACTTTGAATGTGTGTCTCATATGCCTTCACATATCTCTGTATGCTGGCAGGCTCGAAATCTGATTTCCAGTGGGGCTGATGGGAGGTGCTTGGGTTTTCCTTGTTAGGGATTAGCAATGGATTCATCTGGACTGCTGTCATTCCATCCATCGCTGGGAGCAGATGGTTTCGCTCGAAAGCCTGCTGAGTTAAAGCACTGTTGGGACAGCAAATATGCTTGAAGGACATACAGCGAGCTGTATATATTTCCACGGTGTTGGTTGTAATAGGAAGGCATTATTTAAAAATCTTGGCGCTTCAATCTTTGCACAATCCCCCATTCCCAGCCTGTTCCTAGCCTGTTTTATCCTTGCTCATTATTCCTACACCCAGACTAGATCTCTCAACCATTGTTTTAGAGCTTCAGCTATGGAATCATCTCGTATTTCATCAGTCTACACCCATTCGCGAGTTAGCCCCGATGAAATGGCCCCTGTATTCATCCACTCCATTTTTATCAAACTATAGTGTGCACAAACTAGAAGCTGCAGCTTTATTCCAAGCTATCACATATTGTGATACATGATCAATAGTATGGGGCGAGCTGAGCCAAGTCTAGACTCACAGTACATGAATCCTGACCTGTCGAGTGACTCGAAGCCAATTGATAGCAATGCTTGGGCTGTCTGGATGATCCCACCCTTACCTCCGCATGCGAGCTGAATTTGGGAAAAAAGTCCGGAGCACGGTCCCGGGGTGTGATCAAGGTCAGCTCAGACAGACCTCCAACTTGCATAACCATCCCGGCCAGACATATTAAGCCTTTGTCCTTACATAGAATATGCTTTTCACTATGCTGGGGCCAGGTCAATGCTGTTGCAGCCCTCCGGATCATGCGAATGTAAGCTATGTGGATGTGTGCTGGAATCAGGATGTGCATTCCAGGATTTGGGTCCTTGAGAAAAATAGATAAATAATCATGCTTAGAAACATCAGAATAGATATGACACCAACACTACCAACACTACCCAGTCTCTGGACAAGGCGCTAGAATTATGGCTTCTTCAGGGGGACTGAGCAACTGCATTGTTGCTTTCATGGCTGTATATCCCAATTCACCAAGCAAACAGGCTATAGAAGCTATCCAAGACAATCGCCACTGGCATGGTCTATGCAGAAAAGCTCCTCTTCCTCTGCCTATTACAGTTACCGATGGTCTCCTCACCCAATTTGTGTTCGGGGCAGCACCCGGCTGCGATTTCAGACTGCCCGAGCTGGATGGTGTCAAACAGCAGTGTCTTTCTCTCAGATTTGAAGGGCAGCGCTTGATCCTTCAAGACCTCGACTCTGGCAGCCATAGCGATAATCCTGCGATCTCAGAGGACGGTCAAACATTTTGCAGAATCGGTGGGCCTTTCCTGACTTTGTGGGATGGCTCTAGGGCTCATCCAGGAGTTCATCTCAGATTCCATTCTGAGCTCAAGTTTTTCCTTTTCGTCAATGAAAATGTTCTACCATGCATATCCGGGATCGTCAGCGCGCTGTCACGTCAACGCCAATCGCTTGAAGAGAATCCATCTCCTTCCACAACGGAGTCTGGGCAAGACTTTCAACAAGATCTCGAGCTACAAGGTCCTCAAATGAAGATGGCAGAGATGTCTGACAATGTATGTTCTCCGAATTCTTAGTCACGAATTTGTATCTAATAGTTCTCAGGAGAGAATTATACAAATCAGGAATGTCCATGTTACTTACATCTTTCCTGGCCCATCTCATGTGCATCCAAGCGGCTGGCTGGAAGTTAAAAGCTTGTCACGCGCCTTCGGCTATCATTCAGAAAGGCGTTGCAAAGACGGCTTTCTTCGAGAAGGCTTCCATTCTACCCGTTGGCAGAAATATTCATATTTCTCTTTGAACGATGTGATTCTATTCTGTCGATTTCGAGAGTTTACCAGCAGAGACGGCAACACCAGGAAGGAGTTCGGGTATCTTAACGCTCTTGAGAAGCATCACCCGAACATTGCAACTGTCGATGCCGAGTTTTCATTTCGGCGAATTTCATTATTTCAACACACAGTTCGTTACCTCCCCACAAATAATCTGATACATTTGCACGACATATTCGCAGCGATACCCTGCACATTAGAAGAAGGGTACAAAAAGATGGGTGCACACAAGGTAGCTATATATAATATGCGAATTGGCATATGTAGAAAAGCTATGAACTTCATTGCATTGGACAAACTCATTTGGATCTGCCAACAAGATAACGAACTTCGCGTTTTGCATCTTGCTATTCATCAGGCATTTTATCACAGCCAGGATAGAAGACTTTGAATATGAAATTTTGGTCTTTTCATAATTTCTACGCCTGTCTGTGATAATAAATCGGCCAGCCAACAATTGGATAGAATAAATATTTTTATTATCAACTTAACAGGTCGAGTGTCGTCTTAGTATTGGACATTTGGGCATACTAAACTCCCTGCAAAGTTTTCGATATGATGAAACAAGCCTTGACATTAAAACGTATTTATGCATCTCTACTCTAGTCTTTCCTCCGGCAGTGATTGGCTGCTGACGATATCCAGCCAAACCGTGCCTTGCCCTATGAAATGATACTGGCGGCCTGTCTCAGCAAAGATCATCCTCGCCTCCTTTCTCAGCTGCTTTGCAGTACCAAGATCAAGCCGAAAAGCTATCTCGCTCTCAGAATAGAGCGCAATCATCGCAGCAAACCCTTTTGATGGCCAACATTCCATCGCAGCAACCCGTGCTTTCCTCCATGCTTGCATCGCTTCTACCAGTTTTGCCATATCCGAGAAAGACCAATCCCACCTTCCCCTCAATGAGAATTCTCGTCTTAAGGAAAATGTTGCTACATGAAACGCCATAGCTAAGCCAGCAAGAGCAAGATAGTGATTACTCTTGTTAGTCTTAGTGAGACCTGCGGCCTGTCGAGATTCCCAAGTCTTCAAATAAGCCGCATAACGATTCTGTGCTTCAAGCAGCGATGCTGCTGAGACTCGACCCGATGCCTGAAAATCAAACAAGGATTTCATAAGCCATGCATTCGCCAGCCCTAGATGCAATCGCGTTCCGATATCTCCTTTATGAAAATTGACCTCGCTTTCCAACATAGTGATTGCTTTCGATGTGTTCCGAAGCTCGCAGAGCGTTTCGGCTTGATTAGCTAGGAAGTCGCGACCAACAATCATATCAGCTTTAGCTGATATATGCTCGTTGATTAAATTCTGATACTGATCAGAAGCTCTTTGGAATTGGCCTTTATTCCTGTAAGCTTTAGCGATTACAGCTTGCCCTTTCATCAGAACGCGACGTTCCTGAAGAGATAGTTCAGACCAAGGAAATGGTTGGAATCTTGCTTGACAAGCTTGTGATTCCTCGATAGAAGCATCATTGTTCAGAAGAACTTTCATCTCGAGAACAATCCGTTCGCCGTGGATCCCGTTTTCATAGCGGCTAATGAATCTCCGATCGGGATCGTTTATGGATCCGAGAGATACATCCTCGGCTTTCAGTCTCCTCAACATGAAGCTACGCAGACGCAAGCTTTGCAAAAGCGAAGAGTCTGTGCTTCCAAATATTTCAGCAGTCTGCAGCATGTACTCCTTCCAAGGCATTAAACCAAAGTATGAAGCTGAGAGGCATGCTCTAGCTAGAGCTAGCTGTAACCAGTCCTCTAGTCTGAGCTCATGCAAATATGATACCACAGTTGCAAGCAGCGGGATCATAGAGGTTGCTTCTGTCAAGCTACTGGAATTAGCAGGACAGTATTTCAAAGCAGAATATAATGCTTATCATGAATCTTGATCTGGAAACCTAGGAAATGCTCGAACAACAGCTTTCAGAGCAGCTGATTTCCAATCATAAGTAGTATGCTGTTAAACTGCTACTGCTGGGCTGATTACAAATAATCCTCTAGTATCACATACTAGAAGAGCTTGTTATTAGAGCAGTTCCCGAAGAGCAAGGCTATATCGCTTTTTATTAGTTAGAACTTCCGAAGCTGGTATTGTAACAGGAGCAAGCTCTCCCTATTCATTCCATTCCAAAATAGCTTGTAGAAAGCACTCAGAAACTCAGCCTTCTACTGCATATATGATAGATAAGAGATTATATGCATTGGGAGAAAGAGGCGAAGATCCAAGCATTTTGTCTTGCAGCTGATCAAAAGATATTGCAGAGCTGATGCTGTGGTTATCAGCTGGTGCATTTAGGGAAAGATGAGATGGTTGGTAGGTTTTGTCTTGCAGCTGATCGAAAGATATTGCAGGGCTGATGCTGTGGTCATTGGCTCTGATGCTATGCTTATAAACTGGTGCATTTGTTGTGGAAGTTGTTCGAGATCTGAGCCATAAATGCAGATCTCCAGCTATTTCTGTAACCAGTTCTGCTTTCAATCATTAGCTTCTGTCAATAAGTAATGAGCAAAATCTTATCTGAGCAGAGCTGCTGAGCAGCAGATAAGCTTAAAGTATGCTTGATTCTTTCTTTAGCTTCTTGAATGTAGCTAGTCTCTGGTGCTGATAAGTTTTTAATCTCTTGATATTATAAAAAAGTGAGGATCAAGCTTACCTGTAGTATTCCAGTATAATGTTTTCACATAATCACTACTCTGCTGACCATTCAACCAGCTGCACACTTCAGCTCGCCTTTCAGTTCGGATACTGAATGTAAAGATTCTGAAAACTTCATCTGCACTGAAATATGAACTGTCTTCTTGCAGCTGTGTCTTGATAGATGAAATAGCAAGGATTTCCATCTCAAGCTGATTGAGCTTGGCTATCTCTTGTGCAAAGGCCTGATTGCGTTCCAGATGCTTCCTAAAGGCTCGGCAGTGTTGGGCAGCAGTAGTGTTCAGAGGTTGATCTTGCTGCAATTTTGAAAAGGCAAGCAAGAGTCTTTTCTGAAAATTTGTTCTCCATTGCTGCTGTATCTCGGACATAGTAGTACAAAAGCTAGATTAAGGTGGAATAATATGAGTAGCTATAGTAAGAGATGATCTTTTACTCAACGAATTGACTTGGTATAAGCTGACTGAATGCAATAAGGCTGAAGAGTGATTGAATGTTATCAGGATTAGGGGCTGGTAGCATGCTGAGCAGGGAAGAAACAGCTTATCCTTAGCTGATAACAAATATCATGTGATTAATAAGCTTGGATGGATTTGATTGGTTGGGCAGCTAAACTATGGTGCTGAACAGTATTAGTTAGTTAGCGCTATATCAAATATCAAGCAGTCAGGTTGCAAAGTTTCATGCCTCTCTCTTATCAGCCTAACTACGCGATTTCAGCTCTTGCGCAGTATCAAGGCGATTATTACTCAGAATGGAGAGAAATTTTGCTGTAGGACCTTCTTCTTCATCTCTAGCTGTATTGCATCCGCTGACTAACCGAAGGCTGCTATGGCGCTCCTCCGGAGTAGATCGAGGCCGAGATTGACCGCAGTTGTGGATACAGGGCTTCCGAAGATAGTCTTACCTGCTAGTGATCTTACTGGTAGAAGCAATCTGTTAGTACTTGGGATGAAAGGATAGCTATAGCAACTTGGCTATACAGTTCATTATTTATTACAGCTATTTCTTATCATTCTTTCTAATAGCTGTTGCAGGATTATATACTTGCTAATCTGAAGATTATCCATGTTGCTGGTATGAAGGGGAAAGGCAGCACATATGCATTTATTGAGTTCTTTTTCAGAGCTCATAGCGCGCGAACTCATTTCCCACGGAAGACTGGTCTTTATACTTCGCTACATTTGATCTCGATAACGGAAAGAATTAGAATCAACTTTCAGCTGCTTTCTAAAGCTATCTTCGTGCAATATGTTTTCGAAGTCTCTAACGCCCTATCTCTCAATCAGCAAAACGAAGATCCTGGTTTCCTTCAGCTTCTCGCTCTTGTTTCATTTCACGCTTTCATCCGAAAGGATATCGAAGTTGCTATTTATGAAATTCATCATGGTAGCAAGTTCTGTGCAACTAATGTGATACAAAATCCTGTTATTACTGCTATAATGAGTATTGGTTTAGATCATATTGTTGATTTAGATTCGACTTTAGAGAATATTGTATAGCATAAAGCAGGTATTTTGAAGAATGAGGCTGCAGCTTTTATAGCACTGCAACAATCAAATGTTCTAGCTGTACTGGAGCGTTGCACATTGGAGAAAAATGTGGATCTCAAGATTGTTTAAGCAGATGCAGATCTTTCAAATGAATTCAACAATTCTTTACAGCGATTGAATTGCTCTCTTGCTCGAGCTGCTACAGATGCATTCTTGCAGCAAACCTCATTATCCAGTACGATCCGATGTTTTTCGCAGCAAGATATAATACATAGTATATATTGATTTCATTAGCTAGAATGCTTCGAGATAATATAAGAGCTTGATTGCACTTAGTTTCTCGATATAGCGCATAACGAAATGAGTATAACTCATGCTGTATAGTGGTTTCAAAGAGCATCTTTGCAAAGATAAGATCTCATTCTGCATTTGCATTATCTCTTACTTATTAGATTGGCAGGGATCTTCCTTCTGTTCGCTGCATTGTTATTTTTTCATACTTGCTAACTAATCAACGAGATTATAAGGATATAGCTAAACGTTTGGCAGAGTTTCTTGAAATTGTATTGCATGAAGTTATATTTACAACAGATTATGAAGATAAAGGCAAGCAACCCAATTCTTATAATACAAGCTGATGATTATACTTACTATATTTTAGAGAATATCTCAGATAATATTGATTGCATATTATCCTGGTATAGCTAACTTTAGAAGAATGTTTAGTCTGGAGATGAACTTGTTCACACAGCTAGAACAATTCGCAAAGCTACTGAGATCGCTCAGAGAAATTGTGCCAAAAAGCACAATGTTCACATCCTTGTTACAGGAAGCTTATATCTAGTAGGGGGCGTCCTCCATACACTGCGCCGTCCATTGTCTTAGTCCAGCGCCTATTATAGGGGCCGGGATGGTATCTTAAAACAGGAGGTTCAAGAGGGTTCTGGGACATTGTACAGTTATGAGCATACTGTTGTGATGGCCAGTGTGGAGGTCTTCAGAACACAGAGTGAAGTGGGTCCTGGGTCTTCATAGAGGTACGAGGATACCCAACCCTCTTTCGATTTCTTTCAAACAGATAAGCAACAATAGACAGCTCCCTTTTCTCTATCTAGAATCCCCTGGAAAGGTCCAAGGCAGGCTCTTTATCCTGTTCTTGGGCCCTTGTGGTCTTCATTTGCCATTATTCTTTACACAAGCAAGTTTGGGTCATAAGGTCGCTTGCCCGTTGCTTTGGCGGCTGTTCTTTCTCATGCGACAGCGCCCGAGTTCTGGTTCACTATAGCTGTGTATTCGGTGACCAGGAACGAATGTCTCATGTCAAGGCCGATAAGTCATGGCCAGTCTCCAGGCGAGGCGAACTTTCGAAACTAGCACTTTGCTCAGGTAAAAAAGCTAATAATCTTATTCATTGAACTCAATGCTAATGCTGGCTTGAGTGATCTCTTGCTTGATAATATCAGCTGCATCTCCAATTTCGTCTTTAACCCAAGACTCAAGCTCACATTTCACAGCCACCATTCTGTCATCTAATTGACAATCAAGCTCCTCTGATGCCCACCTAATCTGGTCATCCAACCTATCTACCTCGGCTGTCAATTCATCGCACTTTTCAGACTGATCCCTGAACAATGTATTGACACGCTCCAATATTCGAGCTTCCGCTTTCGCAAGTTCTTGATGTAGGGTGTCTGCAAAGCTCTTTTGTTGTTCAATGATCATCTGCCGAGCAGTCTCAAGGCGCATCGTCTCGGTGCTTCCAGGAGAGCTCACACGTCGCCGCTTGTTGGAATGTGAAGCTGTATCAAAGGCTGTGATTTGCATTAGTAGAATGATAAGGTATCCTCAGTATGTATACTGAACCAGAACTAGGGCGCCGTCGCCCTCGAAAGAAAAAGGGACAAACAGCTGCCGAAGCAATGGGCAAGGGCTCGTGCAACCCAAGCGTGCCTGTACAGATGAGGACAGCAAACTAAGGCCACACGGGCGCAAGAACAGGGTGAAAAACCTGTCTTAGACCTGTCCAAAGGGTTCGAAATTGAAAAGAAGAGAAAAGGATGCTTCATTGTTTCCTATAGCTAAAGAATTTGAAAAGTGGGTGGTATCCTTTATATGTATGAGGACCCTTGACCCACTGTACTCCATGTCCCACGGACTACCACCCTGGCCGCCACAACAATACTTACATGAAGCTTTATTCAGTAGGGGTGGAGATGGATCTTTGAGTTTATCGTAAGATGGAGGGCTCGGATGAGCGGATGGTAAACCAGTTATAACCCGGCCACCATTCCCACAATACAGCGCACCAAGTCGCATAGTTGTGTTTAGCAGTTGAATCTTCTGGCTGGAGATGGTTCGACAGAGTTGTACTAGCACACTGCTAGACTGCAGGTAGAGAGTCAAGCTGAGACTACCTGGAAGCAACAAAATCGAATCAAGAATGGCACCTTCAGCATTCTTAGCAGCACGAGGAACGAATGGCGGCCCCACCAGATCAGCAGGCCTAGCTAGCATAAGGTGCAAGCGCTTTGGACTGTTGCCTAGGATGTTTTGGATTTGGTCTGATATGTTGTCCGAGGCAAGTGTAGCAGAACGGATCCGGTCCAGCTGAATCCATAGATAAATAGGCGTCCTGGCCCGGGAAACTTCGCCTTGTCGCAACTCAATCGTAAATCGAAGTTCGAACAGACTCGTCTTCCCCGATGTATCGGGAATGGCAGAAAATTTCAGAGGACGGGCTGCGGAGTGGATTAGACGATGCCGAGTGCCATTGTCCAGAACCCACTCAAGAGCTGCAGGTAAATCTGTGAGAGCCCTCGATGGATTGTAGGTAGTAGATTTTGCGGAAACCTGCTCAGCCATAATCACAGCCTTCTATAGCAAGAAACCATCAGTGAATCGAAATTCAAAAATAAAAGAAATTATTCAAGTAAATAGGATAACGTATCAGGTAAGATATCTTTGGAAGAAGAAAAGAACCCCTTGCGTGGACGCAAGACCCCGCCCACCCCGGCTTTTAGCATAAGCAGAGCAGCCGAGACTCGTAACATAAATATATAATCCCAGATAATAAAGAGGGAGGAAAAAAGAGGGGATAACTAGCCGTCAAAGTTGAAGCACACTGGAATATATAGGCATTCGCACGTCCGGCGGCTCTTTGAGGTCCCTTCCTATTGTACAGGTCCGCAGACCTGGCGTATAGGTGCGAGGTGAATGGTGTTGAGCTACCCGATACGGGCACACGATCATGCGCAAAGCAGAGGCGCCTCAAAGGCCCCGCTCAGGCCCAGGTCGGTAGTTTCCTGTCGCTTGGCTACTGAGAGAGGCCACAATATTCCAGAGTGCTACTCCAGATGTGCGATGGAGTATTCAACAGAGACGAGAAAGGACGATGGATGCTGAACACCAAGAATGGATAGGACTGGTGACCTCGGAAGAAGGGAGAGAATATGGGTGGTGCGATGTGCGATGTCAAGAATTAGGTATGCCTGATGACTTCTGAAGAGGGAAGGGAGAGCAGCTCGCTTAGTATGGAGAACGAGAACTGGCAATCAGTACCGCACATGATCTTACGTATGCCAAATCCTATTTCCGCCTATCGTGTAGCGGAAATATCGCGTCAATGATCCTCTTTATGTGTTATGACCCATCCAACATGCAGGTCAAAGGAAACGGCACAGCACCAGGGCCACCCAAAGTGGACCCCTCAGAACAGGAAGTACAACACTCACCCACAGGATGGAAAACAGGATTACGCAACCCAGGGTTAGGGTTACTAGCGCGACTATGTTGACTATGGACATAGTCAACATATTCAAGGAACGACTATGAGGAATCAGAACATAGTCAAGCTATTTCATACTGAAGAGCTGGATATATAAGGACACGTTCATTACCACTAGATAGACCACCAGGACATAGCTCTTCAGTCGTCAATCTAAGTATTCATTTGTCACACACTTGAATAGCCCCAAAGGCGAATGAACAGCACTTGCACGGATTACCCAGTTACAGTTCCGTATTCAGTGGATTCTACTTTGACACCGCTCTTGTTAGCATAAACTCTTTGTGTACTTCAGATCTTCGGATATTGCAGTGCGCTCATTACATTATGAATCAAGCGCTGGCGCTAGCTCCTGCCGATCTTATCCAGCCTATCACACCGCAAGACCGCCATATCGGAACGGACTGCGCCTCAAACACGTAGTAGTGCTTACACTATCGAAGATTACGAAGAATTTGTAATTGGCTCAGATAAGGATTGAGTTTCAAGCTACCCACATCTGACATGCCACGTGTCGTATTCGAAATTAAGTCCTAACATAGCCTATGTCACTTTCGAAATCAAGACCGACGTGAGTCGAGGTAGCAGGTACTTGTCGGCTGGATCGTGTGCATTAATGAGTACAGACTGCGTAATCATTGTCATCCGATTTCTATGAAATTTCTCCTGTAGTATAGTGGCTAGTATGCAACGCTCCTTGTCGCGGGAATTGTTTTCGGTGAGGACGCGACGAAATCTTCAGGCAGCAGGTTGGGGGCGGCTATCAATGATTGGTCCGCCGTGGTTCTGCTTCGCCTGGCTCGTGCGGGGTCATTTCGCCCTGTGGGGTTGCTCTCATCAACCGTCCAATGGAATTGAACCTCTAGCGTCACTGGGTCCGTTTTGGGTGTCTTCCGTGCTGTGCTGCTTTTTCCTCGTAACTTGCGTATTGAACGGGTCATAACAGTGATGGTCGTATGTAGCCTTTCTTGATGTTCTCTTCGAGGTATTCCCTAAGTGCTTCGAGTTTGGCTTCATCAAGTTCGTAGAAGGGGAAGAGCTTTGGTTGGGTTCCTTCCTTGAGTGGGATTTCGTGGTTGTATGGGCGGTGTTCTGGAAATTCTGTATCCAACTTGCCTTGGAATAGCTTCTTGAATTCGTGATACTCTCGTGGTATGCTATCTAATATTGGTATAAGTCCTTCTCCTGTCTCTGCTATCTGGAGAAACAGGAGGTACTGTTGAGCATGCTTCTTCTCGTTGATCGTTGGTCGTTTGCATAGCAACTCCGGGGGCCTTGGGTGCTCGCTCCGGGCCGGACCGAACGTTTGAGGGTTTGGTGTCGAGATTTCTTTGTAGTCCCACATTCCACATTCTGAAGCTTTCTTTCGTCGCTCCGGGCCGGACCGATCTGCTGAGGGTCTCGTCTCCGTTGTTGTACTAACCTGCTGGCGCCCTGGTACTGGTTGGGTCCGCCTGTCACTAGGTCCTTCTCCATGTCCTATCGGGGCCTTTGTTCGTTGTTTCTTTCCCGATTTGGAGGTATGTGTAGATTCTTTCGATTCCTCTTATCCCGAGTAATACTCAGTAACTAATCTTGCCCTTCGCCGTTAACTGCAACTATCTCTCTGGGTACGGCTTGCTCCCAAGAGATCTGGCCAGTAGTTCAATCGATTCGAGGGTTGTGCTCTTTGAGCTATGGAAGTTCTACAATCAGCTCATGCTATGGGGAAAAAAAAGAAACTAATAGCAGGGCCAACATCCGTCGCTCGAAGGTTAAGGCGAAGCATAGATATCTATCGATTAATTGACTAATATTAGTTAGAAAATCAGGGCATCAGTCGAGAAACAGGGGGCTGTCTATCGACAAGGGCCAGATATCAGTCGAATGATTGGCCAGGCTAGGCAGAGAGCTAGATTATTTGTTGGAGGCTGTTTCTTACTACGTACTTATAAACAGGAAAGAAAGAAATCTCTCTTCTTAAGCGATTCTCGAAGCTGATAATAAACGAACGAAAGCACTTTCACATGATCAAAAGCTTTATATCTAGCAATGCTAAGCGGATATTCAAAGCTCCAGAGAGCGATGCTAGTAAGGCATAGTAACTGGCTCTGTATCTTTCTAGCTTGTTGCTAATATATCAAGCAGAAACTCGAGCAATAGAGAAGCTAGAGCGATTAGTAGCAACGAAAAGGGCCTGTATGCCGCGTTCCTCTTCTTGCAACCTTGCTCAAGGCAAGTGTACAGCGGATTTAGGACTCCGAGAAGATTATTCAGAATCAGTTGTTCTGCCCAGGGATCTTCCCAACCGTTCCCTCGACTCTCTCCTGAGCCTTCTTCTTGCTATCGAGTTTCCTAGAGCTGCTTTTATGCCTCAAAGACTGGCTTATAGATGGATATATGGCTGGGCTAGCTGCAGAGATGAACAGGCAAGGGATTGCGTAAAAGTCCAATCCAAAAAAAAAAAGGCATTTTAGCATTCCAAATTCAGTTTTTCATCCTTGAGCGAAAGCCCTTTCGCGGATCAGTTCATAACAAGGTTTGCTGTTGATTATCATTATCCATATGCCAGTTGAACTACGCGTACGGGTCTTTATTACTATCACCACATCTCAACAGAGATATGTATCCAAAGCCGGTTGCATCATGCCTTTCTCATCCGGAAAGGCAACCAAGTCAACAAGCAATTCAAGTGGCAAAGTATTACAAGACAAGCCAGCAGCCAAGATTGCTAGCCAGCCAAGTGGAGGGCTGCCGCTTAACCTGACTTGGCTTGCGTTGAACGCTGGGCAGAAGCGTTGACCTAGGCAGGAAGCTGGCATACACAGAGACGTCGAGGGCAGCCAGGTGAGCGGCATATAGAGAATGCGTGAGCTGGCGACCCAGCCAGGTGAGCGGCATATACAGAATTAGTGTGCTGGCGATCTAGCCAGGTGTTCAGCACTCAGAGAATCTGTGTGAGGTGCAACAGAACTTAATAAATGCCACAGAAGGAAAGAGGGAAAAGAAAGAAAGGAAGCCAGCTAATCTGGCTGAAGCTACCTAAAAAGAGGCTGCTGGCTGGCCAGACCGTGCAAAGCCTAGGGCTAGTGAGTCACTGGCCCTCGCACAGAATGCGTGTACTCTCGACTCAGCCATGTGGCCGGCACGTTGTAGATTAGCGCGCCGTTATATTGCATAGTAGCTGGCGCATATATCAATCTCATAAAAAGGCATTTCTAGCCCTTCTTCAGGCGGTCTTCCTATAGCGGCATTAAGCTACCAGCAGGATGACCGCCACTTGACGGCCCAATTCGATGGTTCACTTGGTATCTCAGACGGAGGGAAGGGAAAAAGGAAAAAAAAAAAAAAAAAAGAAAGAAAGAAAGTAGGGGGGGGGGGGGATCAGCGAAAAGCACAGATTGTCGCACCGCCTCGTGCCAAAAATGCCCACTCCTACCTCCGGCGGCCCTTTGAGAGCCAAGAGGAGGTCGCCAGCTTGCGCGCCTCAGCAGCGATATCCTCTGCATTAGAAAGAGGAGGCCTCGAACTAAGCAGAGGCCGTCGCCTAGCAGACGACGGAGTCCCCTGGTGGCCAGAGGGCTGCTGCGGCGGCGCTGGCGGGCTGGGCGTGCGCACAGGGATCGGGCAATCTGATAGAGACGATGACTCTCCATATGTGTCCTTCTCCTGGCCGGCCGCTGCCAGGTCATCGTTTCGTTCACTGGCAGCGCCGCCCGAGGGACCCACAGGACTGTTGCCCACACCACCAGCATAATCCATCTCCATCTCCATCTCCTCCGCCTGGCCCTGGCCCTCGGCCTCCTCCTTCTCCGCCGCCGCCTCCTCAACAGCTGGGGCTGACCCAACTTTTCCACGCGCCGTCAATATATCCCCCAGCTTCTCAGCCTGCTGAGCAGCGAGGCCATCGATCTGCTCAATGATGGCCTCGACCGAGAGCTAGGCTGGGGCTTGGCTCGCCGGCGCCAACGGTACGTGACGCTGAGGGGCCTGCGCCGGCCAGTGGCACAGCGACGCGCCTCCGTTGTAGTAGTTGGCGTAGGCTGCAGTCGCCGACTCAACAACCCCCTCCCAGATCACACACAGCCTCGCTACAGGCCGTTGCCATACGCACGCATTGGAAGAGGGCATGGTGGTGAAGAGGGAGGGGGGAAGAGGCATGGAGGAGGAGGGCAGGGCCTGGATAGATATGTGTATGTGTTTGTGTGTATGTGTTTGTGTGTGTGTGTGTGGGGGCGCGGGCATCGAGCTACGGCCATTGGTGGGCGCAAGAGCGGCAGCTGACGAAGAAGAGGATGCCTCAGGGGTTGACTTATTGATTGAAATGGTAGCGCAGCTGGATTAATGATTTGAATACCGAGGTACCTGGTGATGGGTTGCGGACAGACTCATTAAAGCAGTTGTGAAGAGGGAAAGAGAGAGATGGAGGGGAGCAGGAGGCTAGCTGCGAGAAATACGCATTGCGATAAACATATACACGTACATGCACGCGTTGCCTAGCCAGCGCCGCCCCCCCTTCTTAGAGGCTGTAGGCCATACCCCAATACACCGTACCTCTGCTTGCTTCGTATTGCCAGCGCATCTATTCGCAGCGGGCTAGCAATACTTCGCTGTAGCTAGCGCACTGTAAATTGGTGCGCTAGCTAGCGCACTATTGCTGGGAGATTTCTTCGCAAGAAGACTGCCTAGGAGTGCTGATACGCTGCCTCCCCTCCTTCCATACCTATTTAAGTCACAGGGGGTAACTTCCGGCCACCCCCCACTTCCGGCCACCCTGGCCGGCCACACCACACACACATATATATATATATATTGAATTTATTCACTTTTCAGCCCTATTCACCTACTACAATGCAATCCTCTTCATCAGTAACTAATTCGACATCGCTCTCTTCATTCCTTCCTTCCTCTTCAGGCCTAGCCTCTTTTTGCGCTTTCTGTATCGCCTTAATGCCAGCAAACTTCGAATTCGGGCTGCGGTCAACCTTTCTTCTTTTCGTTGGCCTCGAAGCCTCAATTTCTGCTTTTAAAGCCTTATTTTCCTCCAGAGCCTTAGCCAAGGCCAGATGCCTCTCATCCCAAGCTTTTGTCATCTTTCTGAACAATTGCCGTTGTGCTGTTGTTGACGCAAAGTGATTGTGGCTGTGCTGAAGCTGATGGTATAAATCTTTCGCTTTCCTCGGGGGCGAATATATATTTGGCTGGCTGTAGGAGGCTTGAGGGATTGAATTAGCCTTTTTCAATGCTTTTGAGGTTGGATTCGGCTGGGCCTGAGAGCGTTGTTCGGTGTTCTCGAGGAGAAGAGGGCTCAGAAGCGGCTTAGATGAACGAACTGGCCAAAGACCAGTTGCTTTCCATCCAGATATAATGTTTTGGCTAGAAAGGCCTTCCAGACGAGCTTGATAGTAGTTCTCAAGGAATAAACGTTTTCCTTGAATAGTACTATCCCCCCATTAGCTCAGAGCACTCAGCTTTCGCCTGTAAGCTCTCTTGAGAGAGGAAAAGACTCCAAGATCAAGAGGTTGAAGAACGTGAGAAGTATGAGGAGGCAAATAAAGTAATAAAATGTTGTTCTGAAAGCACTCCCACATAAATTCACTCGTTGTATGGCTGCCGTGGCCATCCAGATACTCAGACAGAGTACTAGGGGAAAGAGGAGTGTCCGAGACCGGAAGGTCGAGGCTTGGTGATGGATGCTGGTAGACTGAAGCGGCCAAGAAGTATTTCCCGAGAACTTCATGCTGACAGTCTGACGAGGCGCCGAAGAAACTCCCAACCAAAAAAAACCAAAACCGAAATAGATACAAGAAGTGAGGATAGTTTTCCAGAGACGGCTTCGCCTCAGGACGTGTGATTCTCTAGGACGCAAACTTGCAATACAACGGGGCTTCCCGACCTCTAACCCCGGCATTATCTAGCCTATCTGGAGGCTATCGGAGAAAGGAAGGTCATGCTCGCCTGTGAAAGCTATCTATGTACATAAATAGACCTGCAGCGGGTCAGCAGATGTCTTGATCCCCACTACTACGGAGGCCTTTAAGCTTACTTAAGTAGTCAGCTGGTTAATCTTAACAAAGCTGATTTATATATGCAGAATTGCTTGTTGCGAGATAAATACCCAGGTTCTGATATATTGTGTCACCTGTACTTGTATACTCAAGCCCTAGGAGGTAATAATGTTTCTTTTCTTTTTGTCTTTTTTTTTCTGTAAAAGAAAGAAACCTCAACCCCAAATGCTTCTGTTGATTTGAACCTAAAGTCTATACATGGTGGCTGGGCTTTCGGCATGTACCAGCCCAGATGTATTGTTTCTGGAACCTGAAAACACCCTGTCTGAAAGCAATTAATAGTTTACTGAAGATCAAATTACAAAGAGAAGAAAAACTAATATATCAAAGCTAGCAATAGCTCATTGTCTTTTTCTTGTATTGAAAGAGGAAAGATTTGCAACCGAAATACCTTGTACTTACATATATTCAAGATTATTTTATAATAAATTGTCCTTCTTTAACTTATAATGTAGTTTTTTCTTGCTCTAGCATACTAATCTTACAAGAAAGCTTCGCATTTTAGTCAAACTAAGCGAGTTCAAGGGCGGCTTGAGGAACTGGAAGCACCAAATTCTCCACTACTACCTACGTTTGAAGAATGTCAGCCATTTTTGGAACCGAGAAATTGAATTGTGCGGATATTGAGTCAAAGATGGAGCTGCAGTGCGGCTGAACAGGGTGAGCGGAAAGGAGGTGTCGTGGTTTGGTTCTTACAAGTAGTTCAGCTTTGCAACTTTCAGCTGCAGGTACTTCTCATTCATTTATTGGTTGCTATACGATACAACCTGTCTGATCTGCAGCCTCAGCCCTCTGTGAGCAGCTGCAGCAGTTCGATAAAACGCCACCGGGTGTCCAGGGAAGCCGTATTCCCGAGCTGCCAGCCCTTGAATTGGCTTGCTCTGCAGAAGCACCGGAGAAATGATGCATGCTGATCATGAACAACCAATACCATGAGAATAAGCTTCGTCCGACTCCACTTGTCAGCTTCGTTCCTCTCTTTTTAATGTTGCATTTGTTCCACAAACGCGCCGTATTCAACTCTCTGCAACTCGCCAATTGCTTTTTCTTTCTACTTTGGGACTTTATTGATCCAATTCAGGCTCCGTGGCGTTCCATTCAGCTTGCACCATGGCACTGAATGACGACTCCGCTCATGACCAGGCTGGCCGAGCCATGATTCTTAAAGCGGAGGCCTGGCTCTGGAATTGCGTGACTGAACAAGCTTTGTCCTTGCCGACCCGCGCAACTTAACAAATACGCTCTGACAATCGATCAGTACACGCGAAGCAGAATGGCCTCCAGTAGCATGTCCCAAGCAGTTCCCTGGGATGATGACACAGAGGGCAAAAAGCTGGAAATAAGGGACTCTTTGGAAAGCGAGGGCTCAGGATCTTGGGAGATTTTCTCTCCAAAAGACGAGCATTGTGGCATTTGGCATTCGTCTCCGAACAAAGAGAGGCATGCCTCGTTTGGCGATAAGGGAACCACAGCCAGCACCACTTGCTATGGAGACCTCATCCAGACGAGCCAATTTCTTGGTGCCGGTCACTCCGGAATGTTCACAATTGATCAGAAGTCCACATCGGAACCGTAAGCTCTATTGTTTAACTCGAAACGATCATTTCTGTTAACCAATTTACTAGATGTTACGTCGAAAGCAGAGCTCGGGACTTGCATTCTAATTCCACTGACCCAGGCAGCGATTTTTCATTCGGACTCGAGGTACCAGACGACCTTTGCCCTGATCAGGAGATACCGCCCGAAGTAAATTGGGTGCATTGGAGATGGCCAAGGTACGAATATGATACTCGTTTGCCCGGTGTCAAAGCGTGCTTTCAGTATATGGTGCATGAAGGAGTGGTGCTACAGCAGTTCACTGTAACGAACACCGGCGATAATCCTGTGACCATAGGTAGATTGGGATTCAGGTCAGACTTGCAGATACGGGACCTCGACTTTGTGGACGGCTTGTACCTGTTCAATTTCGACACGGCTGGCATGTTCGAAGTGCCCGGCCCGCTTGGCCATGGATATGTACATGTGAACATCTTGAACCCTAGCCCCATCACGAGTGAGAAGGAAGACGACCAGCAGGCAAACAGTGACCCTCAGCCAAACCAGCCACCAGAGCGGACCAGTTTGGGGGTTACATCTACATTGCAGGACCAACCTCAAACAGACGAGTCTCAGGAGGCGCAAGGTATTTCAGTCGCCAGCCAACCCCATGCCGTCGCGTGTGTAATCACGGTATACATGGACGGCAAAGCGATAGAGACACGAGAGGATAATTACCCTACGTCACATGAGCTGCAAGGTAGAAATGCCAGGTCGGGCAGCAACACACTCCAGATCGTCGTCGCATACAAACTGCTCCTTCTCCGGCAGCCCAAGAGCGACGGGAGAAATTTCGTGATTTCTGCCGAGGCTGCAAACATCAACCATTGGTTGCAAGAAGAGCGAAATTTGTTTTGGAGAGAGCATGATAACACCCACTTGTGTGCTGCAGGCCTCTCGATGATCAGCATCGAAGAGACCGACACGGATGTGACCGAGGCCGGACAGCAAGATGCAGCCAGTCTGACCAGCGAGGGATTCAAAGGCGGTCAGATTACCGACTCCCCTACAGGCGCACCAAATGTTTTCCTCGCCAGCCAAGGTCAATCAGATTCCAAGCTGCAGAGCCCGAGGAACCATCTTGAGTATTTTGCATGGCGGCACTTGGAACATATTCTGTCTGTCTGCGCTGTCCCACTGTCAACACCTGGCCTCATCGGAGAGAAACCTCGAGCTCCTTCCGATGCAATAGCCTTAACATGCGGCGACATGTCTGGCCATCGGGTCAACACTCCAGCTAGCTTGTGAGTTCCAAAGGCCTCAAGCCTCCCGCAACCCCTGTGCTGACTCGATGTCGGGAAGCTTTGCCTTCCGATTCCTGGTTGATGTAGCACGCCGATTGAAGAAGTGCCAGACGAAGACCGAATATATGACTTCGCTTGAAGAGCGAATCAAAACGACCTGCGGCGGCCATATCACATGGCTCCAGCAGCTTCGGGAAGCCGAGCGGCACAAGGCGGAAAAGGGCAATTTCTTGCAGACAGGTTGCTTCTCAGCAAATTATTGGGTGACAGGCGAGGTCATGCCCGAGAGCAGCCACAGTTGGCTGCCGCCGAATGCTATAACAGACACGGCGTTACAAATTCTGAAGGTCGCCGAATACATGAAACTCGGTCCGCAAGGCGACGCAAAGGATAAGGCGGAACAAATCATAAACGATGTCTACTTACCGTGGCTTGTCGAACTCGACCGGCTGGACATACGAAAGGCCTTCGCTTGGCCTCACGCGGGGGTGGAGGGAATCAACACGTTCCGCCTGGATGACCACTTCTGGATCTGGAAGGCATTGAAGTTTCTGGATGACAGAGCAAAAAAAGTTCAACCATCATTGAGACTTCGAGATGATGCCGCAAGGGAAAAAGAAGCGAAACGACTTAAGAAACATCATCCGTGGTTAGAACGCCTGCGTCTCACTGGCGAAAAAAGCATGGTTGAAGCCGCCAAGAAGTTCGCGGCAATTGCAAAACGGCTCGCACCCAGCAATGTCCAGCGTGGGATACTACAGCGATTTACGACCGAGAACGACGTGTCAAGAAGGAGAATGTTAGCTGTAACCCGATCCGCGAGGGAGACGAGGTTCTTGTTTCACGCTCGCGATACGGCGCTTTTCTATGGCGAAGACTCTCACTTCTTTCCTCCAATCTCATTCGACCAGCTCTGGGCAAACACGATTGAGACGCAGCCTTACCACGAAGACAACCAGGATGTCGTCTGGGACAACGCTCTTCGCTATGCCTTGGGCATTGTTATGGGCACTCGCGGGCACACCCTCAACAAAGACACTGCAGCTCGCCTGGTTCAAAAGTGTGTGAGCATACTGATTGGCGCCGGCGACCACGACGCATTCTTTCCCGGAGAGCTGAAGGAAGGGGGAAGGGAGCCAGCGATTTTCTACGGCGAGGAATATAGGGACTTTTTCTACCACGCTGGTTTCGAAATCAACCATGTCCTCCTATCTAATGCTAGGAAGATTGACGAAATTTTCCAAGAGGTGGACGAGACGCAACCCGGCAATTCAGAGCAGGCCAAGTCATCGAGTCCATCCAGCAGCACAGAGGAAGAATGCCGCCGGCTCATACAGTCAACATTGGCTGAGATGCTTGGCGTATCCTCACAGCAGCGGTTCGACCGTGTGCTGCAGGCGATCGACACGACCCCTCGTGTCCTCAACAACGCACGGAGCCTACTAATGAAGAAGTCCCTCCCATTCACCAATGTCATCTACGCAAGCAACGTCAACTCCATCGAGGAAGAGTGGCTTTACAACTATCCTGACTTCCTTTCTGGCAGCGAGATTGACAATGAGGACGTCGAATCTCGGTTGGGTCGTGAAAGATCTAGCAGCGAGTCTGCAAAGACTACCATTGCCAGAGCAATCTCAAAGGCGGACCCACAGATCAGCAGAGGGAGTAAGGCGATTCCTACTCTCAAGACGATACTTGATTCCCTGCGGGGGCGTCACCTATCATTTTGTGTCTTCGATTGTAAGAAGCAGAAAGGTCTTGGCAGAAGACAGAAGAAACAGGAGCGAGACAGGAGATATCTGGTGAGCGACAACCAAGGACTTCTTAATCTTCTCAAAGCTCCTAGGACGGCGGAGCTTGCTAAAAAGAGGTTCATATGGCTCCCCTATGCCGACTCCGGGACAGCTCTTGCTTGTTGGACAGCCAGCCCTGAGCGGGAGAGTCACGCGATTTCCCTGTTTTTCGACCGCCACGCCAGGTATGAGGGGAATGTCTGGGACGACACCAGTATTCTTCTCAACGAGTGGCAGACCGAGCTTCATTTCAGTTTCTACGTCCTCGTTGAAAAGCAGGACACGTGCGGCGATACTGAGTTACTGGTCAAGGCCGATAGGCCGTTCCCTGGGCGTGCTGGGAAGCTTCTCCAACGTGCGTCGATATCCTTTCGCTTTGATGGAGACTTCTTTGACCGCTACTGGACTTGTCACTTCATCGAGCACGTGCCTGGCGAAGAGGATTCAGACCAAGACCTCCCCTTCCCACCTGGTAGCGAGAAGGAGCTGGATTCCTCTGACAGATCCAGCAACAATAATGAGCAAAAGAAATGGTGGCAAAGAAGGGTTTTAGAGCCTTACCTGCTCAACCGAGCCCTGGACAAGATTGCTCACGCGTCATGCTTATTCTTAGACGAAGTAAGGAAGAGTCTGAGCCTAGACCACAATGGTCTATCACTCACCACACTTGGTAGTAAGAGAGATGTGCTGTCTATGAAGCGCTGGCAGCAATTCGAACATGCTCTGCAGAGCATGGAGGATGACCTGACATCGACCCTTTCTACAGTACAGAAATGGAATAGCAGAGAGAAGGACCGCGGAGAAGAGAACCCAAGATGGACGCGAAATGACGAGAAGAAATATCGAGCAGCGATCAAGAAGTTATGCAATGCGACAAGAGACAAAACCGATACCCTGAACATCCGCCGGGCCGACATCCGAAGGCTGAAGGAAGCCCTGACTGCAAGACGATCTGGAGCTTCATCAGAACGAAAACGTCCGCTACTTCACATACGCTACGGTGATCTTCCTACCCCTCGGGTTTGCAGCTAGCTTTTACAGCATGAATGGCGCTCCGGATCACACCACCATCGTGTCACTGGTTGTCTTCGCCTTTGCCGCCTTCGCAGTAACCGTCGCTGTCCTGCTCAGTAGCCGGATAGTGTTCAAGGTCTTTACCCACGACGTAGAGCCCAAGCTTTCTAAGGCTGCCAGCAGTATGGATGGAATGATAAGAGATGTTGCTCGCAATGTGCAGCACATAAGGGGTGGAGGCGTCGTGGATTTCTTCCTGGAGTTTTCGGCCCGCAGGGTGGTTTGTGCGGTGATGGCTTTGCGAGGGGACAAGCTATCCGCTCAGGCCGCATTAAATGTCCTAGCAGGAGTCTTCCTGACTCCGGTTCTAGGGTTGTCATGGCTGGTGAAAGCGCTGCTTGTTAACATTTTTGATATACTCGAGGCTTGCAGTAAGTTCATTCATGACTTCCAACTGTCGTCGCGAATCGCTGATCTCGTCACTAAGCAGGAATTGACACGCGGAACTGGCAACCAGTGTTCCCATCTGATGCCCAAACGGAGCCGAGGCCACACACCACCCAAGATCAGTATCTGATTGACGAGATCTTGGAAATCCCGCAAATCATGAGGCCTTTTAAGAGATAGGGAGAGGACGGTTCGGTGGGAAGCGAGCGAGCGGTATGAGGAACGGATGACGGATTGAAATTTAGAGAACACCTAAATTCTAGTCAACCAAGTCACTCTCCACTTTTGCTTGCCGCTTGAGGTTTTCCTCCCTCCTACTACCTTGGCTTCACATCTGTAGACTGACGTCTATGCTGTGGTTTGAGGCAACAGGAACACAAATGATATCCCGAGTTGCTCCGCAGGCTTTTGTCTGCAAAATTACGACCAGACATAACCTTTCTTCCTTTATTGTGTTCAGTGCATTTTAGAAAGTGTCATCGCTTCCAGCAAATTTGCCGGTCTGTGGCAGAGGCTATAGAAGTCCTCATTGCTGAGGGGACGCAGGGCCTTCAGCGAACTAAGGCTCTATTTGTGTGCATAAGGGTTCAGAAAGGTTAATACAATAACTCTCAATTCTTGTTACTGAAATCTCATCTTCCCTACCGGGTGATAAGCCTTGGTATCTGGTCCGCGTTCTGGCGATGCTCGCAGGCGTACACTAATATTCAAAGTCATCAGCAGCCGCAAACACGTCCATTTTAGTATCAATCTTAAATACACAAGCCTTGAAAATGTCAATTGCCTCCCAATAAGCTTCGACAATAACCTCTCCTCAGAAATGAACAGCATAAGGGGCCATCTAGTGTCAGAGAACATATAAGACGAATGTACGAAGGTTATGAGGAGATGAAGCAGCACGACCAGGAACATTCTGTCTGAACAAGAAGTGTCTACACACGGGCCTAATCTATCCACTCAGAAATTGGCATTCTCGACATCGTCAAGACCACAAGTATGGATAGACTTCCATGCTGAGATACATGCACAACCTACCTTTTTAAGTAGTCTGCAAAAATACTTACAATAATACTCTTTATGCCTTGTTGGTCCAGAAGCCCTGCGGGTTACACCATCCCTTGAGTCCAACAACCCCCCAGTCCATCCCAATACCACTGGCCTTGTGTCCACCAAAGGGCATGTTGGGTGCCACCTGGAAATGGCCGTTCACCCAGACACTACCAGCCTCCAGGGCATCAGCAATCTTGGTAGCTCTCTCGACACTGCTGCTCCAGACCGAGGCACCCAGTCCTACCTCGACAGCATTGACGCGATGGATCACATCCTCCTCCTCTGTCCAGCGCATAAGGGGGAGGATGGGGCTAAAAGGCTCCTCCCTTACAATGCATGACTCATCACTAGGATTGTCGATAAGGGTTAGCGGAAACAAGAGGCCCTTGGTCTTGATGGCTGCCTTCTCCTTGAGGCCTCCGAGGGCTACCCTCCACTTCTGCAACTCGGCCTCCTCAAAGAACTCCTTGACCTTGCCATACTGCATTGCGTTCTGTTTGAAAAGGGAAGAGAAGGTTTTAGCTTTTTCTTAGCACTCTAGAATTCTCTGAGCAGAACAAAAGGGGCGGGGAAGTGTGGGGGAAAAAAAAAATATATATCTGAATAGGACCGATGACCGTCTTTGGATCCGTAGCCGCCCCATATAGCATATTCTCCCGGATAAATGTGATTATAGCGGCGAGGAATGCATCGTAGATCTTATCATGCACATAGACCCGTTTGATGTTCATACAGATCTGGCCTGAACAGAGGAATGCCAGCGAAGAGACCTAATAATGAACAGAGAACGCATCAGCCGTGATCGGTTTACTTAAGCCACTCACTCAAGCAAGGTAGGGAAAGGACGTGTTTCTTCTTCTCTAGTCCGTGTTAAAACTCACCGCCGGCACAACCTTGGCGAGGTCGGCATCATCGCAGACGACAGCCGCATCATTTCCCCCCAGCTCCAGCGTAACCCTCTTCAGCGTGCGGCTGCAGACCTCGGCGACTCTCCTGCCCGTCGGTATACTGCCTGTAAAGCTGACCTTTGCGATGTCCAGGTTGCTCCGTCAACAGCGGACCGAGGCTCTTATCGCCGTTGAGCACCTGTACGAGGACCATGACTATCTCTAGGCTGGCGTTCTGCACGGCCTTGCCCGTCTCGGTGACGTCCAGGTCCCGGATGCCGTCGTGGTTCGCCTCGATGGCGTCGGCCAGCCGGAGGAGGTACGTGCTGCGCTTATCCTAGGAGAGGGAGCGCCACGCGGGGTAGGCTGCCTTGGCGGCCGCTACGGCTCGGTCGACGTCTGGCTTGCCGGACAGGGGGACCTCGGGCAGGGCCTCCTCTGTGGAGGAGTCCACGCCGTGGCAGGTCTGCGGCGTGGAGGCGAGCTCATTGTCGATGAGGTTGTAGTAAGGCGCCCTGCACATCCATTATGAAGCATTCAGGTTAGCCAGTCAACGGAAAAGTGTCGAGACAAAATATTCATCATCACAAGAGACAGGCCGCTATTACATACCGTAAAGTCAATCTTGTAGGCCATGACGGTGAAGGGACGAGGAGGCAAAAAGCGAGAAGAGGGGAAGAGCCGGGAACAGGAGCCGTGCAGACGAGGGGGAAGGTCACGACGCAACATGAAGGGGAGGCTACTATGGTATTTACTTTAAGTACTGTCCCGGCCAAGACGGTGAAGCACCTGTAGTGAAGGCTTAGTTTTTCCCCTACACGTAAACGGACATTATTCCATGCGCGCGGTGAGCCAACGGGCCGGGGCTCACCAATCACGGCTGTGCATTGGGAGGCACTCGCAGTAGAGCGATGCAGGCTGAAGTGTTGCATCTACATTAGTCTGCTGCTTGGCCAGGCGATGACTTACCGAGACGGGCAAGAATTGCTGGCCTCGAATACTCCTAGGTTGCACGAGATGAGGGTCAAGAGAGAAGATCAGTTTTCCCCTCCTCAGCGTGGCCCACATATCCAGCCGCCCCAGCAGGCTCCTGAAACTGCCTCATGCAACGTTGATCAGTACACAAGCCATCCATCTAGCGAGATTGTAGTATATCATCCATTCATTACTTGCTTCTCGAAGATTAAATAACCTTGTATATGTTTTATCTCCACGCTTTAAAAGTATCTATGAAATCAGATTCGATAGCGGCTGCTGCGCTTACATATAAGCACGGATGAACGCAGGGTAAGATCTGAGAAAGCCAAAGACCTCTCCACCTGCATGGTGCAAAGTAATTACCTTTTCTTTTCCCGGACAATGGCCAATGGCCTTTTTTCTCTTCTTTTCTTTTTCTTTCTTTGGCTGCATTCAACATCGTTCAATAATGGAATCCACCACTGGTACTGTATACTTGAGTGCTCTCTGCCGAGGAGGGTTGCCAGAACAGCGACGAGATGACCAAGGACAGATGGCCGCATGGCAGCCAGCTGCCGTGAATGGAGGCCACCAGGCTCTTGGTAGGCTTCAAATGTATGGAATTGTATACAGATCTGAGAAGTGATCACGAGGAGGCCGGGGCAGGCTAAGTGATGACGAGACCTTCCTCTAGGCGTCCTCCTCGTCCTTCTCCCCGACATGCTTCGGCTTCTCGGTGTACTTGTCCAGCTCGTTTATCGCCTCCTCTGTGTCATTGCACCTGCTGTACAGCAGCCAGAAGACCACACCGGCCACGAAACAGGCGACCGCCAGGCCGGTGTACATCCAGAGCAGCTTAGGGTCCACGGCGGTAGGCGACAGGGCGATGGACAGGGCGGAGCCGAAGGCGCTGGTCAGCAGGAAGAGCGATATGATGAAGCTCTTTATGCTGGCGGGGGCCTTTGGTGAAGGCGTACTCGAGGCCTGTGATGCTGGCAAAGATCTCAGAGAGGCCGATCAGCAGGTAGGCGGGGGCCTGGATGGCGATGTGGACGTTGTTGGGGGTATAGCTCCCGTCGGCCTCGAGGGCGGCCGGGCAGGCGGCGGGGGCGTTGTAGCAGGGGCCGGACTCGTAGATGAGCTTCTGCATGCCGGCGGCATAGGCCATGGCGCCGGTGCCCAGCATGAAACTCCAGAAGATGCGGGTGACGGGGTATATCTGGAAGCCGAGCCTGGCTAGGCTGGGGTACAAGAAGTAGTTGCAGATGGGGATGAAGATGATGATAGTGATAGGGTCCCAGTTCTGCATCAGGTTGTTAGGGATGCTGTGGAGGGTTATCTGGCTGGCCTAGGAGATGAAGTTGTTGAGTATCTGCGAGTATACGATCTAGTAGATGGGGTAGAAGCAGAAGACCTTGCAGGCCACGATGGCCCTCTTGACTTTGTCGACAAAAGACGCTGTCCCAGGTGATGGCGGCGGTGCTAGCGCCCCCCCCCGCGCGCCGCCGGCCAGCTCTTCGTGGTACTGCGGCTTAGCGGCGTCGAGGTTGCCCTTGTTCCTCATAGCAATCCACAGGACCCTGAAAGCCTTCGAAATGACGCTTTCCTGGGAGGGTCTCATCTTGTAGTGAGACTTTCCCGCGATGAGAACGCTGAAGCCGACGATGAACATGAGGAAGGGGAGGAGGTAAGCAGCTCAGAACCCGATGCAGGCCTCGAGCTCGGTGGTGGCGATGCTGGAGAGGCTGCCAATGTTGATCATCATATAGAAGACCATGTCTGATTTTGTTATTTTGGGGGAGCGTTGGTCAGTACTCATTCTTGCCGGAGGGTGGATGAGTGACAGCCTTTCTGGGCGTGCTGGTCTGACGGCAAGGCTTACAGATCCTCTTGATTGTTGTAGCAGGGTCGATGATAATCCTCTCGCCAGACTTGAGCGTTTTAATAAAAGGGGTGGTGTTCTCGTACTGCTCTGCGATGAGGGGCGAGATGTTGCTCTTGATGCCTCCTGTGCTGTACCCGATGATGATCATAGCTGCGATCAGACCTCCCAGGACAGTACTGTTCTCGATGGCGACAGGCAGCGAGGTTAGGAAGAGGATCAGACAGCTGACGATGTAGATAATGGCCGAGTAGAAGATAGTTCAGTACTTGCTCAGATACTGGTCGCTGACGATGGCACCGAGGACGGGCGTTACGTAGCACCAGAACTGGAAGAAGTCGGTCAGGCCTGTCGCTGCGGTCTGGCCCATGCCTATAGCTCCAGGCAGGGTGCCGCCGTACTTGTTCTCGATGTAGTTCTGGAAGGGACCGGAGAAGCCGTAGTAGGTGAAGCGCTTGCAGAGCTCGACGACGCAGACGAGGAAGGCAGACCAGGGCAGCAGCTTGTCAGAGACCTTGCGCAGCGTCCGCTTCTCCTCGTCGGTAGGCTCGTCCCCGGCGGCCGTGCTGGCTCTGGACATGGCAAGGTCAGCCGAGGGCTCAACAACACCGCCAGCCATGTCCTTGTAGTTCTTCAGCTGAGATTCTACCACAGTAGCATGCAGCCTGCACCAAGGTTGATTTGTTAATAAGTATTCATCATTAATTCATTAAGGGAACCACAACAAGAAATGTGTATAAAGGAGGGCGTGCGGGGGAGGTTGGGATGAACTCACTCCGCAACATTGGACTCATGATCCATGATGGGCGACGAGAGACTTGAAGCCAGAGTAAGAAACAACTCGTTATGTCTCTCTCTCTCTCTCTGGTGTGTTGAGGGGAAGGAGAAGAGGAAGAAAGGAAGAAAGGAAGAAAGAAAGAAAAAGGAAAAAAAAAGGTTGGGTCGAGTTTTCGTGGGCACTGAATATGTGAAGAGATGTGCAGAGACCCTGGTTCAAGTAGTCTCGATACTTGGGGTGAACTGCCGTTGTGGTTACTTGGTATGTACTGGAGAAGGAAAAAAAGAAAGAAAATGAGTTACTGAGCACAGAAAAGATCAGCGCCAGGAACAAGAAACAACCTGATTAGATAGATTCTGCATTTCTACCGGTCCAATCTTCTTCTTTTCTCTTCTTTTCTCTTACTCTTCTCTTTTATCTCTTCCCTTTGCTCTATCGTGCGCAAAATGTCCACATTTATGCCGTGGACCTCGGCGAGTACCGTAATAATAGTCAGACCAGGAATTCCGCACACTCCACTTGGTCCTGATTCAGTTTTTCTATTCTTTTTTTTCCTCCTTCTCTCTTTTCTTTCGTTTTTTTTTTTTCCCCACCACTTTCTGCAATGGTTACAGAAGAAAAGGAAGGGCGAAAGAAGAAGAAAAAATCCACGAAGGGTGGTGTTGCCGACCAGTGATCGAGGCATGGTATTCGATCAAGATGCAAGGTCTCACTGCACGGGCGTCTCGAGAGTTGCTACCATGCATGCAACCTGGCTAAACAAACTCTACTATAGTACAGGTGAGGAAAGAATAAAAAAAAATAACAAATCCCCTTTTCAGCGGAAAGAAGGGCTTGTATAGAGAAAATCCTCCTGCAGCACAATATAGTTATTTTCAATATTCCATAGAGAGAGAGAGAGAGAGAGAGAGAGGTCTTGTTATCAGTCGAGACATACCAGCAATCTCTTCTTTCGTCCGACATCCCTCTTCGCCTCGTTGCACTGCTCCTGGACTTTCGCGAGCATTTGGGCGAAGTCCTTCGTCTTCCTCAGCTCGTCACTCAGATCCTTGCCTTCTTTGCCGGTGTACTCCGGGGACAGCGGGTGCTTGCTGGACAGCTCTTGCTTGTATGTGGCCAGAGGAGCTATCTGAGCTTCCTATACAGCTCGTCAGCGCGGGTCTCGCTCCCGTAGCAGCAGCAGCATGGTGCGATATAATACGTACAAAGCGAGCCTCCAGCATATCTACCGTACTCTTGAGCTCCATGCTGTCCATCGAGATCGATTCCAGAACCGCCTGGTAGAGCCGGCGCGTATGGTCACTCTGCTGGCGCAGGTACCGAAGAAGGCGGAGCCCTTTTGTGAAGCAGTCGGACTCGTCTGCGCTATCGCCCTCCCCCTCCGCCCGGAGCCATTCCTCGAGATAAGGGGTGGTGGCGTCCACGGGAATGCAGCCGGTCTTCTTCCTGGCGCATCTGGTACAGGCTGTCGCAAGGCTCTTCTTGCCCCTCTTCGGCTCTATGGTGAAGCCTTCTTGTTAGCTCTCGTTCCCGACCAGAGAGCGGCACCCGTTAGCATCGCGTACATACTTGGCTTGGGCTGGTCCGCACAGACGAAGCTCTTCGACTGGTCGAGCATATTCTCCAGCTGGTCCAGGAGGCATCCCCTGCAGGGAATCTCGCGGCGTTTGGGCGCCGGCACGTCCTCGGCAGGCTGGGCCTGTGGTGGTGAGGCCATGACTGGCTGGTCGTTCCGTCCAGGCGAAGGCGCGTGGCTGGTCTTGCCGCCGCCGCTGCTGCTGCTGCTGCAGTCCTTGCTGTCGCGAAGAATGCCGAGGGGAGGGAGGTAGTGATGGGAGAGCTTCGCAAGCGACGGGGGTGAAGGTTGACGAGGAGCTGAGATGTGGCTGACATGCTTTGCGTAGGTCGGTCGTGTTGGTGGCCAAGGACGAAGTAGGGCGCGTTGGACAAGCATTAAAAAGGGACTGCGCGGATGGCTTGCGTGGAGGGAGGAGTGAGCTTTGTCGTTGGCTTGTATGCAGAGAGAGAGAGAGAGAGAGAGAGAGAGAGAGAGAGAGAGCGGGCCAAAAAAAAAAAAAAAAAAAAAAAGAAGAAAGAAAGAAAGCAAAACAGCCGCTGCCTGCAATGGAGGCAGGGAGGGCTAGCGTCCGCCCAGCACAGCGCATGGAGAACCAAATTGACATCAATTCTTCCTTCCTTCCTTTCTTTCTTTCTTTCCTTTCTTTCTTTCCTTTCTTTCTTTCCTTTCTTTCTTTCCTTTCTTTCTTTCCTTTCTTCCTCCCCACTCGACCAAGGGAAAGACCATTGCTGAAGGGGATTATTATTCAAATATAAAAACAAGCGAATGGTTGAACAAAGCTGGTAGTGGTGGATAGACAGGCGAAAATGACCGTCACTGTATGTGTGAGCGTGTGTGAGGGCGGGAGAGGAGGCCTCGGCCATGAGTGGAAAGGAGACAAGGTCGGGTCCTCACGCTGCCGCATAACACTGAGGTATCAATATTCCCTCTCGGCAAGCCTTTTCTGGTCTTCCCTCCTCAGCGCAGCCCAGCATAATCTCGCCAGAAGACCTGCGCAGGTCAGCCGAGATACCTGTGGCGTCATGGCCCCGCTGCCACCCCCTGGAGGCGGAGAAAAGTCCGATCGGATCGCCCTGGCCATCTGTCCGGCCCGGAGCGACGGGCTGAAGCTCTCCATGCGAACACTCGTAAGATAAGATTGGCTGCGGTATTCATCCTCACACATGCCACAGGGCCGATCATGGACCCTCTACCAGAGCAGCACTGCATAAGCACTTGGAGGTCATCTTCTGGTCATCTTCTGCCCTCTTCTTTGGAGGTATTAATTTCATCGCGATCAGTCTAACAAGGGGTCACGTGACCCTCCTCTGTCTTGCCTAGCTTGAGAGCCCTCAGGTGCTGTCGCCGTGGTACGTTCCCTGTCTGCCTTCACGCGTGCTGACCTCCTGATCCCTGGCGGTGCCGGCGACGCCCCCTCGACGGACCCCTCCCTGCCAGCCGGCTCCTCGATCGCCTGTGAGGTGATCTTCCTCACCACCCTATCTGCCAGATCCATAATGCGCACGACCGTCTCCCGGTTGCTCACAGCCCATCGTATCAGCTGCTCTCGCATCTCCTTCATAGCCTTGGACGAACTTATCGGGGCCGCAATCAGGATCCTGTCGAGCAGCTTCTTCCGCTCTGCGTGGAATGCTGTATCCGTCATCGTGGCCTTCACGCTCCAGAAACCCCTCACGTCCTCCACCATACCATCGGGGACTGACTCGCAGTGGCTGCAGGCGTGCGAGCATCTGCTGCATACGAAGCGAACTTGAAAGGTAGATGATGAAACATCAGCCTTGCACACATAAGTCATGGCTCGTAGAGGTGTGCTGTCGTGGGAGCAGGGGCCGGGGGGGGGGGGTGGGGTTGGTTCTTACTTCTGCCGCTCTCTGTCGCAGAGCCCATGATACACTCATGTGCACGGTCACCTCCGCAGCGGATAATACAACCAACGCACGGGATGTCCGTGATCTTTCCCGTGCTAGCTATCGTGCTAGGCTCAGCATGCGGCGGCGCGGTCTTGTTCTTCTTAGCCTGGACGGGGCTGTCACTGGCGGGCGGAGATGGCGCGGCCCTCTTGCTACCGGCAAGACTCTGGCTGTCACCAGCTGACGGATGTTCCAACTGACCGTCGAGGCTCATTATGCCAGTCGGCGTGCAGTAGGCCGCCTCATCGTCCTCCCTCTCCGCATCTGACCCGGCCAGCGTGCTGCTGTCATCGGCGATGGTACTCTCGGGTCTCTCCACCAGGGCCGCCAGCGTCTCTGCTGCCTCCTCTATTGTCTTGCTGGCGGTGTCTGGCTGGGGCGGGCGGGCGCTCTCCTTGTCATCGGCATCAGCAGCTTGGCGGGTCGTCTCGTTGTCTCGAGCGTGCGGCTCTGGCGGATGAGGGCGGCGTCGTGATGCAGTAGCCTTTGAGGGCTACATAGCCGACCTGTTAGCGATATCTCGTGTCATATGGTGTTAGAGGAGATGAGAGGAGAGGGGGAGTGGGGAGTTGGAAACTATACAGAGTATTCAGCACAGGGTGACTTCTGAGGGTGTTGGGCTGGCGGCTCAGCTGTGCAGCTCGGCGTACTGCGTGCAGCCAGCTGCGGAGCAAATCGAGACGCAGAAGGAGTCTTCCGCTCGTCGGGCTGCAGAGAAAATCCAGATGCGGCGGAGGGAGTCGTCATCTGGTCAGGCAGAAGATTAAATGAAGATATGGAGGGGGTCTTCCTCTCGTCAGGCAACAGATCGAATCGAGACATAGAAAGAGTCTTCGTCTCGTCAGGCAGCAGAGCAAATGGAGACGCGGAAGGGGTTTTCATCTTGCCGGGCAGTAGCTGCTGCGTGCTGGAGGCCGCTGTCTCTGTCTCTGCTGGGACACGCCTCTGGTCGTCCATCTCTTGATGGGGTGCCATGTTCGCAGCAGCGGGACCTGGTGCTGGCGGCGTGGCTATCGAAGACATCTGCTGGTCTTTGGCAGGTGATGAAGGCGTGCTGCCCGTGATGGGGGGTGGGTGCTGCTGAGGGTCGCTCATGACGTCGAGGGTGTCGGACAGGAGGATGAGCACCTTTGACAGCGGGCAGGGAGAGAAAGAGAGCGCGAGAGAAAGTGAGAAGGTGAGAAGAAGGAAAGGAGGGAAGGAGAAAGAGAGAGAGAGAGAGAGAGAGAGAGAGAGAGAGAGAGAGAGAGAGAGAGAGAGAGAGAGAGAGAGAGAGAGAGAGAGAGAGAGATGGAGGAGGCCTTGGTAGAAGCAGCTTTGGTGATGGCAGCAGGCTTGGTTGACAGGAGCGTTGGAGGTGGCAGCTTTGGTGACGGCAAGATGAAGCTTAGGTGATGGATGGATGGGATGAAGAGGATAGGTGCCAGCAGTTTGTTTTTCTCTCTTTCCGATTCGCTTGACTGGAGCGAAGACGGTGGGAAGAGGAGCGAAACAGAGCGGCAAGGTGTGCTGATGCTTTTTTTTTTTTTTTTTTTTTTTTTTTTTGGTTCTGGCCAGGTTTGCGCGTCTGTGGAGGTGTCTGTGGGTGGTTGCTTGAGGAGAAAGTGCTGTAGGTGGGGGTGGGTGGAAGGCGAGGCTGGAGCTCACGCAACCACCTCCTCCTTCCAAGCAGCAGAACTTGCCTCGCGATCTGAGCTCACCACCATCTGCCTCCCCACCTCAGATGATCAGGAGCTGGCCAGTTTTCTTTTCTTTCTTCCTCCTCGCCTACCATGATCAGACAGCCTTCCCCTCAGCCTGCTAACAGCCACCACTACAGCTACGGTCACAGCCTGCAGCCGCCTGCCTCCTTCTGTCAGTCTCTTTCTACCCCTCAGCTTTTTCTGACCTCTCCCTGCGCGTGACGCGTTACCTGCCGGACCCCCGCCTCCGCTAACTACGTACTTCTTTCTGTTGTGCCGGCCCTCCACTCTTTTTTTTTTCTTTCAGACCTCTGACCCTCTGTCAACCTCGCCTTTCCTCCCTCAAGCCCTCTCTCCCTCAGCCTCTCGTCCACACCCACACCCATCTGCACGTCGTTTCAAGCGCGCCATCAGCTCACTTCACCTCCCCAGATCCATTCAACCACGCTTCTGACACCTTGTTTGGGATACAACACGCGCCCCTCGACCATCGCCTTTCTTTCCTTCCCCCCGTTCTTCCTTTCTGCCTGCCTACCTCCAGCTGTCTTGTGCACCTCAGCGCGTGACGAGACCGTGACCCACGCTCTCTGCTGTTGATCACTCTTCTGCTCGCCGACGACTTCGCGGCCGACGTCCTTTTTTTTTTACCCCTTTCCTTTTGATCTCCTCTCACCTTTTCTTGTCCCTCCGGTAGGCATTGCCTCCTCAGACGCGTCTCGATCCTCATCCTTTTCTGGTCAGCCATCCTTCCGTAGCAAAGCCTCGCGCCTTTCTTTCCACTACCGCAGGTATGTATTTTTCTTTACACAGCCTACCCACAGCCTGACTACCACCTAACACGCCTTGTCGTGCTGAGACCACCTGGCCTCTGCAAAACGTCTTGCATTCCTCATCTCCATCTCCTTCCCTCCTCCTTCTCTCCTCACCTTTGATGCCGACCTGACCTGGCTACATTACATCACAGCACGCCAACCTCTCTTTTCCTCGCTCCTGTGTTCTTCGAAGGTGGATCCCGCCCCTACCGCAGAGCAGAGCGCGGCCCCCTCTGAGGGCGACCAGCCGGTCATGCGTTTACCAGCGCCTAAAGACGACCAGCAGGCTTCTCCAGACTCTCACTGGAGCAAGAGGAGGCGGCTCGATGACCAGGAACAACACTTCAACCTGGCAGAGATTCTGGTTACCTGTACGCGAGACGGAAAGACTCACTCCGTTCCTCTCGTGTCATTTATCCCATCCAATCTCCTTAACATCGAGAAGCCGCAAGTCTACCAATTCAGCTACGACCTCCTCCGCACCTGGCTCGAGACTTGCTGCGGTATGCCGCCAGAAACCCCTTTGGCGGTGCTGCTGCACGCCTCCGATGGCAGTCCCAATACAAGCATCGTCGAGAACAAATGGAACTTTGCCAAAGTGCTCCATCGGATCTGGAATGGCACCTGCGTGGTTCCCTACGATGCAGAGCTCAAATTCTATCTCCCGGTCGCAGATGCGTGCGATACCCCTAACGCGGCGAAGGACGACCTTCCGCAGGATCCTGTCCCTGCGGCCCAAAAGGAAGACGACCAGGCCGCAACTGACCAGCCCCGTGCGCCCGTTCTGGATCTGACCAAGGACGACTCCGACGACGACCAGGTGGAGGATGCTGCCGACGAAGCCCACCTTCTGATTGGGTTTGACCCCAAGAAGTGGAACATGACACGCCGCATGTTCCAGCTCGACCAGGTCCCCGAGAGGAGAGAGGCCAAGTACCGGCTGCGCGGCATTGCCCGCCCTCCTCACATGTACCAGCTCATCACCGTGTGGAACATTCTTACGAACCCGATTACTACGGGCGTGAGCGGGCTGATGATTGGTTGGGATGTCGGCTTCGGCAAGACCATGCTGACCCTCGTCTTCTTGCGGATCAGGGCCGAGCTCGCGATGCAGTGGGTTGAGGTCAAACGCGAGTGGGAGGCGGCCAAGAAGGGTGGCCTCGTCGAGCGCAGGCACTGGCCCGAGGGTGCCCAGGAGCCGCAGTCTCGCTGCCCTTCTTATGTCCCGACCTACCATAAGGGTGTGCTTGAGGGCAGTATCCAGTGTCCCTGTGTCCCCGGTTCTCAGTCGCGAGAGATCTGCGAGTGGTACCTGACCAATACGCCTGCCCTCATCGTCCTACCCGCTGGCCTAATCCCGAACTGGCTCGAGGAGGCGGCGAAGGTGTACGCCGACATGGACCCGAACGATGCCGACAGCGATCCTCTGATGACTTTCTTGGTCTACTCCAGCGATTTAAAGTCGAAGAATGGCGAGATAGTGTTGCCCAGACCCAAAAACACCCGCGGCTGGAAGGAAATCTCAGATACGAAGGGAGGCCAGGTGGTCTCCTCTGACGAGTATGGAACCGAGGAGCTTCTTTTCATCTCAGGTGGCAGCGGGATAGCACGGGACATCTTCATCGCGAGCAGCGCGGCTGTTGATAGAATGCTGAAGTGCTTTAATGAAGCTGACACATACTACAGCCAGTGGAAAAAAATCAAGACGAGGATCCTCACCGTCGGGGCCTTCGTCATGGATGAGTTTCACCTCTACAAGGGGACCAATGACGCCACTCTCGCCTTCAACCACCTGAAGACCATCGCCGGCTGTGCAAACCACCCCGTCTCTCTCATCACGCTTTGTGGCACGACGCTGGAGGAAGGACCTTCCGCGTTCCAGCATGTTATCCAGCATTTCGTCAATCAGCACAAGAAATTTCGCAATGGGGACAACGACCTGCGGTGTATTGATAAGCATGGGTACCGCGTTACGAACGAACAGTTTGAGAAGATGAAGCAGCTGTTCAGGTCTGCCGTGCAGGGACTGGGCTTTCAGGGGAGGAGTGTCGAGGAGATTAAGAAGGAGCTGGCACCATGTGTCTCCTTTTGTCGGCAGTTTATGGATTGTCTCCGCCGGGGGCAAAAGTACCGTGGCAAGCCGATCGACCCGCTCCCTCCTCTTCTCCTCATACCACTTCTCCGTCTTTCTCCCCAAGCATGGCTATGATCTTCACATGATGAGCTGGTACCTAAGGGGGCACAGGCTTGGGGGGGGGGGGGGGGGCGCCCAGTGATCCGTATGTATGAGAACTGCAGGCCACAAGCAACACCCACATGTCTTCTATCCTTGTCTTCTTACTCTTCACCATGCCGCAAGCAGGAGACGTAATATCGTGGCGACCTCCCTCGAGCGTGGGGGAGGGGGAGGAGGAAGGGAGAGACAGAACATCCCCGGCGCGAGGAAATAAAGATGCAGAGGTCAACAGGAGAGAAGAACTGGCCGCCGAGCTAGGTCTTACTAACCATAGTCCAATTGCCTGGTAACTGAGCTCTCTGCGCCTGACCAGGGGCCCAGGCGCTGGCCGGTGCTGGGCAGCTGTGCCTGCAGCATGAAGATGATAGTCCGCCCATCAGCCAATGTCGCGAGCACTGTGAGGAGATATGTACATGGCCCCGCTCGTCAACTGGCTGTGGTCCTCCTGACCGCCTCCGCGACCACCCACACGCCCAAACACCACGGCCGTGCCCCTCGTGTGCCGGTACAGACCGGGTATCGGCTGATGCTCTCTGACCAGGCAGCTAGCTGGTGTGCCGTGTTCTCGCGCGTCGTGCCGCGCGGGCGTCGGAGTCATGAGGGTGATTGATGGGATAACGCGCTGGCCATGCTGGCGTCCTTCTGACCATGTTGCGGTGCATGCTTGCTCGTCATGGCCAGGGCTGGCTGTCCTCTTGCTGTATGCTGGCATCTGGAGCTGGCTTCCTCTGTCTCGATACGTGCCGTGGCGGCGCCCTTCTTGTCGACCACGCGACGCGTCTTCTCGAACGGCGTGTTCCCTCGTCGCCGTCATCGTCATCCTTGGCGGTGGCGGAGGCGTTCGAGCACGGAGAAGGAGAAGGAGAGGAGGAGTGAGGAGGGCGGCCTGGGAGCGGGTTCTGGAGGTGCTGGCTGGCGGTATGATTAGCAAGATGGGCGTAGGAGCAGACAAAAAGAGATGAGGGCGAGGAGGAGTAAGCAGCTCGGGGACTTTCTGCACTCGAATTGCTGTTGGATGGAGGACGGAATGCAAGCTCACATGCGATGGGACGCCCCGCGGTATGTGCAGTCAATGCCGCGCTGCGCCAGGCCGTCTGCTGCCAGACGCAGCGTGGCGCCTTTCGGCTGTGTCCACAGGCAACGAGGCAGGCCGCCCAGCAGCCGCCTCTGCCGCCTTTTTTCGAGAGGATGCGTTCGTTGTGTTGTTGAATGTGTTGACGGGAAGAGAGCGAGAACAGACCCGCGCCAGTTTTTTTTAATGTGGAAGAATGATCTGATGCTGGGAGTAGCATTTGGGAAGGAGCGGAGGAGGAAGGGTGGGGAGGGCGCGTGGGCGGAAAGAAGGGAAAGAGCAAGGATGGAAGAAGGCGACAGTGCGGGGGCAGAAGAGGAGGCAAGATAAGAAGGCCTGTGTCCAAAGGTAGTCGTCAGCAGTAGGACACTCATGGGGGTTAGAATGTGCTGTATGCTGGTATTGATGATGTCTTCTTCTGCTCTTCTTCAGCTACACAGCATCGCATTCACAGGCCCTCGATGAACTGCTGCAGAGACAAGTGCAGCCTGATGTACTTCGGCTCCCACTCGTGGTATTGACTAGGGCCGTCCTCACATCTAGTTTTGGGGCGGTATACCAAAAGGCTTCACCTCGGTCAGCCGCTTTCCATAATTGCAAGCAGTACGGGGGTCTATCTTACCACGATATCTTTTAGGCACTTTGATGGGTTGTAAACTTCGATTTGCGTTTCTGTGGAGAAAAGGTGGCGATGGAATCTTGGGGTTCTGTCCGGGCCGGACCGAGACCTAGAGGCAGCAGAATAATCAATTTTGCTCCCTTCCCACAGCAGACGTTGACGGAAGAGACCCCAAAGGGGTTACTACAGTACTGCTATAGAATGACGTACCAGCCGTTACATAAGTGAGGAACGCGGTTTCCCCCTTACGCCTTCAGGCCCTCGAAGCCAGCTAGCCTTTCTTCCGTTTCCTTCCTATACTTCAGGCTGGGCTAACAGAAGTAGCCTTGGCAAGCCTGCCTTTGTTGCATGGCCCTGGCTACCAACAGGACTTCATGTGCTCATATAAAACGTGTGGGCACATGCAGTGTGCGCAGTCATAAGCTATGCTCACCTACTCTGCCTAAAGGCTAGCTGCATAGCAAGAGCAACCAATTTGGTCACCACAAGGATTCTCGGGGCCAGGGCCCGCTCGTTCGAGAGCCTTTCTCTTCATCCCACAATATCATTAAGAACAATACGAAGGTGCATTTCCACCAGCGTGGCTAGCACGGCCAGTCTGTACGTTTTGTTACCTTAGTCCCCGGCTCTCGGGCTAAGCCAGCTCAGGTTCCTTTTCCTCTTGCCTCGATCCATTCCATCCATCCTGATCAGCGATAACCTCACTCTCTCCGCTTCTCCTCTAGCCACGCTGAAGGGAGTTGATGAGTTATGCGATGTAAGCAAAATCCCTCGAAAGCAATTCGCAGCTACGAAAAGTATATAGCACAGGTGCTATCTGCGGGACGATCTTCGTCAACGACCGGTTCAAAGCGTTGCTCTCCGATGATCTCTCACCACAAACACAGTGGCTCGTTCGAAGCCCGCTGTCCGAGCGATCGAGTTTGAGCGTCTGCTCCGTTGCCCCAACCCTTTACAGCAGGAGAGAAAGCTGTTCACTGGCGGGCGGGGCCATGCAATTCTTGTCTTGTAGTAATTATGCTGGGGAGCAGGGGCAAGCCGCATATCTTCACACATGCCAATGGCGCTATGAACTCCGCCCATGTTTGCTTGGTTTCCGCAAGGCCAACATCGTGGTTTCTTGTCCTTATCGGGGTGTCATAAGAAAACCTCCCAAACTCAGCTTTTGTCTATAAAATGGCAGGGTAGCAAGAATCAATACCACTATAGAAAGAGGCAGCGCTGTTGCAATATACACCCAGAAGTGCTTTTCCCCCGGTAGATAGCCTTCTGACATGCTGAATAACCCGGAAATCCAAGAGAGAGGTATAAATATAAGTGCGATAACTGTAAGCAAAGTGACGTTGGCGGCATGGCGCCCCGACCGCTGCGCGTCAAGGAGTTGCACCATGGATGTAGCCACAGGGACTATTCGTTCCATCGATATACTGTATCGGCGTAATTGCGACCGTGCATAGCTGATATCCCGCAAGATGGTCTCCCATGGCTTCTTTTCTGTTTGCTCTTCGACCCAACGGCTGATGAATTCGCTCAGGATGTGCAGTTTGTGCTGACTCTGGTCGAGGCGCCGCGGCCACCGCTGCAGGTCGACGAGGTCTCTCTCGTGCGACCGACCCTCAATCGTCTGCAATGAGTATCTGTAGTACATGAGGTATCGGCTGACCAGATGTAGATACAACATCCATTCCGCCAACGCTATGCGTATCGGATAGTAACCCATGCTGAGGATCTTAGGAGGGTCTGCTCCGGTGAAGCCGGGTGGGTAATTGCGATAATAGTGAAGTAGGCTTGAAAGCAGAGAGCTTTTGTTCCAAGGAAGAGAAGCCTCATATGAGCTGGAAGAAGAGAGCGCCGGCGGCTGCTCAAAATCCTCGAAGCCGCCATGCAAAGGCTGAGCCGAATGTTGGTTTCCAAGGAACGACTCTTGCGCTTCAAAGACGGTCTTTGCTGGTGGATCCACGAGGACGACAGCTGGACACACTGGTTAGAAGTGGTATAGCTCACTCTTCGACTGGGACTTACTATACCATACTCCCCCATGCTTCTTCAGCACTATGGAGCAGCAACCCCGCATTAAAGCCAATTGCCGCCCTTGCAAGTCTGGCAGTAGCCTTATGTTACGCATCACATTAGACCTGGTTCTTACTTGGTAGACTGATCCGTTGAAGTTCTTGCTTTGACCCAAATCAATAACCTGTTGGTAATGGATATGCAGGTGGCCTCGCTCGGCTATCTGAGATGGATAAAAGGCACGAAAGGGCGCAAGGGGAGCTTGGTCGATACCACTGAATTCAGTCGTTACGTAGTCGGCAAAAAAGACCGGATCGATATTGAGAAGCTGGCCAAGACCGCTAATCAGACTGGGTTCAATATCCTCGATAAACAAAATCCGCCCATCGGCGGTAGAAGGGCCCTGAATGCGCTTCGACAGATCCTCTGCGCTGATGCTGGTCGGGGAGGAAAATTGGCCACACCCAGCAGCGTACTCGAGCAGAAAAAGTGAACTGGAGCTCTGAGGCGCGTGCTTGATGTACTTCAAAAGGCCGGTCACAGATGGGTTAGTGTGCGCTCTGGTTTTGATAAAATCGGTATATGTTGTTTGCGGCTGCATTGTTGCTCCTCCGATATGTCCAGAGTTGAAGTAGAAATGGGCAGTAGCTGCTTCGTTGAGATATACAAAGAATGCTCAAATTTTCTTGGCGGGGCCCAACACTATATTGAGATGTAAAACTCTATTGTATTCAAATAATCACGCAGACGAGGTGGCGTTTTATTACGCGCTGGAAATTGGGTGTCTTACTCAACATGCGTTGCTACCATATTCTATATATCTAGATTGATGCGCCCGAGACTGAGAGCTTTATAGAGAGAAAAAAACATACCTATAGACCTTCTTCCAAGCGGCTGCTTAACTGTTCGGGACTGCCTGATCAAGTCAACCTTGGGCCAGCTTGCAGCACTGCCACCCGCTGCATGCAGGCTATCGGGGCTTAGTAGTTACATTGATGGTGGGTCGGCAGCTATAGGAGACAAGGGTGAGTAGGACGTTCCTAAACACTAAAGAAAAATTAATAGAAAGAACGGGTACTATATTTAGATATCATGTAGAAAAATGAATACGATATCCACTGATCAAGCCGCCCGACCGAGGTGCGGTGTGGAGAGTCGTTTTAGTAGCTGTTTGTTTGATTGGACGGATTGAGGCCTCAATGTGTTATTTTGCCGCAATATAAGCGCTTGTGGCGGCGGCTTGGTAAACATCACGCACACGCACCCGCTGTTGGCTGCGCCATTTCAATATCGGCATAGCCTTATTCCTCCCCCCGCTCGCCATTTCAGCTTCGTCCAGCTTTGAAAACCAAGAGACGCCTCCACCTGGGACTACACAACCATTCGACTCCAGTATTTGCTTCACCTGAAGTTTCATGCACAGGGCTTGAATTTGACCAGCTGTTGCCGAGAGAAGCGTTTATCATACTTTAACACTCTCAAATTGCAATAATGGATGATGCCTCCAGCAGAAAGAGGGGTTTGGACGACCGATTGCAACAAACAAATGCATACACCCCATCAACAAAGCGCTCGAAAATCAGTGATCGCAGCGGCTCATATCAGAGTCCAGGGGAACAGAGCTCAAAACCTACGAAACAACTCCTCAAAGAAAAGGTGGATCTCGCGATCGATAGGCATCAGCCTGAGGGGTTATCTGGTGACGTTCGGGAAAAGAGCCAATCTCTAAGAAGCGCTTTCGCAGAACACGTGTGGGCGGAAATCCGCATCGACTATGATCAAATGACGCAAGATCTGAAGAAGTTGCTAGAGATAACGCTCGGAGAAGAATCCATCAACGCCGAGGTGTTGGGGCGGACTAAAACGATTCACTCAACTGAGAGGACATTACAGCGCCGCGAGGACCATCTCTTTAAGAAGACTGGGAGGGGTTTCGACAGTCTTCAGCAGATCCTCAACGAGATGCACGACCTTTCTGGGCTCAGAATTGTACTAGCATATCGCGACGACCTGAAAAGAGCTCAACAGCTTATCAGCACCACATTTGGAATACGGAAAGCTTTCGTCCAGTTTGATCGGAATCGTGAGATTGGACAGCTCTGGAGGAAGCCCTGGTTTGGTGCTTATGAGACTCAGAACCATCGCGTCCATCTTGTCCAAAAAGACGAGGCTGCCTTTCCGCAATATGTCGGCGTCATGTTCGAAATACAGCTTACGACATTTGCGGACAGTTTGTATAACATACTCGCGCATGATCTTTTGTACAAGGCAGAACCCGGTCTGCTTACCTCCGAAGATGAGATGGTTATCGACTTGTCGCATGGACTGGCTAAATGCTTCGAGCTTTGCATGAGGATATTGAAGCCCAAGTTGGATAAAGACATGGATAGGAAGGTTGATAACAGAACCGATACCAAAGAGTCTCTGGAAATGGCGAATATGTTGGGAGAGAGACAGGCAAGAGAAGCTCAGTTGGCAGTAACCGATTTCCAGAGAGATTTGGAAACCCTTCCGAATGACACAAGCATAATGGCGAAGTTGTCACAGCTTATCACACAACAGCTAAGGTATGTCGTTCGAAAGTCTCTTCCAAGATTATATACTGACAAAGTTATAGGGAATGTTTTCATGAGCAACAGCAGACAGCTGAAGACCGAGAGTGCCTCAAAGACCTGCGGCCAAGCGACCCGCGGGATGATAAAAAGCGCATCGAACAGACGAAAGGCGGCTTGCTAAAAGACTCGTACAAGTGGATCCTGGAGCATCAAGACTTCAAGCAGTGGCGAGACAACAATCAGAGCCGGCTGCTTTGGATCAAGGGCGACCCCGGCAAGGGCAAGACAATGCTGCTCTGCGGAATCATCGATGAGATGAGCCCTATCACGACATCAGATGGCAGACGTTCTTCCCTAGTCATATCTTACTTCTTCTGCCAGGCAACCGACTCGCGCATCAATACGGCGACAGCTGTGCTGCGAGGCTTGATTTATCTCCTTGCTGAACATCAGCCATCACTTCTATCACACGTTCGAGAGAGATATGACAAGGCCGGAAAAGCACTGTTCGAGGATGCGAATGCCTGGGTTGCCTTGACTGAAATAATGAGAGGCATTATCCACGATCCACATTTGGATAAAGGCTATCTTATTATTGATGCGCTGGACGAATGCTCTGACCTACAACAACTTCTCAAGTTCATTCGCGAGAGCACTGGAGTCTCTTCACGGGTCAAGTGGATCGTATCGAGTCGGAACTGGCCCGAGATAGAAGAGGCAATAGGGACCATCACACAGCAAGCTCGTCTGGATCTTGAGCTCAACGAGGACGCTATCTCTGCAGCTGTTCAACATTACACGAAGTACAAAGTGGAACAGCTAGCTAGAAAGAAAGACTACGGTTCCAAGCTACAAGAGGATGTCTACCATTTCTTGACAGAAAATTCTGGTAGCACATTCCTCTGGGTAGCGCTAGTCTATCAAGAACTGGCTCTTCCCACTGTCAAACCGCGACACGTACGGGATAAGCTTCGTACGCTCCCTCCAGGACTCAACCCCCTCTATCAGGAAATGCTCAAAAGAGCGTACGCTTCGGAGGATTCCGATATATGCAGACATATCTTGGTTGCAGTGTCGCTATCATTCCGCCCCCTCACATTACCAGAACTGGCATGCCTTATCGACTTGCCTGATACTATCCCGGAGGATGATCTCGAGACTTTGGAGGAGATTATCGGGAATTGCGGCTCCTTCCTAACGCTTCGAGATAAGACCGTCTATTTTGTACACCAATCAGCACAGGACTTCTTACTTCAGAAAGGATCCAAACAGATCTTTCCTTCAGGTTCTGCTCAAGAACATCAGAAGATCCTCTTAAGATCAATCGAGACCATGTCTCAGAAGCTCAGCCGCAACATCTACAATCTTCAGCACTCTGGCATTCTCATCGACAAAGTTCGCCGACCGCAGCCCGACCCGTTAGCTGCAGCCGCATATTCTTGCGTCAATTGGGTAGACCATCTGCTCGAGACCGAGTCTAATGACTATCTACAAGATGAGGGCAAAATAGACGAATTTCTGAGGGAGCACTACCTTTATTGGCTTGAAGCTCTAAGTCTTCTACGAAGCATTCCCGAAGGCGCATATGCTCTAGCGAAGCTGAAACACAAAGTTCAGGTATGCTTCAAAATATAAAACGGTAATAAGCACGCTTAACACTTTTCTAGAATCAGCAGAATGCCTCCTTTCTGCTTCAACTTCTCCAAGATATGCAACGTTTTCTATCGTACAGTCAATGGGCTATTGAAAACAGTCCTCTTCAAGTCTACACCTCAGCACTTATCTTCAGCCCTAACAATAGCTTGACCAAGCAGCTCTTCCAAAAGGAAGAACCAGCGTGGATAAAGACAATGCCAATGATAGAGGATGACTGGAGCCCTTGCCTTCAGACGCTCGAGGGGCACAGCAGCGAGGTCTCGTCAGTAGCCTTCTCGGGCGACTCACAGCAGATCGCCTCAGGCTCTTACGATGCAACAGTCCGGATCTGGGATACTAGGACAGGGCAGTGCCTGCAGACGCTCGAGGGGCATAGCAGCGAGGTCTCGTCAGTAGCCTTCTCGGGCGACTCACAGCAGATCGCCTCAGGCTCTCACGATACAACAGTCCGGATCTGGGATACTAGGACAGGGCAGTGCCTGCAGACGCTCGAGGGGCATAGCGACTGGGTCTCGTCAGTAGCTTTCTCAGGCGACTCACAGCGGATCGCCTCAGGCTCTCACGATGCGACAGTCCGGATCTGGGATACTAGGACAGAGCAGTGCCTGCAGACGCTCGAGGGGCACAGCAATGCGGTCTCATCAGTAGCCTTCTCGGGCGACTCACAGCAGATCGCCTCAGGCTCTCACGATACAACAGTCCGGATCTGGGATACTAGGACAGGGCAGTGCCTGCAGACGCTCGAGGGGCACAGCGACTGGGTCTTGTCAGTAGCCTTCTCGGGCGACTCACAGCGGATCGCCTCAGGCTCTCACGATGCGACAGTCCGGATCTGGGATACTAGGACAGGGCAGTGCCTGCAGACGCTCGAGGGGCATAGCGACTGGGTCTCGTCAGTAGCCTTCTCGGGCGACTCACAGCAGATCGCCTCAGGCTCTTACGATGCGACAGTCCGGATCTGGGATACTGGGACAGGGCAGTGCCTGCAGACGCTCGAAGTCGGTCAGACGTTGAAGAATTTGTCGCTGGATTTTACTGGTGCATATCTCGAGACAGAAATGGGTATTTTCAACCTTGAAAATCCTTCTTCTGCAGCTACTCTACAGCAAGTACAAGCGGAAGACAAGGCCCGACCGCCTCAGCGCTGTAGCTATGGGATCAATTCGGATGGCAATTGGATTACAAGCGGCGCAGAAAATCTGTTATGGCTCCCATCGGAGTATCGCCCGGTGTCTTCTGCTGTGGCCGGATCGAGTGTCGCAATCGGCTGCTCATCAGGCCGGGTTCTTTGCTTCAGCTTTAGACTTTTGACTGCTGAATATGCCTGAGCAGGTATAGAGCTGACTCTATCTTTGAGCGTTATTCTTTCTTATCTCTCCTGCGAATAGTATAACTTTTTTTCTCTTTGCCACAAATCGGGTCCTAGGGGGCTTCCTTAATTTATTATTTTTCATTTCGCTGTTGAAAAATTTGTATCCCCTTGCGAGCAAACTCTTTTGCCACCATCTACTTATATATGCTTACTAATTCGTTGATACTTCTGCCTAGTTGGTTCTAGAAGATTCAACTCAATTATTTATACATAAGAAAACCTTAATCTATAAGAGCTAGCCTTTCTAGCCTGGTATATCCTTATACTTAAAGAGGAGAATTTTTATATACTAATAAGCATAAGCAATCTGACATCAATATATAATAAAGTCTAAGAGCAATAGGAGAAAGCTGTACAAGATATAAGAAAGAGAGCGCTTGGAAAGAAGCATTTTAATGTACTGATAAGTATAGATAATAATTACGATCTAGGGTTTATGCATAAGCTATATGTACAGTCGGAAGGAATATTCGAACAGCGAATTCGAATATCTGCTGATCTTTTGGATCTATGTACGGTTCAAGAGAAAGGGAAATTGGCTGAGAACGAGAACCACCCGACGGTGGTGAACAGTGGGACTATCGACAGGGCACCCTTTCGCCCCTTCACTCCTTCTGGGACTGCAAGAGCAGCGAGGAGGCAGTGCCGTCCAAAGGGGGTTGGTTAGTCGTGCGCTGGGTCGGAAGAGCTGTGCCGGCGTGATGGCTCTCTCGGGGACTCACACGGCAAGACATGGTCGGTCTACCAAAAACGGTATACATCTGGGATCACTGGCCTGGTCGATGATATACCGAACCTCGGCTGGAGACGGCGGTGGGCAACGGGAAGCCGGAAGCGGTGGCACGGCCTTGGTTTCGCACCCTTGGTACACCCCGTGGAAAGTGGGCCGTGGCAGAATATTATGACTGAAGCGTGGCATGCCCCTCACTCGCACTGGGGTTTTACATGGTGCTTGGAGTACAGGAGGAACCCGTCGCATTCATGTCTACATGTAGCAGCTAGGTTTCTGGGGAACCGGCGGGGGACTGGTGCTGTGGACAGGCATTGTGCGTGGCATCGCCGGCCCCCCCTTGGGTCTCCCACTCGCACTGGGACTGCACAGCGATGTAAAGGGTGTCGCCGGCAGGCTGGAACGGAAGAGATAGTATTTTGGCCGGAGAGAACGGATGCGCATGTCGGTCCGACAATAGACCTGACTTGGGGTTGCGTCGGGCTTAAGGTGCAAACCTTGTGTTTATGTGGTGGCTGGCTGGGCGGTGAAGAGCCGGCAGCTGGGAGTCCATTAATAGGAGGGCTTTGTCCACCTTCTTGACTATAGTATCCTTTGTGTAATCTCATATAAAAGGTAGCTAGCTATAGGGAATACGAGGCTCGGATACAGGAAGTGCAGAAGGTGCTGAACCTCGCAGCTCGGGCTATCCTGCCGGTCTGGAGGACCACGCCGAACCGCATCCTATGCAGGGATGCCGGTCTATCCTCGGCGGAGGCAGCGCTCGAGGAGGTTCGACTTCGCCTGGCTAGAAGGGTGCTTACAGCAGACAAGGGCAATCTGACGGTCCCTCGCATAGCTCCCAGGTATCGCTGGGGAAAGATACAGCACGGCCTGCTCCCCCCTCATACAAAGCTGGCAATAGCAGCAGCATCAATCACATATACCCCAGACCGGCTAGCCCTTACCCGGCCCAGATACAGGCCAGGGAGCGGGGCGGATCCTACCGAGGGCCTGCCCAAAAGCCGGGCAGCACAGAATTTCAAGGCCTGGCTGGGAAGCCGGCGCCACTCGGACATCACTGTCTTCACAGATGGATCCAAGGGGACGGAGGGAGTAGGCTATGGCTTCGCTATCTACAAAGGGCTGGGCAGCGAGGCACTACAGAAAGGCCTTGGCTCTCTTCATGCCACCGCAGCAGTATATGATGCAGAGGCAGTCGGGGCCTGGCGCGGACTGGAGGCTGCTATAGAGATAGCCAAGCCGGAAAGCCCTATTACAGTCTGCCTGGATAATACATCAGTTATTACCGGGCTGCATGGAAGGCCAGGGGACTCCTCACAATGGGCCTTTCTCTCCTTCCAGAACAGAATGGACACAAGGAGAGCGCCTATTTCAGTCAAATGGTCCCCAGGGCATCTGGGCATTGCTGGGAATGAAATGGCGGATAGTCTAGCAAAGGCAGGGCAGTCAGGTCCAGCTGATAGCAAGGCTGGCCCGACGATCTCGGGCCTCAAAAGCCACTGCCGCGATATGCTGCAGGCTTTCAGAACCAAGGACTGGGCTCGGACCAAGAAGGGCCTCTCGAAATGGTACAAGTCCTGACGGCTCGAGCCAGAAACGTCCTGCCCGGCCGAGCTCAATCTTGACCGCCGCACCCTCCACCAATTCCTAGCTACAAGAACTGGGCATGGAGACTTCGAGTGGTACCACGAGGCTTTCCGGCACGAAGACGCAGCATTGTACTGCAAGTGTGGGCGGGCTCGCACCCAAGACCATTTAGTGAACTGCCGGCTCGTCCGGCGGTCCTTCTCGAGGTGGCCCTGGCCTAGCAACCGCCCTCGACACTTCCCACAGACGCCGGGGGAGAAACGGCGGTACCTGGAGGACCTGATGCATCAACCAGAGGCCTTCCGCCGCTCCATTGAAATGACAAGGTTTTATGAACAGTGCTGGATAACTACCACAGGCAAGCCGGCTGGGGGCCTATAGATAGGGGCCGGCAGGGCTCTCTGGGTTTTTGAGGGCGTGAGGGCGCAGCTCCGAAGAGTGGACCCGGACCCGACCGGAGCACAATGCCCGGAGGACAAGTGGCTGCAGGAGGAGGACTTGAAGGGGTGGCTGGGGAGCGAGGAGGGCGATAGCGATGATGAGGACGAATAGGAAGGGCGAAGGCAGCGATAGAGGCGATAGAGGGAAGAAAGGATAAGGGGAGGACGAGGAGGAGGGAAAAGGAAGAAAACAAAGCCGCCTTAGACGATAAGTCGAAGGGGGGGGGGTTTGGGCCGGGGTAGTTTTGGGCCACCCTGGCCACCCTCGTCAAATACACACACCCATATATATATATACTGTTTATCTATTCTATTCACCCACTATGATGCAATCATCCTCATCAGTAGGTAATTCGACATCGCTCTCTTTATTCAGACTATCCTCGTGGCGTTTGACTGCGTTTTGAGCTCTCTGTATATCCTTAATCCCTGCAAACTTCGAATTCGGGTCCACATCAACCTTTCTTCTTTTACTAGACCTCAGAGCCTCAATCTGCCTTTCAACGCTTTATTTTCCTCCAATGCCTTAGCAAACTCGAGGTTCCTCTCCCCATAAGCCTTTTTTATCTTCTTGAATAGCATACAGCAGCCTGGTTCTGTTCGAAGTTGTTGCCAATTCTCTAGCAGCTAATAGTACAGCTGTTTAGCCTTTCGAGGAGTTGAAAAGGGGACTGGCTGGCTTGAGGAGGCTTTTGGGGGAGGACAAGGTGCTGTTGATTGTGCTGAGCCTGAATTGGACTGGGTCTGATAGCTTGGTTGACTGTTCTCGAGGAGAAGAGGGCTCAGGAGGGCTTTTGAAGGTTTGAGAAGCTACAGACCAGTTGCTTTCCATCCAGATCTGATATTCTGGCTTAAAAGGCTTTCCAGTTAAGCTAGATAATAGTTCCTGAGAAATAATCGCTTGCTTGCAATAGTTGAATCCTCTTATTAGCTTATATTGCTAACTTTCTTTCTGTATGCTCGTTTGAGAGATAAAAAGATTCCTAGATTGAGAGGTTGAAGAACGTGAGAGGTATGAGGAGGCAAGTAAATAAGCAGTATGTTGTTTTGGAAGCAAAGCTATATAAATTCGTTAGTTTTATGGCTGCTATAGCTATCCAGGATTAACAGTCTAGCTTCTGAGGGGTTTGCTGGCTGGCTATGAGGGATAAAGATCTTTTTCAGCTATTCAAGTGCTATTTCATCGTTTGTTCATTCAGTTTGAGTAGCTGTGAACTGCTAGCTCTCAAAAGGGTTCAAATCAAGAGGAAACCACTGTTGTTGTACTGTTTGGCTCTTGAAAATTACCAGAGGAAAGAGGTAGGCATCTGTAGTAGAGATACACTCGAAAAAAGAGATTCAAGCCTTTGAACCAGAGTTCTGTTTTTGAATTGAACGTAAAGAGGAGCCTCCGAGAACTAATCCATTCTTAACCCTCTATCAGGCTAGCTTCATCCATATTCCATCTATTAGCTAGCTTGATAGCTTGGATATAAGGAAGATTGAAAAAACAAAACCAAGGCTGTATTACCTCTGTTGTAGCCCCATTCGTTCGCTCAGAGGCAAAATAGCGAGTCTTCCTGATCTTTATCTCTGGATTTCTCTTCAAAAAAGCTTGAGTCTATTGCACCCCGAGGGCCTGAGAGTCTCCCTGGACCTCAAGGATCTGCTGAGCAAAGTATTTGAGTTCTGAATGGCTTGGTGGAACGCCTAGGTTTTCTTGAATCAGGATCCATTCAGCCAGTCTTCTTTCCTGATCAATAGAGAGCCTTTGCTGGTTTTCGGGGGCTGTTTTATGCGATTCCCCTCCTTCTAGGCGAGCCTGAAGAGTACTCCTTGGAATACCTCATTCCCTCGAGGCTTGCCGCTGAGACTTGCCTTTTCTGACAGCCTCAACAGCCTGGGCTAGCTCAAACTCGGAATAGGGCTTCATAACAGTCAGATGAAGGTTTGCTAGAAAGATGAAGTTGTTTGGATCAAAATTGGTTGAGTAATAGCTATCAAACTAAAGGGGGTTGAAGAGGCGGTGAGGGTGGCCAGGGTGGCCCAAAACTACCCCAGCCCAAAACCCCCCCCTTTCGACTTATCAGCATAGTCAGGGATGAGAAAATGAACGTCCTTAAGCTGCTTGCGGAGAGCTGCATGCTGTGCAGCCGTAAGAGTTTCTGGTCGTTTCGCAATCCGCATTGCGGTTTGTTGCTGTGTAAAGCGTTCGATGCTGGCTGTCCTTTATGAGCGGTGAGGGACGATGTGGTGCCATGATACTAACGCTGAAGTGCTAAGAGCTTCCAACTCTCGCGGTGAAAGTCGGACGAGCTGAGGGTAACGAAGGTGCGAGAGCTGCTATTTTGTATCGCGCGGAGAGAGGGGGACAGAAATAGATACTGGGCCGAAGTGGATTATGGATTTGAGTATTTTTGGAAAATAAAATGCTCAGAACTAGAACGCTGTTGGAGCAGGGGGTACGGTGGGGGCGGTAATTCTCAAGCAGGCGGTAAGAGATACCGAGTACCTAGCAGTGACAGCGCTGCTCACTGTCGCAGCTCCCGAAAATAGTGACACGCGCCAGCCAAATACAGCAGTCATAACAGCGATTTCTCGACTTTGTCTGTAGTTTGGTTGTGACGCCTTCGATGACTTCTAAGATATTGGTTGCAATTGACAGGATAACTAAACAAGCGTGTAAGGCCGATTAGCCTGATGCCGTGATGTGTATGCCGGAAAAGACTGAATGAAACTGATAGACTGTACAAACACCAAGTTACTGCTAGTCGCCCTGTCGACCGTCGCGTCCTTTATAGCCCCTACTCAGATCTAGCCAACCCGTCCTCTGCCTCAAGCGCGCCAGACTCCAGGATGACACCCCTCGTAATACCACCCACATCACCCTAGAGCTGCTGGTCGAAAACATGGAAGAACCTCAGAACTTGTATTTGGATCAATACGGGCAAGTATCAGGTCAGGTTGAAAACTAGCAGGTTGTTCAACTCATCGATATGTATCCACTCCGGTTTGTGAGAGGGGCAAGGAGGAAGCAACCAGGTTGGTTATTGGCCAAGTCGACAAGAGCCTCGACACTACCGCTCAACCCAAGACTGCGTCGGCATATCGGCCAACGAACTAGATAGAATGCAGCAGACAGACCTAGACCTTTGGGGGATCGCTTGTCTTGTATTCAGTCATAAGAGCTCTCGTATGATCCCTAACCATTAGAACCGGCCAGCTCTTAGTCTGGACTACCTCCCTATGATTGCACAGCGACCGCCATTAGATTTCTCTCGCACTAATTACCGAGGTATAAGCCATTATGCTGCCAGAACTGCTATAAGGCTCTCTCGATGCCCCGCCCCGGACCAACAACGGCCGTCTGGTCGCTAAGATAGCTTCAATAGCCGAACTCGGTAGATGCAGGATGTGCTTATCATAAAGGTAAGCGAAAACAGAACAATACCCAGTGTAGCCCACGCCGTTGGTGACCATGTGCCATCCCGGGCGCTGTACACGTTTATGAGAACGGCAAGCAGCCCACTTATGCAATTGAGAAGACCGGGGCTGATATATTAGCAAGGTGGCTCCATTATTAGCCATATCTCAATCAGACTCACAAGAATAGGTGGGCCAGGAGTCACACATAATTTGTTCTGAACTCTGACCACAGGAGACAAAGTCCTATAGCTCCTATGGCATAGCACACACTAGCAATAGCCAGCAAAGGGATATTTGCTACAGCTTGAACCAAGTGAGAATTCTCGAGGGTGTGTGAAGTTTTGAGGGAAGTAAAAGAGCCTGGAAAAGTGAAGAATCCGGCGAGCATTATCCAAGATGCCGCTGCGGCGGTGACGTTGTACCAGATAGGAACCTCGTTTGAGGCGATGATCATGCGGTGGTAGGATTGCGCCATGGGAAAGCTTGTTGTTGTACCTAAATTGAGAGATGATAGAGAAGCGATTGATTGTATGTTTCATTTGTGCACAAACGATGCGGATTTATCGTGAATTGACCTGCACCAGAATCCAGGAACCAGGCAAGTCCAGCAACCGGGAGCCGGCCGCCGCCCCGCCCGGCCCCTGTTGCTGGACTTACGCTCCGCCCTCAACCCGGGTCGGGGCCGGGCACTTATCGCGGCCGGTCCTCAACCATGGCGCAGGGGTATCCCATGAAAGACAGGGACTTAGTGCTGCTATAAATGGAAACTTCAGAAGAGTCTCAGAATGTTGGTTACCGATGCTTATATTAACCAATGGGCCCGCCATCGGCCCAGCCAGAGTCAAGGCTACTTCCATCCCTCTTTCTGGACGATTACTATCCGAGCATACTTCACTTCTTTTCCACTTTTTCTTCTTTCAGTATGGTTGCCCAATGTCGAACTAAAGCACAAAAGGCCAAACGGTCGGTTATAACGCGCCGATAAGGGCTTATGAGAAAGCTGCATGAGATGAATACTAAGACGGAGGCAAAAGTTGCTCTGGTCGGCATCTATGAGGGCAAGACCTTCTGTTACGAAGACAGCGAAGAGATACTTCCCGAGTTTGGCATCACAGGACATATCTCGGATCGATTCGGACCAGACAATGTTGAGCTGGTTAGCGAGAGCAGGAACAGGTCACGCTCCAGCTCACGCTCACGCCCGCGCCTGCGCCCGCGCCAACAAGCCAAAGTCCGCCTTCTCCACGCCTCGCTCGAGCTCAGGCTCGTACCTCGAAATACCATCGTCGATACCAGCGACACCGAAAGCGTTGGTTCGTGACAGTGCGCATTCTGCGTCTGTTGAACCAAATACGAGTCCGGGGAGTACGGAGGTGAATACTCCCAGGCCACAGCGAGTGATCCCTCGGGCACAATACGAGCAGATGGCTCTTTTGGACATCGATTTCTTTAGCTATCCCTAGGAAAGGGCTCAGGGAGGACATTGAGGTCAGTCTGGGCACGATCTGGTAGCTTAAAAATGACTAGCTGGGCAGTGTTTGCTTTAATGATAAGTTTGCTGTTTGCAATGCCTTGCTTACCTATGAAATTGTTGGGGCCATGTTTGGCGTATATCAACCTCACCGGCCACAGGGTTGGTTAATGTGGACACAGACACGTATGCCTCGAAGAGGAACGCCTACCCGACCAGGTACTGGTCTAAGACAAGGCGGAATCACTCACAGGCACGAGATGACGCCGGCCGAACACTTCGTCAGCATGGACCTGACAGGGTTTTAGAGACGAAGGTGCACAAGATCGACGGGATGGGGTGGACCAAGATGCTGACGGTCGCCACGCCGTACCCGAGGTTGGTCATCCATGAAGCCGAACTCGGACATCAGTCGGATCGCGACCCCGACACATGAACCCGGACTCGTTCACATTCCTCGACGTCCTGTCGCAGACGACCATGAATACACGTTCATCCACAACAGGAAGCAGATCCGAGCTTGTTCCACAGGGGCTTTAGCTTTCGACAGAGACAAGGATGAGATGAGAGTGGAGATAATGGAAAGCGGGCTCGGCAAGGGTGTTCAGACTCATGGGCTGTGCAGCTCGGCTACCTTAAACTCATGAGCGCACAGCCGAGCATCTAACAGAGCCCTTTACAGCTACACAATCTGGCTGATGAGTCCTGCGGTGGTGATGTAAATCAGTAGTGGCCAGGCTCTGCTTCGTAAATCCAAATTCCAGGTCTTTACGCTGACTGTCATCGTAGGGGACGGGAAGCAAATATATTGAATGAGGCTGGATGAGCATTGATCTGGTTCAAACATGAGGCACAGTGATTCACTGTCACGGATCTGCTGCAATCTGAAGCTATGCCACAAACATCCTTCTTCGGTCGTTTTGCCGCGCCCACCCCACAGAGGGAGCTGTCCGGAGTAGCAACCTGCTGTTCAGCTGGATTCAGCGGAATGTCGCTGGACGCTGCTGTCGACAGACTTTCCAGCTCCTGTGAAAGCCCCGTCTCGGCAAGCGGGTCCACACCGAAGTCCAAGTGAGATGGTAACTGGTCGACAGCGGAGCAGATTTTCTTGAAATGCGATGGCATCCAATTGTCGTAGACGTTTTTGGTGAAATGATATGCCGTCCACTTCTCTTTACCGTTCAGTGTTGTGAAGTCGAATGTGTAGATTGGATGTCGGTAATACTTGGTATCTTTACCGTCGATCACCGGGTAGTAGCCGTAAATCCGTACCATCCGGTGATCATGGGAGACGGAGAAGCTGAGGATCTGACGTTGAAGCTCACCCTCCCGCTTCACGAGGCGAAATAGCTCAACGATAGCCCGCACTGCGACGGCCATACTATGGGCATTCTGGCGGTCGGCGACATCAAGCGCGGCTGCGCCGCACTTAACCTCACACGACAAAAAGGGGAAGTACATATAGTATGTAGCCATGAAGAAGGACAGGTCCCCGGAGAGCCAGTTGCCGATGAAGGGGGAAAGCTTGTCTAGCTGCTCATTCGAGAAGGCCTCGCGCCTGAATCCCACGGAGTAGTCGGGCTGCGGGCGAGTTCCGGTCAGGGGAATACAGTTGTTCCAGCCCTCATTAACGCTCTCAATAACCTTCTCAAGGTGTTTTGAGCCAAGCATAGCAAACGTCTCCGCGGAAGGAACAAGGAGTCGTGATATATCCTGGATAATCCTGGCCTCGTTTCTGCCCTGCAAGTTTCGGCAAGCATACTCAAATTGATGCTCACCAAATATGGTTGACTCAGGGACTGTCTGGTTGCCTTGCAAAAGGGTTTCGGGTATATTCTTGCTTTCAACCGCAATGTCCAGGTCACAAGTGTCCAAGAACACTCCTTTGGTGTTGAGCAGAGTCTCATACCGTGGATCCCGGTATGGGGCGCTCTTCTCCTCCCTTGGCTTCTGATCGCTGGGAGTTTGGGACGAAGCGGAACTGGACCGCGTACGGCTGCTGGAACGGCTTGATTTCTTCCTTGCAAGCAAGTGTTCCATACTTGGGTCCATACCTGGGCCCGCTTGGAAATATTCTTCCGGCCAGCGCCCTTCTGTTACCCAGAATCGGAGAATGGCTCGCCAATCATTTTGAGTTTCGCCTTCGTCCTCTTTACCGAGAGCGTCTGGAGCGATACCGGGGGAGGTTCGTTGACGCTTTCGTGCGGCCTCGTCTGGATCGTGTTCGAGTGAGGCAATTGTGCGACGCCGCTTCGACCCCTTCTCGTCAAGGAATTCTCCAAGAGGCTATTGCAAATCAGCCAGAGCTCCAGAACGTATGTCATCTGGCTCTTGGGCACACAGCGTGCCGGGAATAGACCTACCTGGGTGTCGCTAGTTGCCGGGTGCTTTGGGGCCGGGTGCAGACCGCTTATCGTCTGCCGAGCCTGTTTCGCACGCTGATGGCTGTCCTCGACGTCGATGTCGGCCTTGCGTTTCCGGGATGCTTGTGGCGCAGTTCGAGAGAGCCGGGTGCCTACGGGGGACTGCTGTCGCCGTCGAAGTCTCTCACTACGCCGACGTGTGTCTGTTGTACCAAATCAGCCCACGACCTCAACAGATCAGCAACGCGTGCCTTACCAAGCGGCCCCAGATGCCTGTCTTTTGTGTTGGGAGCTGCGTCACGCTTCGGGCGAGAGGTCTGAGGTGTGTTTTCTTTGGAAGTCCTCGCAGGCTCAGACGACATGATGGAAGGAAAGGAGGCGAGGATGGTGAGGATGGTGAGGACGGGGAGTGTGTGTGATGATGAGGAGACGCTGGGGTTGGGGAGGGGGAAATTCGCGCCTTTGGCGGGCGGTTATTTTCATTGATTGCCTCTAGGAGACCCCAGACGGCACCCCGGTCTGCCTGGAAGCGGTGCAATTGAGTATCAAGACAGGCTCAGCACATTTCCGCTGACTTGTTTCGCGGACTGCAAAAGTGTGGGCCACCATGGAGATGCTTGATGATGGTTCATTCTGTAATGTCACTGTCGGATGCAGAACCTCGCTTCTTTTGCCCTGTTGTGGTGGCACAGAAGGCGACGGGCGGCTGGCATGCAGCTCTTTATCGATAAGCCCATCTTAGTAAGCCGTGACGTGCCGGAAAAATTCTCAAGCTTGCCGGTTGTACACATGCATTTCAATCGACCAGCCGCCGCATGTGATATTGTAATACCTGTGATGCGGTTTGGAATTCCGATTTATGATTTGGCGGCCGCAGAGGCGACCGCAAGTAGTTGATGCCCCAGCCGAATGATCCTTGGAGATCGCCAGAGACTATTCCAGCGCCGCGTTGGTTGTGCTTTCTCTGCTGCAAGGGCTACCTTTTCACCTATACCACACGCAATTTAGTAAGAGGGAGGCTAGGCACGCTGATGCGGGGTGGGCAATGTTGACTTACGTTCTTTGCGACGTCTAGCCTGCCTAACGAACCTTGCCCAGCCATCCGCAGTGCTGATGTCAGGGAATTCAAAGTCGCTGCTGTCACTGTCGTCACTGTCATCATCCTCGAGATAATTGCAGTCTTGAGCTGCTTTGGAAAACTTGTGTTGCTCGGTCTGAGGCTCGGGGTTGCGTCGAGATTCATTCAACCTTTGGCCGTCAACGAAAGCTGCGACTGAAGCATACTCCATGGTTATGTGCGTGCCGGGCGACATGCTTGATGGTGGAAATCGTGAGGATGGGAAGATGGTGGTACATTGCGAAAGAGAGAAGGGAAGGAAACTGGGCTGGAAACAACAAAGGAGGCATCATATTTATTTATGCTCGGTGGCACACCACCTCCGACGACACTGCCTCTCAAGCCGCCATTTCGATTGGCTCAGGCTACCAACGCCGCATCGCAGGCCCAGGGCCAGGGTGGTGGATGCGTACAGCACCTCCTCAACTGTGGTGTCAGCGCGCCAACGCCAGGACCGTAGGTCGCGAATAATTTGCCGGCGGGATTGGATAGACACCAAGGTGGCCTAAGCAACGGTAACCTTTCTCCCTTGAGGTATAGACATATATGCCAAAAAAAAAAAAACCGTTAGATAGTATATTATAAAGATTGCTAATAGCCTTGTGTTTAAGACAACGCAACGCACAAATTACCTATCTATAAGTTGTTTCGTCTCAATTAGGTTGCGACTTATGGCTAGTCGCGTATAACCTGTGAAAATCCTGTCCAATTTGCCTTATACCCAGAGCAGGCCCAGCCAACACACTTGGTTCTGAATCAGCGCTTCGAGACGATGACGATGGGCGCCTGTCCGCCAGCTTCCCTCAGCTGGTTGATTTCCCCGTCGATTCTGGACTGTCCAAACTTAGTCCCAAACACACTGCGGGACCAAACCATAATAGAGCCTTTTTCCTTGTTCAGTAGACGCTAGCGGCGTCGGCCGAGCTTTCTCCGCCGACCATGTCAACGTCTGCGCCCCCAATTCGATAGATCTGTCTCGGGCGTCGTAGTTCTTGTCTCGCTTTGACTTGCCGGAATGGACGGATTCTCAGAGGTCCCTCCAGAGGGACCCGTCATCTCGTCATCCCCATTATTTTCGTCTTGTGGCTTCAACTCATCGTATAAGGTATTCAGCCTCGTGATAGCATTCTTAAGAAATTTCTTTTTCTTAGAAGCCCATGCTGGAGGATAGCGCAGTTCCGAAGCATTCGCTGAGTGCTCGACATCTGGTTTTAGTTTCTCGAGTATATAGTCTTAGCATTTGCGGTGATAGCATCCGGGCCCTTTTCGAGCTCAAAGCGCTGCAGTTGGCGGGCGAGGCGATCAAGCTCATTCTGTTTCTTTTCGTCCGCCATCATCCTCACGTATCTGCGTCTGGTAGGGAGCAGTTCACCTTATTGCCCGCACAGGATTTGTAGTGAGTCAAGTTCCTACATACCTCTTATGTCTGCTACTAATATTACCAGGCGGCTGGCGGGCTGCTCGCGATTCTAAGCACCTCGGTCTGGTTTGTCCGTCGGTACCTCTGTACGTTCTTCACGAAGCTCCACGCCGGCTTTGCATCTACGGTTTTGGCCTGTGTTCTTTGGCACGTCGTCCAAACGGAATCCCTAGGCCGCATTCCGGTGTTTGTTGCGAGTGGCATATGGGCGGCATCAATCCTTCTCTGGCTTCTGAGATTTTCCTACTTCAGCGCGCGAGCAGACCTTCAGACTCAGTCGACGAGCCGGTATGCGTTCAAACTTAAAGTTAATTCACGACGTCGGATCCACGTCTTTCCAGGCTGCTACTTTTATGTCTTCTTTCCTGGGCAAACTTTCCGATACAATCTCCTTCAGAGCTATCCTTTAGTGGTCATGTGGCACGAACCGGGCCAGCAAATGTCAGCTGGCGGTGTCAAAGACGTTTCCTTCCTGGTTTCGCGTCAGGAACGCCTTCATCGTACCTTGCGGCTTGCCGATGGTGACAGCCTATATCTCGATGGCCCATACGGGCAGGATCACAGCCTGGGCCGGTACGAGACAGTGATCCTTACGGCTAAAGGCGTCGGCATTGCGGGCGTCCTTTCGTCGGCTCTGAATCTCCTCGAGCGCCGAGAGCATGACTCTGTAGCCAAGGATCAGATGCCTCATACCCGCGGCCCTCGTCTGTTCCGAGATGCAACGCGGAAGGTATCCATTTTCTGGGTCTTGGAACATGCATCCCAGCAGGAATGGGTTGCTTCGGAGCTGAAAAGCCTCCAGGGCCTGGATGAAGATAATGTAAGCTTAATTTTCGGTGGACCGGGTTGTTCGCTGAATATAAAGTAGATATTCCTTCTTGTTTGGCTCATGTACCAATCGCCCGAGTCGTCAACGAGACCCCCACCCTTCAAGGTGTCCCGATATTAGCAATGTTTCTATCAAAAGAGCGAAGCAGAATATCTTCATTCAATGATCAGGCAAGAAACGCGGGCACCAGGCCGAAGCATTGTCACTAGTAAGCTCGCGGGGTCCCGTGTTCAAGGTGCTGGAGGCTAACTCATGTACAGCCTGCGGCGATGCCGACTTCACCGGCGCTGTCCGAAATGCCGTGATAAAGTTTACCAGGCCAGGTAGCCAAATTCATTTTGTCGAGTCCGAATATCAGCCACACGCCTCGGCGTCCACACACAGTTAATTATTCGGAAGGTGCAAAACGACACAACTCAAAATAGGCACACCAAAGTCTTATAGAGGATGATTGATCTCTAAGTAGAATCACATGGGACGCAAGCACGCTTGCTCAGGGCGGAATAATTTAGATTGATATAAGTTGGCTTTCGCGATTCAACCTTGGAAATGCTAGTTCTGTTTGGTTGCTTTTGAGACTGATCGAGTACAATCATATCAATTTGCTCCAATTGTCAGGTCTGAATTGTATGCTCTACTGCTCCAAGATATCGTCCATCCCAACTTGTAGAAGATGCTATTGAAGACTTTTCTAATAACTCCGGGGGTGAGATTGCCTTAAAGACCGTGCGAAGAGACCGGTGTCGGCCAAGGAACTGGGCAAGTTCCTCCTCCCTCACCATCATACCTCTGAGATTCAGCATGCCCAGCCTGGGAAGGTATAGAGAACCCAAAGGAACGGCGGATGCACCTTGCGGGTACGTGAAACCTAGATCTAGGTTTTCTGTGCCTGGAAACGCGGATAAGAAAGTGATGACGCAGTCGGGTTGATGTTGTGGAACCTCGAGTGTTTCGACATAAAGCGAAATGATGTGTTTGAGGATGTGGTTGAAAGAGAAAGGTCGAATTGTCGCGGTGATCTCTAGTTTGACAAGTCGAGGAAAGTGATTTAGCGTAGGAAGGACCGGAAGCAACAGTTTTTCCGCATGCGCATTGTGCACAGGGCTGATCCAGATCCTTTTGCTTAAGGCTAAGAATTGCGCTTGAGCTTTACTGTCTGACCCCCCCTCGCCGGACACCCGTACCCGCCGGACACCTAATTTTCGACAGCGCCATACAAATATCAATATCCTCACACACATACACTTCCCTCAATATTGAAGCTATTTAAATAGTATTTTGATAGATAGATAGTCCTCTAGATGACGAATCTATTGATATAATTATATTTGTAGTCAGACGCCTTATGACGCAATTGTAGTGATATCGGAAGCTAAGGTCTGTTCCTTCCTGTCTTGATAACTGTGATCTTTTTCCTTCAACACTCTTCTACCTCAAGCCAGCCACGATGCCTTCTCACGCCTGGAATGAGGAGAATATGGCTGATGCCCTCTTCGATATCATAGATAACCATTTATCTTTGCGGAAATCAGCCAAGAAACACGGAATCCCCCCCCAAACGCTGTCAGATCGGCTGCGTGGAGGGTCTTCAGTCCAAGAGGTAAAACAACCTCAACAACGCCTTTCTACGACCAAGGAAGAGAATATATCGAGATGGATCATCAAGCAGGAAAGCCTAGGATATGCTCCATCAGCTTCTGCTGTTCGTGGCGTTGTAGCAGCCCTCCTCAAGCAGAAGGGAGATCTGAAGGCTCTCGGCTGCAAATGGATAGAGGGCTTCAAGAAGAGAAATCCTCAAATTCGCCATAAAATAGGCACTCGCCAGGAAGCCACCAGATACGATGCCTTCACCCCGAAAGCTGTCAACTAGTATTTCGACATTTGCGAGAAGGAATATGGGTGGATCGAGCCACAGCTTACAGTGAATGTGGATGAGGGTGGCATTATGACTGGATATGGTGAATTTCTATGGAATCCTCATCTCAGAGCCTCTAAACTGATGCTTTTGCTAGGCCTGAACTCGCTGGTCCTTGGTTCTTCTGAAAAAAAGAAGGCATTCCTCAAAAGTAGCCAGGACAGAAGCTGGGTTACCCTCATTGAAAGCTGTACAGCTACAGGCCAGCTTCTGGACCCAGGAATCATCTTCAAGGGCAAAGATCTTCAAAAACAGTGGTTTTCTGAAGATATGGAGCAGTCTGTGCCAACCTGGCGTATGATCACAAGTCAAAACGGCTGGACAAGCAATGAAATCGCGGTAGCGTGGCTTGAGGATGTTTTTCTTCCTCAGATGAACATCCTCCGTGAGAATGATATATCTCGGGCTATTCTCCTCATCCTAGATAGCCATAATAGCCATACTTCAGTAAGTTAAGCCTTGTGAAGCTCAAGGTAGTGAACCTCGAGGATAACGTGCTGATATAAAACAGCCAGAGTTTATGGCTTCTTGCTACTTGAATAACGTTTTCCTTTGCTTTCTCCCTGCACATACCTCCCACAGCCTCCAGCCACTAGATAACAGCATATTTGCTGTATTGAAAGCAGCCTATCGGAAAGAACTTCAAAAGTTGCAAGATCTTACAGACTCAGCCCCTGTTAACAAGATCAACTTTCTACAGTGTCTCATTACAGCCAGAGCAGCAATTACTCCTAGAGTAGTAAAAGGAGGATGGAGACATAGTGGCAACTATCCAATTAATCGCCATAAAGCCTTATCTCATGAGGAAATCCAGGAGGACAAGCAGAAACGAGGAGCAGACGAGTTAGAGAAGGATGAGAAGTATGAGCCTATTTCCCATGGGTTTATCACTGCTATAGGCCGAGATCGAAGCTATAACGAACGCAGCAAGCTGAGGAGGGTTGCAAATCACCTTGAAGACCTTCAGGCTGAGGTTATCTTGCTCCGACAGCAAAATGCTTCCCTCAAGGCCCAGAACGAGGCCATCTCGAAGACCCGGAAGCGCAAGAAGATCCCCAATCCCAACAAGCGCTTTATGACTATCTCAGAGGCACTTGCAGCTGGAGAAGAGGCCAATCTAGCCCAGGAAGAGGAGGATTTGCCTGTTGAGGATGTTGTGGAGGTTCAAGACGAGGTTGACGAGGAGGACTCTGAGGACGATAATGCAGACATTCTACGTGAGGATTCACCACCAATTCGCACATCTTCTGGACGGGCTAGCCGTATGCCAAATAGATATTTGGAATGAGGAAGTTTAGATCATTTCGATGATATATTTATTATTATTATACAATTTGAATTGAATTACTTCTGTGTGTTTGAGTATATAGCTTTTGTGTGGGGCATTTCGCATTTTAGTGTCCGGCGGGTACGGGTGTCCGGCGAGGGGGGGTCAGACAGTAGGTGACCATGCCAACTTCTTCATAGATGTAAGAGATAGTGTTTTAAGGTTGGGTAGTAGACACAAGAGATCTGAAAGCTGATGGTGGTCTGTTGATGCTGATCTGTTGGCCTCTCTAGCAGCAAAGCTTCGATAGGCGTCATAGGCTGCATTGATTTCAGCGCTTGGAGCCGAAGGCCATTTCTCTTTTCCGTTCAATAGTAGTGGGTGTGTTTCGAAGGCATCTTTGGAACAGTCTGGCCATTCACCATGATAAATTGTTAGTCGTTCTGTAGAAGCACCCGTTCCCGGAATTCAGCGCAAGAACAAGATAAAAGCCTGTAAAGACTCAGAAGTATTCAATGTAGCAAGGTGATGGGTGATCATTGGGAATGAAATGCGACCCCATTGACGGCACACTAGCTGGAATGACCATATGTCTTGAAGGGAGACCAGCTCCAAGGCAATAGACACCAGCACTTCTTCAGGAATATGTCGCATGACGAGGAGCCCGGTTCAAGGTGAGTTGATCGGGCAAAGGAACAAGATGTAAAGTGAAATGCCTAACGGACCAAGGCTGTGATGAGAGGGAATTACACCAGACAAGGTTCTGCCAAAAAAAAAGAAAAAAAAGCCAAGCAGGTTAATGCTAGTATTTAAGAAGACCAGCAGAGCTTAAGGGCTTAAGAGGACAGGCTGCAATGTTGAGATCATATGCAGTCTGTTTTTAGTCATAATATACAGGAAGATCCCTGGTTGAGCCTTGGAGAATCAGCGAGTAAGGTTGTCCGCGCTAGCCCACCCTATCAGAGTCGTTACCAACTGAGCGGGATGCTATCAAGGTTGAGAGCAACCCACCCCAAGTGACAACAGTCTTGTTCTATATTAAGCTCCTAGGCGCAAACAGCGACCTAACAATAACTCCAACATACCATCCCCCTGCTCCTTGTCTCATCAGCAGTGCCGCCTATTGCTACATTATGTCTGGATTATTCTCACATCGCAATTAAGGATATATAAAATCCTTTGTCGAAGAAAGCTCTGGGCAGCAGCTTCCCCTGCACCACATTCATCAGTAATCAATCACCTTTGCATCTCTATTCATCTAAATCTGGCGTTGTCATCTCTAAAACAGAATGAGTCGACTCTTCAGGCTGCGTCTCAACACTATGTTTACAAGAGCTCAAAAACTCTGTTTCAAGCACAAAGACGCCAGAGTCAGCATTTTCGTTGAGCTTCATGGACAGCTATATACCTTCCAGTCCGACATTGACTGGCCCATGCCACAGGGCAAAATCTTCGACAACATGAACTATACTCCCGCAAGTGGCCCTCTTTTAGGACAAGAAGCCGAAGCCTTGACATCATGCAATCTCGATTCATTCAGCTCACCGGCGGCCAGTCCTGGCGAGGACTTCGTACCTCCCAGCACTAGGGCAAATCCACCCCACGCATTTACCAACCCATTCATTTCACCAATGAGAAACAACGATGGCGAGACCAACAATTTACCCCTTCCATCGCCATTTTTCCACCCCTATCAGATGATGGATTCAGAGGATTAGCCAAATGATTGTGACAACTACACAGGATCGGTAGTATAGCTTCTGAGTGCCGATTCAGCCTATCAATTGTGTGCTATACCAACCCAAGTATTATCTAAGAATTATGTTTTCAGGGATGAATTTACACAGGCTGCCAATTCTGTACTATCAAAAACTACCTAGGCATCAGTTCAGTGTTTCGTAAAAGTGTTACAGTCTTTCTACAAGAAATCAAATCTGCAGCTGCCCGCCATTCATATCCTAAGGCTAGAGAATCAACATTGCAAAATCAAGAAGACTAGTACATATTATAATGCCAGTATGCTTATAGTTACCTAAACTGACGACTGCCCAGTAACTCAACAACAGGCTCCTTGAATTCTCACCACCTCATCCTTGCATATATCATCTTTCCCCCAGGACCATCGTGTAGACGTACAAGCTTGGCAGACCTAACCCGGCCCTGCAGAAATTTATGCAAACATCCTATACTGGCCAATCAAATTTCCTAAAGCGACTGGATGTGTTTGCTAAAAAAAGAGGTGGATTTGGAACTGACCTCGGTACTAACCTAGGTGGTATGCGGGATGGATAGCCGCCATTCGTCATAAGTATAAGCCGCATTCCCGGAAGCCGGCCTCCCTGAATCCCTTGTGTCATCTCTCTTGGAGCCCAGCTGCTGGATATTGGAATATACGCCCCAGGGAATTTAATAGATATTTTAGCCAGAACCCCGGGTTTCTACAACAATCCAGGCTGCAGAGACTAGATGCCTTTGCATCTTCCTGGCATAATTGGCGGGTTCCTGGCTCCTGGCTCTCTTGCCATTGAGCCCTGATATAATGTCATACTAACGACGCCCGCGCCATACTCCCCGAGGGTCATTTCAAGACCGACGTAATGCCAGTGGTGCACACAATGATTGATCAATATCTTGTCGGAATCATCCAGGTTCCACTCTCGTCAATTAGGACAGAGCGGGAGGTGGGACGAGATGAGGATCAAAAAATCATCAAAAGACTATCTACAGTCTTCCGCAGGACCCCGTGCAGACCGCAGAAATGGGAAAATCATGTTAAAGGCCTTGTTGATGAGAAGACGCTGAGGAGTATCCAATCGACCCTGGGTCTGACCTACGACAAGCTTGGTGCTACGGTTCGTTCGGGAAAGTACCCGAAGGCTCATATTAGAGATCGGATTCTGTGTCTCGACGGAAAACAGAGAGTTGCGGCAGCCAGGAGAATATTTGGGAAGGATTCCTGGTGGACAGTAAAGCTTTACTTTGTTCCAGAAGGTACGTCTCCTCCGCGTTCGCCATGATATTGCTCAAGATCATGGACAGGCCACCCTGGACAGCTCCAGCTGCCTCCGCTCGAATTATCCGTAAATGGGTCTTGTACCGATCCGAAGGATAGACAGGTGACATGGGAGCCGGAAAAAAGATTGAATTTCATTCTTGGGTGTAAGAGATGTGAGAAGAGCCCACAGAAATCTCAGCATACTTCGACAAATAATGCCCGAACCCGATAGCCAGAGAATTAGGTACAGCCACAGTAAGAGCACAACGCAATCCTGAGCGAAGCAAAGACAGGTCCTGCTTGTTCCACTATAGCACTTAAGCAGTCATCGTCGTCGTCAACAATGATGTGACGGTCTGAGTCAATGTCAGTAAGCTCCACGTGGAGCCGCTGAGTTTGGTCGCAGAATTGACTCCGGGAAACCCTAAAATGCTATTGCTCGTCCGCTGATCAGAGGCTGTTACCGTTGCTTGACTGGCTTGGGATGTGGCGCTTGCAGTATCAACGTCTGTACGAGAAGCTGTAAATGGTACAGTGCTTGTGTTGATCACCAGGCTGCTTGACGTCGTAATGGGCATGGAAGCCCCAGAATCGGACGTCCCCTGTGCGGCCGGGCCAAGCGGCTGTACAGTCACCCCTTGCATTCCCGTTCCTCTGGATAACTGCGCAGGGCTTCCAGTTGAAATCACCGGGGCCAGACTCGCGGGGCCAGGTCCCGCCGTCTGATTCCATTTGGCAGACAAGCAGGTAATAGAACCATTCTGATATGGAGCTAGGCCGGAGTCGTTCTGGCCCTGCGAGATAAGAGCTTGCACACACATCGACGTCCGACCGCCGCACTCCCTGATGTTACATTAGCATAGTCTGTGCGCGAAGTAAGAAGGGCAATGTTGTACACCTGGGCAGGCCACACTTGTCCACATACTTTCCTCGAGGTATTTATCTGAGATCCCGACCAATCCAAAGACCAGACACCTCTCCATAATCCAGGATCGAGGATTTCCAACCCACGCCCCAAAGATGGACGACACATCTCAGATGAACGACTTTTTCTCGGGCGACTGGTCTAGCATCTGGGGATTAGATCAACTTCGAGACGGGAACAATCTCTCCTTCACGCCTACACCCCAGCCTCTGTCTGAGGAAGGGGGCGGCACCGGCCCAGCAGACATTAGTGAAACACACGCAGTTCACAACAACGCGACGAGCGATGTGAGAAGGTAGAGGTCATCTCCCGTCTGACCCCTTGAGAAGCCGACTGACGGTGTGCTTTAGCCTTTTCATTATGATATGTTCCCGCCTGGACAAGGTAGAGGCTATCAATGAACAGACGAGAGCGACTCTAGACGAAGTGAGTGGGGCTGCAACTCGCACTGAGGAGAAAATCGAGGCACTGAAACGGATGGTGGATAGCCTCAGAGACGGCATGAGCGCCTTTTCCAAGACCCTTTTTGATTATCTCCGGGGCGATTCATAGCTCTACGTAGTTACGATACGCTTTCCCGAATTCCTGGTTTGGGGCAGCATCCATAGATCTGGTATCTTATAACAATTAAAACACTATTGACAACCATCTACAAGTCAACAGGAGGAGACAATGTTCAAAAAATCATGAATACCACTCAATCCCACTGGAGTCAGAGCACCGTAAACAACAAGCCGCGAGTTCATTTGCGTCTGTGCAAACGTTTACAACAAATCCTCGCCTTAGCCTCAGCATACATGCAATCGATCTGCACTACACTTGCTACACATATGGCGGGGACTCCACTGGAACTCCTGAGAGAAACGCAATCACGGCCACTGCCAGTACGAGTTGACAAGCCGCTGCCGATGACACCACTGCCGCCACCATCACCGCTACACAGCCGGCGATATCTGGATCTACGGACCCCGCCACCATCTCGGCCTACCAAGCGGGCTCTCAGCTGGTCAGAGGAACAAATCAATACTCTCCAGGACGAGAACCGCAAGCTGCGACAGCAGATTATCGAGCAAAAGCGCCTCAACTTGGAAAGAGAACAAGCCATCGCCCGGTTGAGGCAGAAAACAACCACAGACAAACAGAAGCTCAACGAACAAGAGGATTTGATCAAGCAGATTGCCAACACCGTCAACGTTGCGTTCCAGGATTGCCAGGATAAGCTCTCTCGCGGGGTCTACCCTTACGAGAGCAGAGGAACAATCGACGAGATAATCCAGGTCTACAACGCCATTTAGCCCGGGGGACGCGGCCCCAGACCTGGAAAGGGGATGCCGTGAACCTAGGATTGGGATTTCCCTACCCACAACAGATTTACAGCTGGTCTATGACGCAACCCAGCCTGGAGGACGCGGCCCCAGACCTGGAAAGGGGACGCCGGAAACCTGGAATCGGGACTTCCCTCCACCTACTTTATTATCCTGTTCGCCGAGGACAGATCCCCAGCAGTACAGACGCTCCTATCAGACTTACACGATATGATTATTACGGGACTTGCGATCATAGGCACAATATATCTCATTGTCGATTACATGTAAGTTCAAGAGAAAACTTCGTTAGCCAAGAAATAACACCTCGATCAGGTCGGCACGGCGCAAAAAGCCCAGGACTCCGCGTTCGTCCAAGAGAGGGCAGACTCGATCCCGTACCAAGGAGGGCCGCACAGGCCTGAGGCATTAGTTCAGGCGCTAGGAGGCCTGCATTATACCAATGATGGAAAGGGACGTTGGAGCAAGAATCACGTGACCGTGGCACCCTGCAGATTATTCGTGGAGTTACTTGAAAATCAATTGCAGATTGGACCCGACAGTCTGGTAACTTCACTAGTTCAAACGTTGAGTGATGTCGTACAGGGATAAACCTTGAGGCGCTGATAGGACACTCCACCTTCACAACCTCGGCGCCTACGCTCAGCGGCGGCAGCATCTATTTTTACCATGGTGAGAATACCTCCGGTCTACGTTTATATAGAACAGGTGCTTTCGAAAGGCTAAATTTTCTAATTACCACTCCAACGTTCCTGCTCTGAATCATTTCGCGATCTCTCCTCACTGCCAATTCTTTTGTGATCCCTTATTATGGACCAGCGTGTGGAGTACAGCTCGCGGCTTCTTGACCAGGAGTGCGAACAACACCGGATCACCAAGGAGCTACTTATGTAGACGCAGAGTTGTGCCAATGCTTGGGAACGCGCTTATCACCTCTCGAACTCAGAGACTCAGTTCTACAAGATGAAAGTCTCTGCCGCTGAAGCCCGAAGCCAGCAGCTATCGCAAGAAAACCTTCGGCTCAATCTCCTACTTAGCCAATTAGTAAGTACTGCCTGCTATAGGGCGATGCTACAAGCTAATGTCTCAAGATTCAGTCTCCCGAGCTTACAAGTGACGAGGGTCTCCACAGATCCGGCAGACGTGCTACCAGCCAGGATGCCGCCTCTCACATCGATGACAATCGTAATGTTACGCCACTCCCCCAAGGCAGTCTGCCGGTCACCAATCTACCCTACCGACAAAGCCAATACTTGGACACCGTGCTGCCCAGCCAGCACTCTGAACCTGTGGCTTCGGGCTCCTGGCCTGTGCAGGAGCAGGGCCGTGTTTCTCCTCTACTCGAGGACCAAGCGGAACAGCGACTGTTCCGAAGTATCGCCCCTATGTCGACAGACACTGCGGGGAGGAAGTAATAGCCGGCTTTCGCGTATCTTCTCCTTATACGATCTAAATACTGCCCAAATGAAGGGATTGATATCGCACGATTTAAATTCAAGCTTGCTACTCAAATATAAATCATTGCTCCTCCGAAGCACGTGTAGTGCAAAGCTATTACACCGCCTATGTCGCCGTTGTCTAGACGCCAGTGCAGGCCTTCTTTTCACAACGTATCATGTCTTCTTGGCGGCTCAATCCAGAGAATCCTCTAAAGCTGTCAAAAAGCTCAGCACGCCTCGTAAGACAGAACACAAAGCAATGGCGAGCTGTCCAGTAGAGCTTGCATGGTTCTCAATGCCGACCAGGTAGCCTCGCAAGAGACCCCACACTAAGAGTAGTCAGCGGTCCATGATATATGCAGTTGCATCCCTGAATTAATGAATCATGTTTGTCAGGGGGTAGCACACCCTTAAAAGCTGTGACTGGAGTATTGAACTTTATTTCTAGTGTCTGCACTGTATATCACCAACTTCACCCTCCACGGCCCATCCTCTGGCCCAGAGACTGGGCAGTTTCGGGCTGCTGATACAACATTGTTGGCGAGAGAGGCGTGGCCATTTTGCGCTTATGGCCCTCCTAGAATCGGCCGACCAGTCAGGAACAATGAAATGCTCCATTCACGGAATGGGCTATGTGGCCTGATTTTGGGGTGCCCAGGATGGCCATGTAATCCACGGGCCAGTAAGAAACAAGACGGAGGAGATGCTCGGCGGCATGGCCTCGATGAAGCCTCCATGATTCCGGACTGCTTGGGTACCACTTCTTGTAAAAAATCAACCGAGACATCGACCCAGGCATAATAATGTGGTTTGGGGGGGAGGGCTTCTTTTCATTTCTTCTTTCTTTTCCTCTTTTTGAAAAAACTGAAACATATATGTATGCTTCGTCGAGTTGCTTGATCAAGGTGATCATGTGCAATGCCCAAGAAGACCAGGATAGAAGGACATTCCTTGACAAGTAAGACTCATGCGATGGGTTCAAAGACTCCCAGACTGATCATTCGCAGCATTTCGCCACAGTATGAGTCTTGGACGGTCCTTTACGATTATAGAGACTCCAACGATAAGACCAGAATCTTCTCTGTGCGACGGAACGTACACCTTCGGAATGACGAGCTCGAACATGTCCTCTATGCAGAGATTAGACATCACGCAGAGACTTTGCTGAAGATAAAGAAGAAGCAGGTGTGCGCCTACGACATGGACCTATACTATATGAGCATTTACAACAAATTCCGGCGACTAAACCGGGAAGCGCAGGGACTCATTAATTTGCTGTTGTGCCGCAGGGTTGATGAGGGAACCATAGGATTTCAGTATTGGGATCTGGTTGTCCTGTCGGAAGTGTCTAGCGGTGGTGCAACTGCGGGTGTGCGGCCGCGATATCGCTGGTGGAGGTGGTCGCGAGCTAGTACAATGTCAGAGTTGCGGCTTGTGCTGCGACGGGTACAAGCTCATCCAGCTACCTAGGTATTCAACAGTGAAGCTCAGGTGCGCCTTCTCGTGGGCACGAGCTGGTTGCCGACCCTGCTTTCAGAAATGGACAAAAGCAGTATTACAGACAGTGATCGACGGCCTGGAATGCAGAAATAATGCCTGCATCTATACAGGTCAAGTTACGAGAGAGCGTCGTGCTGTGAACCAGCTGCAGCCAGAATCTGCAGGTATCAAAGATGGTTTGTGCGAACGTAAACTTCGCGCCTGAGTGCCTCTATCCACAGTCTGGAACCCTTAGGACTCGTCAATGATACTAATGCTATAGCCTTGCGTACATATGTAGTGACTCGACGCAGGAGCCTAATACTCACTGGTGTTCTAGGGACATCTTCGCCACCCGTCGCCTTTTCCGAGCTCCTTCTTGTCTCTGCTCTTTGACACTCTCCTGCAGCTGCTGTGGGGCTTGCAAAGATTTATCTGCTTCAGCTCGACCCCGTTTCTTCGGCCACAATGCTGGAGGAGGAGGCGCTTGAGAATCAACAGTGCTTTCCAACTTCTGATTGGCAATGCGTAAGCTGCGACGGAGAAGACCCTGCCCCTCCATGACCCGATGCATTCGTTGCCGCGCGTCCCTCTGCACTTGGGGGAGCTGCCGCAAGACCCATGGCAGCTCACTGTAGTGCGTGTCCGCAAGCATCTCCCAGTGAGGTCCATGTAGCCTGTAGTCCACGGTTTGGCAGAGGAAGTCCTCAATGGCGCTTATCGGAGCATTTGCGCGATCGTGTTTCATTTTGCTCTCGGCCAATTGTAGACGAGCCGAAGGGCTGCGCTGCTCGTGCTGCTCGTGCTGCTCGTGCTGCTCGTCGGCAGTCTCGAAGGACAGTAGAGCCGCTTCGCAGTCCCGTGCACGGCTCTCCAGTCCCGCCTCGGTCTTCCTGCGTGCCATCTGCAAGGCGTTGCCGTCAATCTGTCGCGTTTCCCTTTCCGCAGGTGTCAAGACATCAAGCACGAGGAGCTTTTCCCATGCTTTGTCGTACTGTCTTTGATACGTCTCGACTCGCGTCTTACAGTAAGTAGATAGCCAGTGCTTGTATACCAGGTACTCAAGCCACGTCGACAAGATGTCTTGTTGTAAGGGATCAGCCGTCGGTTGAAAGGCAAGACGTATGCCATAATGGTCGAGAACAGTGCGCTTTGCAGCCTCGACGTATGCAGCTAGGCTGTTGTCCGCGCGGGTCTGATTGAAAGCCCGGAGAGCTAGCAAGCACTCCTCCGAGAGCAGACAACCGCGGCGGCTGCCTTCGGCTGGAGTGCGCGATCTCTGTTTGCAAGTTACTAGGGTTTACGAGACTTAGGCCGGAAAACGTAGGCGACTTACCTGAGCCGTTCGATGAAAGTTTGCGACATTTGATCCGGGTCCTGGACCGCGATCTGACGACGGTGATCCTGAAGTGTGAAAAATGGGGCATATTTAACCCTAACCCTCTGTTTTGGTCTCCTCATAAACCATCTCAGAGCCTGGTTTAGTTACTTAGATGATCTTCCTTTTGTATTAGATAGATTCAATCTCAACACTCATTCAGCCACTTCCACGTGCTCAGCTCATACGTTTCTCCTTAGTTATGAGCCCGGTTCGCAAGAATCGGGTTTAATCTTCCCCTTATCTATCGAAACAGACTGAGCTGTTCACTTCTTATTCTTTCAGAACACATCTTTTGTCCCAAACAGTCATACTCACGCTCCATCAAGCCCACGATGGAGTGCGAACCTGACGATCTCACGCTCTCGGTAAAGTGCACCAACATCTACTCCTTTCCATCCTGATACAGCATTTTGCAGTCCCAGAGCAAGGGAAAGGGTGTTTGGGAGTATCTAGACCCGGATAGCCCAGATGCGCTCTCTCTCGAACCTGAAGACTTCAACCTCGAGTTCTCCAAGTTCACTCAGGATCTTGAGAAGGAGCGTAAAAATACTATAACTGAGAACTATAAGCTACTTTCTATCCAGGAACAAGCTATTCTCTACGATCAGGAGATGAAACGCTTTCAGCTTCGTTAAAATAAGCAGTTGCATGCTTACCAGAATGTACAGAGGATGTGGAACTGGATTCAGAAAACAGTACCTCCGTCAGTCCTTGTTTCTCACATACACACCTATTCAGGAAAGAAGTCTCCCTTGATTCAACAGATGCTCAGAAACCTGAAGAGAGACCTCTGTCCGTCCGAGGAGAGCATGAAACAGATCGTTTGCCTCCAGTACCGCCATCACCTTGAGCTGGCCACCAGGCAAGGCACCGATTTCCAAAACTGGTGCTAGCAGTACTAGGATCTCCTGAATCTAGCTCGGGTTTACAGCATTGATGAAGTTGAGAGACTTCAGAGCTCTAATAACTTCCTCGCTGCTGTCGGAGTTCGCTTCCAAACAGAGTAGGCCAAAATGCAACAACATTTCCTTGCTACAGTATCTGATGATGATCTGCCTATCAAGACTATTGAATAGCTTCAATGAAATCTCGCTTCAATCTACCAACTTCAGCCTGAGCAGAAAAAAGGCTCAATGGTATTCGCTACTATAGGCGGAGAGAATCCACAATCCAGCAACTCAGGCATAAAATCTGGGAAGAAACAAGGTGGATCTTCCAGCCAGAGCGAAAAGGGAGATTACAAGTGCCCCTGCGAGTCATATCAAAGGAAGCATAAATGGGGCCTGATGAGCTGCGGAAGGCTGGAATACGCCTGTATCAGAGTTAGGCTAGACTCAATCTTCAAGGCTCCATCTGACGAGCAAAGAAAGAAGATCCTCTCTAAGCTGGCTAGCAAAAACTATCAGAAGCTTCGTTCAGATCTTATCAGAACTGGATAGCTTTCTCAAGGCTGAAAGGGAGGATCCCACAGAGGATGGAGAACAACAGGAATCTCTATCCAGGCACTGTCAAGTGCTAGAACCTCTCAATCACAATATCAAAATGCCAGATCTAATACTCCTCAAGCTTGAAACAAGGCATCCTCAGTTCCTCCAAATAAACGCTGTTTTCAACTCTCAACTCTTCAACTAGGCAGTATTGCTATAAGCAAGTGCAGCAGTCTTCTCAATACCGTTTCAGATATCTTATATCCTTTCCCAAAGCATAGTTCTGAATAACTGCGAAGCTGTATACCTTATCAACAGCATTAACCTTCTGGAGCCAAACATCTTTTCTCCCTTAAGAGATGCGGAAGTTGTGAAAGCAGGAAGCTTATTGTTGCTAATACAGGGATTCGGAAGATGATGCTTCAAAAATGCACTGAACGGGAGGCGAGAGGAACGCACTGAGGACCTAGTTCTCAACTGTATGGCGGTTGTAGATAGCTTCCATATCAACATAATCGCTGAGGCTCTCTTATATGAGAAAGAGATCTGGTACTGTAGCAAAGATAGCATACTGCGCTTAGAAATGCTTGAATAGAGCGCAGTAATTGCGAATTTATACAGAGAGTTCAACTTAGTCTTCTTCGAATACATTCCTTTTGCAAACTCTTCCTACTCTCGAGCTCCAGCTACGCTGCCATACAGCTGGGCTAGCATTCTCGTATTCTCAACTCTAAAAAGAAACAAGCACCCTCGTTCTTCATATAATGAGGCGCTTGAAAGAAGTGATTCAGAGCATCTTTAGCATCTAAGATCGGAATACCTAGGTGCTAATGCTCTGAAGAAGCTTATCTACTCAGTTCGTAGTATCAGAATCAACAGAACCAGATGAATTGACTGTGAATACTGTATTCTAGAGCGCATTACAAAGATCATTCGATGCGCAAGATCTGAACACTACAGCCCTCGATTATTCTGATGCATTAGTTGGGATCTTCTTGATTATAATAAAGCGCAGAATAGCTCAAAATGAGCTCTTATACTCAAAGATGAATATAGTAGCAAGTTATTTGCTTTTCTGATATCTAATAAGGCATAATCCATAGTGTTCGATGTGCTCAGATTATTCGAGACCTGGGTATAATGCTAATATTGCTTCTTTATCTGCAAAATCAGACAGGATGCAGACTCCTTAGTTATAAGGAAGCTATACGAAACGGTATATATATAATAGTGCGCTAATAACAGCATTGATCTGGAGATTACTCTACTGCGCACAAAAGAGTCAAATAGCGCTGCTAAGCGAGCTGGGCGTGAAATTCAGGAGTATATGCTAGTCCTTCTGTTATTAGCTAAACTACTGAAAGACTTATAGCTAGAGTATATGAAAGCAGCCACCTGGCTGTTCAACATCTCTCTATTCATGCTCAAGCACTCCGAAACGCTAAATTTACTTCTGAATAGCTGGTTCAAGCAGTACTTTCGTTAGTATGCGCTGGAAATAGTCAGAACAGCAGTCTCGGATCTACAGCCCAACTAAGCCAGGATCTACACATATGAATGCCAGGCATACGTTCTGCAAGAAGAGTATAAACTTGGCTCTTATAGATGGAATATGAAAATAGAATCAAGAGCATACAAGGGCTATCTTGTGGAATATATTGCAAGCAATCTGTACTGCATATAGCTTCTAGCGCTTGCAAAAGTTGCAACTATGTACAATATTCTATTCAATAAAAGCTAATTCTACAATCCAAACAGCAATAAAACATTAGAAGCACTATCTTGTACTTAGCTAGCACTAATCGTTTCAGAGATTGGAAATAATAAGGAAATTATGGATACAATTGTTATTGAAGGCATATGGAACTCAGTTCTCTAGCCTAATGCTACAAATCGAAACTAAGGATCTTATCTGCTATCCGATGAGAACAGTAGCCTATCCTCAGAATTTCCCTCGGAAGGCATTCTAAGTTAGAACTTGGAGATAAGAGCATCTGAGACTAGCAATGAAGCACTCTTGCAAAGCAACCTATCTCAGGAAAGAAGCTCAGAGAATAAGATACAAGAACTTTCAACTTCTGAAAAATCTCCTGAAGCATTGGAACGAATAGATCAGCCAGAAAGAAGTGCTGCTGCAAGCAGCAAGGATATTTCAGCAACTGAACAAGTATCTTCAAGTACTGAATAACAAGCTACTAGCGCATCTACTGCTCAGAATACAAGCCAGCCTGCAGCATGAAAGTATAAGCCTGGTTAGGCTTCAATCAGACATCGTTGAACAAGGAATGAGATCTATAAATCTCAATCCATATAGCGTTCAAACAGAGCACAGAAACCAATCAATAAAGCTTGCTAATACTAAGAATCATTTGCTACAGCCTTTATAATAAGCTAAACAGCTCTAGTAAACCTCATAGCTACTTTTTTGCCTAATTAGCTAAAGGAAGCAACCAGAATATGGAATAAGCGTTTTCAGACTATATACAGTATAGTTGCAGCTGCTATACTTGAGGCAAACTCTATATGCAGAAAAGCTTCATACTTGCAGCAAAAGCACTTTGATGCTTCTCAGCAAATCACAGAGCTAGCAATAGCTGAAAAGAAGCATTATAAACAACTACTATCCGAACCTGGAACCTGGAAAGAAGCACGAAACAGTTCTTTCCATACTGAGTAATAGAAAGCAATGCAATTAGAAATCCAGGAACTGATCAACAAAAGGATATAGCAGATCCTCAAGCGTAGGAAAGCCAAAGAGAAGCTACTGCTACTCAAATGAGTATACAGATACAAACTTGATAAGAATAGTTACTTAATCTCATTCAAAGCTTGAATCTATATACGAGAAAACCTGCAAAAAGCAAGCAATCTTCAAGATATGTATACAGCAATGCTAGCTGCACACTCCTTTCGCACACTTATAGCTGTGGCAGCATATTTCGACCTAGAGATCAACCAGATGAACATTACCGGAGCATTCCTGAATGCCAGCAGAGAAAGCTAGGAAAGCGTTTTCTGTAAGCTGCTTGATGGATTCAAGAAGGAAAGGAAAATCATGCTCCTGGAAAAGGCACTGTACAGCCTGAGAGACTTGCTAGCACTCTGATACAGGCACTTCTGCTCAACTCTGCGAAATCTCAGCCTTACGCCCTCAACTAAAGAGCTCTGTATATTTACTAACAAAGCAAACAAGCTGATTGTTCTGTTCTATGTAAATAATATCCTGCTGTTCTATCCGCAGAATCAGGCATCAAAGACATGCAGAGTAAAGAAAGGAATCTTCAAGGCATATGAGATAAAGGATCAGAGAGCAGCAGAATAGTTCTTGGAAGTTCGAATCGTTAGAAACAGAGCCAACCGCACAATCAGCCTAGTCTATAATGCATACATCGAGAAAATAGCTAACAAGTTTAGCTTTGCAGCTAATACAGCTTTAATACTTTCAATACCTCTGGATCTTGGGAAGCTTATCAAATGGAAAGGGAAAGCATCAAAAGACTAAATCAAGGAGTATCAGAAGAAGATTGGATCGATTCTGTATACTGCTATCATGATAAAACCAGATGTAGCTTTTGCATGCACTCTTCTCTCCAGATTTTTGATAAACCTAGAGCTAAAGCACCTGGAACAAGCAAACAGAGTAATCTGTTATCTGTATGGAATGAGATTTCTAGCAATCCAGTACAGAGAAAGCCATCCTGAAGCTCAAGCCCTGCTAATTGCCAGAGATGCTTCCTTTGTCGACAATGCGGAGAATCGAAAATCCTCACAAGGATATATCTTCAGCCTATTCGAAGATTCTATACAATGGAAAGCAACAAAGCAAAGCCTGATAATCATCTCAACTACAGAAGCTGAACTATACGCCCTCTCAGCCACAGCTAAGAAAACAATCGCCTTACAACACCTCTTTCAAAACCTCACCTTGAACCTCAGTAAGCCCTGGAATATCTTCTGTAATAATCAACAAGCTATACAGCTGGTAGTTACAGAGCATGAAAGAATAAATACAAAGCTTCGCTATATAGATATATACTAAATGTAGCTCAAGCAGGAGTTCCAAAAGAGCAAATTCCAGATCTTATATATGCTAATACAGAGCATACCAGCTGATAGACTGACTAAGAATCTCAATCAAGCGCAGTTCGAACACTTCAGAGCGCTTCTCAATCTTCAGAATATCAGCTATACCTTGAATCAGAGGATTAAGAAGGAATCTAAAGAAACACAGATAAGCAACTCGATCTCACATTAGCTTCTTTTGAATGCTCTCAATCACTGAATTTCATTTATCAAAATCAAAAACGAGAGCTTATAGCTCAGAAGTATTACTCAGAAACATGCAAACTAAGCATGCAGCCTTCATCAAACAACAAACTAAAGAACTTAATCACAAAAAACCCAATTATTCACCAAAGCCTAGAGCATATCTAAGCCTGAACAGGGCTCACTCCTTAGGTAGAGAATGAAGAGTAGCTAGCACTGCCTCAATATCAGCTTTAGCTTTCTCATACTTTAAATGCTATTCACAGTAAGACTCAACAGAATAATCATTAACAAAGCGCGAGACAGACTGAATAGCAGCTTATTTTCCCTTCTTCTTAGCTGAAACTACAGCCTTCCCCTCCTTAGCAGAGCATGAAACTGCCCCCTTACAATCAGCCTTCTGCTCAGCAAGAAGCATATCACGCTCTTCCGTAAGCACCTCAATCTGCTTCTGCAGCTTATCAACCTCCGAAAACTTGCCCGCCTCAAAATGCTCAAGAGCAGCTTTCTAAGCTCATACAGCATGCTTGGATCGAGTCCCCAGAGGAGCAAGGTTGAAAGTGGAGTTTTCTTTCTCTACTTCAGCGCACATCCTTTTCTTCAAGAGCGTAGGAGCATCCATCTCCTCAGCAGAAGCAAGCGCATGCTTGGCTATATAAAGCTTGTCTACAAAAGGCATGAGATAGAAAGAAACCGGAATATACTTGTAACCCTTTGAATACCAAGCATAGCAAGCAGCAGATAAGTTCTTCTGATTGTGATAGGAACTATTAGAGCTGCTTGCAGCCAGACTCTTGATACAGCCAATGCATGGAACATCGCGAACAGCACCCCAGGAAGCATCGTCTTAGCTCTTCGAGGAACCTGCAGCGGGAGTACTGGAAGGGGTGGCCACTGGAAAAGTCTTTTTGGCTTGCAACTGAGGAATCCTCAACTTGGCAGCATCTCCAGCAGCCACATCGAGGCGCTCCTGCTGAAGCTTCTGCATCAATGCATTCTGGGACCTCAAACGAGCTATATCCTGCTCAGTTACAGGCCTTATTGCAACTGGCTTAGAACTTGAAAGGCTACCGGAAGCCTGAAAAAGGGTCAGCCAGGTAAACATTGGAAGAAAAAGCAATGCAAACCTACAGTCTTGAGCGCCTCCTGAAGAAGCACAAAGCTATCTTCATCATCATCGTCATCATCATCAATAAACAAGCTAGAAATCCCCGTAGAACCAGCACCAGAGCGCTTGGAAAGACTAATACCAACTGAATCGGAGGCACTATCGACCGAAGAATGCAAAATCAGGATATCAGCACGAGCAGCAGACAACTCGACCGGAGCTTGAGAACTTGAAGCAAGCAGGCCAGACCGCTATCCCTGGAAACAAGAACAATCAGTTCAGCCCATACCAATCCCCAGACAGCTCTTTCTATACTCATATCAGGAAGAGGGTGCTAACCAGCAGTTGGAATCAAGACAGGCTGAACAGAGCTCGCGCTCTTCTCTGTGGCCATCGAGGGACCATCATGCGACTCAGATACGCTAGCAGGGGAGCTGGGGTTTGCACCCAAGAGATCCTCATCAGTCTCCACATCGGAAGAAGGACCAGAAGAGACCACATGGATCTCGCCCTCAGCAGAATCGCTGTCATCGGAAACAGCCATACTAAGCTCGCTAAGAGGGACAGAAACGTCAGACTCGCCTGATGAGAAATCTGGAGTGACTAGAAAAGGCATATTGATGCGCAGAGGCTTTCAAAGGCCTTGAAAACAGATGGAAAAAGAGCTGGTTGAAAAAGAAAGAGGACTGGAAGGAGGCAAGGCGACTGTAAAACGCGCCCACATAAGCTTAAACGCGTCTGCGGGGACCCCACAAAAGACCCACTTTTCTGGCACATCTGACCAGTTAGATGGGGGGTGTGTGAAAAATGGGGCATATTTAACCCTAACCCTCTGTTTTGGTCTCCTCATAAACCATCTCAGAGCCTGGTTTAGTTACTTAGATGATCTTCCTTTTGTATTAGATAGATTCAATCTCAACACTCATTCAGCCACTTCCACGTGCTCAGCTCATACGTTTCTCCTTATGAAGATACTGGTCTAGCTCCGCATCAGTGAGCGCTGCGAGTTCACAAGCCAGCGGCTTCAGTGCTGGTGTCATGATTCTGGGTCTGGTTTGCATAGCCATCTGGCGATTGTCGCGAAAGACGTGTTGTGTGGTGTGGGAGGGAAGAGTTGATGTGACAAATGTGGCAGTGTGGCTAATGACGTTCTAGCGGTGTGCGAAATTAACGCCTGAGATCTCGGGAATCAAAAGTAACCAGCAGAGACCAACCACGACCATGCGCTGATGCTGCACATCGTTTCGCAGGGATCCTTGACGCTGCTAAAATATACTTTTGGCCAGTCATATTAACGCCGGCATAGACGCGGGTACCGGCAATTTTGTACCAAGCTTCCCTTACTTTACCTAGCGTGCACACAAACTTGCATTTCATCCCTTACTGGGCAGTGGGGGCAACACAAAGTTACTAGGAAAACGGGTCTCGTGAAGTGTCGCTGCGCCTGCAATGCATCTTGGTAACAGGGATCCAGGTTGCATATCCATCGTCAGAGCACCAGATGGCGGGACCCAGGTCACTTCGGAAGTATAACTTACTGTGGGACCCCTACCCGCCGGACACCTAAATAGAAAACATCCCATATAAATGCTACGAATTCGCACCACCACAATTAATTCAATTAAAGCTATAAAATAACAAGCCATATATCTTTAGAACGCCCTGAATCTGCTCAATCTAAATATCTAGCTAGCATACGGCTAGCCCTACCAGAAGATGTACAAACTGGTACTGAATCCTCATCTGCAATTTCACCGGACTCCTCATCACTATCCTCTTCAATATCTTCGTCTTCAATCTCCACAACGCCCTCAGCAGGCAAATCCTCCTCTTCAAGGGATGAGGCAGCCTCTTTTCCACCCGCAACCGCCTCGGAAATAGTCATAAATCGTTTGTTAGGATTGGGGATCTTCTTGCGCTTGCGGGTCTTGAAAATGGCCTCGTTCTCGGCTGTAATGATGCACTGCAATATCCGAAGATTCTGAAGTACACAAAGGGGTTTATGCTAACAAGAGCGGTGTCGAAGTGTCAATCCCTGAATACGGAAATATAGCTGAACAAAACTGTGTGAGTGCTTTACTGCTTTTGGGGCTATTCAAGTATATGACAAATGAATACTTAGATTGACGACTGAAGAGCCATGTCTAGTAGTCTATCTAATGGTGTGGCAGTGGCCATAGGGGCCTCAAGTGAATGAGGCTTGGCTGGCCACCCTGACTCACTGGCCTGGGCCATTCAATGGAAGGGCAGTGAGTCGCCAGGTACGCTAGCCTAGTTGGGACTAGTGCCAATTGCTGGCTCTATAGAAAGGCAATTGGCAAGCGTGCCTTGAGATAGATTAATTGAAGAATCATCTTCCCTTCTACCATTTGTACAGCCCCTAGAGTGCCTTCTACAAATGGTAATGAATGTGTTCTTATAGATCCAGCTCTTCGTCGTGGCTCACCTGGATCACTTGGTCTGGCTCACTTCTGACCTAGTGAGCTCACTTCGGGTTGGTGATCTCAACCCTAACCCTTGCTTACGTAATCCTTGTTGGTTGTCTCCTGACACCTTGGTTCCTTTGTTGACAGGGCTTGTTTCGTGACCGACAACCTCGACCTTAACCTCAACCTCGACTCAACCACATAGCCTCTTCCCTCCCAACTAACACCGTGGCTCCGCACATTCATGATGGCGGATCAATCTCAGTCAAAGATCATCGAAAGCAATCCTATTGGGAATGGCCTTGATGCCTTCCGCGCTTCATTCAGTTCGATCTGCGAAGGCGCGAGTGTCTCCTGCACTCCGGACGCGTTAGAGCAGCTTAGCCAAGATGGTACGAAAAGACATCCTACTACCGTTCCAGTACGCTCCTCTGACCATTATTCAGATCTCCAGAATGTCGTCCTCGATCTTCTATTCGCTCTACCCAACCTCCCCACGATTCGTTTCCTGCGATCAAAGACAGGCCATGGCACCCTTCGCAACGATCTCCTCAAACTGATCTCTGCTGTCAATTCCGACAACTTCGACTTCAACCGCATCAAGCCTCTCCTAAAGGCAGCCCTCGCCGATGATCCTGATGATGCGCTCATCTGGAACCAACTCTACAATGCCGTTACCGAATCCACCCCGCCTCCCCGACCGATAGCCTCTTCCTTGCAACAAACCCCATGGCTGCACAACACGAGCAGCTTCGCGAACTCCTCCGAGTATCGCGATGATGTGGACAGAGTCCTTAGGAATGAACTCGGCGCTTTGTACGTCGGGCTTCCTCAATTCCATGAGGCTTTTTTTGGACGGGTGGCAGGTCTTAAGACAGCATCCGAGGCTGTCTTTAAAAAGTGCACGGAAGGCAGCGAACCACTCTTCAGTAATGGGTGGAGCGGATGGCCGAGAGATGCAAATCAGAACGGTGTCTTGAGCTGGTTTGCGGAATTGAACGAGAAACTGGCGATATTAGCAGAAGAATGCAAGTTAGCCCCAACAAATCGACGAAGGCCACTGGCACAACCCAACAAGCCGATCCAGGGTTCTACAGCAGAACGCAAGTTGGACGTCGGCTTCGTGGACAACCCTAAGGCTGGGAAAGACTCTCGATGTCACTGGTCGCATATCCTCGTACCGGGCGAGTTGAAGAGCAATCCATCGGCTGACAAAGCATCAAAGGCATGGCTTGATCTTGGGACGTATGCGAGAGAAGTGCTTGCTGCTCAAGATACCCGTCGCTTCGTCTTGGGCTTTACCATTTGTGGATCTCTCATGAGGATATGGGAGTTTGACCGGCTTGGAGGGATTGCATCCGAACAATTCGATATCAACAAAGATGGGCTGCAGTTTGTATCCACAATCCTTGGGTTCCTCTGGATGAGCAAGGAGGAGCTTGGCTTCGACCCGACAATCATAACAGCAAATGATAAGCGATTCATTGAGATCAAGCGGAATGGTTCAACAGAGCGCCTTATCATTGATAAGGTGATGTTACGCGCACGTTGCATAGCTGGCCGGGCTACAACTTGCTGGAAAGCCCATCGCGAAGGACACCCACAGATACTGCTCGTTATCAAAGACTCATGGCAATACCCCGAGCGCGATGAGGAGGGCGAATTGTTACGCGAGGCAACTGATCAAGGCGTTATTAACGTGGCTCGATATTACTATCACGAGACAGTTCAAGTACACGGCATGGATGATGATATTCGAAGAAACGTTCGCAGAGGACTAGATGTTACCACAGCTACGAACTACCAGCCGGAACGCTCGATGCCGCCGCCGCCGAGTATAATCGCGTCTGGGGCTTTACGGAGGCGCAGCAGCAGCCGCGCTACTAGCAAAAAGCGACCATCCAGTCAGATTAGCGCCCCTCTGCCCCCCAGCAAGCGATCCCGTTCGGCATTTCCAACGAAGGCTGGCGGCGATGCACTATCAAACCGGGTGCATCGACGTATTATTCTTCGTGACTATGGAAAGCCTATCTACAAGGCAAGCTCCCGATCGGCCCTGCTTGCTGCGTTGGAAAGCTGCATTGAAGGACATGAGTCCTTGCGGCGCAAGGCCAGCTTCCTTCACAGAGATATCTCCATCAACAATCTCATGATTAACGAGGACGACAACAACCCCTCCTGGCCTTCGTTCTTGATTGATCTGGACCTCGCCATCAGAGAGCAACGAGAGGGCGCCTCTGGAGCCAAGAGCAAGACCGGCACGAGGGCATTCATGGCAATCGGGACGCTTCTGGGCGAGCAGCATTCTTTCATGCACGACCTCGAGTCATTCTTCTGGGTGCTCTTCTGGATATGCATCCACTATGATGCGAATGGTGAGGATATCGGGCCAACTGAGTTCGACAGTTGGAATTACGAGAGTGATAATAAGCTAGTTGGATCTAAGAAGGGTGTGATTTCCGATGAAGAGGATTTTCTCAAGATGGTGAAAGAGAACTTCACATCGTACTACCAGCCATTGATTCCATGGGTCAATAGGCTGCGCAGAGGGGTATTCCCAGGTGGTGAAAGACGGAAAAGACCGGAGCCTAAGCTCTATTCCTCAATGAAGAAGATACTTCAAGACGCACAGCAGGATGCTGAAGTTACAGCGGGCGGATAATGTACAGTATAGGTATTAATTATTGCCTAGGAGCAAGTTGATCTGATTATTCAGTCATTTTCTTCGTTTTCTTTTTCCTCGTCTCATTTGCGAGGATAGAGCTTCCTTCTGGTGACTTGACATTCGAGGCAAAAAACAAGCCAGCCAGGTGACGAAATCAACCATCGGCTGTGGCAATGCAGCAAGCAGGCCCTCAACCTGGTAGCTATGACGCCCCGCTCAACAGGCCCTGGCAGGGCCAACCTATACTACGCCATTGTTTACTCCGCACTTCCCTTAAGCACGAGGGGAAACCTGGCATGATTTAGTCAATCCTCTATGATCCGCACGTGAGGTTCTTGTTCACTGAAGTACAGGGGATATCATTCTACTAGCAGAATCGTATTGACTTTTGGTAGCGACTTCCGTACCTCATGTGCATTTTCCCACAGCTGTGCTTTTCCACATCTGTGCTTCGTGTGTTAGCCAGGACGGATAATAAGAGAAGAAAAAGTGCTCTTGACCGAAATAGGAAATGAGCACAGAAAGATGCTCCGAAGTATCCAGATGGCTGGGCCGTCGCGAAGCAGGTGTTTAGCAGACGCAGTTTAGTGGGTCGTTAGAGTAACAAGCTTCGTATCTTCACGCAGCTAGGTGGTCGGTCAGTAATTAGCACCCCCATTTTAGAACACCCTTCCCGTTCAGCCGGGGGCACAAAAATGTGCTCCAACATAGGACCATTTTGAGCCATTTGCAGGATTATAGACAGACTTCAGGAGACGGCAACTGCCAGTCGAGAGCAAGTCAACTAGCCGCGGATGGGGTCTTGTAATGATGCACTGCAATATCCGAAGATCCTGAAGTACACAAAGAGTTTATGCTAACAAGAGCGGTATCAAAGTAATAACCAATCGAATACAGAAATATAACTGAGTAATCTGTACAAGTGCTTTCATTCGCCTTTGGGGCTATTCAAGTGTATAACAAATGAATACTTAGATTGATGACTGAAGAGCTATATTCTGGTAGTCTATCTAATGATAATGAATATATTCTTATATATCCAGCTCTTCATCGTGGCTCTGTGGATCTGGTGGCAGATTCATAGATCCATGGTATAAGGATCTGAGGCTCTGAGAGCAGACTTACAGATCCTCCCTCTATTACAACTCTAACCCTGGATTATATAATACTGCCTGTTGTCCGACGTTGGGTCGTGACACCTGGTCCCTTGTTGGCGGGGCCTGTTTCGTGACCTGCATGTTGGATGGGTCATAACATCATCTCCCTCCTATCAGTCGTTGTTCTCAACGATCTTTCGTAAGTTTCCTGGCAAGTTCTTCGTGCGTTGGGTCATGCTTTCCTAATCGAGATGTCGAACAGAGTTGCAAAACCTAAATCCGCGAATCCTCATTCCAATAAGAAGAAACAGAAAAACTTCCTTCTTCAATCCATTATTTCCAACAGTTTCGACATGCATCCTTGTTCTTATTGCAATGATCGTAGCCTAGCATCATGCATTGTTTCTCCCAAGAACTCTTCTCGTTGTTCCGAGTGCATCGCTTAAGATTGTGCACGGTACGACATTCTGAAGCTGACTAATGCTGCTGAACTTCTTCTCATCTCTATACAACATCGGAAGTTGGAGAATGAGATCAAGGAGTTGGAGTTGAAGTTAACTCGGTTGCATTAGCAGAAAAAGATGTAGCGCAAGAGGATGTCCAAAGCTATCCGTCGAGGTCTTCATAACCTTAAGAAGCTCGAGAAGGAGAAGGCTGAGGAAGCTGAAGCTGAGCGGGTTCGTGCTGCTGCTGAGGTGCAAGCTGTAGTAGCTGAGGGGTCTGCTGTTGCTGGTGCAGATTCTTTCTTTGAGGGGTTTGATTGGAATTCCGTGGATGTGGGAAATGGCGTGGTAGACTGGTTTGGATTTTTGGAGAGTGAGGCTTCTGGGGCCTCTGGGCTTCGGTCCGGGGCGGAGCGATCATCCTAGGCGCTGGATTTTCTTTTTTTTTTTCAGAATGAAGGCTTCGAGCTGCTGGTAAGCAATTCAGCTATCTATTTCAACAAGAACACGAAGATGATTGTAGCCTCGTTTGTTAACAACTTTCTGATTGCTCTACAGCCAGACCAGCAAGCACTGAGCGAACAGCTTATCGAGAGGCTGTCCGAGAGGCTCGAAGTTACTGATCTAGGCCTAGCTGAATGGTTTGTAGGCGTGAAGATCAATCAACAGCCCAACAGCAATATAATCATCTGCCAGAATGCATATATCGCTAGAATGCTTGCTGAATGAAGCCAGGGCGAATGCAAGCTAGCGATCACCCCTGTAGCCATGGGCGCTATAGCTGAGGCCGTACGCAACACCAAGGAGGCCTCGACTGAGGACTGTAAGCGCTACCAACAGATCGTCGGGTCAGTTATCTACCCGTTGTGCATCACGAGGATCGACACTGCCTTTACAGCGAGTATATGGGCCAGGTTTATGTTAAACCCCTCGCAAGCCCATGAGAAAGCTGTGAAGAGGATTCTGCACTACTACCAAGGAATCAAGAACTGTGGCATTCAGTACAAGGCTGGCTGCTTGATTCTTGAAGGCTATTGCAACGCCTCATACAACGACGATCGAGATGCCAGCAAGTCCACGATCGCATTCATCTTCACTCTGGCAGGAGGACTTATCTTGTAGGCCTCCAAGCTGATAACCTCGATCTCTCAATCAACAGCCGAATCTGAATACTATGCTGCGAATGCTGCTATACGGGAAGCAGCATGGCTCCGAGAGTTCCTCGTCGAAATAGATCAAGGCAACCTGGTGAACCAAGCGATCCCAATCTATACGGATAACCAGGCTACCCTCAAGATCATCGAGAAGTTGGAAACTACAAATAGGACTAAGTACATCAGGGCATGCTACCACTACGTTCGTGAAGAGGTGGCACAAGGGAACGTGAAGTTCTACTATGTGCTCTCTGAGGAGAACATCGCGGATGCCCTCACCAAGCCGCTGGAGCCTGGCTAATACCAGAGGCTTCTCAAAATGGCTGGGATGGAGAACCTTGAAGAGAACGCCAGCCAGCATCACGATGATGCTGGCTGCGAGGGAGTGTCGGAATAAAGGCATTGGTCTCATGTGGGTGAAAGGGCCTTTCAGGCCCCTGACACCAGGGCCCTTTCACTAGGTTTCGAGCTAGCCGGCCCTTTGTTGTACTTTTCCTATAGAAACGGGTGCACCAGTACCTCTGGCTCCAGGATAGTTTGAACCAATGACCTAGCTTTTCACCCATCCTTCACTCCTATGAATTCACTGCCCCACATTTGACAAATTTACTGCCTCAGTTTGTCTGCTGCTGAACCGGAACTAACCGCTTCCCCACCTACAGTGAAGCACGAGCCACACTCCCCTTACAGCACTTCGCTGTTCAGCGCTCTTTCGCATCCTATCTCCACGAAGCCCTGCCTTCGCAAAGCTCTCTCGTCCTACTCATAACGCCCTATCACTCATCATTATGGACAAGCCTCTAGATTGGGACTCGTTTATCTTCCGTCCTGTCGATTTTGATGATTATTTCGATCAATATCCTGAGCGTTTAAAAGCATTTCACAAGTTCATGCCGCATGACATAAGCCCTACTCTCATCTTCACTACCCTTCCCAGACAGTTCAATACCATTATGATACCACTGCAGAATGAGGATGCTTTCTTTTTCGATATACTCGATGTCGGCCGGATATCTGAGGATGGAGATGACTTTTTCCGCCGGCTCGGGGAGCGGCGGGAGAAGAGGCTGAAAGAGCTGCACAAGCTCTGGAAGGAAGCGCTGGACCCCTCCAAAGCATACAGGAAACTCCGCAACGATAAGGATATGCAGTTTTTTAGTGATATTACTCAGATCTACTTTCAGAAGTCCTTCGATTCATATGCTGCATTTTTTGCAACGCTTATGCTACGATCAAAGGATATTAGCATCTTCCGCCAACCTGCTACATCGCGCCCGACTGCAGCCAGCGCTGCCGCCCGACCCCAAGAAGCAAGATCATCTCCTTCGGCATACTCGAGGTCTGAAGGAGGCGACCTGGCAAGCCAGGAAGCCTGGCCGCCATTCGAGTCAACAGATGAGGAATGGCATCCGAGAGACGAAAGAGGCGACCCAGCAAGCCAGGAAGCCTGGCCACCGTACGAGTCAACAGATGAGGAATGCCATCCGAGAAACGAAAGAAGCAACCCGGCAAGCCAGGAAGCCTGGCCACCGTACGAGTCAACAGATGAGGAATGCCATCTGAGAGACGAAGGAAGCTCAGAACGAAGCGGATCGCCCCCTCGAAGCGAATCGCCCCCTCGAAGCGAATCGCTCCCTTCTAGATACGCAACACCACCCGAATACCGAACCAGCTCGCCTGCGCCAACAGATACGCTATATCCCCCTGCGAGGCAGGCTCGGAATGGGGGAGAGAAGAGCTGGGAGAGGGCTGATATTCCTGTGGCAGGCAAGAAGAAGGCGAGAACAGCAGCATCCCGCCCGTCGCCAGGCTGTGTGCTGAAGAAGCCGAGGAAGAAAAAGAAGCAGAACCCGGCCAGAGACCGCAACCATGCCCAGCCTGCTGCCGGCAGCAGACTGCAACAGACAAAGCATGAGCAAGCCCTTGAAAAGATGCTCCAAGGGCTGGCGGGCAACGAGCGAACAGAGAGCCTACCGCCCGGCCATCCAGCAGATAGAGTTGGAGAGCTTTCTTCATCATCCCCTCCCCCCTCAGCCCTACAGCACAAGCAGCAGCAGCAGCAGCAGCAGCAGCTGCCGAAGAGAGGGTCTCGTCACAGAGCTGAGCAGCTTTCACAACCAGCATGCACAGCACTTGATGGAGTTCGTGAAGCTAAGATAGCCAAGGCTCGTCAAAAACATAAGCCCCGGAAACCCGAAGCTTCCGCCCAGCTGTTCTCTGCTGCCCAACAAGCGCCGTCTGGCCCGGAGCCTCCTGTTCCTCCCCCAGACATCCTATCAACAGCATCTGTACGCAGGAGCCGACGGCTGAAGGAGAAGGCGCAGAGCAGAGCAGCTGCAGGTCTCGATGCCAGGGACAGGTGATGAGCGCGCCCCAGCGGGCAGCGGGCAGCCTGACAAGCGCGGAGCCTGGAGAACACTCAGTAGCAACTCAGGACTTGTGAACATGTGGAGAGAGAGAGGGTAAGAGGGTAGGTATCTCCTGCTAGTGAGCAGTCCTAGAGCATCATCACCACAGCTCCGAGCATTCTTTCAGGCATGGTTGTTATCCTGGCAGGGCTGGGTGCAGCAGCGTAGTCTGGTTGATAAGCTCTGTGGGGTTTTGGCAGGCAGGCATGGTCGTCATCCCGGAAGGGCTGGGTGTAGCAGCGCTGTCTGGCAAGGCTGCACCCTGAGGTTCTCTTCAGCATAGCAGCTTACTATCACATGAAGGCAAGAACAGGAAGCTGGTTTGGATGCTAGCAGGCATGCTATTATGACTGCAATATATATAAGATACAAGTACAATTGATTTGAGCTTCTGCTGCTTGGATGATCATCTCATATTCCTTGGACTTTGAGGATAATCTGGTATTTTATAGCAACAAGGTCTACCTCATGACTTTTGGCTGAAATCACAACCTTTTATCTTGGGCTATAAAGCAAATTCTTATACTTAATCGGCCCATGCATGTTTCTACATTTCAGGCCTTGATATTCCAATGAGAATGACCTATACATATAACTTCTCCTAGTTCTTTGGGCCTCAGTAAGCTTTATATATTTCAACTCCAGATCTTGCACGGTCTGGCCATCCATACCAAGATCAGCTTGTTGCTACAATATATGCAATAGATAATGGCAGCTCACCTTGGGTAGTCCCTTCATTGTTCGTATATTGAACCCCTTACTGGCCGCAGCTGATACGGCGATAAGAGCCTTGTTCTTGCTGGCCGGCTGGCAGGACTCCTTTATCCTGTCGGCCAGCTGAGCACTCTCTGACATTATCTCGCTAGAGTTTAGGATCGGGAGCTCGAGCTTCAGCCAGAGCATTTTATCCCGAACCAGAAATATGTACGTAAGTAGCTAATAGCGGCGCTGATCGATAGATTAAAGAAGATAATTGTATAGCGCTTATCAATACTGTCGAGCGGCTCTATCTTAGGGTTCCGTCTCAAGATTATTTTGTAAATCAGCAACTTGATAGTGGTAAGCTTAGCGCACAACATCTCGGCAAGGGCCGCAGCAACAGTCTCTCTCCTCAGGAGATCTCTCTGCACCATAGCTGAGACTTTCTGGTAGTCTCCAGGTAGCTTAAAGTTGTTGTTGGGCTGTCTTGTATAACGAGCAGGTACGGGTGTATGAAAGACCGCTGGAGAACTATGAAGTTGTTGTCCCCGGGTTCACGTTGCTGCCACTGCACAGCACTTCTATAATAGTCTGCTTCGCCAGCGCAATTCCCTTCCTGCCCTCCTTTACCCAATCCGACATTTTCTGCTGAAGAGTTGCCGAATCAACAAACTTGTTCAAAGATATATTATCTCAGTAAGCCGCTTATTCGGTTTCGTTACATATTAGTATCTATGCTTGCATTTCAGGAATTCTCCTTGCCAGTGATTTCATACAAATATTTCGGTTCATACAGCTTATATACCAATTCAAAACTTTATACAGTTTATAACTGTAATTCGCGCTATTATTACATTTAATGATTTGGTGGACTAATTTGATGCAATGATTTGATGCAATGACTTGGTGCAATGATTTGGTGTAATGATTTGATGCAATAATCTGGTCCAATGATTTGATGCAATGATTTGGTGTAATGATTTGGTGTAATGATTTGATATAATGATCATCATAAGGTGATGTGAGCTTTGAAGTAACTCAGGCTGAGCTGCATAGTGGAATTATCTCTGCTCTTAAATTCTATTTCTTTCAATAGCCAAAAAAATCACGCCGCTATATAAAAGCATAGATGCAGCTCATTTCCATCCGATAGGCTTCGCAATGCATGAAATTTCGTCATCCAAGAAGACTCCAAGGCCTCGCCAATGGTCTCGATCGCCATCGGCAACTTTGCGAAGACCTGCTATACGAGTGCTGATTCGTAAGCTGGCATCCAATTGATTGGATTGTCTTAAAGAATTTACCAAAAAAAAAAAAAAAAAAAAAAAAAAAAAAAAAAAAAAAAAAAGAGCTTTTTATGTGTGATATTGCTATGTTTGGTTGTCGATAATATCACACAAGCTTTAAAGCTTGGGTGACAATAGCACAAATTGTTTCAAGATGTAATGTGTTAGTTGTTTCAGATTTGGTTTATACAATCTGATATTGCATTCTAATACGTTAGATACTTTGTTGTCAGTATCAGATTACTGCATTTTCTATTATCAAACTCCTTGACTGAAAGCGCTTAATTCTTTCTTTGCTGGCTTTGGAGTATTTATTAACTCAAAGCACACTTTTGTAGCTGCTAGTTTTGGAAACAAAATTTCATCTGCAGTCTTTGGTAATTATTGACGTTTGTTGAAGATAAATTTGCATTCTTCCTTATATATATATCGAAAATATTGTTTTCGCATTCATTCTCAAGCAACACCACATCAAGTTTGCGCCAGCTACGGATACTTCGACGAATGTAAAGGATTGTGCTTTTGCTAAACTTTTACTTATCAAACTGCATTTCCATTTCAGCACAAGTGAATAAAACCATCTTATATGTCTCCTTGAACCCATACTGTTTTCGACATATCTTTGTCTCAAACAGTTGGTATGATAAGAACTGTCTTTATTATTCTTCATGCTATCGAGAACAGATTGCTTTTGGTATTGTAAGTGATCCAGTTCTTAGAACTTGCAATTCGTCGTGCCAACCAAAGCACTCGCTTGATGCGATGCGCTGTTGTAGCTTGTGTCTCCTTAAAACGCTCTTTTAGGTCGATATTAGTTGGAAACCAATCTTCAGGGAAAAGATGTTCGGCCCAAAAAAAAACCCCGTAGCATCCAATCCTCCGGAAGGCAAATGCTATTAAAGACGCTTAATTTTGATTCAGCTTGATAATGAGTTGCATCATCTGTAGATAAATGTTGTGTCGAGTTACCCTTAGGCTCATCGAGGAAGCGAAATTTCTGTTTAGTGGAAGCAATTAGATATTAAACCCTTAAAATCTAACCCATTTATGCATACCGAGGAGAGTATATTCAATAACTTTACAAGCTCAGTCCACTCAAGATGACTCCCTAGACTCATAATCTCTTCTCGCGAAGAACAGGGAGATAATGATGAATCCAAGAATCCCATAAAAGTCAATCGCCCATTCACGAAAGGCAGTATCCAGAAATCAGAGCAGCTGAAGTGGATAATGTCTGTCGCTGTCGTGAAACTTATGAGCTGCGATCTCCATAATTTATCGTCCCTATCGGAGGTCTTCGCTGCTGCTGCAGCTTTTGGCGCAGGATTTATTGTATCGTAAAGTGCGTTGTTGGCAAGACAAGCGACTATTTTCGTCTCGAATTAGTAAATCTTAAAGGTATCCGGAGATAAGAGGTCTGACTTAAGGCTCCAAACCAACAGTAATTATACTGCTGTTTTCCGATGTGCAAAGCTAAGCCACTGATGGAGACTTGGCAATATCGCTGAAAATTCCTCAACTCCCATGCTTCTGAACACCGCCGAGCAAAATGATGGGCAAAGGCAGCTATAACAGACCATGGAGCGAACTGCCTTCGCTTTCGAGAAGTCTTGTAGATGTTGCGCAAGACGTTAATAATGAGTAAAACATCATCCTCGTATCTGTTCAAATTAGGGTTCCGTAGCAAAAGCGGCCTTCGACAAATAGAAGAAAGACATTGCCATATCCAACGGTGTGTCCATTGAGCAGAGCTTTGCTTTGAGGTAATAAATTGACCCGTTTGTAGAATCGCAATCCTCAACTTTCGTAAGTTTCAGGTAACTAATACCTGCCAAATTATAACAACCAGGATCACTCGAATTCTCTTCTTGATCGTGCGCAACACGGAATCTAAATGTTGAATTAGCGAGTAGGAACAAAGTGTAAGGGATGAAGTATTAACCTCAAAAAAGCTGTAAAGCCCATCCATTCATTCCAATCCCGATGAAATTCAGTCGCTACTTGGTAGAGCTCATTGACTCTAAGCATGCATCCCTGAAGGAAGCATTTCAGTTTCGAGATACTGGGTTCGTCTTCGATGTGAGCAACATAGTCCTCGACAGCTTTTTAAAATATTGTTCGAGATCCTTCCCTGATTTGTCAGATCGTGAAAGGAGAAACGCAACCTCGAATGCAGACATCAGAGCCTCAAACGAATCGCATAGTTCTTCGACAAGATTTTGATTAAGATGCCGTGCCTTTCTTTTGCCATTGATTTCCGGCCAATCTTTCTCGATCTCATCTGCGAGTTCACGAAATCTTGAATTTTCCTTGACAATGCAATCATCCTTTCGTTGAATGACAAATTTGTGATCCCTGCCGTCGAGTTGTAGGAGGTCCTGCATTTTGACCGCGATACCCGGTTGGTCCTCTGTTGAGCATAGCCAGTCTGGCTGAATGCCTTCACAAAATACTCTCTCCCATTCTGCTGGAAGGTAGAATGCTCTTTCGATTTCTCGACTGGCGTTTCGGGCAACTGCGCTTCTGGCCATTCTTGATGGAGAGCGAAGGAAAATACTCGGTATTGGGGTTTCAACGAAGATGGCTAAATTGGTGAAGCATAACAATACTAATCCAGCTGAATCTTTCTGTCTTAGGTATAGGAATCCCGTGGCTTGATAGTCAACATTATTCAAGATTCGGGTTAAAGCTAGGTTATAGTCCTGTGTAAATGTAAGCAAGGGTGGCTCGTCGACCGCCTCAGGGGATGGTAAGCTACTGCGGGCGAGATTACAATCACGTTGTAGCGGAAAATGCGGTAAATCTCGTTTTAGGCAACTGCTAAGGCTCTCCTAGTAATGACGCGCGAGAGTGTAAGGATCGGCGTGACAGGGGATAGAATAATCAGGCGCTAGCTTTGGCTCAAGAACATCGACACTAGACCCTTAACAATAGCAGTGAATTCTTCAGACCAATGACATCTGGGTTGGTATGTGCATATCCACGATAATTTATAATACAATACAGTCCTTGTTATTTGCACCAGCCCCTTCCTGTCTTTCAGCCAGTATGGCTGTTGATCTCTGGTTCTTCATCAAGGCACCCATCGGTGCCGACAGTAAAAGGGAACTCACCAACCACCTGAAAGGGCTTCAGCAAGGCAAATGCCTCAGATATGTCTTCTACCAGAAGGGATGGTCGGGGAATGATAAGGAAGCTCTCAGCGGCGCATCATCAAAGGTAATAGCAATGCTCGCCTCGCTTATCTGCCGCATTATACCGTCCTCCATCTGAGCCATATCTAAATCCCGTGCTTCCTGCTCAGCATCTAGCCCGCTGGTCAGCTCCCCTCGAAGCTCATCCAACTGGGAAATGACCTCTTCTCGCAGCTCGGCGAGGGATTGCTTGATCTGACCCGTCAAGTCGTCCCGAAGCACAGCAACAGAGGCATCGAGCTCGAGGCCGGTCAGGCTATGCCCTTCCCAAGTCGCTTTCGCAGAAACCTTTTTTATGTCCAAATCCATCGGCCGCGGCCATGTCGGTTCGATATCAGCATGAGGAAGACAAGAGCTTTCCGTCGAGGAACTCGCTCCCGAAGAGGCAGAGGAGCAGTTATCCACAATGTCTTGCAACGGCGGCAGCTGAGGCAGGCACTGGTCTTGTCGCAAAAGAGAGTCTCGACTGATTGGTCTCAGCATCTCTAGAACGTTGTCAGGGCTCTCACGAGGATCATGGGAAGAACGAGGTGTGTTTGGCTGCGTCGAGGAACCGGCACCGATATCGGCCAGTAGTGATGGCGATAACAATGCCGCTGGGCTGCCCGGGTCCGGCATGTTGATGCGAGTCGAGCTGAGCTGAAGAAAACGGGACACTGCGATTTCAGCTGTTCTGGGAGAAGTCAGTAAAGCGGCACATTCAAGAGAGACAGAGCATGACTGGATACAGGATAGCTCTACTGCGGCAAGCCGTCTTTGGTTCAAGATGGAGGAGAAAAAAAGAGAGAGAAAAGAGCTGGAATAAACTATGCCCAGAAGATCCCACCCGCCCAGGCTTTCTTTTGGATATCTCGCGAGACGGAGCAGCCTTGACTCCGATTGTGTATATCGATCCGGTGGCAATAGGGATGGTAGGGCCGATGAAAATAAGACAGACAAAAGGAATGAAAACGAGAGGGCGTCAACGCCTGCTGCCCTATGTAGCAATGCAAGATCCAGTTTCACTTGAGAGAACACATCCAGGGTCTTTCGGCGGCCGTAGGCGCTCGAGTAGAAGCCTGTCTAAAGTGATGTGGTTGTGATCACCGGCTGCAGCCGGAACATAGAGCAGGGAAAGGTCGTTGTATGCCCAAAATATTGTGAACGATGTCTGGATATAGTTGAAATGAAAGAAAGAAGACAGACCTAGAAGTACGAAAGGGGCGGAACAAAAGGACGAAATGGCGTGACAGCATGTGATCGTGCAATCCCAGCTGGAAATTTATTAGCGCGAGCGCATCATGCCCCCCGCTTAATCTCTGGGTACCATGGTCAGGGATTTGTGGGACCGCGCACGGATCCCCAAAGTTCGTGGCGCACGTATTTGCGGATCCCCGGACAGTGGATACTGTAGACCATGCGGCGTTTTCCCAATGCGTCCTTCTCAAGAGAGATCCTCAATGTGGACTTAAACCCCGCCTATCCATGGTGGGGTCTTCAAACAGCGGTATGGAGACCGAGTCGCCAGGGTTACGCTGCTGATCAGTGGTTTTGTCTTCGGGTTCGGGGTTGTTGTGCTTTAAGGTATCGATGGCGGAGGAGGAGGAGTCGTTGCCGTCGTTGCCGTCGTTGCCGTCTTCGACTGTCAGAAGTATATGTTGTGAGCAGTCCGGTTCAATCATCATAATAGAATACCGATTCACCGAAGTTGCACTAGGCATTGTTTATCCTATGCACCCTAGTGAGAACTAGCTGCGCCCTTCTGGAAAACGCCTTTTCGGAAAAACGCTTCGTGCAGGGGGGCATCTTAACGCATTGTCATTGGTCACCCAATATCTTAACGCGCTGTCATTGGTCACCCAATACACGTCGCGTTGGTGCCTAACTGATCAGGGATTAGGGGTCAGGCCATACGCGCCCATAAGTCAACGTCGCAGATGGGGGGGTGAAGTCAGCACTGCATGTGCAAAAGCCTCATGTATATAGCTGATTACTGCGCCTTGCTGCGGCCCGGCGATCTACAAAGTGGTGGTCACGGAGCCGCAGTTTGACTCGGCGAAGTATTGTTATCTACAGCTTTAAAGAAAAAAAAGAAAAAAGAAATATATACCGCATCTGCCAGAAACCTTCTCCCTAATCAACGCCATGTATAACAGGGGATGCCACGCAAAACAATAGGATGACGGGATAGGGAGGCTGGGGGCCACCTGGGTAAGGCACGGACCGACTTATGCATGAGTCATATTAGTACATTAGCTACATGGTGCTCTTTTCCCGTTTCGGTCCCGGCTTGTTCAGAGCCCCTGTAGTTCAGGGCCCCTCTAGTTCAGGGCCCCTCTAGTTCAGGGCCCCATAGCAGACCGCAGCAGTTGTCGCTCCCGCACAAACACGCTTCGCCCTTTTTTGATTGTTGTGGCGGCGCCTTCGGCTCCTCCATCCCAGCCTGGGTGCAATCGTGGTACCTGATGGTCAGCTCCGTATCAGCCTTCACGGGCATGACAGTGAACACGGCGACGTGCACCTTGCCGTCGGCCCCCTCCCACTCCTCCCACCCGCAGTTCGGCTCGCCGCACGTGTGGTTGACGTAGCGCGCCTGCGAATTCACGTGCGTCGCGTCCAGCTCGCGTCCGTTGCTGAGGGCCATGCGGAAATGCGAGCTGCTCCAGTCCCCGTCCGAATCCCGCATGTCGCGCACCACGCCCTTGATCTCCCCAACGAAGATATCTTGCGGTAGATCCTCGTCGGTGCGTAGGCCGCGTCCGCGACGCGTGTAGGTTTTGAAGACGGTGAGCTTGCGCTTTGGTGGCCTGGTGAATAGCCGATTTTGGCACCAAGAGCGACCGCAGTTGTCGTGATCGCATTCAACACGCGTCCTGCGGTTCACGCACTCATTTTTGCTGCAGTCATCTTTGCAGCCCGTAGAGTCGCATCGGCCTGCGATGGAATATGTCCGTTTCGTGAGGGAGCGTCGGCTGCGCCGCAAAGGACTATGAGAGGCTAGGACTGCCTCTTGTTGTACCGCGCCGACGCCATAGTTGCGTGGGCTGCGCCGCAAAGGGCTCTGTTTACTCTCGACTGTCTTCAGTTGAGAGAGCTGTTTTAAGCGACGATTTTGAAATGACGACGGTACTGTGCAGGCTGGAACTGCCTCCTGTTTGATCGCGATGTCACCATGGTCGAGGCGCCCCAAATGCTTCAGACCAAAAAGCTCTTGTATGTGTTGAAAGAACAGGGCCAATGTCACAAAAATTTCGACAATGACCAGAAGCTTAGGGCGGTCCTGTGGTGAAGGCTCTGGTATGCTGGTGCAGGCTGGGTCTACCTCTTGTTCGACTATTGTCGACGCGCAGATTATGGTGCCACCCCATGGTTCAGGCTCCGGTGAAGTTATTTCGTGTCGGCTGAGCCCCATAGCTGAAGTTGTGGTTGTTGGAGATGCTTCCGGCAGCTTTGATCTGGATCTTGAGACGGAAATGGGTGAACAGGAGTCTTGACTTGTTGGTCTTTGTTGAAAGCAAACCACAGACAGGCCGGACGCGGTCACGTCTTGACGCGTTCATGTTGGATTTAGCAAAACGGCTGTGCAGCACGCCACAACTCCACAGCACGTGTTTATATGTCAAACACGCCCCCTAAACACTGCTTTGGTAAGTGGGGATTCAATTCGAATGCTTGACCTTCGGAAGTTCTTTGGTGGCTTGTGTAATGCTTTCTAACAGAAATTTCAATAAAACTCAGTAACCGCAAGTTAACATAATATTTCACTTTACAACTCTTTCTTAGAGTCAACCGCGTTGGCCGTAGAGCCAATCGTACTGATAATGTGTTGGATTTAGCAAAACGGCTGCGCAGCACGCCACAACTCCACAGCACGTGTTTATATGTCCAACAGTTCATGTATTGCCCGATTGGGGATTCCTTTATGTAGTATAGCCAATGTTTTGCGATAGAATCATCATAGCCAGTAGACCAGCCATGACAAAGTATCCATTAATAGGCAACCGATGGCATATGCACACGATGTTGGAGCGTTCCTGAGACCACCGATTCGGAATGTCCGTTGTCCAGAAGGAATTATCCGCCGGGGGCCCTGACCAACACAGGCCCCTGTCACTCCCCTGTCACGCCACTGTCACCCTCCATGCAGCTACATAGCAACGCCTTGCTGATCAACCCGCCAAACAGATTCTCGAACATCTTTTTCCCGAACATCCGGCGCTCCTTATTTGCCGATTGACGCGTCGTGGCTTGACAATGAGTTCGCGTCCGTCGCCATATCAATGTTATCTAATTCCCGTCTTGAGCACTCGATCAACAACACCTAGAACCTGCCTTCGACTGTTCGACAAAGGATTTAGAGGGGGGAAGGATGATGCAAACACCGCCTAAGGAAAGGGGGGTGTGACAGATATTTCACCCAGGAAACAAGATTACACGTACTGTTACGAGGCCTAGGCACCTTTGGCGGCGTTGGACAAATACATATAAGATCTGTGTCGCGAGCTGGGACATCACATTCAGGAGCTGGGCCTATCTGATTGGCTCACCTGGATCCACAGGCTCCAGTGCTCGGTCTATATAACGGCACTGCTCTTTTTAACGTTTCCTTCTCTTTTCTATTCAGAAGATAGTCCAAATGTACACACGTTTGTCCTCACCAACGTTCGCCCTGCTCGTCTCAATCTGTAACAGAAGCTGACGAGGCCGAACTGGGCGGAGTGTGACCAGATATCGGGGAGTGCAGGCGCAGCTGCTCGCCAGCCTGAGGCGGGCTGGCCTCGTCTGCGTTGATAGACCGGGCACGTTTCCTGGTCAGGCGGCTCTCTACTGGCGAGAGGGTGTAAACAGGAGGTCCTGATGGAGGTGGAGGTGGCGATCTGTTCTCGTCTACTGGCGTATTTGAAGAAGAAGAGACAGGATGCTGCTGCTGCTGCTGCTGCTGCTGCTGATATTCTGAGTGCCGCCTGGCAAGGGCATCTCTAGATCTTATTAACATAGCATGAAGCTAATGGGCGAATAGACAGACAGAGAAGGAGGAGGTAGTGTGCAAGACATGGATGGCCCTGATGAGTTGGAAGCTATGTCTGTCATTTTAGAAGGGGAGAGGAGGTTGGGAATGGAACGCCCTGGCCAGCGAGCCAAGCTAATAGAGGGGGGTGGGGAGCGGACCCTGATGACAATGGCAAGTAGCGGAAGATGTGTGTAGGTGTGGTGGTTGTGGACGTGGGTATTTTCTCTTCCTCCCTCTCTATCTCTGCCAGGAATGTCATTGCAAATTTCGTATTACTCTTCTGCCTGGTAGATAGCATCACTGCTAGTAGCGTCTGATACCATTTGTGTCTTGCCAAAACGACTGATTCATCTAATTCGCACAGAGTGTCACTGTTATGACCCGTGGTCCAGGCATAAACTATATGTACGGTTGGAAGGAATATTCGAACAGCGAGTTCGAATATCTGCTGATCTTTTGATCTATGTACTGTACAGTCACGCTACAGGATTTGAACCGCCCCAGGTCTACTAGCTGTGAGGGCCCTGACAACTTAAATAACTCATAGTGACAGCGCTAATTAGCACTAATATCTAACTATCCTGCAGATATCCAGCAACAACTTTCCCATGTGTCACCGAAGCTAGTAGCATTGGTACAGTCGGCCAGAGTGCTCCGGCCTTGCAAAGATGCGTTGCATAAAAGCCCATCTTGGTGCAAAGAGCGAAAAGTCGCAAAGACACGATCCTCCCGTCCAAATCCTCAGCAATCTCGTTGCAGTACCCGCTTACAGCAATTGGCCGTCGACTCTTTCCTCTCAGACTGGTATGCACGCCACAACCAGCCTTTCAATTTTCTCACTGTCTTCTTTGCCAAATCCCAATTCAGATTTTGCTTATAGGTTCTGTTATAATCTAATTGCTGGTGATTTGGTTTAGATTTCAATAACCGCCGAACTTCTCATTGGAGCTGGGCGCTCTGATATATCTCCCAGAAAGCTATTAGAGAACGGTTCTTTTTAAGCTGTAGAAGCTGGCTGGGGCAATAAGTTGACTGGAATAACTAATAAGTTTTATAGGTTCAGTGTAGATGAGATGAAGACTTACTCAATGTAATATTCTGAGCTGTAATGCAGGGCAAAGGTTGCATACGCTTAAGGATTTAGGAAACTAAAGGGGTTTCGAAGATGTTTACGGAATTAGGGATATGATAGGATTATATAGCATATAGCGGCAGCGGAGAAATATTGAGGAGAACCGCCGAGGAGCGGCTACGGGGCTGTTGAAGCGTATGCAGATTTTAGCTTCTATAGTAGGAGTCAACAAGCATAGTATATACCTTACAGAGTCATTATTGGAAAGATAAGAATTGAAACGGTTTGGATTATAGTAAGAAAGCTTCTTATATTTGCAGAAGAACACTGGGAGAGCTATGGATCATGGTGTGCAAGTGCCAATGCATCCCAGATTGATACACTTCCTGCTAACCAGCGAACTCCCAAAAATCATAGTAACAGGCATCTCGGGCGGGCAGTACGTATCCGTGTGGCAGCCCCGTCTTGAGGCTGCTGCCGGCCTTGGCGAGGCCAAAGTCAGACAGCTTGATGTGCAGGGCGTTGCGGCCGGGATCGCGGTGCTGCACGAGGATGTTGGCCGGCTTGATGTCGCGGTGGGCGACCGGCGCAGGCCGCCCGTGGAGGTACATGATGGCCGACGCGCTCTGGTGGAGGATTACTACGCACTCCTCGTATGAGAAGGGGGCGGCCTGGTGCTGGTCCTCGAGGTTTCCGAGCGGCATGTACTCCAGGAACAGGCGGGGCAGCGGCGTGGTGTCGAAGAAGCAGAGCCGGACGATGTAGCTCTGCGATTGGGAGATATGTCAGCGCGCGCGGCCTCTCTCGGGAGAGAGGAGGGGGGGGGGGGGACCCTCATCTTTCTCTGGCTTACATTCGTACATTCGAGATCCTCCGCATAATGTCGATCTCGTTCTGCCAGTCCTCCTTCTTGTATCTCCCCGCTAAGGGCTGCTTGCAGGCATACTCCTCCCCCGTGCTAACATTCCACCGCCGGCTCACCACCCCGAATCCGCCGCAGCCGATCAGCCCTTTGTGGAGGAGGATAGGATTCTGGACAGGAGTCTGTGCCCCGCTATTACGCTCTGTCTCGGGGCCGCTCTGGAGGCCGAGTCCGTGCAGGAGGTCCTGCGGGCTTGCCGCACCCCGACAGAACCGCTCGACCCTGTCGGCGTAGGCAGATGTCGTTATGTCGTGGCGGGCCACAATGATGCGGAATTTGAGGCAGTCATCCAGTTCCACGATAAACGTCTTGGTCTCATTGATAGTATGGAACCCGTCGAGGATCCAGTCGAAGCTGCTGCGTACCTTGTCTCCCTGGTCGTTATATATCACCTTGGTTCCTCGCATAGAGCCGAGATCCCGTACAATCAGGCGCGAGTATTTGTCAGGGAAGCTGTTCTTATATGTTAGCGCGAAATGCCGCCTGCTGATACCAATTATGCCGGGCAAGATGACGTCGCAGGTATTGCTATCTGTCCCGAATACAAGGCCCGAGGATGTCCGCGGGACATCGCTGAACCGCACTTCAAGGTAGGGGAAAGGCGTCGAGGCTGCTGCTATCTTCTAGGAGCTCTGTCGACTCTCGGCTGCTGCGGCGGCGCGGCGCGGCTTCGTGCTGCTGCTTTGGGAATCTTGCAGGTACATGTCGCGAGCTAGACTCGATCGCATTCTGCGCATAATAAAGCCTTTTGTCCTGGTGAGGATAGATCTGGGCAATTAGGTCGGTGTCCGCCATGGCTGCAGGACTTCTCCTCTGCAGGAAAGAATGGAGGAGGGAGGGGATGACGACCAGCAGCAGTAGAGTAGCAGCAGCATCAAGGCAGACATACATCCTGCGTATTATAGCCGTTTCTGCGCCGCAGAGGAGAGGGGAGGGGGGCCAGAGACGCCCAGCGCACCACCAGCAGCGCATATCCAATGAAGCCACTCTTACCCCACAGGCAACCTCATAAGGCCGAGGGAGCACTCACAACAGGTACTTGATCCATGTCTGCGACAATATGGCAGGCTAGTGTACCCTCTGTGTGTGCGTGCTTCTGCAGTGCATTCCGGGGCTGTTTACGTCCGAGGTTGGAGAAAGGGGGGGGGGGGAGCCTGGGCCCGCAGCGGGCAGCTGACTCAGTGGGCTTCTCGGCCGCTCCCCTAGGGCCCAGCAGCAACGCGTCCCCTCCCTAAATTATGCCTGCCCCCGCGCCTCCTCCTTCCCTTCTGTCCTCCGTCCTCCTCGCTCTCTTTTCTCTGGCTTTACAGACCAACACCATAACCACCTCTGACCCTATATCACAAAAGCTTTTTGCCTGCGACATCGCTGCGTACAGTGATGCCGAGCTCGATCGGTATCTGGAAGGACAGCGTCTCTCCAGCGGCGTGAGGCTCGTCGAGGTCGAGGACCCCGAGAACCTGCCGGGAAGCTTCATCCAGCGGCTGAGGTAACGACCCGCCCTACTGCACCCTCCCTCTCTCTCTCTCTCTCTCACCCTCTACAGCTTCCCTCCCTACCTCCCCTCTGCTGTCCGCTGACACACCAGGCCAGAGATCGGGCACAACACACCAGCAATGCGGCACAGTCCTGCCCGGTCGACCCTGCCCAGCTCTCGGCGCGGCTGCTCGACATCTCTTCCGACAACACTACATCGTCGCGTCCCCGCCGCCCGCCGCCCGACCCCGAGAGCCCTAACCGCACCCTGATGCCCACACCCCGAGATGAGCGCGAGAGGCAGGACTACATGGACCTTGTCCAGGAGGGCGGCCGTCCTCTCTACGCCATTGACCTGATCAACAAGGTTGCTGAAAACCCGTCTTCATACGAGCATCTGTTGCAGCCCTAGCAACAAAACATGTCCTCGGATACCTTTAGTAACTGGTCTACTTTTTGCCAGCAGCTGGAAACTTGGCGGGAGTTCCGCTGCTAGCAACACCTCAACAGGGGCTACCGCGCTAGCTCGATCCCTCCTATGGGAGAACTACTGGCATGGTATGCTGCAGTATTCTAACTACTTCGATCGAAAGTTCCGACGCCCGTTCCAGACCTATACGGAAGCAATATGGGAGCTCCTCGCCAGTTATAGCTTCGTCCGGCCGTTCGAGTTCCACGACGATCCCACACAGCAAGACAGGCTGACCACCTGGATCGAGTACCTCGGCTACCACTGCTAGCTGCACTACGTACGCACTGTCCGTGTTAAGCAGCGGCAGCCAGGGTACGACGCGGCATGGGAGACGCTCGTGCGCTCGGGCATGCTGAGGCCGTTCGAGACCGAGGAGTATATATGCGAGTTCAAATCTGTGTTTCAGCGCCAGCACGAAGAAGACCAGGCTGCGCAAGCTCTCAGATCAGCCAGGTCGGCTGCTGAAGATGTTCCGAGGCGGGCGCGCGGGGACAGCAGCAGCTCTCGCCACACCTCGGCAGCGCGCATGCAGAGAATGGAGGCGGCCAGGTCGAGGCTCGAAGCAGCAGAAGAGGCATTAGCGCTGATCAAGAGGCGGAACGACCTTATTGGGGAATTCAAGAGAGCGACAGAGGATTACTGTATAGAAAAGAGAGAGATGGGGCATGATCGTATCCGGATGCAATGGGTCCTGGACCAAGTCCCGCTCGTCGAGGCTGAGCTGAACGGCGCTAGGCCTGCGGGCGGGACCGGTCTAGCTGCTGCTGCTGCTGCTGCTCCTGCTGCTTGCGGCACAAAGAGGCGACTCGGAACCACGACGACCACGACGACGATGGCGACGACGAGGCTGCGTATGACCAAACGACCAAGAGACAGAGACGGGAAAGGATCAAAAGGCAGAAACGAGATGCTGGCGAGCCTGGCCCGACGCCAGGAGCGAGACCAAAGCGCAGCCGAGAGGATGCTGCTGATAACAGACTGTCCCTCAAGCGGCTAAAACGCCGCAGCGGCGACGGCGACAGCCTGGGCTCGCATGGGGAGATGGCCGGCGGTGCTGGCACGGGTGCAGCTGGGGGCCCTCAGGGGCCGGAGGCTGTCGAGGCCGGCTACGAACACGCCGCAGGAGCGATAGAAAGGCCAGCTCCGAAGGGGAGCAAGCACCCCAGCGGTCATCCACAGCAGACAGGGAGCCCGAGACACGCCTCTCGGCCCCGGACGACCAGCCAGCTGCCCCGCCGCAGTGCTCGGATTGCCGCCCGCCGGGAGGCGCTGCAGGCTGCTCCCGCTCCACCCAGCGCCTCCCGAGGCCCACCCCAAGGCTCGCGCCGGAGGCTGGCGCAGGCACCACCAGCGCCTACAGCAGCCGCAGGGGGCCGCCAAGACCACCGTGCGAGGCTTCCGCCGACCAAGACCAGGAGGCAGGGCGCAAGAGGGGGTGGCAGGCGTGCCGCAGCAGAGGTCAGGTGAATACGAGAAAACCAATGAGATATGGAACAAGGGGGAGAGAAATATAGTGAACCAGAACTCGGGCGCTGTGTGCATTAAAAATACATCTGAGCAGTAGGGGCGCTGTTGACCAAGACATGCCTGTGCAGAGATGCAACAACAGACAGAGGCCAATGTGGCATAGGGTCAAGGTGAAATATCTGCTCTATACCTGTCCAGGTGGCCCAAAAACAGAAAGGCCTGAGTCCACTTGTTTCCAAGGAGGGGCTCGCCCTGGACCTCGAAGATTTTCTGTGCAAAGAACCTTAGTTCTGAGTGGCTTGGTGGAAGCCTTAGGCTTTGCTGGAGGAGGATCCATTCAACTAGCTTTCTTTCTTGAGCAATGGAGAGTCTCTGATTATGATATTATCAAAGATGGAAATTGAGGAAATAAATTGGCGCTCTCAAGAAAGCGGATCTTTTGAGCAGCAGATGCGGTTTGTGAGCTGCTGATATCGGAGCCATGGATGACAGTGCGGATATAGATGTTATAGAAATGGTAGGTAGGATTCAGATTCTGGGCTCTTCTATGGACGGATATATGTGCGATAAACTACTTATGTATAAATATAAAATTGCAGTGTAAATATTTTTAGGGAGGTGGTGATTTAAGTTTTCAAACTGCCACAGCGCCAAGGTCATTATTGGCATGATATAACTGAGAGACTCGAGCCTACCCTCGAGCCTTGTCCTTTCGAAATTCCTTCCGCCACCACTATCACCATAGGCATCGCAATTATCATCGGTCTCACTGTCCACAATCGTTCTCGACTAGCTCGCTGCCATTCCCTTGCCTGCCACCCCCTCCGCACTGTTGGGCATCTAGCGCCCTTTATAAAGCTTTTAACGCCCGCTATCAAGCTTCCCGCGCGCGCCATTGGGATTCCGGAATCCTACTCGAATTTGAATAACTTTTATAAGTTCGAGATCTTGTGAGATATATGCCGCTTCGATTAGAAATATATATATTCATAAATATATAATTAGTTTTTATATAAAAATTTTATTTAATAAGTTATTATATATTTTATAATATGCATGTAATGAGCACTGCAGTAATCCGAAGATTCCTAAGTACTGATTGGGTTTATGCTAGCAAGAGCGATATCGAAGTATCAAGTCTTTGAATACGGAAACGTCCAAGTCCTGATAATCAATGTAGGTGTTCACTGCCTTTGGAGCTACTCAGTACGTAAGACTGAATACTTAGATTGACAACTGAAGAGCTATGGCACAGAATTTCAAGGCCTGGCTGGGAAGCCGGCGCCACTCGGACATCACTGTCTTCACAGAGGGATCCAAGGGGACGGAGGGAGTAGGCTATGGCTTTGCTATCTACAAAGGGCTGGGCAGCGAGGCACTACAGAAAGGCCTTGGCTCTCTTCATGCCACCGCAGCAGTATACGATGCAGAGGCAGTCGGGGCCTGGCGCGGACTGGAGGCTGCCATAGAGATAGCCAAGCCGGAAAGCCCTATTACAGTCTGCCTGGATAATACATCAGTTATTACCGGGCTGCATGGAAGGCCAGGGGACTCCTCACAATGGGCCTTTCTCTCCTTCCAGAACAGAATGGACACAAGGAGAGCGCCTATTTCAGTCAAATGGTCCCCAGGGCATCTGGGCATTGCTGGGAATGAAATGGCGGATAGTCTAGCAAAGGCAGGGCAGTCAGGTCCAGCTGATAGCAAGGCTGGCCCGACGATCTCGGGCCTCAAAAGCCACTGCCGCGATATGCTGCAGGCTTTCAGAACCAAGGACTGGGCTCGAACCGAGAAGGGCCTCTCGAAATGGTACAAGTCCTGACGGCTCGAGCCAGAAACGTCCTGCCCGGCCGAGCTCAATCTTGACCGCCGCACCCTCCACCAATTCCTAGCTACAAGAACTGGGCATGGAGACTTCGAGTGGTACCACGAGGCTTTCCGGCACGAAGACGCAGCATTGCACTGCAAGTGTGGGCGGGCTCGCACCCAAGACCATTTAGTGAACTGCCGGCTCGTCCGGCGGTCCTTCTCGAGGTGGCCCTGGCCTGGCAAACGTCCGAGACGCTTACCAGAGACGCCAGGAGAGAAACGGCAGTACCTGGAGGACCTGATGCATCAGCCAGAGGCCTTCCGCCGCTTTGTTGAGGTAACAAGGTTCTATGAGCGGTGCTGCCCTCCTGGGATAGTTACCACGAACAAGCGGGCTGAGGGCCCACAGAGAGCTGTCGGCAGGGTCCCTCGGGTCCCTGAGGGAGTGAGGGAGCGGCTCCGAAGAGTGGACTCGGACCTGGCTGGAGCGCAGAACCCGGAGGACCAGGGGCTGCAGGAGGAGGACTTGGAGGGGGGCGGGTGGGGAGCGAGGAGGGTGAGAGCGATAATGAGGATGAAGAGGAAGGGTGAAAGTAGCGATGGAGGCGATAGGGACGGTAGAAGGAGGCAAGGATGAGGGGAGGAAGAGGAGGAAAGGAAAGGAAAGGAAAAAAAAAATTACCATCTCGTCTTAGACGACATACTTCCGCGCCTACCGGCGACACGACACTCAGCCCATGCTTTAGACATTCGAGGCTATGCCTTATTTCCTTTTCCTAGTTACTGCTTGCATACGGAGGCGAGGGAGGGACCGAACAGACGGCAATGCCGTCGCTGTCACTGGACTTTGAATCGCTGGATAGGTAAAGGTCTGTGTATAGTATATATATAGAGACTCTAGCCTAGCTCAGCGCGCCTTATACCCCTCGGGAGGTCTGGAAAGGATAGCTACGCTTCCTTTCCCTCTAGCGTCAAATAACACAAACAAACAAACAAACAAACTGAAGAGCTATGTACAAAGATCTATCTACTGGTGATAATGACTGTGATTATATATCCTGCTCTTCAGTATAGCTCTGGGGATCTGAGAGCAGATCCGCAGATCCTGCCTCCATCATAACTCTAACTCTAGGTTATGTAGTCCTAGTCCGAGGTTTTGCTATATACAACAGAGAATGTAGTGCTATAGCAAAAGCAGTTACATTATTATAAATCTGCAATACAATATCTCTAAGGAAGTTGCTCTTAATTCTCTCGAACTCTGCTTTCCATTCTAATAGGGCTGAGGGAGAAGACATTGTATCTGGATGATTCATGCTAAGAAGGTTTTCTCTAAGTTAACTTATCCTGCACTTACCTGCTAACTACAGTTCAACTGTGCTACAGCAGCTACTCCGAAGATTCTATTAGCAGCTAAATAAGATAGATGCAGCTGCAGCTAAGCTTTCAGCTAAGCTTTCGCTTTTTTTTTCTATCTGCAATTATTATACAGGATTGATTCTCAACTTCTTCCTATTATCATCATTGCTATTTCTATTCTATCTATTCTTCGTATCCAAGAAGCTTTCTGAAGCTATGCTTTGCAAAAATCTTTTCAAGAAGCTGTGAAATGCTAGCTCTCGAGAGCGCAGTAGAGCTATATTGCTAGCTCTATCATTAGCAAGTAAGTGCAAATCTGAGCTCAGAATGTATATGCTTTCTAGAGACTTACAAAGTCTAGTGAATTATTAACCTCTTTAGCTTGTAGATCCGGGAGATAATACGAAGAAGTTTTCCAATGATTGTACAAACCGATATGTTGCTGCATGTCCGCCTGCTACAGATGCTCAAAAGATTCCAGCTAATGCAATTGTGGGAATCTAAGAGCTCCATCCGCTAGTTACTCAAAAGGCCTTAGGATCTTCATCCAGTGGTGCGCAGGCACAAGTTCTTTCCGTTCAACCTACTACTGATACTTGGATGCTCCGCGCAGGAACTGATGCTGGAGCTAAGGCGCCTCAGCCTGCAGCAGCAGTGCATCAGCTAGCTCTATCTATTTCCCAGAGATTGTGGAATAATGCTTATGATCTTCTTGAGAAGGTTAAAGATACTGCTAAGCTTGTTGAGGCCTATTTGAGAACTGTGGCTGAAGTTATCGGAACTGAGGCTTCTGCTGCTGATGCTGCTGATAACTTGACCAAACTGAACAATTCTGAAACCCGAGACATATATATGAAGAAGCTGGTTGAGGAAGGCAAAGCGCAGATCTTCAAAGCATTGAAGATTACAAAGAAAGTTAGTGACTTTGCTAACTTCATCCTGAAAGCCAAGGGAATAGTTAACTTGGCTATTCAAAACTTCCTGCAAGCTGTACTTCTATAAGCTTGGATCTGTGCTGGACTGCAAGTAGATTTCTATATCTCGCATCTTGCCTGATTCTTGTGCCAGCTGATATATCCAGATTCTTACTAATCCTGCAAATGCTACAAAATCCAACCTTGCAAGCATTGCTTACGTCGTCTTCCGAATGAACTGGTATTGTGCTCTGATGGAGTATCTCTTCGATAAAGATAAGATCAGAATTGGAAACAAATCTTTCGAGTTTGTTATGCAGCAATTGGAAGAAGCAGTTATAATGCTATACAAATCTCTTTTCTTATATCAGATTAAGAGTATCTGCTCTTATTATCAGAACTAAGGCTGGGTTTTTCTCTGTAGCTTTGCAAATGTAGATGACTGGGATGCTAGTCTGAGCAGCATTAAAGATGCTGAAGCTGCTATCGAGAGTTTTTCCAAATAGTATTATCAAGAGTAAGTTAAAGGGGGTAACCTCCGGCCACACCAACTTCCGGCCACCCCGGCCCGCCTTACCACCCACCCACATATATATTGTTTTATATACATTCTTCATCCTATTCACCCACCACGATGCAGTCCTCCTCATCAGTAGGTAATTCGATACTGTTCTCTTCGTCTAGACTATCTTCGTTTCTATCAGCAGCTTTTTGAGCCCTCTGTATATCCTCAATGTCTGCAAACCTCGAGTTCGGGCTCAAATCAACCTTCCTTCTTTTAGTAGGCCTTTTAGCTTCCATTTGCCTTTCCAGGACTTCGTTCCTCTCCAGAGCTTTTGCAAACTCGAGATCCCTCTCGTTAAACGCTTTTTGTATCTTCCTAAAGAGTATACGTTGCGCTGCCTTGGATGAAAGCTGGTGCCGATTCTTCTGTAGCTGATGATATAGATCTTTGGCCTTGCGAGGAGTTGAAAAGATAGCTAGCTAGCTTGAGGAGGCTTTCTGGGTATGCTGGGCTGCTGTTAGTACTCTTGAACTCGAATTTGACTGATTCTGAATATGCTGAGGAGTGTTCTCGAGGAGAAGAGGGCTCAAGAGCGGCTTGGAGGGTCTAATAAGCTATAAATCACTAGCTTTCCATCCAGACTTGATATTCTTGCTAGAAAGATCTTCCATACGGGCTTTGTAATAGTTCTAGAGGAATAAATGCTTGCTAAAGACTGTTGAATCTCCCCATTAGCTGATATAACTGACTTTTCGTCTGTATGCCTTCTTGAGAGCTGAAAAGATCTCTAGATCGAGGGGTTGAAGTACGTGAGAGGTATGAGGAGGCAAGTAAATCAGCAGGATGTTGTTTTGATAGCATTGCTACATAAACTCGTTAGTTGTATGGCTGCTGTGGCCATTCAGGACTAATAGTCTGGTTTCTGAGGGGTCTGCTGGCTGGCTGGCTGGAATGAAGATCTTCTTCAGCTATTCGAGTGCTATAGCATTATCAGTTTATCCGTTCCTTGTTGCTGTAAACTACCAGCTATCGAAATACTCCAAGAAGAGAGAAAACTACTGTTGTTGTACTGTTTGCCCCTTGAAAATCACCAGAGGGAAGAGATAGGCATCTGTAGCAGAGATACACTCGAGGATCGAGGTTCAGAATCTCGACTCAGGCTCTTTTCGATGGATTGAACATGAAGAATAGCTACCAAGGACTAATCCGTTCGCTTCTTGGCCTTCAGCTATTCCAGCTTCGTTCATATTCCATCGATTAGCTGGTTTGATAGCTTGAACTTGAGGAAGATCGAAAAGACGAAACTAAGGCCGTATTACCTCTGTTGTAGCTCCGTTAGTTCGAGCTGAGGCAATCCTTTGACTCTTGCGAACCTGAATATCTGGATTTCTCTTCAAAAAAGCTTGTGCCCACTTCCTTCCTAGCGTTTGAGGGTCTCCTCTGATCTCGAGGATTCGTTGAGCAAAGTGCCTAAGCTCTGAGTGGCTTGGTGGAAGCCCCAGGGCTTCCTGAATGCGAATCCATTCAGCCAATTTCCTCTCCTGGCTAACAGAAAGCCTTTGCTTATGTTGATAGGCTGTTGAATGCGATTCTCCTCCTGCTAGGCGGTCCTGAAGAGTAGCTCGTGGTACACCCCACTGTTTCGAGGCCTGTCGCTGAGATACACCCTTTCTGACAGCCTCGAGGGCCTGGGCCAGCTCAAATTCGGTATAGGGCTTCATGATATACGTATAAAGGTCCTGTAAAGATATGAAGTTGATCAGAGTAAAATTGGTTGAGAAAAGATATTGAAAAAAAGAGGTGGCTGAAGAGGCCGGGGGGTCGGCCGGGGTGGCCGGAAGTTGGTGTGGCCGGAGGTTACCCCCTTTAACTTACGATAGCGATACTGTAGTACCGTTGCAGGACCAATATGGTGTGCGAGATGCTTACGGTTGTACGCTGGGTATCCTCCGTATAAGATTGTGAAGATTAGGTGCGGCGTACGCGAACACGAATGCGGGCAGGTGTTTTTTGGGTGTTGGTGTTGTTGGTGTTGTTGTTATCGACACTCTGTAGGAGATTAGGGGGTGACGTCCAAGGCGTGGAGTCTTTAGCGCGCGCTAATGCGAACGAATCAGAAATGCCGCCAACGTTTCCAAAGTTGCCGAGCTGGCCGCCGTTCTACAGCAAAGCGCACCTTGTCGCACTACATGCCTTGGTCACTCTCCACCTGGGCATATTCATCACCATTCCATCGTAATGGCACGTCTAGCCATGCACCACGACACACGTTCGTATTGATGCAAAAGCCGAACTGACATCCGCATTCCTCAGCGCCTCCTTACTTTCTACGTCGTGATTACCGTTCGCCATTCGCTCGGGCTACTCCCAGCCGAGCTCAATTCAGTCAACAACATGTCGACATCGCCAGTCCTCCCATGCCTCCGAATCACCGGTATCCCTCCCGAGCAAAGCGAACAAGAGGAACTCGTCGATTTTATTGAATTTTGCCACCCTGGGTACGAGTATCCTCACAATGTTCTTTTCCGGCTGCCAGCCCTGGACAAGTGCGACGGAAAGGCTGGTGTGCACCATGAGACAGCGCGTCTTGCGTGTTGTATCTTGGCCGGAAACGCGTGGGAGGGATGGCTGACGGCGAAGGAACCTGGCGGGCCGCGTGCCGACATTAATCACGATACTGAGGCCGTATTAGCAGAGAGCCGCTACTTCTTCCACCGCCCGCCTGACCCAGCTGCAACAGACCAAAGCTATACTACGCAATACCCCATCGTCCGCGATTTCGAGTCTTGGCTTTTTCCCCGAGGCAACCTGCCGCTCTACTGGCAATCCCTCGCTATTCCAGCAGTCTCTGCATCCGCGCAAAAACCCCCACGTCGCTGCGCGGTCAGCAGCCGCTTTCTGCCGCTAGAGAATGCCCACCTCATCCCCTTGAGCCAAAGCACTTGGTTCGATAAGAATATGATGGGCCTTTACCAGCGCATGACTGGTACCTCCCGCACGCGATGGATCAATCAGCCGCCGAACTGCCTCCTCCTTACCAAAGACATACATTATCTTCTCGACCAGACCGAACATCTTACATTTACCCTCCGTCGAGTCCCAGCCGACGCCGCGCAGACATTCGGAATCCAAACATATACTTCACGGAATGCTTCGAGCGAATCGCAATCGATGGCCCTGATTTGTCACGTTCTACGTCCTAGCCCTGCCAACGAAATCGGCCAAGTCTACCACCTCCGCTCCCTCGAGCCGCTGCAGGGCATTCTGCCTGAGTACCTCTTCGCAAACTTCGCGCTCAAGATTTGCAACCTATGTATCTTCTTCCAAGACGACGGGGTCCGGCGCTACTGCTTTGAGCTCAACGTGGATAAGGTGGATGGCAGGATGTCGAACACAGTGCAAATCGCAACATTCCACAAGTCTGAGTTTCAGAAATCCAGCAGGAGCCCTACCATGCGACGGAACTCGAGCCAGGCATCGTCTAACAAACGTGCCCGCAGTGTCCGAGACGAAGAGGAAGGTGACGGATCCAAATGGAGCCCTAGGTGGTTTGGAATAGGAGGAGATGTACATGACTATTCCCAAGACAGCTATTGGGATGACATTGGCGACCAACCCGTCACTTCACATAGTCATGGCACTGCGGAGAGTACAATACTAAACGCGTCAATGGAAGACCGAGGCCGTAGCCTCCAGCGGTCCTTTGCTGGGACGATGTGGACCCCAGTCTTGCCCGACGAAGACCATATGCACGGCGACCAAAGCTGCAGGAGCTGGGTTGTGATGGATAAGCCATGTACACTGGTCGTCGATGATGGAAAAGGTGTAATGGACAATCCTGAACGATCCTGCTCTTCCCCTCCAAGGAAAAAGCGCCGGCGTTTGACGTCAGCTGCGTTATCAGAGGTTGGCTGAGCGTGAGAATTGCTTGCCAGACGCAGCATACTATTTATAAAGCTGGCTTCCCCGCTCTTTGGCTGATATTCACTTTTCATTGAAGTATAAGCCAGGAGATAAATCGTCTTTGCCAGGGAATTATGAAAGGTCTCCGATGTGTTTAAGCTCTGGGTAGAGTTGATCAATCTTTCCTTCAAGGAGCTTCTAGATATTCTCGATAACATTGAGACCCGGAGAATAGGCCGGATGGTCTAAAAAAGACACTCCGTTGTCCGCACAGAATTCGGCCAAGAACTCCTTTACTTTCTGTCCTGTATGGGTCCTCGCTCCGTCTTGGAGGAAGAGGGATCCAGGCTCGCAAACAGTAGGCAAATTGTGCGAGGCCAGGTGGGTCACTGGCCCCACTATCGCCAGCCAACCTAGCTATAGCCCCAGTTAACCAGCTTTTTTCTTCCCTTCCTTTCTTTTCCTCCCTTTTTTCCTTCCCTAAGCGCAGTCCAATACAGTTCATTTCCCATACAAATGGGCTTCATATAGTTCCACAATCCTCTTGGCCGTGACGCCTCCTCGAGGAGAATCTGGATAGGCGTTGACCACGTCACGAAGCTCCTGCGCGCCTTCGATCTCGCCAGTGCCAACCAGCGGGAGCAGATTCAAGAGAAAGTGAGATCGATTGGATTTCCTTCCCCGCCGTTTTCCATCTGTTGTGCCGGATAACAATAAGGAGGACAGGGAGGATTCGACCTTTCAAGAGTGGTGCTTGAATCTGGGGTGTTCCCGTGGCTTTGGCGTACCACCTTTTGTCGCTTCGTCCTCGGTGGTGAAGTGTTATCTTCCAGTTTGCGTTTATGTTGCTTAGTTACTCCCGAGCGCGGGTCCTTGAAACTCGGTTCGCCTCTTTCGTAGCCATCCACAATATCGCGTATCTGCGACACGAGTGTCTGAGATGTTTCGAAGTCTTTGAGGCTCTGGGCCTGCCAAAAGGCTGTGGAATCATGCGCCTCTTCAGTCTCTTTCTGCCAATATTTGGCATTTGAATCGGAACTTTGAACACGCTCCTGACATGACTCGAGTAGCGACTTGGCCTTCCTGGCTTCGATCTCCCAATGTAAGGCCTCTTTTTTGGCTTGTTCAGTCTCTCGGGCTGTCTCTTGAAGTTTCAAGGACAATCGCTCGTTATCTGCTCGGTGCTTGCTGGCTTCGGCTGCTTCGTCAATGAGTGGTGTGATCCATACGCTCGCGAAGTACGGTTTTTCCAATCTCGCGCGACATATAGCACATTCTAGGAAGGCTGAGAGACCGTCCTTGTTGCGCGCGAGCTGCCATTCCCGAACGCAGGTCTCGTGAAGCAAGTGTCCTGCCATCTGTGTTAAAACGAATCAAACTTCGATAGACCACAACATACCACAGGGATTCAAAGCTTTCAGCGGCAGGGCAATAGAATGCGTATCAAAACAGATACTACAATCTGCTGGGGATGGCATAGCGACCATAGATATGTAGGAGAGATGGCAGTAGAAGACGAGGTAGAATATGCTACAGAATATTTGAACGTAACTCAGTAGATTCGGCTGGGGTCGGATGACGTTTCAGCTGTAAGCAAACGTCAGGCCAACATCCCAGGCGAATCGGAAGCCAGGTGCCGGCAGGAAACATCTCTTATGTCAGCGACCCAGGGTTAGGGCTAGACCAGCAGGGGTGGATCGCTACGATGCACGACGACTGGATATGCGCGACTACAAATCCAAGGCACATACCCTACCGTACCCTACCCAGCAACACCACCGCGTCACGGAAGTCTCTCTCTACCTATCTTTCTCTGCCCGATCGCAACCACTGTCACCGTCCACCCACACCGTCCACCAACAACGCCACCACCGCGAACAAAACGGTCACGATGGAGGTCAATACCGAGCACCGTGCGAACCATACAAACGTCGTCTCCCAGAGCCCTTCTGTTGACGTGGACATGATGTCCTCCTCGATGGGTACGCCGCCTGACCTCAAAACGGTACCCTCTCGCGAGACGTCCTCGCAACCTACCATGGACAAGAACATGTCTACCCTCACTAGCGACGAGGGCCCTGCGAACCATCTCGCCACGCCGGATGCCAAGCTCGAGCCTGATATGTAAGTCCTCTACCACTTCCTTACCTACTTTTTCGCGTCTTTACCCTTGTTTTCTACCATCCTAAAGCCTCAGAGGGGAGGACGGGGCCTCTTTATGCCATCCCCTGCTGCTGCGGGTCAAGTATCATCACGTACATCTCGCCACATATCCGCTTCTCTCCGTTTTCCATCTTCTTCCCATGTTCTCTTTTTGTTTTGTTGCCCGGATGCTGTTTTGTGTGTTTTCTCTCCAGGCAGCGATAGCTGGCGAGTAAGCAGCTTGGCAAGTGTGGAGCAGGCAGCACTCGCGATAATTCTGAGGGGGATCCGGCGATAGTCGCTTAGTCGACCAAGTGTATGTGTGCGCAGCCAGGCCCAGCAGCCAGCAGGGAAACCTCATCCGATCCGGCAAGCACAATCTTACTTTCAAATCTTCCAAAACAATATAATTGTTCCGGAAAACTTCCGGTAGTGGAGAATGAAGTGATAGGATATATACTCTGGAAAGCCTAGGGATTTGGCTCCTCAGGGATGGAAAGCAATGTCCTTGATTGAACAATGTACACCAGAGCCAAAGTTTACAGCACCCTTTTCTACTTCCCATCTTCATTCAGTCTTTACTTGTCCCAGCGGCAGTATTCACATCTTTGACAAATTTTTTGTTTTTTGGCTTACCAAGACCATGAGAGCCTTCTCATTGTTCTTGAGACTGACTCTTGGTGATCATCCTATGCTATTCATTCATTACCTTCCCACTCAGTGGGGGATTGACTAACCTCCCATTTCCACAACACGTTACTCTTCCATTTGCTGGGAAGGAGTAATCATGTGCATAAGCAAAGTTGCTGCCTGGTTAATCATCATAACCAGGTTGTTACTTGGATTATGAAATCTCAGAAAAGCGCTTGATTGCTTATTGCACTTACTTCATCATGCTTTCCAAACTCGGATGTAGTCTTATGTTCTACAGACTGTATAATATATGCGGACTCGGATTATACAACACAATTCTTACACGCCATTATCCCCCCCCCCCCCCCTATCAACCGACACTACATGCACCCATGATCCAGAAAAAGAATTGTCAGCATCTCATTACCACTAAAAGTACATGTTGCTAATGCTATCACGCAGCGGTGGAGCCAGGCTCAGCGTGGTCAGCATGTCCTCAACAAGCGAGGGAAGCAAGGAAGCCACTAAGCAGTTCAACGGACCTGTGACGGCAGATATTCCTCAGGCCGATGTGGACCAGCCTACTGAGCCCAAGATTGCGGCACCCGAGGACGATTATAATACAATTGACGACGTCAATCAAGTCGCCGATCCTGGCAACGCCCATTCCATCAACCTCAGCTCCCCTCCGGACTCGATGAGCACCGTCTCCGATATGGGAGAGGGCCCCGAGAACGAGATTGTGGTTGGCTCCGCCAAGAACAAGTCGGACGTTGCTGCTGCTGCTGCTGCTGCTGCTGGTAACGCGCCTGCTGTTGCCTCGGAGGACGGTGGCCCTGGTGGCGCAGAGGCTATGGACATTGACGACCGCAGAACCGAGGGAGACAAGGAGCCTGAGCAGCGTCCCAAACGCAAACGCGCCTCTCTCTATAATGATCTGGCGGAAGAGAAGACGGACAAGGCTATACTCGATGACACGGCCGACGACCTTGGTGCTTCCGTCTCTAGCACCTTGCAGTCCAAGAACGCAACCCCTAACCAGCTTTCTTCGAGTGCAAAGTCAGTCATACTCGGTTACTGGCGCAATTCGGAGGCTCCAGAACCAGACAAGCATGTTGTCGAAGGTTTCATCGACTCTTGTAGTCGATTGCGTACTCGGATTCGACCCTACAACCGCGACGGTAAGATCATCACCGACAGCTACCCACTGAAGTCTGGTTCCCGTGGTAGCTGGGTCACGTTTCACAACGTCGTCTTTGACGACTACCTGGTCAACCTCGATCAGCAGCAGGTCAAGGAATACGTCAAGATCCGTACCAAGCTGATGGCCAGAGATACGGCGGACGGATCCAAGAATGATAATACGCTTGCCGTCAAGCAGGCCATTAGAACCTGTCAGGCCCGTGGCCCGCCACCCAAGGGTGCCCCGCCGCCCTTGATCGCATACGGAGCCACCATACCTGACGCTGCCCGTATCTCGTACTCCCAGGCCGAGAAGCGCCGTCGCACTGCCAGTGCCAATGCCGCAGCCTCGGCCTCCACTCCGGAAGTTCTTGCTCGCCGCAATAGCCCTGCCATCACGCCCGTCCCCAGCTCACGCCAGTCGTCCCAGATGCCCGTCTTCTGCACCTCACAACGACCACTAGCCCCCGCCGATCCTCACCACGAGCGTGGCCCTCGTCTCGAGCGCGCCCAGAACCTCGCCTTAAATGCCGTCTCTCGCATCGAGGCCAACCAGGCCAAGGTCGAGCAGCGTGACGCTTACGCGGCCTCTCACAATGGCCACGCCGGCGGTGACTCGTTCCGCGAGAACATCGACCGTCTGAACAACGACTGGTCTGCGCAGGAGACCCACCGCATCCGCACCGGCAATGAGAACGCCAAGATTCATATGGGTGTCAAGTATGAGCGTAAGACGAATGGCCCGTTCGCCGGAAAGCTTGTCAGTCAGGGCGCTATCATCAGTATCGATGGCGAGGACTATGTCGAGTATCGCGTCCTCACCAAGCCTACGTTCATCTGATCGCCGTCGCGCGAGCATCTGTTCCACCAGTCCACCAAGTGCCCTTGGCAGCTCGTACGCTGGAAACACCGTAGGCACCGGATGGGGCATTTGAGCTAAGCAGCGTGTCAATGCTTCGGCTTTCGCATGTTCCGCATTTCCATCTTCCGTCCGAGGACGGTTGTGACCAGTTACAGCCGATAGTCGCACCAAACACGGATAACAGTGGTAACCAATAGTTACAACCAATAGGTATAGCCACGGGCGGCTGTCACGATGTTTGGCAATTGTTGGTTCTGGGGTTCTATTACTTTCCTGTCGGTCAAAGCATTAATGCCTGAGAGTCTTATTGTAATGATCACAGTAATCTGTAGGATAAACCGTATAGGCGAAGGGTTTGTATTAGCAGAACGGAAGGAAGCTTTCTTACTGTAGAAAATGATACGAATAGGGTCTGAGCCCGAACACCAGGCTCGCCACCGAGAAAAGCTTGCTCACGTAGCCGCCTCTCTGAGGCAGACTCTGGTTGAACTGTATTACTCATAATACAGGATTGCGAAATAATAAATCGTTGCGACTGGATTTTTGGTTTTGTTTGCAGCAAATGCTTAGCCAGTAAATTGTATTCAAATAACGCAAATAAAATGGCTCTAACGTCAATTCCCAAATAGGAACCAGTGGCTGCCGAGCAAAAAGCAGAGGTTACAGTCTACACCTTAGAATAGGGCTTGTCTTATCGGAGCTGAGCTTTTAAGGACACGATCGCCACGAAATCGATCTCGAACTGGCTCAATTTAGCCGTCTTTTTTCTGAAACTCTTCGTTCTTCGCTAGGCTTCCAACGTACTCAATATAGTTGCAAACGTCAACGGCTCGCAAAGGGCTTGACGCAAGCGGAGCGCCAAAGATCTAGGTCCGAGCGGCCCACATGGACACCCACTCGGGTAAGAGTCCTGGGTCCGGATAAAAAGACGTATTCCATATTCGACAAATGGTACAGTTATAGTCGCGGACGCATAGTAGCCCAAATCGCCAAAGGTGACTCATATACACTGGACAAACATGTAGGATAACATCCTCGACGGTCCGTATGAATTGTACAGTGGCGACGATGGCTATTAAACACCTGAGTCTCATAAATAATAATGTTTTTACACTGGCTTACGATGGATCGTAGTATAATAAGGCCCCAACCTGACCCTTCCTTCTTTCCTTTCTCGCAACCCTTTCTCGCAGATATTAGAACCCTCACTTGACACCGCAACTTGGCACGAAAATGACGAACGCCTCGGTACAGACGTCCAACGAGCTTCGACAGCATGACCTGGAACAGATGACGCGCGCAGAATTCAAGGAATTTCCTTTCCAAGGCGTTGCGAAGTGCATTACAATTGGTGGGGAGAGAATGTTCCATTTGGAGTTTTCGCTTCCTGGTGTCTCGGGAGACGTTGGTCTGCCGGTGAGCTCGATTGATCATGGATCGCCGAAATCGGGTTCAGGTCCTAATCGGAGGAGGAGAGTGTCGAAGATATCATATCTGGGATCGAGGTCACCTGGTGATAAGTGGACGCCAGAGGAGGATGAGATGGTACGCAGCATGAAACGCGATGGCCGCTCCTGGGTTCAGATACATAGCGCCCTTCCACACCGTTCCAAGGGTGCGATCCAAGTTCGGCACTCGACTAAACTCAGGGGTTGACCCGGTGAGGTACAGCAGCTGAGGTTAGCAACATGTTAGAAGTTATTGACGTGGTAGAGTACTTGCATACAAAAAGAAATATAACCCTGTTTTAGAATCTAGCCTGAATTTCGCCGACATTGGCGTGGAATAATTGCGAGTCGTAGCTTTCCTAGACCCTCCATGCGTAGGAGTTCGCTAATCGCACACATGACGGCGATCATCCCGGTCCAGGCTCAGATGAATGGGCAAGGGACGGGCCGCTCGGCCGGGGATCCAGCGGCCAAATAACAACCCAAGGGTTCCGCAACCCAGGTGTATCAGCGGTCCCAGCCCAATTCAAGTATCGTAAAAATTACAGTCAGATCAACCAGCGGAGGAGAGGCAGAATGTGGGGCTTTTAGGAGATTCCAACCGGCTTAGGGCTATAAATAGCCTAGAGTACTTGTCCCTATGAGGTTAGTCCTGGCGGCCGGAATAAAGTCGGCATCCTTTCTTGGTTGACCCAATGAAATCGACAGATGCCATTGTTACCTCCTTGATCTCCAGAGCAATCATTGGTCAGACGTGGATTGAGACAGGGGTGCCTTCCAAACAACAAGCCAACGATTCTGTTCACCATTCACCCAATAGTGCCCGTCAGTTATGGTTTGGCAGGCAAGGAGAGCCGTCAATTATACCAGCAGGTTGTGAGAGTATTTGGGGAAAATACAGCAAAAAAATCTCCTTTCACCCTAGAAAACTCCCGACCCTCGGCCACGAAATGATAGATCAACAAGTTATCGAAATCCGTCCGTCACTCGACCCTTGATGCCAACTTCCCTCGTGCAATGTCCGCTTCTAAAACCAAGAATGATACATGTCCTTACAGAAAGCGTAAGATATTTGATTGCTTCAGGCTGGAGCAACAAGCGGAGTCAAGGTCCAGTTGGAGAGAGCGAGTAGTGACCATCAAGGCTGTGGCAAAGACGATCTGCCAGAAAAAGACGGAGCCCGACTTGGTTGTTCATATGAATTCAGGGCAATTTCTGAATGGTGGCTGGGTTGTCGGCTCTCTGGAGGCCGATACCCTACTATCGAATTGATCATGAACAGGATGCCATGTAGCCAAACCATGTTTGGGAGGTTTCCGGTAGTCGAAAGCGCAATCGCTGTCGCAAAGATTGCGATAACAGCAACACCGATACCCATGGAATGGATGACCATGTGCCAAGGGGCCTGGTTCGATGATTTCCCGGATGGAATAGCGTAAAGAGTGTAGGCGGTGACCAATACGGTTGCAACTTGAGACGTGAGTGGTATCACGTACACAACTTCGACAGGAACCGAATCTCCACGAACGAGTACGAAGACGAAGATCAAAACGACTTCAACACATTCAAGGATTGCCGTGCATGCCCACCACTCTTCCCGTCCAACCGCCCTCGCGAAGACATGGATAATCGCAGCGATCTAAATCATCATCTCAGAATAACAATGCTGCAACCCAAAGACTTCAACTCACCTGAGAGTCACAGACTCGACAACTCTCGTATTTTCATGGAGTAAGCCTGTCGACGCGTTATCCTGTAAACAAGTGGTTGCCCGCGCACAACGAATTGGTGCACACCCGAAAGCTGAGACCAATTACCCTGCCACTATTCCAGCAAGGCTGCTCCCAGAATTGTGATTCTGGATCTGCTCCCAGATACGGTAGGTGATCTCGGTACATGGGTAGTTACCGACGCGTAATGGCAGGGGTGCTCACAGATATGTGATTCCCGGGTTGTTCACAAATACGTGATTGCAGGGGTGGTCGCAAAAGTGTGATCGGCGATCGCCGCCCTGTGGCACCAAAGTGCTCAAAAAAACTTATTATCCTCAGGCATCAATTTGTATTCTACCCCACTCACGATGTCAGGATCTTATTGTCACCCTATCGTCACAGTTGGTGGCCGTTTCAACGCCGCTTTCATCTTGTATCTGAGACTTACTATGCTCCCTTAGAACCCTCAACCCATCCCTTCCTCTCAACACCAAATAGAATATCATTCAGAACCTCCTTGCAACCAAAGATGCAGCCTTACTGCTTCCCGTCTCGCTCCTCAGGGTTTCGGACAGAACCGTGTTATAACATAGGTGAAGGAGGCTCTGTCATTTTTGTGTACCAGGGCAATAGATTCGTCATGGTTTTGACTGGTATAGCTTCTGGGATGCTCCCGCAGTGTCAGCATATTGGTATCTCTGAAATGATTTCCACCTACCTCAACTGCCCACGTGCTCGTTCACATGACAGAGGCTCCGCAACTCGGGGAGTTCATTCGATTTTTCCTTTGCCTTTGCAATCGGTGCAAATACCACCATTTTTCATGCCCTCGCCATTGCAAGCTTCGCATTCCATCGTGCTCAGTGAATTGACGGCCGCAGGTAGTGAATAAAGGCCTCAAAGTGGTTGCGGCAACACGTTGCGTGACGGGGTACATGTTAGGTTTAAATGCGAGCCGTCGCCGTGTGTCGGGCAGCAGTTTCGGCCCGAGCCACTCCGCTGTGGGGCTATTTCTGCCAGTCGCACCATCTCCCTGACGAAGTCCTCATCCTGCTCTGGTGAGTCTCCAAGCCTAGAAAAACAAGCATAAATCCTGGATGCCACACTCTCCAATACCTCTGCGAATCTACCGCCGAGGCATAGTCCTTCCTGGTGAAGTTTTGCTTCGGCATCCTGGAACTGGCTGCGGTCTAACCGCCTGGCGAGGGCCTGTCGTGATATATTCTTGTGCGCGAGATGCTGAGGATTATCTAAGATGTTTTTGATCCTCTCATCCGGCCATAACAGTGGAAAAGGCATCGGGTAGTGATTTACTTGCCAAGGAGCAGTTTGAGCGAACTCCCAATCGATGACGGCCAGGAAGTTCAAATCATCGTCGACTATAATGTTTTGGGTGCCGAGGTCCATGTGATTAAGGGGATATTTTGCGTGAGGCGCTTGAAATAGTGTCGTAGACCGTACAATGTCAACGAAAACCAACGCACCGAGCTTGCGGAAGTGCGACAGGTTTTTACCTGTACTGCCATCCGAGGAGTTCGCCCGGTACAAAGCTGCTTCTCCAAGAGCAGTGAAGTACTCGATAGCGTTAGAGAAAGGTCCTTGTGACATAAATCCTTCCGCTGCAGCGGAAGACAACTTGTCGATGATGGGCTCTCCTGTTTTCGTTATGGCGGAGATGGACCCGATCAGTGGATATGATAAGGTTGCTAGCGACGTTTGGATCATTGTCCATTGAGCCATGATATGCTGTTGCTTTGCAAACTAGGACATGTTAGAATCCTCCAAGGCAACAAGAGAAAAGATTCACAGACCGACAAACTGCAAAGGTCTGGCACCATATCTTGCAGCGTGTTCCCATAAAAGCCTTCTATAAGCATGTAGCAGCGTTCCACACAAGTCAAGCGGAATCAAGCGGCTTGACAAGCGAAGTTGACGGTTTGGCGATGGTCTTCAAGACAAGTAAGCGGCCTTTTTGACCAAGCGGCTTGCAAGCGAACAAGCGAATTGCCTCAGTCCTATTGTGGGTTCTTATAGGCTCAGTTGAAGCTATCGCGGCCCACTCTGGATGCAACCTTGCTGGGGTTTTTGGTGTTTTGGCCTAGGCTTTTGCCCTGGCCCTTGGCTATTCGGCCTATATATCCGTATTAAGTCTTTTCCTCCGCTGGCAGGCAAGCTCTTCTGTACCTCTTCTACCCTTGTACTTGGCATCCTCGCGTTTACTTCCTCGCGTTTCGCACCTGGGTGTCCTCGCGTTTATCTATCATCGCTTTCCTTTTACTATCATGGCTAATAGCAATGCTTTCAACCAGCTTAGCTACGCGAGATATACCTCTATCCAGAAGCAGATTGATGCCTACGATGCTACAGCACAGTTCTCTCTTGGTACCCTCAAAGACCTCCTACGCATTAAGGTTCCAGGACGATCCCATGCTTTTGTCCCAGCTCGCTGGATGCCAACATCATCGGCCAAGAGGAAGCGCCACGGGTCTGATATCTGGCATTTCGGCGAGAAGCTCTTCGAGGTTATCGTACAGGCTGACGGCACATGCAAAGTTGCAGCGGATTGGTGGTTCTGTTGCCTCTGCGATCAAAATAATCGACAGACCTTATATACTACGCGTAATAGTATCTCGACAAGCATATCAGCAGCTCTAAAGCATCTCGAAGGTTGCGATAACGAGGGCTATAACCTTGGCAAGCTGAAAGAGCTTGTTGCAGAGGCAGAGAAAGAGGAGGTTAGCCCAGAGGAGCTTGGCTGGCGAAAGCGGCGAAGAATAAACCATCGTGGCCTTTTCAACAACAGCAGTCTATATACAGCGCCTGATGCCTTGAAAGATGCTGCTAACGCTCCAACTCGTGCAGTTGTTAGTCTCGCGAAGAAGGCTATAACAGAGCTGGTTGCTTGTTGCGATATACCTCTTTCAACTCTCGAGGCGCCTTAGTTCCGCCAGCTGTTGATGGTCTGGAATAGTACCCTGACGGAGCACTTTTTCCCTCGAAGTGATGGCATAGTGATGAGATGGCTGTTTGAGGCGTTTTACGAGAATCTAGCTGGTCTTCAGCTCTAGCTTCAGTGCGAGGCTATCTCGAAGATTCATCTATCTGCTGATCTCTGGATCTCGCTTAACTACAAAGGCATTCTAGCAGTGGTTGCGCATTTTGTTGATAGCGATGCAAAGCTGCGAAATCGCCTTATAGCAGTGAGGATGATCAACGGCCAGCATACTGGCAAGAATCTCCAGTGGCATCTCCATTAGATTATTATGGCTTTTCAGCTTGAGGAGCGGCTCGGCTGGCTTATTTTTGATAACGATAGCACGAACGATAAGGCAATAAGGCTTCTTTTTCGCAAGATGTATGGCTTCAATCATCGTGAAGCTGAGAAGCTGCGGATTGAACGGCGATGCCGCTGCTGAGGCCATATTATTAACCTTATTGTCAAAGGCTTCCTCTCTGGTAACGCTAAACAGATACTCGAGGCTGAAGACAGCGATGCTGATGAGGTAAGTTGAGCTGTTTTGTATCTTCCTGGCTTATTGCTAATATTTAAGCAGGAATTCGAGCAACAGAGGAATCAGTGGGATCAGTGGCAGCGAGAAGGATCTATACGCTGCGCTCATCTTATTGTAGTCTTTCTCAAGGCAAGTGTACAGCGGGTTCAGGATTTCGAGAAGATTGTTCAGAACTCTTTGTTTTCTTCAGAGGACTAAGATCTCGAGAACACTACAGCCTTTTTGGCAGAGGCCCTTCCTCAGCCAACAGCACAAGACCTTACGATGCCACCACTACCGCTTCCTACAGACCCTACAGATGAGCAAACTGGCGATATATCTACCTTGCGGCCAGTGGTAGCTCAGGAGATGCGATGGAACTCAACAGAGGCTGAGATATCGCGGCTGCTGAGGCTGAAAAGACCTATTGATTTCTGGGTTAAAGAGCAAGTTCGAAGCGGTGCTAAAATACAATCTTTGAGTGAGCAGGACTGGCGAGTGCTTGAGGCAACTCGAGATCTTTTGCAGCCATTCCTATGGCATACAAAACACCACGAGGGGAACGCTGTAGCTGTTCATGATGTCCTCAGTTCTTTGTAGGATCTCAAGAAGCATTTGCGATTCTTTCAGGAGAGATTTGGAGGCAGAAAAACGTATGCTGAAGAAGAAATCCTTGAGGAGATTATTGTCTCGCCAAATGCAGAGAAACTAGCCCTCCAGCAGCCCTCATCGCGATATCAGGCCCCTTCAAGACCTTCCTCTCGGCCCTCGCCTCGACTCTCCCCTCGACCCTCCTCTCGACTTTACTCTCGGCCCTCCTCTCAGCGTTCCTCTCGGCCCTCCCCTCGACCCTCCCCTCGATCCTCCCCTCGCCGTCGAGCTTCACAGTCTTCAGATATATTTCCCAGCACTCCAGTACGGGAATGGCCAGATGTTGGTTCTCAATAAGAGGCTGAGATATACCCCGAGGAATGTGAGCTTGAAGGTGCTGAGTTTCTGAGAGAATCAGTAGCCCACGCGTTGGCAATTCTCAAGCGATATAAGAGCAAGCTTCGCGAATGCCCTATATATTTTGCTGCTGCTGTTTTGCATCCGAAATATCGCCTGGTTGGTATTCGTATAGCAGCGCCAGCTATTGCTAACGATGTTGAACAAGAGTTTAAGGCTTTTTACGAGAAATATTGGGCATATAAAGATCCAGCCTTATCATCAGCATCAACACCCAGCTTGCAGGAAGATTAAGAACATAACAAGCCAAAGAAGCAGTGGAGGACCGCCTTCAGAGCACAACCAAGGCCAAAGCATCAACGGCTATAGTTAGAGCTGGAGAAATATCTCCAGCTAGAAGAGGACGACGAGGACGACGATGGTTTTGAGCCCCTCGTCTGGTGGGCAGCGCGTAAGGCCGAGTTTCCAGCCCTCTCACAGATGGCCTTCGACGTCCTATCTATCCCCGCGATGTCGTCCGAATGCGAGAGAGTCTTCAGCCAAGGGAAGCTTACGATGTCCTCGCAGAGGAGGAGAATGAAGAGCAGCACTCTCGAGCTCCTTTTGTGCCTCAAGGACTGGCTGAAAAATGGAACGCTGGCAGGACCAGCAGCAGAGATGAGGAGGAAAGGCATTGCCTAGCAGCTTTTTGCCAAAAAAAGGCATTCGAGGGGGTCAGAAATGTTTCTTTCAGCACTTGAGCGAGGGACCTCGCGCGGATCAGAGCGTAACAAGGAAAACTATCATCATATGCCTCTGTACCGGTTGAACCACGTGCGTAGCTCATTTGTTACTCTCACCACCTTTCGTTTCGTATATCTATCGTACATTCCTAATCCGGTATAGTGACCAAGTCACCAAGCGAATCAAGCGGCCAGGTACTAGAAGACAAGCAAGCGGCCAAAATAGTTAGCAAGTCAAGTGGAGGGCTACCGCTTGCCTTGACTTGACTTGTGTGGAACGCTGGCATGTAGACAGCGCCAGCATCGGCGGCGAGCTGTGATCCGGGACCTTCGTAGGCGTAGACGCGAGGCATAACCACGGTCGGGAGCCTCTGTCTCACGAAACGCATTGTAGAAACCTCGCACGCGATCGAATATTGTTCGTCCGTTTCGTTCACTGTTGGTAGAGTGTCAGGGTGGCGAGGCAATCGAACACGTGCGATGATAAGACTGTCGTCCTCAGCGACCATCTCAAAGCAGATCCAATACTGCCCTGCCGAAAACGGCTCGCTCATACTGAATTTCTGGCCTTTGATGAGCTCGGCATGGTGCAGAAGCACGCCTTTTGTCCAGCTTGGCAAGCAATCCCACCAATCGCTCTTTCATGCCGTTGTAGTCCCAGCCGTCGAACGATGTCCATCTTGTGCTTGGGGCAATTCTCGACATATTAAGTCTGCTGGGTTCCTAAGGAGAAACGTATGAGCTGAGCACGTGGAAGTGGCTGAATGAGTGTTGAGATTGAATCTATCTAATACAAAAGGAAGATCTTCTAAGTAACTAAACCAGGCTCTGAGATGGTTTATGAGGAGACCAAAACAGAGGGTTAGGGTTAAATATGCCCCATTTTTCACACACCCCCCATCTGACTGGTCAGATGTGCCAGAAAAGTGGGTCTTTTGTGGGGTCCCCGCAGACGCGTTTAAGCTTATGTGGGCGCGTTTTACAGTCGCCTTGCCTCCTTCCAGTCCTCTTTCTTTTTCAACCAGCTCTTTTTCCATCTGTTTTCAAGGTTTTTGAAAGCCTCCGCGCGTCAATATGCCTCTTCTAGTCACTCCAGATTTCTCGTCAGGCGAGTCTGACGTTTCTGTCCCTCTCAGCGAGCTCAGTATGGCTGTTTCCGATGACAGCGACTCTGCTGAGGGCGAGATCCATGTGGCCTCTTCTGGTCCTTCTCCCGATGTGGAGACTGATGAGGATCCCTTGGGTGCAAACCCCAGCTCCCCTGCCAGTGTGTCTGAGTCGCATGGTGGTCCCTCGATGGCCACAGAGAAGAGCGCGAGCCCTGTTCAGCCTGTCTTGATTCCAACCGCTGGTCGGCACCCTCTTCCTGATGTGAGTATAGAAAGAGCTGCCTGGGGATTGGTATGGGCTGAACTGATTGTTCTTGTTTCCAGGGACGGCGGTCTGGCCTGCCTGCTTCAAGTCCTCAAGCTCCGGTCGAGTCGTCTGCCGCTCGTGCTGATACCCTGATTTTGCGTCCTTCGGTCGATGGTGCCTCCGATTCAGTCGGTGTTGGTCTTTCCAAGCGCTCTGGTGCTGGTTCTACGGGGATTTCTAGCCCGTTTATCGATGACGACGACGATGATGATGAAGACGGCTCTGTGCTCCTTCAGGAGGCGCCCAAGACTGTAGGTTCGCACCGCTTTTTCTTCCAATGTTTACCTGGCTGACCCTTTTTCAGGCTTCCGGTAGCCTTTCAAGTTCTGGGCCAGTCGCAACAAGGCCTGTCACCGAGCAGGGTATGGCTCGTTTGAGGTCCCAGGATGCGTTGATGCAGGAGCTTCAGCAGGAGCGCCTCGATGTGGCTGCTGGAGACGCCGCCAAGTTGAGGACTCCTCGGTCGCGAGCCAAAAAGACTTTTCCAGTGGCCACCCCTTCCAGTACTCCCGCTGCAGGTTCCTTGAAGAGCCAAGACGATGCTTCCTGGGGTGCTGTTCGCGATGTTCCATGCATTGGCTGTATCAAGAGTCTGGCTGCGAGCGGCTCTGATGGTTCCTGTCACGACCAGAAGGACTCATCTGCTGCTCGCTGTGCTCGGTGTTCGAAGGGTCACAAGTGTATTCCGGTCCCTTTCTACCTCATGCCTTTTGTGGACGAGCTTTATATGGCCAAGCGTGCGCTTGCTTCTGCTGAGGAGATGGATGCTCCTACGCCCTCGAAGAAAAGGACGCGCGCTGGAGTGGAGAAGGAGAACTCCACTCTCAACCTTGCTCCTCTGGGGACCCGATCCAAGCATGCTGTGTGGGCTTAGAAAGCTGCTCTTGAGCATTTTGAGGCGGGCAAGTTTTCGGAGGTTGACGAGCTGCAGAAGCAGATTGAGGCGCTCACGGAAGAGCGTGATGTGCTCCTTGCTGAGCAGGAGGCTGATCGTAAGGAGGCAGTTTCACGCTCTGCCAAGGAGGGGAAGGCCGTGGTTTCGGCTAAGAAGAAGGGAAAACAAGCTGCCGTTCAGTCTGTCTCGCGCTCTGTCGATGATCATCCTGTCGAGTCTTACCGTGAATGGCATCTGAAGCACGAGAAAGCCAAAGCTGATATCGAGGCAGTGCTGGCTACCCTTCACCCCCCACCTAAGGAGTGAGCCCTGTTCAGGCTTAGGTGTGCTCTAGGCTTTGGTGGATGATTGGGTTTTTTGTGGTTAAGTCCTTTGGTTCGTCGTTTGATGAAGGTTGCGCGCTTGGTTTGCGTGTTTCTGGGTGATACTCCTGGGCTATAAGCCCTCGTTTTTGATTTTGACAAATGAAATTTAGTGATTGAGAGCACCCAAAAGGGGCCAATGTGAGATCGAGTTGCCCATCTGTGTCCCTTTAGGTTCCTTCTTGGTCCTCTGATTCAAGGCATAGCTGACATCCTGAAGGTTGAGGAGCGCTCTGAAGTGTTCGAACTGCGCTCGATTGAGGTTCTTGGTCAGTCCATCAGCTGGCATGCTCTGTGTTGGCATATATGAGACCTGGAATTTGCCCTTTTGGAACTCCTGCTTGAGCCACATTTGGTGTATATCTATATGGCGGAGCTTTGTGTTTATCCTTTCACGCTCTGTGACTACCAGCCGTATGGCTTGTTGATTATCACAGAAGATATTCCAGGGCTCGCCGAGGTTCAAGGTGAGGTCTCGAAAGAAGCGTTGTAAGGCGATCGTTTCCTTGGCTGTGGCCGAGAGGGCGTACAGTTCAGCCTCTGTGGTTGAGGTGGTTACCAGGCTTTGCTTTGTTGCTTTCCATTGTATAGAACCTCCGAATAGGCTGAAGATATATCCTTGTGAGGATTTTCGGTTCTCTGCATCGTCGGCAAAGGAAGCATCTCCGGCGATTAGCAGGGCTTGAGCCTCAGGGTGGCTTCCTCCGTACTGGATTGCCAGAAATCTCGTCCTGTACAGGTAACAGATTACTCTGTCTGCCTGTTCCAGATGCTTTGGCTCTGGGTTTGTTAAAAACCTGGAGAGAAGAGCGCATGCAAAAGCCACATCTGATCTTATCATGATAGCGGTGTACAGGATCGATCCAATCTTCTCCTGGTACTCCTTGATTTGGTCTTTTGATGCTTCCCCTTTCCATTTGACAAGCTCCCCAAGGTCCAGAGGCGTTGGAGGTGTTAAAGCTGTGTTGGCTGCAAGGCCAAACTTGTTGGCTATTTTCTCGATGTACGCATCGTGGACCAGGCTGATTGTGCGGTTGGCTCTGTCTCTGACGATTCGAACTCCCAAGAACCATTCCGCCGCTCCCTGATCCTTTACCTCATATGCCTCGAAGATGCCTTCCTTCACTCTGCGTGCCTTTGATGCCTGGTTCTGCGGATAGAACAGCAGGATATCGTCCACATAGAACAGGACGATCAGCTTGTTTGCTTTGTTGGTGAACATGCAGGGCTCTTCAGTTGAGGGCGTAAGGCCGAGATTTCGCAGAGTTGAGCAGAAGTGCCTGTACCAGAGTGCTGGCGAGTCCCTCAGGCCGTACAGTGCCTTTTCCAGGAGCACGATTTTCCCTTCCTCCTTGAATCCATCAGGCAGCTCACAGAAAACGCTTTCCTGGCTTTCCCTGCTGGCATTCAGGAACGCTCCGGTGACGTCCATCTGGTTGATCTCTAGGTCGAAATATGCTGCCACAGCTATAAGTGTGCGAAAGGAGCGCGCAGCCAGCGTTGCTGCATACGTGTCTTGAAGGTTGCTTGCTTTTTGCAGGTCTCCTCGCACACAGATTCGGGCTTTGAATGAGGTTAAGTAACTGTCCTCATCAAGTTTGTATCTGTATACCCATTTGAGTAGCAGTAGCTTCTCTTTGGCTTTCCCACGCTCGAGGGTCTGCCACACCCTTTTGTTAACCAGTCCCTGGATTTCTGATTGCATTGCTTTCCATCACTCGGTATGGAAAGAACCGTTTCGTGCTTCTTTCCAGGTCCCAGGTTCGGGTGGTAGTTGTTTATGATGCTTCTTTTCAGCCGTCGCCAGCTCTGTGACTTGCTGAGGAGCATCAAAGTGCTTTCGCTGCGAGTGCGAGGCTCCTCTGCGTGTAGAGTTTGCCTCAAGTACAGCGGCTGCGACCACACTGTGTATGGTCTGAAAACGCCTATCCCATGTTCTGGTTGCTTCCTTTAGCTGATCAGGCAAAAAGGTAGCCATGAGGTTTATCAGAGCTGTTTGGCTCGTTACAAAGGCTGTGGCGAATGACCCTTGGTATTGGCGAGCTTTATCGATTGGTTTCCGTGCTCTGTCTGAACGCTGTGTAGATTGAGATCCATAGATCTCGTTCCTTGTTCGACGACATCTGGTTGAGGCCTGACCAGGCTCGTACCCTCGCGCTGCAGGCTGGCTCGTATCCTGAGCAGTAGATGCGCTGGTGGCTTGTTGTTCAGTACTTGAAGACGCCTGTTTAGTTGCTGAAACATCCTCGCTGCTTGCAGCAGCGCTCCTTTCTGGCTGATCCGTTCGTTCCGGTGCCTCGGAAGATTTTTCAGGAATTGGAAGTCCTTGCACCTTATCCCCTGAGCTTCTTCCCTGGGATGGGTTGCTTTGCAAGAGCGCTCCATTGCCAGTCTCAGATGCTCTCACCCCCGAGTTCCAACTCGGAATGCCTCCCGAGGGAGACTCTGAGGATGGGCTACTATCCTCATCGGACAGCGGATGAGGTCCTTGGTTTCGATTTGTAGCATCAGGCCAGGGAACTGGGTCCCATACGCCTCCAACGACGATTGTATCCATGATTTCCTCGTCGTTTCCGACCTCTGGAACGATTGGTGCTGGCTGAGCACGAGATAGTGCTTCTGATGCCTCACCGCTGTTTGGATCGTAGAATTAGCTCTCATCGAACAGAACATTGCGCACGGTTGCAACTCTTGCAAGCGCTGGAAGCTACACGCGGTACAGATTGCTTGCAACGTATCCCACAAGATAGCTCTTGTGTGCTCTTGATTCTGTTTTCATATCCCGTTTATGAGAGCTAAGTTCGCGCTCTTCTCGCAGAACGTATGCCCGGTATCCATATGCGTAGATCCTGGCCCAGTTGGGCCGTAGGTCCGAGACTGCTGTTCTAACTATTTCCAGCGCATACTAATGAAAGTACTGCCTGAACTAGCTATCCAGAAGTGAATTTGGCGTTTCGGAGTGCTTGAGCATGGATGGAGAGATGTTGAACAGCCAGGTGGCTGCTTTCACACACTCTGGCCATAGGTCTTTCAGTAGTTTGGCTGACAACAGGAGAACTAGCGTACGCTCCTGAATTTCACGCCCGGCTCGCTCAGCAGCGCTATTTGACTCTTTCGTGCGCGGTGGAGTAACCTCCAGATCGATGCCGTTGTCAGCGCATCATTGTGTATATACCGTTTCGTATGGCCTCCTTATGACTGAGGAGTCTGCGTTCTATCTGATTTTGCAGACGAAGAGGCGATATTGGCGTTGTACCCAGATCTCGAATAACCTGAGCACATCGAACACTGTGGATTGTGCCTTGTTAGATATCGGAAAGGCAAACAACTTGCCACTGTACTCGTCTTTGAGTATAAGAGCCCATTTTGAGCTATCCTGCGCTTCGTTATAATCGAGAAGATCCCAACTAATGCGCCAGAACGGTCGAGGGCTGTAGTATTCAGATCTTGCGCATCGAATGACCTTTGTGATGCGCCCTAGAGCACAGTGTTCACAGTCAATTCGTCTGGTTCTGTTAATTCTGATACTACGAACTGAGTAGACGAGCTCCTTCAGGGCATTGGCACCCAGGTGTCCCGACCTTAGATGCCAAAGATGCTCTGAATCACTTCTTTCAGGCGCCTCATCATATGAAGGACGAGGATGCCTGTTTCTTTTTAGAGTTGAGAACACGAGAACGCCAGCCCAGCTGTATGGCAGCGTGGCTGGAGCTCGAGAGTAGAAAGAGTTTGCAAAAGGAATGTATTCGAAGAAGACTAAGTTGAACTCTCTATGTAGATTCGCAATCACCGCGCTCTGTTCAAGCGTTCCTGAGCGCAGTATGCTATCTTTGCCATAGTATCAGATCCCTTTCTCGTATAAGAGAGCCTCAGCGATTATGTTGACATGGAAGCCATCTACAACCGCCACACAGTTGAGAACTAGGTCCTCAGTGCGTTCCCCTCGCCTCCCGTTCAGTACATTTTTGAAGCGTCGTCTCCCGAATCCCCGTATTAGCAACGATGAGCTCCCTGCTTCCACAACTTCTGCATCCCTTGAGGGAGAAAAGGTATTTGGCTCCAGGAGGTCGACGCTGTTGACGAGATGTACAGCTCCGCAGTTATCCAGAACTGTGCTTTGGGAAAGGATGTGAGGTATCTGAAACGGTATTGAGAAGACTGCCACGCTTGCTTGTAGCAATACTGCCTGGTTGAAAAGTTGAGGGTTGAAGATAGCGTTTATTTGGAAGAACTGAGGGTGCCTTGTTTCAGGCTTGAGGGGTATCGGATCTGGCATTTTGACGTTGTAGTTGAGAGGTTCTAGCACTCGACAGTGCCTGGATAGAGATTCCTGTTGTTCTCCGTCCTCTGTAGGATCCCCCCTGTCCAGCCTTGAGGAAGCCATCCAGTTCTGATAAGGTCTGAACGGAGCTCCTGATAGTTTTTGCTAGCCAGCTTAGAGAGAATCTTCTTTCTTTGCTCGTCAAATGGGGCCTTGAAGATTGAGTCTGGCCTAACTCCGGTACAGGCGTATTCCAGCCTTCCGCAGCTCATCGGGCCCCATTTATGCTTCCTTTGATACAACTTGCAGGGGCACTTGTAATCTCCCTTTTCGCTCTGGCTGGAAGATCCACCTTGTTTCTTCCCAGATTTTGTGCCTGAGTTGCCGGATGGTGGGTTCTCTCCGCCTATAGTGGCGAACACTATTAAGCCTTTTTTCTGCTCAGGCCGAAGTCGGTGGATTGAAGCGAGATTTCGTTGAAGCTGTTCGATAGTCTTGATAGGCAGACCATCGTCAGGTGCCGTAGCGAGGAGATATCGTTGCATTTTAGCCCACTCTGTCTGGAAGCGAACTCCGATAGCGGCGAGAAAGTTATCAGAGCTCTGAAGTCTCTCAACTTCGTCAATGCCGTAAACCTGAGCTAGGTTCAGGAGATCCTGGTGCTGCCGGCACCAGTTTTGGAAATCGGTGCCTTGCCTGGTGGCCAGCTCAAGGTGATGGCGGTACTGGAGGCGAACGACCTGTTTCATGCTCTCCTCGGACGGACAGAGGTCTTTCTTCAGGTTCCTGAGCACCTGTTGAATCGAGGGAGACTTCTTTCCTGGATAGGTGTGCATGTAAGGAACGAGGACTGACGGAGGTACTGTTTTCTGAATCCAGTTCCACATTCTCTGTACGTTCTGGTGAGCATGCAACTGCTTGTTTTGACGAAGCTGAAAGCGTTTCATCTCCTGATCATAGAGGATGGCTTATTCCTGGATAGAGAGTAGCTTGTAGTTCTCCGTTATAGTGTTTTTGCGCTCCTCCTCAAGGTCCTGAGTGAACTTGGAGAACTCGAGGTCGAAGTCTTCAGGTTCGAGAGAGAGCGCATCTGGGCCATCCGGATCTAGATACTCCCAAACACCCTTTCCCTTGCTCTGGGACTGCAAAATGCTGTACCAGGATGGAAAGGAGTAGGTGTCGGTGCACTTTACCGAGAGCGTGAGGTCGTCAGATTCGCGCTCCATCGTGGGCTTTGATAGAGCATGAGTATGACTGTTTGGGACAAAAGATGTGTTCTGAAAGAATAAGAAGTGAACGGCTCAGTCTGTTTCGATAGATAAGGGGAAGATTAAACCCGATTCTTGCGAACCGGGCTCATAACTAAGGAGAAACGTATGAGCTGAGCATGTGGAAGTGGCTGAATGAGTGTTGAGATTGAATCTATCTAATACAAAAGGAAGATCTTCTAAGTAACTAAACCAGGCTCTGAGATGGTTTATGAGGAGACCAAAACAGAGGGTTAGGGTTAAATATGCCCCATTTTTCACAGTTCCCAATGCTGTGAGGCTCACAATAACGCAACTGCTAATGTGGAGAAGTAGTGATGATGAGATGGAGAAAGTTACATAAGAGCGGCGGCGGCAGATCATTTAGCCGGTACAGAAGTCTCGAGCGGACGCGGGGCCCGGCCACGTTTCAGAGCTTGCATTGCTTTGTGGCGGAATGGCAGTGCTTGGTTTCAACCGCCACGTCAACTAGCTAGAAAAGGGTCATTGTTCGGTCAGATAAGAAGCAGGCTTCGATCGGTGTTGAAGTGAGCGTCGTTGACATCCATGAGACAGCAACGTCGAACAAGTCTCGCATCCTACTGAAGCTGTTTCGAACGGGCACATTCGGCCTCGTGTCCAGACTTAAGAGGGGGGCAGGGGCTTTCTCATCTAGATTAGGTTAGCTGGAGATTACGAAGTTGCTCGTCTCCGACTTCCCTGCCACTCATTTATTTTGCCCCTTGTACTGTTAAGATGCTTCATTAAACACCAGGGTGTTTCGGCATGCCAAGGCACTGCTAGGGATGAAGCTACGTAGCGGTAATCAAGTATGTAGTTACTAGAACTGAACCCGTTTGCACCTCTCAACTCCACATGGCAACCAAAACGTCACTACTTCCTGCCTTTCCTCCTCTTGGCCGCCCCTGGATCTGTAAAAGAAGTGCTTGGAGTACCCTTTTCCTGTCCCGCATCGCCCGAGTGGCTGTCCTGCTCAACAGGTAATGACACGGTGTCAGCATCCAACTGCGACAAATGATGGCTTTCCAAGTCCTGGGAAAGACCTGTCTCTGAAAGCGACAGGACATCGAAGTCCAAGTTGGCCGGCAACTGGTTGATAGCAGAGCAAATGTTCTTGAAGTGAGCGGGCATCCATGTGTCGTAGACGTTCTTCGTGAAACGATACGCTGTCCACTTCTCCTTGCCATCTAGTGCTGTGAAAGAAAACTCATGGATTGGATGGCGGTAATACTTGGTCTTCTTCCCATCCATCACGGGATAGTGACCGTAGATTCGCACTGACCTATGGTCATGCGAGATGGAGAACGCAAGAATCTGTCGGTGGATCTCGCCCTCACGCTTCACAGCACGAAAAAGCTCGGCAACGGCCCGTACCGCAAGGGTCATGCTGTGAGCGTTCTGGCGGTCCGCCACGTCCAGCGCTGCGGCGCCGCACTTCACCTCGCACGTTAGGAATGGGAAGTACATGTAGTACGTACCCATAAAGAGGGATTGGTCTCCAGCGATAAAGTCGCCAAGGAATGGAGACAGCTTGGCGAGCTGGTCGTCGGTGAATGCCTCGCGTCTAAAGCCCACAGAGTAGTCGGGTTGGGGACGAGTCCCAGTCAACGGGATCGAGTTGTTCCAGCCCTCATTGACGCTCTCTATCAAGATGTCAAGGTGCTTGGCGCCGAATGTGGCAAGACTCTCGGCCGAGGGAACGATAAGCCGAGTGATGTCCCGAATAACTCGGGCCTCATTTCTATCATGGATCCTTTGGCAAGTGGATTCGAAAACATCGTCGCGGAATAGTGAATCCTCAGGAACCGCTTGGGTCGTCTCAAATAAAGTCCTAGTAAGACCTTTGCTTGCGCTGGTAATATCCAGGTTGGACTTAACCATGAAACTGCCTTTGGTCCCTAGTAGGGTCTCATAGCGCGGATCTCGGTAGGGTGCACTCTTCTCTTCCCTCGGCTTCTGATCGCTGGGTGTCGTGGACGTGGCAGAATTTGATCGCTTGCGGGCAAGAGGCGACGAGGACCTTTTTCGGGCAAGTAAATGCTCCATGTCGAGTTTAAAGTATTCTTGCGGCCACTGCCCTTCTCTCGCCCAAAAATCGATCGGGTTGGCCGGCTCGTATGTGCCGCCGTTGTTGGTCGGGGATGTGTCGGAAGTATTGTCCACATGAGTCAATCTAGGAGATCGCCGAGGCCTCTTCTGAGGGGAGTTAAGGTCGCGATCGAGTGCGTCGACGGGTCGTTTCGTGCCACGCTCGCCAGGTGTCGCGGAACCCTTTGATGACTTAGTTTCGGTGCCTGCACAGTGGTAAAGATAGGAATGCCGTACCTGTCGAGATAGAGTCTTCTTGGTTGGAGATGGATACGGTTGATCGCATTCAGTGAGCTCGAGAGCTAGTCGCTGGTGGAGACGGGTCGTGCGACGGGTGCTTTTCTGGATTCCTTGGGGTCGCTTTCCTGTTTATCATCAGCGAGGATATCGCTCGGCGCTTCATGAAATAAGTACCTTGATCTTTTGGCGCCGACGATGTGCGCCCCTTCTGGGGGGCGAACTGTGCTCGAGTATGAGCCATGGCGACGAGAATGCCGGGGAGCGACGAGATGTTGAATTTATGTGGATGCGGTCTTTGGCGCAGTCCAGAAGACCAGCATCCGTCAGCCAACAGTTAGGCGCCTCAGCCACATCACGTGGAGTCGAGCTGCCCCGCTCCGTTGCAATCGCAGATCCGCTACGAAAATCAAGGGGCTTTAATATCGGGGGGGTCTTCTGGGACTCTCGCAACGAATTGGAATTGCATCCGCCATGGTGAATGGGATGCTCTCAACACGGGAGAGATGAAAAGGACTGAGAAATCGAGATTTCGCTTTCGCGCAGCAGTTCCACCCAGGCCCCACGGCCCCACCAGGCTTAGCTACCGCCGGAAAAGCTTTATTCCATAATTCTTCGTTAGCCTCTATCTCGAATGACCTCGTTGGCTCTCGGCAGGCAAGTGCCCGAGGTCATTTTCGTCATGCTGGGTTGTCCGTGGAGGAACCTCACGACATATAAAACATGCAATATTATTCATTAGGAAAGAAAAACAAATATCCATGCTAGTATACACGAGGGGTCACCGTCCATTGAAGCCTATTGCCCACCGAAAGAAAGCACCGATCCCCCCGTTGTTGTTCTTGACACCCGTCTCAAAGTGGCTGCAGACATTGTTGTTGTGCTGAGTCTTATGCTCCCACGCGATGCTTGCGCCCTCGGGGTCCCGGATCCACTTGACCTTATCACGTTTGCGGAGCCGGAAGCCAGGGTGACGCGGTCGCTGCTCACGGTCGCGCGACTGGACCAGTTCCTGTCATGGCTCCTCTCCGCACGGAGCTGGCAGTTCCCGTCGAGCAGGTTGACGGATCCGGAGCCGTCCCTGGCTGCGTCTCGCGAGAATGTGAAGGTGTTGCGCCCCGTGTTGTACGAGTTGGTATGATTCTCTATGAATCGCCGGATTGGGTCTTGGGGTTGCATCGAAGGCAACAGGACGTTATGCCTGTTGCTGTTGAGTAGGTCTTGGCCCTGCATTGAAGGCAATGGGCCAGTGTATCCGTTGAGTAGGTCGTTCGGATTGTTTCGGGAGGACATTGTGGCTTGTCTGATCGGCGATATTGAGATGGTATTGCGATATCTACCCTAGCGGTTTACGATGGAATCGATATAGTCACTTCATTATTATCATAAGAGTAGATTACTGCAACTCAGTTGGGATATCTGTATATATATATGCTCTCAACGCGATGGTCGGGCGGGGTAGTGACATCTTCTTCACATCATCATCATTGCAGCTGGACCAATCACTCGTGACTAGGTGGGGTCTTTGCTAGTTACTGCCTAGAGATACGATGCAACGCCGGAACCAGTCTGCCTCGGGTGCGGTGGGCCGACGCCATCCGGCCCGGGCCTGGCAAACGTGAGGCCGGCCCATAAATAGCGTGGGGTCCGATTCAAGATACCAGGAAGCTAACAACAGCTACCCGGTTCAAAATACTTGGAAGCAGGACCACAAAACACGTCAGTAGAACTTAAGACTCGGTAGGAAACATGGCAGCGGCGGCGAACTGGTTAAGGTAAGGTATAGGGTGCGGGGTTTGAAGACAAATATGACAATATAGTTTGACCGAGGAAAAGGCTATGCGGTAATCAACAAATAAATATAAAATTTTAAGAATAAAAGCATGCTTGACCTTAATTCGCCCTCTTCCTTGCCTTTCCCCGTACAACCTGTCCGAATTAAGATCAACGCGATATCAAGATGCATGATTAACAGCGGAGAGCAAGGAAGGTCGCGGGGGCGAGAGGGAGGCGCTCCGGGGGTGGCACCGATCAAGCAACCTGTTCGATCGTTGCCATTAGATTATGGCACCAGTGGATGCCAGACAGCCAATCATATCTGACATTCCTGGTATAAGGCTCCAGAGATCTTTGTCTCCGATGACGTGTCGAGGGAGGTCAACCAGTCCAGCGACAGGGCTGCTCGAGGGGACATGGTGTCGTCAATCTGAAAGGGGTCATTTGAAGAAAGCTTGAGAAATCTCGGATTTACTGGCCTAGTGCGGCGGTTCCTGAGTCAATCTGGCCTACCCGCTGGTTTGCATATCGGTCAGGCACGATTCCGTTCACTGAATCGCGGATGTTTTCAAGGCGTCCCTCAACTGACATCACCCCGAGTCAGCTTTGATCTCGTCGAATGATCTTCCCGTGCATGCGTTCACATCCGGTAACCGGTGCGGTATCTTTTCAGTGGTGGTTTACGTTAAAAATCAGGGGATCGAAACGGGAATTGTGGGCCTACCTACATTTCCTGTTGGCTTACCCTGAGCTCACCCACCGGCTAGGGCGAAAGCAGCAACAGCTCAGGAATCCATGCAAGTCAAGATCCAGATTGGTGTGTTTAAACTTATAAAGTCGAACAAGTTGAATTCGGGTATATTTCACTTCTGAAAGTATATTATTGCTAACTTATTCAATATGTCTGTTACTATCGGCAAGGTAAACTATCTATGGAAAAAGAAACTTAGCAATGACTGCACAAAGACCAAACCAAGACGAACTGTAAAACAAATAGAGAAGAAACTATTCATACATAAATCCGCTAAGTCATCCCTACAACAAACGAATAATTGTTAATGAAAGGAAAGGCAGAATATGCTGCCTCGAAAGAGTGATGGGAATGCTGATCGGCGCTTAGGAGGTGGTAGCAGAGGCTCTCATAAACTCCTTGAACATTCCCATCAATGCCGCCATGTTTTGATCCATCTTGATCGTCATATCCTTCATATCCTTCATTTGGTTTTCGAGGTTTTCGACTCTGTCCTTCATTTGGTTTTCGAGGTTCTCGACTTTGTCCTGCAGTTGCTGGACCATACGACTCTCTGCCTCTGAGAATGCACCTGGGCTCTGTCTTTGGCGGCCAAGATGGTTATCTGAGGGCGTTATTGCTTGAGAATCTCGCAAGGCCCTTCGACGGACAGGATCTTTCTCTACCTTTGATGGGTCGTAATAGTGACTGACCCAGCCAGCTTCACTAGGTGGCTGAATACCATCTCTTTCACAGACCCTCATGATCTCGGCTGCAGCACTAGATCGGCCGAGAACCTTGGATAGGCTCGTAGTGGTCAGGATCTAAATGCCTTTACTGTGAAATTTGATGCAACAGTCTGTGTTTGGATCCTTTTTGTTGGCGGCAGTGTTCTTCTGCTTTGTTTGCGATTTCGTGACCCAAAGTAGCTGGTCAAAATCATCGCGATCTTTGCTGAACCATTGAGATTGGCTTTCAGAAAGGTTCTTGAAGCCATCCATATTCTTATATCTGCTAACTTCCAGAAGGCCGACGTCGGAAGCCGACTCAAGACGGCGGATTACCCGTCCGTCATCTTCCTGTGTTTCAATGCATACCTGAGTCCCGGTTGCGCCCTGTTTTCGTACACCTATAATGAGGGATCCATCCGCGGCCAGGGTTGTAGTCCATGGATACTCTATGGAGCTTTGTGAAGAGTTTGCTGCCGACTCAGCGGCATCTACGAGGCTCAAGGCTTCATCCATGGCCAGGTTTGCTGCCTTGGTAGCCTCAGCGGCCGTTGTGTATGCGGCCTCAGCAGCTTCCAGGGCTTCAGTAGCGTCTTGCATGCTTGAAGCCAGAGAAGCCTTTTCCGCGGAAGCCTTTGCTATCTCCATTGCGGCAAGAGCATTGGCAACTTCCGCAATGATGGCCTGCTCGGCTTCCTCAACTCTGGCTACAGTGGTGTCGTCGAGGCCCTCCAACTTATCTTTGGTCTCGGTAATACTCTGTAGGTATGTTTTGGCCAGAGCATGGGCATCTACGGCCGCTGCAGAAGCTTTAGCAGCCGCCTGGGCCTTGTTCTTGATCCCACTTCTAGTAGCATCTGAATCTCTCTTCAAGTATTCATCAGGAGTTAGAATGGTTCACTGTTTCGAGAAATGGTTTCTTTCGATAAAAGAATCGATCAAAGTTTTCTCCTTCATAATCTCGCTTTTTACCTTCTCGTTTGCTGGATCGTTCCGGAGCATCTCATATCTCTGCCCTGCCTCATTGTAGTGAGAACCGAAGAAAGCAGCCCCGGGAATGGTCCACTGGTTTTCTTCAATGTTCTCAGCCCGGTTTGCTATCATAATCTTAGCGTTTAGGCGGTATAGCTGCTCGAGCAAAACTGGATCGGAGAAGTCTTGCCCCAAACGATAGAATAGAGGCGTTGCCTCGCTGTAAACATTAGTCATACGTTGAGACGGGATGAGAATAACATTCTCGTTCATAGCTGTATCGGGTCCAGAAGCGTCAAACTGTTCCTCACCATCCCAGTACATGATTTCGTTGATGTTAAGATCATCCAAACCCATCTTTCTGGCTGCAGTGCGCAGTTCTAAGCAATCTTATTAGTACCAAGGCGCTAGTACAGGATAGCAAGTTGCTATTTACTCTTGAATACTGCCTCCACATTAGGGTGTTTAACAAACTTGGGGTGCAACATGCATCCTGGGTGTCTCCAGGCAGCTACGACTTCCTTCTCGGGAGAGTTCGGATTAACTCCCAAGATCTCGGCATATGAGCTATCAAAGCAATGCATAATACGTTTGATCTCTACGTCTATTTCATCATTGGCGTTATTGTCGGCTGCATCGGTTACCTGCTCCCTCGTCTCCGCCGAGCTGGACGAGGAAGGTTCAAGGAGCTGGCGCATTGCTGCGGCCATCCTCTCCTTGTCGGCCGCAATTCTACCATCTTCGACAGCGGGTGTTGCTTCTGGGGTTGCTAGCCCAAAAGAGTTCTGGGAGACTTTGGCATTGACATCGGTGGTGTTCTTTGGGGGGGGCTTGGCTATTCGTAGCCATACTGTATATGATTTGAGCATATTGAAATAAAACAGACTCTATAGCCAGGTTGCTGCTGATCTAATCAACTCTGCTAGTTTGATAAGGTTTGCTTACCTTATCTATTCAACAACATCTAAAGAATTCGCTGCCAGTTTTATTATCCTTATAAATAAGCTATCAAGAAGTTAGAGAGAAGCTGAAAATATAATCGGTGTCGCCTGGCTAAGTGCTTGACGTGTTGCTTGGAGCAGGCAGTTTTGGTGCTGGCGGCGTGTCCATGGGACCTGCCGTTCCTTCCTCGGCTAAAGAGGATGGAAGGCTATCTGCAGCAGAAGAGGGGTGCTGCTAGGTGTTGCTCATGATGTCAAGGTGGCTGAGCAAAAGACTGGGTGTCGTTGTTAGAGCGGGCAGTGAAGAGCGTACGTGTGACGGCGGCAGTGGACGAAGGAGGGAAGGGACAGCTGGAGTTTGTTAATCTGGGATACAAAGAAAGGGAGGGAGAGAGAGAGAGAAAGGGATGCAGTCAGAAACGCAGAGTTATGCAAGCGCTTGTGGAAGTGAGGAGGTCGGTGGCTTCCAGAATAGCTTGGCAGGTGGTGCAGGTAGGGGGAGAACAGGATGGAGAGAAAGGAGAAAGGGTATGCCCTCCTTTCTCAGAAACAGCAGAGCGAAAAGGCTAGGGGTGCAGACAGTCCTCTGCCTCCTGAGCTGATCCGGCCAGCTTTCGATCTTCGTCATAGTTGTCGTCAAAGCGACCCTCATAGCCCGCTTGCTGCTGTGAATACGACCTTCTCTAGACCACGCGCACCCCATCCATAACTGGCACCTTTTCAGCTTTCCTTCCTCAAACCTCAAACCTCTCACCTTTTTCTGACCTTCCTCTGGGGGTCCCGCGTCACCTGCCCATCCTCGCCCGTGCTGCTCCTTCGTTAAAGTGGCCCCTCCAGAACCCTTAAGCAACCTTAACCAGCCTTGACCTTTCTTTATCCCCCTCGGCCTTCTCAACCTTCTCGATATCCTTCTGCCTGCTCCTATCTTCTTCGGCCTTCCTCACCATTCTTTAGTCTTTCTCGACCTGCCTCAACCTGCCTCAACCTTCCTTCACCTGCCAGCCCCCTTCTTCCTTAGCTTCTTATTGCATATGCACACCCCCAGAATTTGGGATCGTGAGTGTGTCTTTAGCTCTTTTCTGTCCAGCTGCTAGTACGTCCTATAAGTGTAGATATACATGACAAGCAGGGCGCTCATTGAAGATAAGATGCATCTGAAATATTGCCTGGTTAAGAAAGAGAGTTCTATGCAAATGAAGCCTCGTCATTATGGGCAATACAGTAAGACTCAGTTCCTCAGCTTATATTTCTCGCAAGCCCGGCTGGCATTATCCACCGTCATGAACTTCAACATGAGCATTACCGGTTTGGATAGCAACGCGCTCTATTATCATGTGAACGGGCTTGTGGCGGGCGTTGATCCTCCTAGCGTTGCATCCCTGCATACATAGTGGGCAATGGTTATGGGACAGACTGGTATCAAGGATTTCTATTTATAAGCTTGTGGTCAGTATATTACACATATACTTTATATGAAAAGGACAGCGCGCCCGGCTACAGTGTCAGTGGGGGCGCTGGGCTGTAGTACTGACTATGAAAATCGAGATGGCGGTTATTGTCGCTCTTGGTGTCCAGTCGGTTTGAAGAACGAGAGACAAGGACCAGAGACAGGGGTAGAGAGACCGGCACCAGGAGTGAGCAGAGATGCCACCGCCATCTAGCGAGTGGCGCCCTGTGCGCCATCATAGAGACAAGAGCTGATATCGATGTTATAGCCATTGCCGCCATTGGTAGAACCCGTCTTGACAAGATTAGCATAAGATTAGATCGGATATCAGGAGGCTAACACTACTAATGCACAGCTAGCGAGCTATGAGCACAGAAGGTGCATATCCTGCAAATATTACCCCTTCTACAGTAAGGGGACAACGTTCAGAAATCACGGCAATGCAGTGGAGCCCTCTCACCGCTTCTTTTGACAGGTTTACAACATCTCAGCTCGGAGGACAGGAGTACAGTTGGATGAGCTTCGAGGGGAGCTGACCAGCGGGCTAGATGCTGAGCAGGAAGCCCGGGATTTAGATATGGCTCAGATGGAGGACGGTATAATGCGGCAGATAAGCGAGGCGAGCATTGCTATTACCTTTGATGATGCGCCGCTGAGAGCTTCCTTATCATTGTATTATAAATTATCGTGGATATGCACATACCAACCCAGATGTCATTGGTCTGAGAATTCACTGCTATTGTTAAGGGTCCAGTGTCGATGTTCTTGTGTGAAAAATGGGGCATATTTAACCCTAACCCTCTGTTTTGGTCTCCTCATAAACCATCTCAGAGCCTGGTTTAGTTACTTAGAAGATCTTCCTTTTGTATTAGATAGATTCAATCTCAACACTCATTCAGCCACTTCCACGTGCTCAGCTCATACGTTTCTCCTTAGTTATGAGCCCGGTTCGCAAGAATCGGGTTTAATCTTCCCCTTATCTATCGAAACAGACTGAGCTATTCACTTCTTATTCTTTCAGAACACATCTTTTATCCCAAACAGTTATACTTACGCTCCATCAAAGCCTACGATGAAGCGCGAATCTAACGATTTTACGCTCTCGGTAAAGTATACTGATATCTACTCCTTTCCATCCTAGTACAGCATTTTGCAGTCCCAGAGCAAGGGAAAGAGTGTTTGGGAGTATCTAGATCCGGATGGCTCAGATGCGCTCTCTCTCGAATCTGAAGATTTCGATCTCGAGTTCTCCAAGTTCACTCAGGATCTTGAGGAGGAGCGCAAAAACATTATAATGGAGAACTACAAGCTATTCTCTATCCAGGAACAAGCTATTCTCTACAATTAGGAGATGAAATGCTTTCAGCTTTGTTAAAATAAGCAGTTGCATGCTTACTAGAATGTATAGAGGATGTGGAACTGGATTCAGAAAACAGTATCTCTGTTAGTTCTTGTTTCTTATATGCATATCTATTCAGAAAAGAAGTTTCTCTTAATTTAACAGGTGCTCAGGAATCTGAAGAAAGATCTCTGTCCGTCCGAGAAGAGCATGAAACAGATCGTTCGCCTCCAGTACTGCTATCACCTTGAGCTGGCTACCAGGCAAGGCACTGATTTCCAAAACTGGTGCCGGCAGCACCAGGATCTTCTGAATCTAGCTCAGAATTACAGCATTGATGAAGTTAAGGGACTTCAGAGCTCTAATAACTTCCTTGCTGCTATTGGAGTTTGCTTCCAGACAGAGTGAGCTAAAACGCAATAACATCTCCTCGCTACAGCACCTGATGATGGTTTGCTTATCAAGACTATTGAACAGCTTTAACGAAATCTTGCTTCAATCTACTGATTTCAGCCTGAGTAGAAAAAAAGCTTAATAGTATTCGCTACTATAGACGGAGAGAATCTACAATCCAGCAATTCAGATACAAAATCTGGGAAGAAACAAGATAAATCTTCCAGCTAGAGCGAAAAGGGAGATTATAAGTGCTTCTACAAGTTATATCAAAGGAAGTATAAATAGGGCTCTATGAGCTGCAGAAGGCTGGAGTACGCCTATACTAGAATTAAGCCAGACTTAATCTTCAAAGCCTTATCTAACAAGCAAAGAAAGAAGATTCTCTTTAAGCTAGCCAGCAAAAACTATTAGAAGCTCTATTCAGATCTTATTAAAACTGGATAGCTTCTTTAAAGCTGAATAGAAAGGATTCTATAGAGAATAGAGAACAATAGAAACTTCTATCTAAGTATTGTTGAGTGCTAGAACCTCTCAACTATAATATTAAAATGCTAGATCCGATATCTCTCAAGCTTGAAACAAAGCATTCTCAGTTCCTCCAAATAAATGCTATTTTCAATTCTCAATTCTTCAATCAGGCAGTATTGCTACAAGCAAGTACAGCAATCTTCTCAATACTGTTTCAGATATCTCATATTCTTTTCCAAAGTATAGTTCTGGATAATTGCAGAGCTGTATATCTTGTTAATAGCATTGATCTTCTGGAGCTAAATACCTTTTCTCTCTTAAGAGATGCAGAAGTTGTAGAAGCAGAGAGCTTATTATTGCTAATATGGGGATTCAGAAAATGATGCTTCAAAAATGCACTGAATGGAAGGCAAGGGAAATGCACTGAGAACTTAGTTCTCAACTGTATAGCAGTTGTAAATAGCTTTTATATTAATATAATTGCTAAAGCTCTCTTATATGAGAAAGAGATCTGATACTGTAGCAAAGATAGCATACTGTGCTTAGAAATACTTAAATAGAGTATAGTGATTGCGAATTTATATAGAGAATTCAACTTAGTCTTCTTCGAATATATTCCTTTTGCAAACTCTTCCTACTCTCGAGCTTCAGCTATGCTGCTATATAGCTGAGCTAGCATTCTCGTATTCTCAACTCTAAAAAGAAACAAGCATTCTCATTCTTCATATGATGAGATGTCTGAAAGAAGTGATTCAGAGCATCTTTAGCATCTAAGATTGGAATACCTGAGTGCTAATGCTCTGAAGAAGCTTATCTATTCAGTTTATAGTATTAGAATTAATGGAATTAGATGAATTAACTGTGAATACTGTGCTCTAGAGTGCATTATAAAGGTTATTCAATGTGCAAGATCTGAATATTACAGCTCTCAATTGTTCTAGCGCATTAGTTGGGATCTTCTCGATTATAATGAAGCGCAGAATAGCTTAAAATAAGCTTTTATACTTAAAGATGAGTATAGTAGCAAGTTGTTTGCTTTTCCGATACTTAATAAGGCACAATCTATAGTGTTCGATGTATTTAGGTTATTTGAGACTTGGATATAATACTAATATTGCTTCTTTATCTGCAAAATCAGATAGAATGCAGATTCCTCAGTTATAAGAAAGCTATATGAAATAGTATATACATAATAGTACGCTAACAACAGCATTAATCTGGAGATTACTTTACTGCATATGAAAGAGTCAAATGATGCTGCTGAGCAAGCTGAGCATG